CCCCCCCCCTCTCCCAATAATGCACAATAATACTCTCTCTCACAACACTACTCGGCTGCCCCGTCACCCTCAGGAGCAAATACACACTCCCGGTCCCATTCTTCTCATACACATCACTAACACTATCCAGCGCCTCGAAGCGATACTCCGGATACTTCTCCGCCAGCCGGTCGTGGTGATCGATGTACGCTTGCCACGTGTGGAGCGGGACGCCGCCCGCGTGGTCGAATTCCGCGTGGTATGACGGGGAGATGTACTTCTGGAACAAAGGATGTGTCCACTGCTGCGAGGAAGCGAGCGCCATGAGTTCGAGCGAAATGCGTTGGATGTATTTAGCCGTCTCGCGCGTGTAGGTGCTGGGGTTCTTGCGGGAGGCCCAAGGCCGTGGGGCGAGGAGTTGGAGGGATGTCGACATTTTTTTTGTTTTATCCCGGCCTTTGGGTGTCACATGCTGGCTTGGCTCCAAACTACTATATACCACTGCAGTATGCACGGGTGGAGATATTACCTGGAGGGGCAGGAGGCAGAGGTGCTGGGATGCGGAGAATGTGGTGGGTGGAGTGGGGCTGATGAAGTAAGGCGCAGTGAGCTTGAGTGAATGACTAAACCAACGGCAGATTGAAGTAACTTGTGAAGGACGGAGCTGGATTTCTGAGCCCTCGAAATAGCTGGATCTTGAGATCCTACCGACAGTCTATTTGTCTTTTTCAGCTTTGCCCTCGATATCGGGCCCGAATGGAATGGCTTTAAGCTGATGAACTGATCGATGACAACAGTGATACTTCTGAATACTGCGAAAGTCAGCAAAGAACTAGAGAGCCACCCATTCGTGGTTCTCGTGTGTTGAATCCTCTACCCGTGTGAATCATGCCTTCACCCCAGTTGTACGCCGCCAACACCTGCGCTTATGAATGCAACACCACGATCTATGCTTACGTCGGCGTGAGGACGGGTTTATCTACTTCGAGCCGTTCTCCATGCTCTCCCGGCCACGTCTCACGAGCCACAGGAGTAGATCGACCTTGGTCGCAACAGCCTTCGCCCTCAATGATCCATCCTCGGCACGCTCCGTGACAATTGCCGCAGCGTTCCAGACGAAGAATCTCTCGAGAACCTGCAATGGCGTGTCCATGGTGATCTCCAAGAATTCGCGCCTGCTCTCTTCGCCCTCAGCGCCAGATGGGTTCTTCTCCAGTGGCTTGATCTCGTCTATCTTGCTGAAGTTGAACATGACATCCTTGACCGGCGACAAGATCTGGACTTTGCCAGAAGAGAGGTAGGAGAGACAATTACCCAGGGTGACCATGCCGACAAGACGGCGGCCACCAGAACCAGAAGTGACGGGAATCTGGTCATAGCCCTTGTCGCGCATGAGTTCAACAGCATCGTCCACTGTCGCATCGTCGGCAATCGTCTGGATTGGCTTGAGTCGCAAATCATGGATCTTGGCATTCGCGAACTCGTCCTTGGATATCTTCTTGGTGAGGATTGGCATGTCGACGGTCTCTTCCTTCGGTTTCTTGGGCGCGCTAGCTGGCTCTGACGGAGGTGTGTTTGGTGCTGTGAGTGGCGGCGAAGGAGGGAGCAGGCCGTTCGCAGCAAGCCAGTCATCGTCAACAAATTTGCTGAGGTAGCTGCGGATGCTGTCTGGCAGAATGACCACGACAGAGTCATTTGCAGTGAGCTTGAGATCCTTGATGGCCTTGACAGCCGCACTCATGGCTGAGCCTGAGCTGCCACCGACAAGGAGCCCTTCCTCTCGAATCAAGCGTCTCGCCCAGTAGAATGAGTCTCGGTCATCAGTCTTGTACCATAGGTCGACTTCCTTCTGAGACAGAACTTCTGGAATGAAGTCGTAACCGATGCCCTCCACTTTGTAAGGCTTTCCGTCAGATTCTTTGTTGAGCTCTGGAGGAAATGCGAGAATCGAGCCTTGCGGGTCTGCTGCAATAATCTTGACTTTATCACCGTGCGCTTTGCGAATGCCTCGTGCAATACCAGTGATTGTGCCGCCAGTGCCTGCTCCAGCAATCACAGCTGCCAGCTTGCCTTGCACATTTTCCGTCTGATCCACGATCTCTTTCGCAGTGCCGAACTCGTGGGCGAGAGGGTTGTTGATATTGCCATACTGATCCAAGATCACACCACCCGGGATCTCTTTCTCCAGTCGTCTTGCTACACCAATGTGGCTCTCGGGACTGTCCCAAGCAGCACTCGTAGGCGTACGGATGATCTCGGCTCCCAATGCCTTCAAGACACTAACCTTCTCACTGCTCATCTTCTCTGGAAGCGTGATAATGGTCCTGTATCCCTTGACAGCTCCCACAAGAGCCAATCCAATGCCCGTGTTTCCACTGGTTGGCTCAATAAGAACGCTGTGTCCCGGCTTGATCTTGCCCTCTTTCTCGGCGGCCTCAACCATTCGCAGAGCAATGCGGTCCTTGACACTGCCTCCCGCGTTGAAGAACTCGCATTTCGCGTAGACGTTACACTCGATGCCGACGGATTGCGGGATGCGATTGAGGCGGACGAGTGGCGTGTTGCCGATGTTCTCGAGGATGGTGTTCATCACCGCCGGCGGATTTCGCGGCGTCGAGGACGTGAGGTGCGACATCTTGGGCGAGGATATATGAAGAGGTGTAGAAACGGAAAGGAGAGTGGGAGGGAGAGACTTACGAGCGACAGGTGGTTCTTTTCTAACTTTTCCGACCTTGCGGGACAAAGAACTGAGATGGCGTGCAGTGAGCTTGTGGCGGCCGCGAATAGCCGACGACCCGCGCCTTACAAGAGGGAAGTTTTCTTCTCACAGCCTGCTAGCCCCCTTTTCTTTTACCAGTGCTCAATATATGCAGGGCGTCGTATGCTCTTGCACGTTGATGACTCCATTCATTTCATTCGACCTTGATTGTCAATGCTAATGATTATGACCAATTTCGCACCATCCGACAAGGCCCTTTGGCATTCACATGGACATTTCGAGCTCCATGCACAAAAGCCTCACACTGGGTCCTGCCTCGAGGCTGTAGCGACCATCTCGCCTCGATCCAGCCGCCTTCAGGTAGTGGCATGCGTCCGCTTGCTTGTTTCACTCCCAAGCTCTTGACGACCTCCCATACCGGATCAAGAACCCACTCATAGGACCCCAGGTCTTTCGACTCACGTCTGATGCCGAGAAAGTAGTTCGAAAGAATGTATGTAGGCGCACCACCCCATGGATGGCACAGCGAAGTGAAGATGCCAATGCCCGGAGAACCGTCCGGATACATGTACTCCCAGGGGCAGCCTGTCGAATATTCATTCTGATTGACCATGTGAGGCCAGTAGACCTCAAGCAGGTTCTTGATGACAGGCGTGATAACATCTGCAGATACGTTGAGATTGGTGTGTGCGACAAACAGAGACTCAAGCAGAAAGCCTTGGACGTTGGGCGAGAGCTGTGTGGTGTTCGAGTTGCCAATGCGTGTGGAGTCTTTGTAGCCGATGTTGAGGAAGAGGTTGGAGAGGCTCTGGATCGAGCGGGTGGCTTGTGAGGTGTTGGCGATACCTGCACGGATTGGGAACGCTGCTGAGAGAAGGGAGTAGTTTCCTGGATCATCGAGAGCGAAGATGTATGTCCCAAGATCGTCTGACCACAGCTTCTGATTGATTTTTGTGCTGATGCTGTCCACGAGGTCGCTCCACGTCTTCACACTGGCGTATTCGCGTAGTGCTCGAGCGATCGGGATGAGTTCCTGCAAGGCCACCACGAAGAGGGCCGTCGGCGCTGTCGCATTTTGCGCCCCCTGTGCCGTGAACCATAGAACTCCGTTGGGGTCAGCCAGCAAGCCAGAGGCTGGATCCAAAAACCTCTCGATCAGAGTCTCAACAAGAATCTTCAGACCAGTCCAATGCTCTCTCATGAAGGGAGTATCCTCTGTAAGCGCGAAATAGTCTCCAACGATCAGAAGAAAGAAAATCTCATAATCGTTCTCGCCATATTGACTGGGATAGTACTCCGAGCGGAACTGGAACGCATCGCCCATGGCCTCCTGCATTGGAACGAGCCCAGCGCCTGGTCCAGAGGTGAGCTGCCACCTGAATTCGTATTCGATCATGCTTCGGATGTATTCATAGCCTGTGGTTGCTGCTAGCATGCGTGCGGTGTGTGCAAAGTCCCCGATCCAGATTAGACGGTCACGCTTTGCTCCGTCTAGACATACTTGATCACTGTTCGTTGCAACGCGATACTCAGCCAGGACATGTTCGTTCGTGAGCGGATCTGAGTATAGTTGCGCCTTGCCATCGCTCGCCGTTACGACGACATCACGAAAATAAGCTGCCTGATCTTGAAAAGGACCAAACCCCCAAGTACCGTCTGTTGCTTGTGGATTCCCCCATCCGGCATTGATGTAATCTTCAAAGCTCTGCAGATCCACGAAAGCAATCTGTGTCCCATTGACGGAGATGTTGTAACCAGCGGCGCTGATCGTTGTCGTGATGCGATACCAGCGATCCTGTGAGATCTCGAAAGGAACTTTATAGTACTGCGGAGGTGCCGATGCCAGGATTGCCTGGTCGATTATACTGAAGCCGAAACCAGCTATAAGAGTGTTGGAAGGGAGTAGGGTGCTGTTCGTGTTTGCGAGATGTGGCCCGGACGTTGTCAAGACGAAGTAGGCACCATAGCCAGCATTTGCACTCGCAGCGACTCGCCACCCTGTGCCGCCTTGTACGATCTTCGTGAAGAAGGTCAGCGAGTAGTTACCGAAGCTAAGACCTTTGGCTGAAGTGCCAGGATATTGACCCCGGATCAAGGCTCCCTCGATTGTGATGTCCCATGTCGATGGCTGTGAGTAAGGCTCTACACAGGCGGCTTGGACTGACCGAGCACCAAGATCCCAGACTTTGTTAAGATCTTGGCTCGATGTCGAGAGTGCTCCTGGCAGATGTACTGTTGGCTCAATGTCGACTGTGGGCACAAAGCCAACGTCAGTGAGTATGATGGAGCTGTTGGTGAGAAGCTTGATCGTTTGCCAGCGCTGGCCACCTTGTGCGAGGGAGGATTGGACACGTCCAGGAGCGGTCAAGTTGAAAGTCTCGGTGCGGAAGGAGTTCATGAGGCCATTAACGAAAAGACTTGACAGTGCCAATGTCAGCGACTGGCTAGAACTTCTCTTGAAAGTGTACTCACAACGGTCCATCGCTATACGGTAGTTGCAGACCATCGTACGGCTCGCTGTATTTCAATTCTACCTGCGTCGGCCCAGTAAGTGACTGCACCGTGAAGTAAGGGAATCCAGCTACTTCGGCGCCGTAGTCGAGAGTAAGGACTGGGGAGGAAGGCGTGAGCCTCAACGAAGATCCAACTCGATATGCGTTGAAATTGCTGGGTGCTTCAGGGGACGTAGGCCCGATATGAAAGGCTGTCGGCTGGTAAGGCCTGGTATTGTGTTGGTTGTCATCTTGCGAAGCCAACGCTTGTGTGGCAAGTATGGTGACTGCGAGAGCAGCAATCATCTTTTCACGAGAAAAATGTTGACGAGGAAGCAGGCATCGCGGGAGCGATTGCCAACATCTCAAGTCGTTCGTGAGTTCTCTTCTTCGACCTCCATCTCTGCTTGCAACATCGGCCCAAGTTAAAGCGAGATCATTTCCAACAAATGCAGTTCTCTACCTTCTTCAGAGCGAGAGTAGGTAAGTACCCCGATGAAGTCGAGACAGAAGCCACGATGTCATCCTCATGCTTCAAGCTAGATCCTGGAACCCCGCCCACAGCCTTGTTCAAGAACTCTATCGGGACGACACATGGATTGACTCGGTAGGAGATCGTCTTTTCGGGATGACTTCTACCGAAGTATGACTTCAACTTCCCATCAACATCGATGCGAAATTGATTTGCTATTCGTTTGCGAAGCGCAGCATCTACGACCGAACCGATTTCGTGCTTCACGATGTTGTTAACGATCACCTCACTCATTGCGCTTGTCGCAGCTGCACAAGGAAATGACAAGGACTCTTGGAACTGGCCATCTTCGCCTGGCCACAGCGCATCATTCCGAGGTCCATGGGACAAGAACAATCTCTCTCCCTGGTCTCGACAAGTGGAGCCTGTTCGGGTCCTCAACGAACAACATAAGGTCATCCAAGGATATGGACACGGACCACGTATTACTCTCAGCAATAGGACTAAATCAATGGTAGTATGTGATTTCGGGAAAGAAGTTGGCGGTGTTCTGAGCGTCAACTATTCGGCTTCTGGGTCAGGCAAGTTGGGAGTTGCCTTCACGGAAGCTCTGAACTTTACGGGGCCGGTTTCTGATAACTCAAATGGAGGTACTGGATCTGATGGGGCTCTGTATGCCGATATCTCGGCGCCCAAGGCCACGAGTGGAAGTTATACAACTCCTTACGAGAAGATGCGTGGCGGGTTCCGCTATGCTATCGTCTTCATCGAGACAAACGGCACGCTCGATGTAACAATCACAGGAGTGGCCGTATACATATCCTTCCAGCCCAACTGGTCGAACCTACGAGCATATGGTGGCTACTTTGACTCTAGCGACGAGCTCTTGAATCGAATCTGGTATGCCTCTGCATACACGATACAGACAACAACGATACCGCCACACACTGGACGAGTCTGGCCGAACCCAGCCGATGGCTGGCTCAATAATGCGGACCTTCAAGTCAATGGCACCAGCGTTCTTGTCGATGGCGCGAAACGCGATCGAGCTGTCTGGGCGGGCGACTTGGGTATCGCTGTTCGAGTGCTCTTGTGAGTACTGGTGATTATGAGAGTGCTAGAAACGCTGTACAAGTGCTGTACGATTTTCAAGTAAGTATCTCGGACTGTTTCAACGATCAGAAGATCATTGTCTGACTACGGATTAGAACGCAACGACAGGCGAATTCCCCATGGTGACGCCTCCTATATCGTTCTACGGCTCAGATACCTACCATCTCATCACCATGATCGCCACCCATGATTTTATCCTCTACAGCAACGATATGGCATTCCTGAACCAAAACTTCGAAGACTACAAGAAGGCGATGACCTTTATTCTGTCCAAAGTCGACGAAACTGGCTTGCTGAACGTCACTGGCGCCTCCAATTGGGGGAGGAAAGCCTTGGACGCTGGCCGCAGTACAGACGGCAATATGTTGCTTTATGGCGCCCTCACTACCGGTGTTAGCCTTGCTCAGTGGTTGGGCGAGCAAGAACTGGCGAGGGAGTGGGAGGCTGTCGCCGTCAAGCTGAAGGCTCCGGTGAACAGTCCGTCTTACAACTGGGATCCGAAGAAAGGGTAAGTCTACGCCCGAAATGCTGACGGTTGATATTCGGTATTCTGACATTTTGCAGAGCATTCAAAAACACAGACATAGACGCCTCGATACACCCAGAAGACGGCAACAGCATGGCCCTCTACTTCGGCGGAGCAAACACATCCTACGAAGAACAGATCAGCAACTATCTCCCCACGAACTGGAACTCCATCGGCGCCATCACACCAGAACAACCTGGCAACATCGTGCCGTTCATCGAAGGCTACGAAGTCAACGGCCACTTCAGAATCCACCAAACCCAACGAGCCCTAGACCTCATCCGCCGCAGCTGGGGTTGGTATCTCAACAACCCCTACGGAACCCGGAGCATGATGATCGAGGGCTACTACGAAGACGGCTCGTTTAGATACGCGAACGACCCTACCAAGGAAGGATCGTATCCATCTCATGCTCATGGCTGGAGTACAGCTCCGGCGGAGGCCCTCATTTCGTACGTGGTTGGTTTGCGTCCAACAGCGCCAGGGGGGAAGACCTGGGTATTAGAGCCGCAGATGGGGGATCTTGAGAATGCACAAGGTGGGTTTACGACGCCGACGGGGAAGTTTTCTGCTAGTTGGGAAGTGGAGAGGGGAGGGTATAGGTTGACGTATGATACGCCAAGTGGTACTTCGGGGATTGTGCGTGTTCGGTCCAGTCGTGGAAAGCCTGGCGCTGTGTTGCTGGATGGAAGGCGAGTTGATGGAGTGACATTCGATCGAAGAACTGGCCTGACGGAGTCCAAAGCATCTGGTGGTCGTCATACAGTAGTACTGAGGTACTAAGTCAGGGTTCTTCTAGGCACAGACCAGTAGTCAGTCTCACGTGCCATTTAGATCTGCATGTGACGATTCGCTACCGGAGTTGACAGCATGAAATTTCTGCATGGTCTGAAACTTCGATCTGCATTTTGCCGTGTATGTTGCGCAGTTTGTAAAGCGGAAAGTCATTCGCGAAAGTAATTGAGCGAGAGGAAGATGTCCATGATTTGACGTCAGCGAGGATGCAATGCCAAAGGTCGTCCTTTCGATTCAGGAGAAAGTTATATGGCATGCCGACTGTAAGCTGGCTCTATGTGCAAGTCCGTTGGGCCATCTTGAACCATAGGCAGTCATGAGTTGGCTCGAACCGTCATCCGATCGAATCAATTGCCTTAGATACGAGACACTTTCCGAAGCCACGGTTGAGTGGCTTTTGTCTACCATCGATGCCGAACGCAATGCTGCAGCAGATTCAATCTCTTTCATAAGAGCATTTGTCTTGCAAAGCTCTTCGGCATATGTGTGATGAGACATACGAAGGCGATCCGAGCCTGCGGCACCGTTGTGTTCTGGAGTCTTGCGTGAAGAATGAAGCCGATGTAACGACGGAAGCATGGGAGCCCATCGGGCGAAAGGCATGAAGTCCAGATTGACGCCAAAACTACGTCACTGATGCTATTTTAGGAAAGAACACGACCAATCGACGCCCACGAAAGCCGCATCGTTCAGCCTAACGGTAGCAAGGCTACCCGATTGCTGGAATTTCTTGAGCTTGAGAGTAGCTTACCAGTTTCCACCAAACGCCGACTCGCTACAAGTGGCAATTGTGCACTTCATGTGTTCTAAAAGTAGCTCTGCAGAGAAGTCTGCATGTTTGGTTGATGCCAAGCGGTGAACGGCTTTTGGTGGTAGTTATGGTACGATCTAGCACTAGTATCAATTCTCGCGACATACATGTACATCTGTTGCTTCCTGCCACAAACACTGAATCCTTCATCAGAGTTCATGCATAACGACACAGACTGAACGTCTACGACTCACCGGCAACTGTCCTCTATTGCTCGACCGATTCAGAATGCAAGCCTACAACGGACCTAAGAAGGCCAGAAAAAGTCATACGAAGAGCAGGAATGGATGTGCGACGTGCAAACGACGACATATACGGTGCGACGAGACTTTCCCACAATGGTAGGATTATCCACGGCTATTATCTCGAGGCGAGGCATTGACGTTGTTCTCAGCCGAAACTGTACGAAGCATGGCGTAGAGTGTGAACACAGCCAGAACTTCGGTCGAGCGGCAAGCGAGCAGAGCACTAGAGTTGGCCAAAGAACAGAGTCGCCGGCTGCGCATGGCTCGCCCAGCTCGAGCGCGTCTGGGTGGCAGGACGTCCAGCGTGTTATCTCGGCTCAGTCTTTTGCAGATGACATTCGGCCGGAGGCTTCGTATTTGATGCACGAGGACCGCGGAGCCATGGACCATCGGACTCCCCTGGCTCAGCACCATGCTGTGTATCAGCCATACCTACAGCAAGATCCGATGGAGACGACGTGGCAAGACTATGTGCCGGTGACGACCGATCTGTATTCGCAACACACCTTGCCCCACGGCGAGGTTTTCATCACTCCACCGCGATATCACACAGCAGAAGAATACCCAGTTGTCTATGGGTTGGGAGGTTATCCGATGCATTACTGGTCTCAATCGACACCGTGAATGAACTGTGTCCGTGCACGTCTCTTGCGTGACGTCCAACGTTCACATGCTGCTCGCGTAGCAGCACCGACCCCTGCAATCGATAGTAGCCCTTCTGGTGCGACAAGCAAGTCACAATGACGTACTCACAAAGCAATCACAACTACTATATCTGGCGGCACCTGTCGAAATGTGCCGAACGGAACAGCATAGGGCAAGTTTCAAAGGAAAAATGGGCAAGACGGCCATCATCAGCGGCGGCGCCCGAGGCATCGGCCGTGCTCTCGTGCGGCGGTTTCTTGAGCTGGGATACAAGGTCTACTTCTTTGACATCGACGAGGAAGAGCTCAAGCATACGACGGAGGTCCATCTCAAGAAGTATCACGATTCCAAGGCATTGGGCTCCAGCATTTGCAATCTTCGAGATGTCGACGACATTCGCAAGAAAGTGAAGCAGGCTAGCGAATTTCTAAACGGCAGGATCGATGTCTTGGTCAACAACGGAGGGATTGCCACGCCGCAGTGGAAGGATGGCAAGACCATGTTCAGTCCAGAGACGATGAATGAATGGCAAGCGTGAGTAGTTCGATCGATGCTTAGGATGAAATCCCTGATTAACTTTCGCTCAGATATGTTGAAACCAACCTCACAGCCCCCTTCGCCGTCTCCCAGGCTTGCTTACCGTACATGAAAGATGCCGTCGCCAATGCACCGATCAACAACCAAGGCGATACAGGCACGGAGCCCGGACCTTGCATCATCCACATTGGCTCGTTCCGCGCCCACCAGAGTGATCCCGACCAGGAAGGCTATGCAGCCACGAAAGCAGGCCAGCTTGGTCTCATGCACAGTATGGCCATCAGCCTTCTGCCGTACGGCATTCGTGTCAATCTCATCGCCCCGGGACGGATCAAGGTCGCTCATGAGAGCAAGGATGGCGATGAGAAGGGTTGAGATTGGGAGCAGCTGAATGAGGATGAGGATGTGGATGATCATCCTGCTAATCGAGCTGGGCGGCCGAAGGATATTGTTGATGCGGCGGAATATCTTGTCAACGCGGGATTCGTGACGGGACAGGATATCACCGTGGATGGAGGTGCGACCAAGAAGAAGAAGTAGCAGCGACCGGCGACATGTGTGCCCTTGGCTTTAGGAAACAGTCATACGAAGCCGTTGTCGATTCAAGGGGTCGTTTGTTTGGCGCCTGCTCTAGCACTCAACCTGCGCCTTTGGTAGCTGCAAACGAACGACTTGTTTCTTCGTTGGTAGGCTTGTGCTCATCGGCCAAGGCCCCATTGGCCAGAACGTCTTCGTCCTTCTCTGCCCAGCCGTACTCATCAGCGTCCTCATCCGAATCGGCGATCTCTTCGTAATGTCGTTTTCGCACGACCTTTGGGGGGCTCGAGGCTGGCATTGCTGGTCGATGGCGGCCTGCACTCGGTGAGCTGCTCGTCAAATCGATCACCAGCTCCTTCAGCCACCCTTCATCCGAGATCTCAAACCCGGCGACATTCCTAATGTCTCCAACGGGATCGAGAGGCGTCAGATTTCGACCGTTGCATTTCTGCACTCCAGCAAATCTGCCATTGAAGTCACGGAAAAGGACTGTTCGGCTCCAAATGCCACCTTCCCATTCCGATCCGCCAATTCCAGGGCCGAGTGCCCCTCCTAGGCCACTGTCGTTTCTTGGTCTTGAGGCGCAGCCTGTTGTCACAATGACAGCCATGTTATGCAAAACGGCGAGTTTGCTGAGCGCTGTGACCAGTGATCCAAGGACAGCGTATCGACGGCTGGCCTGTCGCTTCTGTTGCTCGGTCCTCGAACTGTTTCCGAATGGCATTCGACGGTAATCTAAATCGATCAAACCATGAAGATCGTCAATAACAAGCAGCGTCGTGCCTTTTTGTGGGAACGTCGAAGGTGGATGCAGTATGAGTGCCAGAAGGTGTGAAAGCGTCCGGACAGAAAGGCGCTGAAGACGGTCGCGGAGGTGGATTTTGTCGCCTGCGCCATTCTGATCTGTATTCTCACCACTGATATTGTCCCTTAGAGCATTGAGCCTCGTCCCACTCAAGGAGGTTGCACAGTCTACCGTTATTAGTACAGAACAGGTCGAGCGCAGTATCTTTAAGTCCCGTACCGATCCACGTGACACGACCGCCATTCTTGAGCGCCTGATAGGCAGCTTGGAAGCTATCCAGGTTGTCAGCAAGAGGATAATGAGTATAAAGTCAGACCATAACGTACGCCAATGCGGTCTTTCCAGATCCGCTCGGACCCCAAAGTTCAGCGACTTTGCCACGCTCAAAGCCGCCATTGTTGGCGGATGTAGTGCCTACAAGAACGTGATTCAGAGAGTCTATTCCACTCGATATTGCTGACTTTGCGCCGCCATTCAGGCTTGCAAGAGCGTCAACGGCTGATACAGTTGCGAGGCGATCTATTTCTCTTAGCTGGGTTCGCCACTGCGAAGGGTTGGACTTACGAGTTGATGTCGGAGGCTTCTGTGAGGGCGGCGCTGACGAAGAAATGTCGATGACGGTCGTTGTGTCCGCCATGATGGCGATGATATATCTTTACATTGTGTTGTTGATGTAGACACGACGTCGCCGGGGAAGAGACGGGGAAGACGCGGCGTCGGGCCGAGTTGTCACGAGCACGGGCCACAAGCAACGACCACACCTCTCCCTTTCTCGACGCGTCCTGCGCCCAAGCACACAGGCAAGGCACTGCTGTTACGCCTTCGTATGTCGTCGGCACCCCCAGGACCTGCTTGGCCCCCACGAGGAGCCTACTTGCCGTGTCTATACATAACATCGCCTCTCGTCCGAGCAATTGCCTACTTTAGGAAGAATGGACGAGACGGATAGAGCCGAAGCATCTCGACATAGACAACATGGAATTACAAGGCGGGAGACACGGCTCTCTCGCGTTCTTGCATCAACCGAGCGTCCGTGCTCGTGAAGAGTGGCCCGGAGCAATGTCTTATGGTGGAGATGAGGTGCAATATTTAAGGCAGAGGTGTCTTTGCAAGAGCTCGCCATCACCCTCACTCTTAAAGTTGAACATCCATCCCCATTGCTCGCCGGCTCTCTAAGCAGTTTGAACTACAACCAAGAGCCTAGAAGGTCTTGAATCCGGAGAGGCACATCCCCAGTGCTTGCAAGCTGTCTGAGCAATTTGAAGTACGACCAAGAGCAAGGTCGGCCATTGACTTTTGGAGAGACGAGATCCGGTTTCGTTCGATCTGGAGCGGAAAGGCGAGGATAGTGCGTCCGAACCCGCCTCTCAGGCCCTCAATTCTCAACAAGTATCAATATTGACGGCGACGACCGCATCTTTCCCCTGGCAAGATGACGACCACATCATGGGCAGATCACCCATACGAACTCATCCCGTCTCCGGCAAAAGGATTGGACCCGGTCAGTGTCAAGTGAGATGAATCTCCCTTAGAGCATGCTGACACTAGCCCCTGAATCCAAAGACAGAGCATTCTGCACTCTACATCGCCAACGAGATGGCCGTCGTCCACAACTGCATCATCAGGGGCCTGAATGCCATTTACCTGCAAGCACACCTTGTCAGGGAAACACAAGACATCCAGGATTTCCAGGACCTGATCTATGCTTGGCGCAAATGGGTCCAAGCGCACCATTCTCTCGTAGACGATGCAATGTTCCCAATGTTGGCTGATGCGGCCGGCAGACCAGGTCTGCTCCAAGAGAGTTCCGACCAACATCAGGAGTTTGTATCTGGCATAGATCAGTTGCTAGAACTTTCGTTGGATCAGGTCTCCGGATACAGCTACAGACGAGTCCGCGGCCTCATCAACTTCTTCGCTCCTGCGATGCATAGACATTTTGCCGACGAGGTAGAGGCTTTGGTGACATTGAAGGAGTTCGACTCTTCGGCTTTGATGAATGCATATTCGAAGGCAGAGGAGGGTATTCGCCACATTGACGACGAAGCCAAGGTGAGCACACATGTTCGAGATTACATTGTCAGCTTATTAATGACACAGGCACGCATCTTTCCTCTCGCCCTGGGAGTTCGGGATGTCGCTTACGAAGGAGGCAATGCCTGGCCAAATTTCCCACCTGCAATGGAAAAGGACATAATTCATCGCCTCGTACCTTTGCATGCTGGTGCATGGAGGTTCTTGCCTTGTGAATTCGATGGCCAAGTGCGTCCGTCTCCGATGTGAATATAGCTCTTGATACAATACGAGCAATATCACAGACTCCAGCTTTGTGGTCCTTACTGCGTTCTATACAGTTCATCCGACAGTTCTTGAGTATAGACGAACGTCCCGATCTGAGAAAAAGTTCTCCTGCAAGTCTTGAAGTCTTTATTGGATTGCAGAAGCGACGAAACAATCTGGGTAGATCAGAACAACAGATGTGGTATCGCAGACATCATACCAGTCTCTCGAATTCTGAGGGCGTCATGCCTAACCGACCGTATATTGATGAAGCCTCGTGGCTCCTGACTGCAGCACCGAAAGCAAACTCACAGAGTTTGATTGCTGCCTCACTCTTAATTTATTGCCAAATGGTCGACAGAACGAATTTGAATGCCATACGAGAACGAAAGAGAGTCGACGAGACTGGAAGGCTGCGGACAAAGAGGAATCTGACTGGCGGGTTTCCCTTTCGAGAAATCCGAATCCTGATCCACAACAAACTCCATCGAACAGCGATAGCGCAGGAGGACTTACGGCAAACATCACCTGCAAGCCCACGGATGACGCAAATGATGTCAATTCAATCTTTCGGCAGAGGCGAAAGTGAGTGTTCGGCACAAGACCGACTGTCATCTGCACGCGGCGATGGAGACTCAATCTTCGATGCCTCGTGTCGGCACGCGTTGTAGGAAGCAATGCATGTGGCACCGTGGAATGAACTCTCTGATATCATCGTCTTGGTTGGCTGGCTCGGGCTGTCCGGCGTTCGCAACGACAGCCGCCTGCTCGTGGTGGTGGGTTCACAGTTCCTTCGACGGTCAGCGATGCCATCATCCTCGCTTCGTTGATGATGAATAAAACGGTCTGAACGTCCGCCTCCGAGAATCGCTTCTCTCTCACTCTCCACAACCCCAGCTCTCTCCATTCTCACCTCATCATGAATCCCGACCTCCCCGCTCAGGAGGCGCCTCCGGCCCAGCAGGAGAAGGACGTTGAGAAGGGCGACAGCAGCAGCGAAGACAATGGCGCTCCTCCTGGCGAGCATCTTGGTGTGAAACCAACGGAGAACCGCAAGGTCGTCAATGGAAAGAGAGTTATCACCGAAGAGGAGGCTTGGCCGATTCTGGGGTATTCGTGGCCGACTTGGAAGAAGTGGACGCTCATCTCGTCGATTTTCGCTATTCAATTGTCGATGAACTTCAACACTTCGGTATATCCGAATGCTGTGCCGCTCATTGCAGAGCACTTCCATGTCAGCGAGCAAGCGGCCCGTGTTGGGCAGATGATATTTCTGGTGCTCTATGCCTTTGGATGTGAGTTGTGGGCACCGTGGTCTGAAGAGTTTGGGAGGTGGCCGATCTTGCAGTAGGTTCAGAGTGCGACAACGTGCCTTGCAGGAGCGATGCTAACATCGAGTTACAGGGGAAGTTTGTTTCTCGTCAACATCTGGCAGATTCTGGCTGCACTCGCACCGAACTTTGGCAGTCTGATCGTCGCACGAGCTCTTGGAGGCCTCAGTTCAGCTGGTGGCAGCGTCACACTCGGTATGGTTGCCGACCTGTGGGAGGCTGAAGATCAGCAGTGGGCAATCGCTTTCGTGGTATTGTCCTCAGTCGGCGGTACATCTATTGGACCCATCATCGGTGGCCCTATTGAGAAGTACCTATCCTGGAGATGGAACTTCTGGATCCAGTTGATCTTTGGCGGCGCCGTTCAAGCCGTCCATCTGTTCATGCCGGAGTCTCGGGCAACAATTTTGATGGACCGTGAAGCGAAGCGTCGACGCAAGACTGGGGAAGATCCTGATATTTATGGTCCCAACGAGGTCAAACAGCCTCGAATCAGCAAGAAGGAGGTGGGAGTTACCTGGATCCGGCCGTTCGAGATGTTCTTCCGTGAGCCCATCGTTCTCTGCCTTTCATTGCTCTCCGGATTCTCAGATGCTCTCATCTTCACTTTCCAAGAAGGATTCAACCCGATCTACGAGCAATGGGGATTTGGAATATTGGAGATCGCTTGGGCTTTCATCCCTATCGTCGTAGGGTACTTCATTGCATACTTCTCATACTCCCCTTGGATATACCATGACCAGAGGTTCATCAAGAGGTACGGACTGGACGCCTTCGTCCCCGAGAGAAGATTAAAATGGCTCCTGTACCTTGCACCGCTCGAGTGCATTGGCTTGTTTGGCTTTGCCTGGACAAGCCTTGGGCCACCCCGAGTCCACTGGATCGCCCCGATGATATTCTCTGGCCTGATTGCTATTGCGAATTACGGAATCTACATGAGTACAATCGACTATATGATAGCGGCGTACGGCCCTTATTCTGCATCTGCGACAGGTGGTAATGGGTTTGCTCGAGATTTCTTAGCTGGAATTGCGGCGATGTACTCGACCCCTATGTACAGCAACATCGATCCGAACGGCTACCACCTGGAATACGCGAGCACGATCCTCGCATGCCTTGCCTTCTTGGTCACGATACCAATTTACATCTTCTACTGGAAAGGTCCTCAGATCCGCAAGGCTAGCAAATTCGCCATGAGTCTAGACGAGGACAGAAAGGAGCAACATGGACGGCGGGTTGCCTCGGCGACACCTGAACAACTGCAACCGCACAACCTCTAGATAGACGGATGAATAGAATGCAGAGTCAATTGTGCCGGCTCGTAAATACAGAACCTTGCAGCTGTGGCGAAGGGAAGGAGCTCTCGTCTGATCCTTCCGTACCTGCTTCGGACGTCTCGCGCTATACTATGTCCGGGAGCTACATCATGCTTCAAATATTATCAGCCTGCCTCCTCACAACGGATTGGTACAGTGGTTGGACCTCATCAAGATGCCTATCGACTTCGACAACGACCTCATCCTCATTACCGCCGCCAGCGGGCGACAAGCAAGCGGATTACTCCCACGTCTTGCTTCCAAAGCAAAACACCTCCGACTACAATGCGTCTCAGACAGCTCCCGTCAACGCCTCGAGAAAGAGTATCCCCAAGCTGAAGTTATTCAAACAACCTTCGCCTCCATCGACAACGCAAAGAAACTCCTCCACAACGTTTCCGTCTGCTTCCTCGTCTCCCCAGCCTTCGAGCTCCGCGAAACGCAATGCGGCATCAATATGATCGACGCTGCGCGCGAAAACGCTCGCAACGGAGGCCCCTTTAAGCACATGATCCACTCGAGTGTCATCCATCCGTGTCTCCGCGCCCTCACTCACCACGACGCCAAGCGGCTCATCGAGGAAGCGTTGGTGGAGTCGAAGCTGCCGTATACGATTCTGCAGCCGACGCATCAGATGGATGTTGTTCCGATCAAGTTGTTGGTCCAACAAGAGGAGATTGTGTTTAAGGCGAGGTTTAATCCAAGCACGAAGATGTCGTTTGTAAATTGTCATGATCTGGGTGAAGCTGTCTTCAACATCATCAACGATCTGGACAGTCATCAGTACGCTACTTATCAACTAATCAGCACTCGGACGCCACTGGACTACCACGAAGCTATGGCGGAAGTGTCGAAGGTTGTTGGAAAGAAGGTCCGCGTGGAGGAGATGACGCTTGATGAGACGATCAAGGACTTCAGGTCGTCTTTACCGAAGAGCATGAGTGAGGTGGAAAGGGAGGCTGTGGTCGCTTCGTGGGCGCGAATGATCGTGCATTACCAAGAGCACGGGCTGTTGGGCAATTACAACTCCCTGAAGATGTTGCTTGGTCGTGAGCCGCTGGGGTATCGCGAGTGGGTTGAGATGCAGTTGAAGTCGTAGATATACTGTAAGCCATCGATTCGGACTTCTACTTTTGATCCATGAGTAGAAAGCTTAGCAAATTGACAAGTGAAGGAATAAGCGAAGGAACAAGTAAAGTGACAAGTGAAGTAAAAAGTACGGCAGGAAGTGAAGTAATCAGTAAAGGCAGCCTAAGATGTTAGATAAGATCTGAATCGAATAGTTAGCTACGTGTATATAAAGGACCAGTATAAGACTAACAAGAGTCAAGTACATGTAGCTCAACTTCGCATAGCTTCCTCGAGTAAAATATACGTTATTGCAAGACCAAGGTCGGTATGGTCCTGACGAAATGTCGGACTTTTCATACTTGGGGTCGATGTAAACCATTGCCAAGTTATCTTTTAGACTTGCTGGCTGCATGCTCGTGAGCGCGTACACAATAATAAGGTGGTATGATTTGGGTCAGAAGATGATTGTCAAGATATCCGACGCACCCGGGGGGCAATCAAAGGGGGCGGTGGCCTAAACATCCTTCACGTGCGCGACGCGACGGATTCCTAGTTTTGTCCACTGTCGCGTCGACGTATTCCGTATACGAACGCATTCTTCGCGCCGTGCACCTTGTTCCTTCCTCTACACCAACTTGAATCCCTCGAGCGAATGTTTTGCATCTGCAAGACTAGGGGCTAACAACAGTAGCAGACATGAGCGCCGATTCCATCGAATGGAAGCTTCTTGCCGGACAAACACTTCGTGACACCTCGTGGATGAGATGCCGAGAGTGCGACTTTTGTTTGGCTCCAGGCCCGTCAATCTTCCATCATCACATCAAAACCGTCGGTCTAGGACCTTTGCGCGATGGTTGATACGACGTGAGTCGTCTTGGCTAATGAGATGTTCATTGACCTTAGCAAGAGCTTTCGGTCTTCGCCCGGCTCTGACATACCACAGCAGGCATAGTTGAGTCACCTCAGTGTTCAGTAGAGTGTATTGACACATCCCGGTGGTCCCTCCGGCGTAGCGCACCAGACCATGGCAAGGCTGTGAAGGTAAATGTGCAGGAAAAAGACATTCTGGCCGTCAGGTTCTTAAGTTGAGCGGATTCGGAGTTCACGACTTGCATACGGAGCTCATCACGCCATCGATCTCCACGCTCGCGAGCCCTTCACCCACCAATATCTTGCCTTGCTATCACTCATCGCTACATCTAGCCTCTGCGCTGCGAATTTTCTCACGTGCAAGGCCTGTCCTCCGCCGGCCCTAAAAGAACGGCGGGGATCGAATGCAGGAACGGGTGACTCTTACTCAACAGCTCCCTTGTTGGTGTGATAAGCTGACTTGCGGTGTTTCTGATCGAAAATCCCGCAACCTGGTCTGAGAACTCATCTCCCATCATGGATGCCGGCCAAGGGACGCCCAAGCAGAACAGCACTGACGACGACAATACCGCAAACGAGACAACGCCCCTCATAGCCAGGGAAGACGAGCCGGTGCTGTACAAAACGTTGAGTGTGCGGCAGATGTCCTCATAACACTCCCAAGCTTTCCGCTAACACATTGCAGCGCCAAAATCCTAGCGACATACTTCCTCCCGACAATGGCGACATTGAACTAACAAAGAACGACAATGCGGCCGGACGACCCGGATCAGGTGTCTACGCAACAATCTCAGTTCTCTTACTAGGCGTCTTCATCTCCAACATCGACTCCAGCCTAATCCTCGCAACCTATGGCCAAATCTCGTCCGAGTTCAATGACTTCGATTCCGGATCATGGCTCATATCAGGCTTCGTGCTGGCATCATGCGTTGTACAGCCTCTCTACGGCAAGCTGAGCGATATTTACGGCAGGAAGGTGTGCCTGCAGACATCCTACATCCTCTTCACACTCGGCAACGTCGGTCTATGGTTCGGGCAGACCATGGGCCAGGTTATTGCGGCTAGAGTCGTGCAAGGTGCTGGTGCAGCAGGCATGACCTCCATGGTCTCGATCATCATCACGGATCTTGTCCCAATCCACGAAGTGGCTTCGATCAGGAGCTACGTGAACGTACTGCAGACTACTGGGCGAAGTTGCGGTGGTGTAGTCGGAGGTGCTCTGACACAGGCGTTAGGATGGAGATGGTAAGGGAATACGACAACTACATCTTGCGGCGCTGACTTCTCTTGATAGGGCTTTTGGGATTCAGGTCCCGTTCACCCTCATCGCCATTCTTCTGGTGCAATGGAGGCTGCATATCACTTCTAGAGACACGACCGAGCAGACGAAATGGCAGAAGCTGAGACGTATCGATTTTGCAGGCGCAATCTTGCTATGCGTCAGTATCTTTGCTGGCTGCTTCATGCTTGAGACTGGTGGCCAGAAATTCGCCTGGAAATCTCCCATCATCATTGCCATGGGAGTGGTCTTCGGCGTCACTACCATCGCATTCGTGGTGTCCTCAAGATTCGCAGCGGAGCCAATCTTTCCTCTGCGGCTCTTCACCCACTATGCAGTTTGGACGAACTATGTGATTGGTCTTCTCCAGATCCTGGTGCAATTCTCCTTGACTATGGTCGTTCCACTCTACTTCCAAGTTACTGCAAGGGCATCTACAGCGGCGGCAGGAGCTTACCTGATTCCGGCATTCACTGGTAACACAATTGGTGGGCTCCTGTCAGGCTACTGGATCAAGAGCACAGGGCTGTACAAACCGCCAACTGTTCTTGCCCCCATGCTCTCCATAATAGCCGTGACCTTGTGCTTCACACTCTGGAATGGGCACACGACCGTTCTCGAATCTTTGGCCATCTTACCTGGTGGTATGGCTGCTGGTATGGTTTCGAGCTCGACGTTCGTTGGATTGGCAGCTGGGGTGGCTGAAGAAGACATTGCCGTAGCAGCATCTGGCCTGTATCTATTCATGAATATTGGAGCCATCGCCGGAGCTAGTGCTGGATCGGCTGTTTGGCAGACATCGCTCAGAGCTGGATTAGCGACTGCTTTGGAGGGAGTGAAGAATGGACATGAGGTGAGCAAGGACACAAGGTCGAGTGATTTACCAAGTGCTGACAATCATATCAGATCATGCGACGAGCGCTTACAGACATCACCTACGTTCAGAACGCGAGCAGGAAAATTCGTAATCTGGTCGTCCCTGCTTTCATCTACAGCTTCCACCAGGTCAACCGTGAGTAATTCAACATCGGGCTTGGTTTATGAAGCTAACTTTTGGTAGTGCTCCAATTTGTTTGCGTAACGTTGTGTCTCCTGGCAGCGTTCTTGTCGCCACAGAAGCGGCTCAAGATCTAGAGAGGAGTGACTGATCATAAAAGTAGATGCGAGCGTGCTTGAGGATAGATATGCGATGGCGTTGTTACGATATGCGAATAGACATAAGGTACTGTCATACAAATAAATCAAAAGTTTGCCACTTGAGACTCGTTGCTCAGAAGCAGTTGTTCTATCGACAGAGACACTCCCTCGCTCATTCCTTTTCAGTAAAGTTCGATGAGACATTGATTGACGTTTCATTAATTCCTTTGCCGGTCGATCAGCTCCACCAGCGGTATGGCGTGCTTGCAGGGGATCTCAAACCCGATGCTTTCTCTTCTTTGACAACTTCTCTCTCTACTCTTCGCGAAACATCCTTGAAATCTCGCCAGTATGAAGTTGACAGCCTTATCTTGGACCATTTTGGCATCAGCGCCATGGACATCTGCTTCGAAACAGCCCAACTTCGTCTTCATCCTCACAGACGACCAAGACTATGAGATGAAGTCGTTGGATTACATGCCTCTTCTGCAGAAATATCTCATCAACGAAGGCACTTCTTACGAGCGACACTACTGCACGGTAGCGATTTGCTGCCCAAGCCGTGTCAATCTTTGGACCGGTCAAGCCGCACACAATACCAATGTCACCGATTTGCATCCCCCATATGGAGGATATCCCAAATTTGTTGAACGTGGTTATAATGAGAACTGGCTCCCAGTCTGGCTTCAGCAGCTTGGATACAACACATACTATACTGGGAAGTTGTTTAATGCTCACACTGTCAACAATTACGATGACCCGCCAGTCAATGGCTTCAATGGCAGCGATTTTCTCCTGGATCCATACACCTACGAGTACTTCAATGCATACATGACTCGAAATGGCGCAGAGCCTGTGAGTTATAAGGGAGAATACTCGCCAGACGTCATCGCCAACAAGGCGTACGGCTTCCTGGACGACGCTTCGAAAGATCCAGATCGTCCATTCTTCATTGGTATCGCTCCAATCGCTCCGCATTCCAATATGCGTTCGGTACCGACCTTGAAGAGAGACACTCCTTTCTATGCGGAGAGGCATGCTCATCTTTTCAAGGAGGAGAAGATTCCGCGGACGAAGAATTTCAATCCTAAAGAACCGAGTGGTGTCGGTTGGGTCAAGAATTTGCCAGTGCTCAGTGATACGCTGATTGAGTATCATGACGAATTTTACAGAGCGAGGTTGCGGGCTCTTCAATCTGTTGATGAGATTGTCGAGGAGGTCGTGAAGAGGCTGGAATCGAACGGCTTGCTTCATAACACGTACATTATCTACACTAGCGATAATGGTAAGTTCAACGTTGTGCTTCACATTGAATTTGAGACCGACACTTTTCCACAGGCTACCATATCAGCCAACATCGGCTGCCACCAGGCAAGGAGTGCCCCTTCGAGGAAGACATCCATATCCCACTCATCGTCCGCGGTCCAGGCGTACCGGCTGGCCACACCGCACACGTAGTCAGCTCGCACACTGATCTCACCCCTACCATCTTGAATCTTGCCGGCAAAGCTCGTCCAGATCTTGATGGATCAGCAATCCCTCTAACAGAGAAGGCGCTTGCAAAGCCCGATTCTGGCGAGCACGTCAATGTCGAGTTTTGGGGGCGAGCCATTCCCGAAGGCAAATATGGCTGGATCGGGGATGACTTTCTCCCTGGATTTGGACGGGTAGGCGCACGCAACAACACCTACAAGGCGCTGCGGTTGTCTGCTGCCGATTACAGCTTTCTGTACACCGTATGGTGTACTGGTGACAAGGAGTTCTACGACATGAAGGTAAGCTTTAGCGAGAAGTGATGAATGGCCTGGAGTTGCTTACGAAGATGCAGAGAGATCCTGATCAACTGCACAACTTGTTTGACGACCAGAGCATCCACCTAGCAGAGGATTTCACCATCGCCGGCCGCTCGTTCAGCCAAGTCCACGACCGGATCGATTCTCTACTGCTGGTCCTAAAATTGTGCAAGGGCAAGACGTGCCATTCTCCTTGGAGCGTGCTTCACCCAGATGATGCAGTGCGATCGTTGAAGGATGCCTTGAGACCAAAGTTCGATGAATTTTACAAGGAGCAGCCAAAAGTCAGCTTTTCGTCGTGCCAGCTTGGCTATCTCAAGGATGAGGAAGGTCCTCAGCACGCAAAAGTTTGGGAGACTGTCCAACATCCACGGCCGGGCGGGAAGCAGGTGCCTTTCCAATATGAGGGTCACTGGAGCTGGTGGACCTAATCGAGCAGCCGTGTGTAGACGCCATATCACTGTAATACCTCACACAAGACCATCTCTCTGCTGTATCTCCTTCCGGTCTTCGATCGCATGCCGAGGCTTCGTAAGCTCTTTCAAACCGAACCATGGCGCGTTGATCGGACTGGGTCCGGTGAATATGGCTAGATCGTATAGGACGCCACCGAACAAGCATCCACAGAAAGGCGCCACCATAGGTATCCAGAAGTAGTAGCCGCCAGCACTCCAGACACCTCGGTATCCAACAGCATAGGACATGAGCCGTGGGCCGAGATCTCGAGCGAGGTTGATCGCTGACGCCCCGTAAGTACTGTCTCAAGCATCTCTCGAAAGAAGTGATTTCGAGACTCACCATACCCCGTATTCCACCCAAAACACGCCCCGAGTCCAAAAATCAAAAAGAACAACGCCAGCGGAAACCAACTCCCACTGGCCGAAAACTGCCCCTTGTTCCCAATATCCTTCAACGCAAAGATCACAAACATCAGGATCGCACTCGCGATGAACTCGCTGAAGAACTGGCTCGCTTTCGTCAGGTCGTCTTGCGGGTATGTGCAGAAGATGGCGCCAGTGGCTTTGGGCGCTGGGGGCACGGTGCGCAGGTTTGGACCTCCTTCGAAAGCGTTGATGCCGTTTATGTAGTTGGCGTAGACGATGCCGCTGCCGATGAAGCCGCCAAGGAATTGCGCGAGCAAGTAGATTGGGAAGCGCCGCCAGGGGAGTTTGCGCAGGAGGCAGTTTGTTAGGGTTATTGCTGGGCTGGTGAGAGTGTTGTTAGTTGGGAGTGGATAGAGGATGGGCAAGAGCGTACTTGAGGTAGGCTCCGCTGTCGCCGGCGATGTACATACCCAGCATGACTCCGAAACCCCAACCCCAGTTGATGCTTTGATAATCGCCATAGCCGTTGCCTACGACAGAGCATGATCAGGCACCAATGCCACGGGCAACGAAGTTATGCTGGAAAGCTTACCACCAGGCGCCGTCATCTGCCCCTGACTCAACAATACTTGAGCAACACTCCCATCGCCAAAGCAAACCATTATGAGTACACCAAAGAACTCAGCCAGCGGTTCCTTCAGCACAGCTCGAAACTTCACCCACACATTTCCTGCATGCTCTGCAGTATCGTGTTCCTCGATAATGGGAGCAGTTGGGTGAAGACCTAAGTGAGCTCGAGCGGAGTGGACGTGAGACGTTGTTCGGTCCGCGTCGCTAGAAGGACGGATCTCATGGTGAGAAGCCGAACCACCGGTAGGGATGTTGTGCAGCGCGAGAGGGTGGTCATTGTCGTCTTTGTCGTAGGCTGACTTGAAGTTACTGCTAGACCAATCTGCTGAGGTCGTGCGACCTGATGGATGAGCCATGCTGTTTCCTGGCTCTTCAACAGGAAAGATGAGAAAACAAAAGCCAAAGCATCAAACGAAAAGTCTCAAAAGCCGCCCGTTTTGTAAGCTCTCTCAGCTCTCTTCCCATCCTCCCAGCCCTTCGGGTAGGACAGAGAAAATAGAGACAGACATCGTCGATTAGCACCTCGCTTCCACACCCGACCTACGCCTCTTGCTCAAATCTGACGCAATGAGGCGGGAATCCTAACCAAAGTATAAGACAGCCGCATAGATTCTATTTGATGAAAATGATGGCATGTGATCGATCATGGAAGGGTGGAGCCTCGTTCCCCACTTCCCCATGGGCAGACGGGTTGGTGTTTGTGGGGGTGGGTTTGTGATCCACCTCGGCTCTGGGAGCTGCATACAGGTGCTCGGGTTTCACGATGGGCAAGAGAGATCCGTAACTCACCAGAATCCCATTGAGTGGTGCGTGATTGTGCTAGCAGAGACTACTGGGATCAGGGTTGTGTCGTTTCAACGGGCGTAACAAGTTGCGGTGGAAGACCACATCTTCGAAGCAGAAATTCGCACGCGGATGTTAACTTCGAGTCCGACAAGATATGGCTATCTAACAGGAAAGTATCGACCAAGACGCATTGAGGAGAAGATCAGAGGCAGCCAACGATGGTATGAATTCGAGGAAGACCGTCCGGAAAATGCATCTGTGCAAGAAGAGCAGCACTCACCCGAATAGAAATTCATCAGACTGTTGACCACTGGAAAGGATTTCTCTATCAAGTTCAGAGTTTCCCGAGAAACGTTAGTCGACCATGCTCCTGTGGAATGTTGCAAAAGTGCCGTGTCGTCGACAACTAGGGATATATCTCTGCGTTGACGGTGTGAAAGGTATTATCTCTCAAGCCCGGCTTTCTCGAGGTGACGTTGATGAATAGAAAGGTGAAAAGTATGCTTTTGCAACTTTGAGGAAAGCGCGACATGGTATGAATTCTGTATTTGCCAGCTTCTCCTCCGTGCTGACGTCTGACAGACACGCCTCTACGCCAAGACCCATCGGAACGAGCGCCAAAGTAAGAGCGGCGTCGGGCTTATGAGAACGCTGATGTGCTACGTCGAGGAACTCGAGACAGAGCAGTTCACTCGTGGCAGACCCTCCGTGGATTATCCTCCATGCTCGCAGCTGTTTGGACGATCTACCGATTCGCCTTCTTGCTACAGAGCATACGATGGCCACCGTCGCTCACCGCCTCCGCGCAGGCGCACGCTATGGAGACAGATTAGACGGAAGCGAAATAGAGAGCCTCTATGGAAGTTTGAGACTGAGGTTCGAGAGTAAGGATGGAAGTAAGGATGAAAGTAAAGATTCAAATAATACAAAGTAAAGTCAAAGTGAAGCGAAAGTGAAACGAAAGTGAAGCGAAAGTAAAACCAAAGTGAGGCCAAAGTGAGGCCAAAGTGAGGCCAAAGTAAGGCTCAAAGTGACAACGAGATCGATCACATGCCCATCGCTATCGGAGAGCGTGCACGCAGGTAAAGTTAGAGGTACACCAAGGAGGCTGGCTGCTTCGAGGAGGGCAGCAAACTCCTTGCACGGAGGAAGTCGACGCAGTTTCTATCTCTTGCATGCAGAGTGTCTAGCAACCTCCGCGAAACTCTGTCAAGTCTTGCAGTCCGTGTTGTTGGTGTGGTACTCTAGGTTCAAGGGCAACGGTGCGATGCAGCGTTCGTGTGGATGAAGGTGACCAACCTCGACCTCGTCGAGGGTAAGCCCAACTCACTGGTCGAGGTTCATCTAGTAAAACGCAGGAGTAACTCACGAGCTGTGAGATTTGTACCGCGCTTAGAAAAGGAATGTGAATCCTCATCACCTCTTAATAATCTGCCACGCGCGCTCTGCGGTCGACAGCCTAGCCATTTAGAGGCTTCAGGAGATGATGTGCGCAGGAAGTCCACCTTAGGCGTAAACATTGGCATAACGCCATCTTTCGCGCTACGCGTAAGGCCACACCACAGGTGTATGCGTTATTGCCTTTTGAAGTTTGCTTTACACGAAGTGAAGAGAGCTTACTCGCCCAGCAAATTGGCCTTACCTTAGCGCTCCACGGTAAGTTCATGGACGAGATGAAGCGGCTGCCGGCGAAGCCTTCTTTTAACAAAGCTCTCGAGCGAGAGGTCTTTTATCCCACATCTGTATCCCCATTGCTAGCTAACGATCCAAGCGATAAGCGCTACAATCGAAGCTGTGGTCGCGACTAGAATTGCGGAGATGAGATCATCATCTTGGCTTCAACATTGCGCGAGGCGCTCTAGCACAACGGCATGTCGAGGGCATCAAAATCACCTCCCCTGTCTCGCAGCGTGAGCGCGCGCCATTCATCGTGATTTGTTGCATTTGCGCTCGGCCGCAGTAGGATTGTTCTTCGGCTGCGAAATAAGTTGGTCTCGGGTGTTTTCCAGCACCCCATTCAAACCTGTCTCCTTGTAGATCTTGGTCTGTTCGAGAAAGGCCTGTTTTGTCATTGGCCAGCACAATGATATGAACGCGTTCTTATTGCATCCATACAAAAGGTCTAAGATCCTCTTGTCTGTGATCTTATGCACTTCCCTGACGTGCTGGTAAAGTGTGTTCTGTCGCTTGCAAATGTTTCAGGATCAAGTCTGATTTGTATCTGGAGAAGATAAAGATTTGAGTGGTGCGCCAAGACGCGCTAGTGGGGACGACATGTGATAATCAGGCCAGCGAAGTGAAGAAACTTTACGTGCTCTGATTGGCCGGCTAGCGCCGGTAAGTGCACACCACTTGGAAGCTGTCAACACGGCCTGGTTCTGCAGCCGCTTGCCGCGAGGATTGCGGTGAAGTTGTTCACTTGTTAACCTCAACTAAGTGGCGTTTGTAGTTGTCTCGCGTGGAGAGCGTGCCTCTTTCCGCCTTGAGGGGTATAGCGGAACCCTAGTATCTCTCCAATTTCGAAGACGACCAAGGCAGCTGTTGGGGCTCGGAATGCCTACTCCGTATCACATTTGTGGGGATTGGTGTTTCAGTCTGCATAAGTCCAAATCGCACAGTCGGGTTCCCCGTGATCTCGAAGTTGCGCAATCGCTGTATTCGGGTTGACCGCGGGCTCGGTTGATGGGGCGAGTCCTAAGTCTGCATGAGCAACTCTTCTTTTGCGCCGAGTCTCTGACCAAGCGATTTGGATAACGAGGAGTCATTGAGTACCTGATCTCTTCAACTCCAAAGGCGACAAAGCCAAGGATCGCAGTCTGAGTTCAATGGTCTGTTCCCCATTTTCGGGGATGGATGTCTGAAACCCTGATCTGAACATTCAGAGATGAGCTCGAGCTCAGGGCGAAGATGTGAATGATTGAAAATTACCACTGCCTCCCTGCGTTAAATACACTCATCGAAAATTCCCCCTTCTCCATCCTTACCACTGCAACGTCGCGCCCGGCCTCGCGTGCCCACCAATATCCACAATCTCGAGTCCACCCCTTGCTCTCCTTGCTTTCTTCCCCGGCAGCGCACCATTCAGATAATCCGTCGCCGTTGTCCTACAAGTCCTCGAACTGCTCGTGCTACTCGGGTAAACATATGAAATGACCGTGACAGGCGGCGCGGTGACGGTGATGATGTAGTTCGTGTTGATCTGGCGTGATGTGGCGGTAATTGTCGGCCCGCGGACAGTCGTGGGTTGGAGGGATACCGACACTGAGGTCGTGGTGACCGTTTGTGTCGTTGCTGGTAGGTAGCTGACGGAGATGACGGTCGTGACGCCGTAGGTTGAGGTGTAGGTTATTCCGTTCGAGATGGAGATCGAGTAGGCGGTTGAGACGCCGTAGATCGTTGAGGGGACGTAGGAGGTTGGTCCTGGGCCTATCGGACTTTGGTCAATGATTTCTCTCCCGTTGACGGTGACTTCACTCACCCGTGCCTGGCCCTGTACCCGGCCCTGTACCCGGCCCTGTACCCGGCCCTGTACCCGGCCCTGTGCCTGGCCCAGTTCCCGCGCCGGTGCCAGGGCCGGTGCCAGGTCCCGTACCAGGTCCCGTGCCTGCGCCTGTGCCAGGGCCCGTGCCTGCGCCTGTACCCGGACCCGTACCAGCACCGCTTCCTGGCCCCGATCCGCCGCCGCCGCCGCCAGGGCCGTCTCCGCCAGACCCGCCAGGTCCGGAACCCCCACCGTCGGTGATCGTAGCGTAAGCTGTGCTTACACGCGTGACTCCATCGACGACGGTCGTAATAGGCACAGCGGTGATGTAGCCCGTGCCGAGGCCTACAGAGAAAGTCAGCATCCATAAAGTGCGCAAGACCTATGGGAAGACAGCTCACCAGTACCGGGGCCTATTCAAAAAATGTCAGCGATGCCTCAATGTCTGATATGCTCGAATTCGACTTACCAGTACCAATACCCGTTCCAATACCAGTCCCAATGCCTTGATTTCGTTAGTGAAAGAGCATCCCGCGAGGTATCTCTCTGCTCACCTGTTCCAACGCCTACACAGAAGTCAGCATCGATCAGTTAGATCCTGGGAGGTTTCAAGCAAACTCACCTGTACCCACAGTCGTAATCCCCGGCCCACTCCCATTCCCCCCACCACCAGGAATCTGTCCCTCACCACCGCCCGGTACCGTCGGCCTCCTCACCAACCTCGCCGAATGCGTCCCAGGCTGCTTCACCACCATCGTAGACCCAGCCTTCAGTAAGCAGTTATTCGTCGCTTGGCCTTCAATCCAAGAGATTGCCAGACAGAGCTTGTCCGACGCCATGTTGATGACGTTGAACATGTCACAGGAGGCCATGCAGTCGACGAGGCGCGGCGAGGTTCGTTCGGCGACGGTTTCGTCGGTGTAGAGCGTGCCGCATTGGATTACGTATTGCACGCCCATGCTGTCGATGTAGGTCGAGCCGTCGGCTACGGGGCAGGTTGGGAGGGTGGCGTTTTCTGAGCCTCCATTGCCCCCATTTCCAGATCCTCCATTGCCGCCTGAACCATTCCCGCCTGAGCCATTACCGCCTGAGCCATTACCTCCCGAACCACTGCCTCCCGAACCATCGCCGCCTCCGCCTTGGCCGCCAGTTGGGATAGCAGTGTAGGTGATAGAGTTGCCATTGCTGTTCGTAGTAGTCACGATCGTGGCACCCGGATAGCTTGTGCTCCCACCAATGACTCCATATCCAGGATTTGGGCAGATGGGCTGTGGGCCACACGATGTAATCGTGTGCGTAGAGTAGATAGTTGTCGTGCCAGTTCCAGGGATGATACTCGGACGACAGGTAGGTGGAGCAGAGCTCGGCGTGATCATCCCACCACTTCGACTCACAAAGCCTGAGATATAGCCGGATCCTCCTGGAAGACCAGAAGATGCTGGTGGTCCGCCGCAGCCGTTCACCATTGTGGGAATGATGCCACACTCAAAGCAGAGCGATGCGGAGCAGCCTCCTCCGCCGACGATGTCGCTGCCTGAGGGGAAGATGGATGAAGTCGTGGTTGTGTAGACATAGTACGAGCCTGTCAGGGTGCCATTCGAGACCGTCGTGATCGATCCACCTGATGGTAGCGTGCTGAAAGAGATCGTGGTTGGTGTAAACGTGAGAGTGCTGTCGGATCCTGGCGGACCGCTGTATGATGCTGGCGGAATGGAAGAACCTGGTGGCAGAGTGCTGGTCGAAGTAACCGTGTTTGGTACCGTGACGGTCGCCCCGTCTTGCAGCGATTCTGTTGTCGTTTCAGTCGGTACAAGTGTCACTGTTGGAGTGATGGTGACTACACCGCCGCCTCCATACACCGGCGGAGGAGCGACATACTTCTGGGCAACAATGATATTGAAGTCGGTCTGCTGGGTACCCGAGATGGCCCGCTTCAAGTAGCACAGGTTGGCTTCGATGTCGTAGAGAACGGCATTACACCCGCTCAACATGTCACAATACGGTAAGCAGTCGACAAACTCGTCCTCGTAAACTGGTGCGCGGATGTCGTTACCGGCGAAGAAATTAGAGCAGGTGATGAGGTATGACTGGCCAGCAGCGTCAATGTAGACCTGATTGTCGAAAGTTGGACAAGTTGGCGAGTAGCTTGCAGGCTGACCGGCGATGATACCGCCCGCCTGTGCCTGCACACCCGTGACTGAGCTGAACAGGGTGCATTCTCCCTCAGTGTTATAGTTGACTGCAACACAGCCAGTGGTGGAGTCGCAGAATTTCTGGCAGTCTCCCAGCGTGGCTGCAGCAATACGCCTGACAAGAGTTGAGTTGGACGTCGAGCCGCTGTTATTTCTCAGACGGCCAATAAGGCTGTCATCAATGACGGTTCCGAGCCAGGCATATCCGCATGCGAGAGAGTATGTGCCACCGCCACCTGAGGAGCAGACTAACTGATTGGTTGAGCCGCAGACATCTGAGCTGGCAGTCGGGCAGGCGGGAGCGGTGGGCGATACTGTGCTTGAAGGAGACGTCAATGTTGCTGCAGCGGAGGTGTAATCAACCGACAGAGTAGTGTAGGTTATGCCGTCGCTGACGATGAGAGACGTAGACGTCACTGCTTCGCTGGCTGGCTCGGACGTAGACCACTGTTCGACAGACGAGACAACGAGGCTGCTCTCGCTGATAGGAATGACGATGCTTGAAGTAACGCCACCACTGATGGAGAGAGAAGTCGAGGTAACTCCATTGCTCGACCAAAGAGAGGTAGATGTGACGCCGCCACTCACTAAAAGAGAGGTAGAGCTTGACACACGCGTGGTGTAGTAAGACGTCATGTAAGGCGAGGCGCTGCTACGAAGAGTCGATGTACCGGCCGCAGGGCTACTGCTAGGCCTCACCGAGCTACTGCCTCCGAATGGCGTTGATGTGCGAGAGCTGCTTGCACGGGTCGAACTGCTGCTGGACAGTGTACTGGTCAGGACAGCGCAGCTTCTAGTTGTGGTCGGTGGGTCTGGGGTGTTTTGACCCAGATACAAGTACTGCGGCTGGATGGCACTGATCAGACCCGAGGAAGGGTCGCCGCCAGCAGTGAACCGCACACTTCCAGATGACTTGAGATAGCAGTACCTCGTGGCCGTAACGAATGTGAAGCCCGAGCAAGGACCCTCGGAGCCATCCGAGCAGAGCTTGAAGCATTCCTGGAAAGACGCCGTGACTTGGAATGGTCCATTTGCGGGGGCCTGCGTATCGTTGCCACATCCAAGAATGTATTCCACCCCGCAGTCATCGACAACTGTTTGTCCATTCGAAGATGGGCAGCTTGCTGCGGCAAGCGAGATAGCAGAGACCGTCGGCGCAACAGAGCTGGAGTTTGCTGCGGATGATGAAGACGCTATCACGGCAGAAGAACTCGCCCCCACTGTGGTAGACGGCGTGGCAGCGGAAGAGCTCGCTGCAGCGACTGTCGAGGTGGTGCTGATCACTGGCTGAGATGAGGCGAGAGGTGAAGACGAAGGACGAACCACTGAGCTGGACGAAGTAGCTGGCGTAGAGGTTCGTGCTGACGAAATGACTAACCCACTCGGTGCAGGACCAGCAATTCGAATGCCCACGTTAGTGCCGGAGTTGGGTACAAGGCGTCCCGCATCTGGCTTGGGATAACAAGCTCCTCCGCTAAACGCAACCTCACGACAACCTGCAAGGCTGTCGCATTGGTTCAAACAAGCCTGGAAGCTGGGAAGGACGTATACACCCAAATTCGGCCCACCGTCGTAGTCGAAGCCACAAGCAATGCTGTAGTCGTAGCCGTTTGAGTTGATGACGATGCTGTTGTTGTACTCTGGACAGAGAGCACCTGTTGGCATGGGAATGGCAGAAACAGCTGTGGTGGATGAGATAGGTCCAGTATATGGTGGTGGCGTCTCGGTCGATGTCGTGCCACCCATGCCCATTGGGATCGTGTTAGTGCTCGCAAGGCTTGTGACAGAAGAAAGGCTGGTGGAGTAAGTCGAGGTAGTTGCAACTCCGGAAGGCATCTGGTACACTCTCAGAGAGTTGATCTCAAAATAGGCCTGCTTGAGCGAATCGGGATTCGTGCCAACGTAGTCGACACAAGAGTTCAAGGAGTCCACCGATGGATTGGGATTCTGTGGGCAGTTGGTGTATTGACGGTAGACATTTCCAGCCCACGCTCCACAAAAATCGATATTGATGATAACGCTCATATTGCGGAACTTCGTGTCGATGTCGCAAGCGCCTTGCTGGTTGACCGCTGGAATACCGAATTGCGAAATATCAGGTGCGCCATTTGTGATGCTGCTGGGAATGCTGCCTCGAGGAAACCACCAGTGCTTGACGAATTCAGAAGTCCACTCGGTTACATAAACACCACCCTGATTTTGGTTGAAGCCCGCTCCGTAGTTGTTGGGCAGGGCGGCGTTGTTGTCCAGAAGCGAGCCGCATCCAGAATTCCCGTTGACACCAGCGTAGCAGTTGTTTTGCTTCAGAGTACCCGACTGAGTGCTACCTGCGATTGTGCAGTTATCGCTGGTGTGCATTGATATCGTGTTGTACATGTCGGTGTGGACGCCCTCGATGATATCTGACAGTTGTTAGCGAACATACGATACATCTCTCTGCATTCAGACTGACCAATCTCGCCCTTGGAAGGCCATTCAGGCCCCAGAAGCCAATACGCAGGCCAAGTTCCACATCCCGTAGGCATGTGCACCATGTCCATGACGAACAGGCCATGATAATAAGTGTTGTCACTGATGATCCTCACGCTCGGTATTCCCAGGCCCCCATTGGGCCAGGCGTTGGTTGTGTCTGGCTTCAAGACGAATGTTCCTCGACTCGATATGGCGGCATAGCCATTTGCGGTGGCCACGGTCTCGTTGACATACTGGACGTGTCCATAGGTGGGATCGTAGGAGCTGTAAAAGTTGAACTTGTCCAAGAAGTTGCCAGGTTGATAGTCGTCCACCAGCTCGTACGGTGCTGCCCCTGGTGCTCCGCTACCTTGATAATATGTCGCTCCGTGGACACTCTGCGCAGAGACATGGGAAAAGATGGAGAGGAGAGCAACGGCAGTCCTCGAAGCGAGTGGCGAGGACCGCATGGTGGCTAATTCAACGACGCTCTCACCCAACGTGAGAGACACAAGATGTTCCTATCGTCAATGCCTTGGACAGTATGATGTTCGAGATATCGCCGCCAAATGCAAAGAACGCGCTGTTGACGGGGACGACCTACCTGCACATTCCAGAGCCCACCCGCCATTGCGGACGGCATACACATTTGCATTCCCGGGCGGTAAGCAGCAAATTGGAATTGAAAGCAGCCAGACAGGAAGGCTAGCCATGCCTAGATCGATTTGATGGATGTGTGTCAAAGTGTAGATAGTCGATGGGAAGTATATCCTGCGCCGCACCGTGAGAACTGCCGACCCGTGCGGCCTTTGGACAGGCAAGACTGGCCCATGTCTTGGCTACAGTGAGACGGATAGCGCTATCACGCCGCATTGATGGCAACTCTTCTCTGCTTAGGCTCGAGATGGTGCAAGTGGAAGAGGGTGATGCTTTCGATAGCGAGCACGTTCGACGACATCTTCCTCGGCTGGACGTCCCGAGCTTGATTATGCTTTAATCAAATTTTGCTACAGACTAATGCTGCATATTACGCGTGGTGAGTATATATGAGACCAAACTCTCACCGACCGCATCCAGACCTCTGTTCCGTCTTGCAGGTACTCCTCCGCCTCTGGACAACGAGGATACACGAACCACACTCAAGGGGCACAGATTCATTCGCTACCATCAGCACTCCTTACAAAACCCAACAATGTTGTCACGCCCGGCCACCAAGATCTCGCTCACCGCCGACGACATCATCGCGTACGAACAGCGCAAGATAACAAGAGACGCGATGAAAGAGCGCGAAGTTGCAGAATCGAACGATACCAGCAAGGCCAGCTCCCAAAGCGACTCGACAGATGTGACGCCTGCTGCTCCGTCCCGCGTCGCGAGGTCCAAGATGACGAGAGACCAGCGGATCGGCGTTGGCAGCTCAAGAGGTTGAACAGTCCGTGAAGCAAGACTATTTCTTCTTCTGAAAGCAACATATGGATTATCAGGCCTTGGGTTGGACCAAGCATGTGCTGCTATGTTTGTAGACTGAAAGGCAAGATACAGCACCCAAACTCTGGCTACCAAGGCAAGGGGACGAGTCCGAGCGTATGAGGGCGGCAAGTCGGCTCCCAAAAGAAGAGAAGAAACTTGTTACCGTCCACGGGTGGCAAGTGTTCTCCTTGCTGCTAACACGGCCGCACAAGCGAAGGCAGGGCGAGAGTCTTGGCATCCTTCATTCCAGGAGCCATGTCTAATAACACTTGGCCACGGAGGGGGCAAACGCATTTCCTATTGCTCCCACTTTCAACAGGCACAGCCTAAGCCATCTTTTACTCGTTGAATCGTTGCTTCTGGTATTATCTGGTCAATTGAGACTCCCTCCACCTCCTACCGCATGAGGTAGATCGTCTCACAACATTTTTGCGCTGCAGCGCTTGACTGGGACTGGCCGCACCATTCCACCATGACCACTCTTCGCACGTCTTTGACCGTCGCGTCGTTCATCGCAGCCCTCGTCTTCCTCTCGCTCCTTTCCGCCTCCCACGCCGATCCAGGGGTAGCGCACGTCGAAGACTCATTCAACATACCCCTATCGCCACATGAGTTGAAAGTGGATCTTGATGACGCCGGCATCCCTCACGTTGGCCCGAACTTGGAGCGGTTCGAACGGGTCATTTCTGACGAGGCACTCAATGCCCATCAGAACGAGAAGCGCGCCTCGTACGGCTCTGGACAGCCATATTGGGTGGAGCAAATCCCACGAAGAGGCAAACCTGCATACGGCCGCAATGACTCCTATGTCATGTTTCGAAACGTTTTGAAATACGGTGCAGACCCTACTGGAACTGTAGATTCTACAGAAGCCATCCAAAGAGCAATTGCAGAGGGAAATCGATGTGGGTATTACACTGGCGGCTATGAGGGCGGCCAGCAAATGTACGATTATGATCTCGATGATGGAACCTTCTACTACGGATGTGATTCGCAGACGACCACGCCCGCCATTATCTACATTCCGTACGGAGTCTACCTCATATCGAAGCCTGTCATCATGTATTACTATACCGCCGTGGTTGGAGACGCGAACAATCTGCCCGTCTTGAAGGCTACGCCTGACTTTTCGGGTATTGGCATGCTGGACACCAATCCATACGTGATTTACAACAACCAGTGGTATCAAAATCAGAACAACTTTTGGCGACAAGTGCGAAATCTGGTCCTGGACACGACCGATGTACCCAAGTCGGTCGAAATGCATGCTTTGCATTGGCAAATCGCCCAGACCACGCACTTACAAAACATCGTTTTCAACATGCCAATCTACACGGACGAAGACCCCAACGCACACGTCGGCATATTTATGGAGAATGGCTCCGGACTTTGGATTGAAGATCTGATCTTCAACGGCGGGTACCATGCTTTCTTTGCCGGCAACCAACAGATCAATGTCAGAAACCTTACCTTCAACGACTGTCATACAGGAATCTTCCAGAACTGGGGCTGGATATGGAGTTACAAGAGCCTGACCTTCAACAGGTGTGTCGTCGGCTTCAACATGAGCCAGGGAGGCGCTGTGCCCACTGTCGGTCAAATGGCCATCCACGACTCGGACTGGAACGATTGCCAGTACGGAGTCATGACAGGGTTTTCGGGTGTCAGCACTCCGGTCGGTGCTGGCCAGTTGACACTGGGCAACTGCAACTTCGCCAATACCAATCCTGCTGTTGCCGCTCCCAACGGAACGCTCATCATTGAAGGCAATCAAAGAATCGACAATTATGTCCAAGGCACAACGTATGTGATCTCGGATCAGGCCGGTGCGATTGAGGTGAATGGCAGAGAATGCTACGGCCCGCATGCAGAATATGCCCGCGTGCAACAACTCTGGACGGCCCCTCCCATCAGCCGAAGCCTGCTCGACTCGAATGGCAAGTTTGTGGAGAGGAAGAAGCCGCAATACGAGGGTGAGCCATGGGAAAACTTCGTCTCCATCATCGATTATGGATGCCCTGCGGATGGCGTGACAGATGCCACCGAATGTGTCCAATCTTTCCTCGACTCGCTCCAATTCCCCAAGATTGGGTTTGTCGACCACGGTGCATATGTGATTACATCGACCGTGACCATTCCGAACAACATCCGCCTTGTTGGCGAACTTTGGCCTCTCTTTATGGTTTACGGGGACAACTTTCAGAACATGGACGAACCCGTGGTCGCTTTCCGCGTCGGCCAGCCCGGTGACGTGGGCACGACAGAAATCAGCGAAATCCTCTTCCAGACCCGCGGCCCTACTCCTGGAGCCATCATCATGGAATGGAATTTGGCTTGCACGGCCCCTGCCACGTGTGGTGCTTGGGACACACACTTCCGTATTGGCGGAACGAATGGCACATTGCTGCAGAATTACAACTGCAAGAAGAGACCCAATATCGCCCACGGTGCTGACAGACCTGAATGCTTCTGTGCCTTTTTGATCCTTCACGTCACAACTACGGCGAAAAATGTCCTGTTCTCCAACCAATGGCTTTGGGTGTCTGACCACGAGCTAGATCTGGACGGCAAGGATCAGATTGATATCTACAACGCTCGCGGTCTACTAATCGAAACGCACGGCCCGATTTGGTTCTACGGCTCCAGCTCAGAACATTCCATGCTGTACAACTACCAAATCGCCAACGCCAAAGACGTCTACCTCAGCATGATGCAAAGCGAGACAGCGTAAGTCATGAAAACACTCCCTTCCCAAACTCTACTAACGCACCCCAGCTATATGCAAAGCAACCCCAACGCCATCTCCGCCTTCCCACCCAAACCCGGCCCACCCTGGAACGACCCGGACTTCTCTGAATGCTTCAGTCGGGGCTGCTTCAAGACCATCGCTGTCCGCATCTTCAACAGCAGCTACATCTTCTCGTACGGCGCAGGTCTCTACTCGTTCTTCGAGAACTACGACACGGGCTGCATCATGACGAACAACTGCGACGAGCGCCGGATCAAGATCGACCAGAGCCAGGGGATTTACGTCAGGGGGCTGGCGAATATCGCGGCGCAGTATATGGTGCAGGTGGATGATTTGAATCTGGCGCCGTATGTGGAGAATGAGAGTACGGATATTTTTGATAACGTGGCGATTATTGAGTATCCTTGATTTGGGTTGGTGGGACTTGGATGGAGTAAAGGGATGGAATGGATTGATGGTAGGGCGAGTGCTGTGAGGTGGTGAAATGTTCTTGAGGCTTGGACATCGCTTGTGTACCGCTGAGTCGTCGAAATTGCTTTCCTCGTCTTGCTATCCATCCCTAATGTATCTCACTGGCAGAGCTTCTCGTTTCCACGCCTCCTGCACCAATCTCAATCTTGCGCTGAGAGTTTCTTCCTCAGACAAGCCGCGTGATGCCACTCACTCCGCAAGAATCGGACCATCTGATAGATTATCTCGTGATCAGGGCAATCAGGGTCGACAAACACCTTGCTCATCGACTCATGTGAAAGCCGAGCGTGCTCATGTCTCATCGATCTCTCTGTCGCACGAAAGTCGAAGGCTATCTCTTGCTCACCGCCGAGCCAGGCTCCCTCGATGGTAAAGCGCATCTTGAGAAATGCCTTCTCGCATGTAGCCAGCAGGCTTGCAAATCCTAGCATGTCCTCGTGGAAGAGGCTCTTCATGATGGCCTCGAACCTGGACTTGACCATGTTGCCCTCGAACCTCTCACGTCGGTAGTTTTCCATGTCCTTCTCGGTATAAGTCCCCAAATCCACATCCACGACGACGCTCTTAATGATCTTGACATTCTCCCTCCCAAACCCCCTCACCAACGCCGCAATGCTCTCCTCCGCCTGCTCAGGCACAACATGCACAACGAAGCTGTTGCTCGCACAGAACAGCTTCAGATAATCCTGCCGCAACTGCGTGCAAGTCAGGGCGAGGCCTGCCGGGTTGTAGTCGGTCATGCCGTTGGCGGTGATGGTGAGGTCTTCGAAGTGTTTGACGTGGGAGTCTGGGAACTAGACTTCGAGGGTTTTGGTGTGCGAGAGGGCTTCGGCGGCGATGGGGTTGAGGAGCTCGGCGGCGAGGTTTTTAAGGGGGGAGGGGTTCATGATTCTTGGGAGGGTGGGGGCGCGGGATGTTATGAGGTGCTTTAGCTTGCTTGGTCTTCGAGTGTTCGGGTGTTCGAAGTTTGACAGGTCAGTGATGAGAAGTATTCGGGTGGAAGGTGCCAAACTGGGTCGCTAGCGGCAACGAAGCACGGGCCATAGCTGATGGCTGATAGACATGTGAAAGGGGCTGCGAGATTCATATTTGGTAGCTTGACGCTGTTTGATTCATCATTTCCATGTATCTGACTATTCAGTCTCAAAAGCAAAAACAAAATGCTTGTGGGTGCCGTCGCTGCAGCACGCGTGTTGTGCCAATAATATCTTGGAAAAGCCTCAATGCCAAAATCAAGGATTTGTGCCCGCCGCGTGAGAAGTCATGTCATCTTGAACTCAAGTATCCTCCCTTTCCATATCATTTTCGTGTCTTGTTGTTGTTTTGATTGTAGTGTCCTCAAAGTCGTCGTCGGTCGCACGTCAGGGGTGAAGTCGAAAATCCTCGCTCTGAGCCATGCTGATGGCCGTGAATTATGCCGCAAACTCGAATTCGTCGTCGAAAATGCGGATGTAACACAACACCACATGCACCAGCCTCATGTGGAACAGCTGCTCAAGCGGATTGCCATCCTCACCCTGTGATGACTCAAACAACCGTATAGCCTCTTCTTCCATCGACGTGCATAGCGCATGCCAGTCGAACGACATCTCGTTCGTACCCGGTCCTGCACCCGCCACGCTGTAGTGAATCTTGATGCGGACGGTCTTGCATTCGTTCAGCATCGTGCAGAGCTCGTTGTCGCAGAAGTGGAGCAAGGCCGAGGCGAGAGTCGACTCGACATCGACACCGGAGTCGGACAGTAAGGGTGACGTGGGTTGACGCTCGATCCTGGTGACGATGTCGCGGAGCACTGTTGGCAGATGTTTGGTACTGCCGCGAGGGTGGCGACACGCGCCGAGGGGGATGTCGATGTTGAGAGTGCCCATCGTTCGAGCATTCTTCGGGCCGACGACTTTGAGGAAGGCTTTGGTGCTGGTGGCGACGGTGTTGAGGGTGGTCCAGATGGTGAAGGTGTTGATGGAGTAGAAGAGGCTTATGAAGTTCTTGTAGAGCTCTTTGCAGGCCATGGCGAAGCCGGCAGGGTGCTCGATCTGGTTGAGGTCTTTGGTCGGGCATGATCTTGAAGTCGGTGAATTTGGACGCGGAGTCGCGGTAGTGGAGGATCTTGAGGGGTTCATGGTGACCGAGTGCGCGCTCGGCGATGTTGTTGAGAATCTCAGCTGGAAACTTGGTGAGGAGTGAGGCGTCCATTGTTGATCGTGATGGGCTGAGGGTGGACGTGCAAGTGATCAGCGATGTCGAAATCGGCGGTGGAGTTGATGTCTCGAGTGTTTCGTTGCGCGAGGTTGTTAGAGGAAGGAAGAGATCTTCATTTGAAAGAATCTGTAAGTCGTTCTTTGGACAATAGGACTTTGGACAATAGAGCTCCATACAATAGGACTTCGGACAATAGCGCGCACGGGCCATGGGCGTGCCATGTGACGGGCTGACGTCGGCTTTTTATCCTCACTCGATTTGGCTTTTTCGCTATCTGATGGAAGCTCACGTGATTGTTTTCATTTTACTCTCGACTGCTACCTACGCAACTCACGGTACGATGCACGTCATCGCCTTGCTACTCTGAATTCCCGAAGTCATTCTCGCAAGAAAAAACTTATATTGCTTTTTGCAGGGATCAGACTCGCTAAGTGCCTTTCTGCAACCCACAACAGCAAGTATCGTCTCCTGCTGCTGAGTCTTGTCCATAGAGCCTCATTCGTCCCTGATGACGAATTGGACTTCCTCCTTCGAGTAACCACGAACTTTCAGCAGCAGCTTGCCTTGTATTCAATGTTAAACTCGACACCGAGTCCAGCTTTTTCCAGCTTCTACAGTTATCACCGCCGCTTGATACTACTCGAACAGCCATGACGCAGATCGCTCCAACGCGGTTGACAGCTCCCTGCATAGCAAAGTCTCGCCCACGGACGCATGACGAGTGTCGCCCAGCTTCTTGAACCGATCGCTCTCAGTTCTCAGGGAGCTCTTGATATCGAGGCAATCAAAAACAGGCTGCAGAGAGATAACGCCATTTTCGTCCTTGTTGCCGCAGGGGAAGAATTTGTACGAGATCGTGAAGCGCAGTTGTTTGCACTGAGTGAGTTTGGGAGTGCGCTCGATTCGATATCGAAAGCGACCGAGAGTCTTGATGAGCGAGTACATGAAATCATACGGGCCGTCTTTGCGCAAAGGAGCCCACTTCTCGAGCTCGATGACCAGGCCTCGCATCGCAGCGGCACTCTTGGAATCAATGGCTTCGAGGAAACCCGCGGCGGTATCACCCGCTCCGTCGCCCTCGCCAACGGTATGTATGACGAAGATGTTGGAAGCGTAGAAGAGCTGCGTGTAGTCTTTCTTCATCTCCTTGCACGTCTGGAGCAGACCGGCTGGATGCTTGATTCGGCCGTCTTCGAAAGTGAATTCGAAACCGGGAAGGTGTGAAGCAGCCTTTCGCGACGAAGGACGGACATGACAAACGTCGTGGGTGAGGGCGAATTCGGCGATCCGGTTGCGGAGTTCTGCGGACAGCCTGCTGAGTGGCGAGTTGTCCATGGCGATGGTGTTCTCGTTGAATGTTGGGGTCAAGGTTCGGACAGCTTGCCGTGAATGTTGCTCGCTGCACGGGTTTGAGTGTTTTGTTTGGCGAAGTTTGAAATTGCGACATCCAGCTACCATAAGCTTTTAGCGCGGCGGCAAACGCACGGGCCGCACCCGATTGACATGTGAAAGCGAGTGGCTTCTGTGAAGACACGACTTTCCAAGTCACATCACTTTCTGCGACAAATTCCAGTTGAGCACTGTTTGCTCCAAACTCTGCTCCTTCCCCCTTCATCCTGCAACTGTTCTCCGGGTTTCGGCACATTTCCGCTGTCGCCCCAGCGACAGCCCACACACAAACTCCCTTTCTCCAACACCAAATCACGAACATCACAACACCCACCCATCATGGAGGCGTCCCCTCTGATGAGGCTTCCGCCTGAGATCCGCAACAACATATACGAGCTCGCCCTCTACGAGCCAGCCGGCATGAGACCTGTTCTATCGCATCCGCGCGCGCCGTCGCAGGTAGAATCGAACCCACTTGCCCTCGCGCTCTGCTGTCGCCAGCTATACCAAGAATGCATACGTCTCTTGTAAGTTACAAAGCCACGACGCCTTGGACGAGTCGTTTACTAATGCCGCCTTATAGCTACAACATCAATCACTTCTGGATCCAGTCGATGACTGCTGATTTCGTCACTCGCCTCGAGTCTTTCTCGGAAGCAATCGGCGAGCAAAACACAGCAGCACTTCGCGAAGTTCGATTCATCCAGGGCTTGGCGGTCGCTTCTGTCATGTCGGCTTCCCGCGCTGAAACCACCACCGCTGCACCGCCTATGGGATTTCCCAGCTCCTCGACTACGCAAGTACCGAGCCCTGCACCTCCCGCGGCGGCCTCTCCTCAAGTCCCCCGGTCTCCCCGCTTCCTGAAAGAGCACCTCATGACGATGTACCTCAACATCCGCAACAACACCACAATCCACAAGCTCTGCGAGCGCGGCACCAAAGCCTACATCACCATACTCTTCTGGATCGACAGCAAAATCTTCACGGAAGAGGCGCCCTACGTCATCTATCTCAACTGTGCCGATCTCAAGACGTCGCTACGGGTTCAGATGACACAGACTCGTCTTGAGTGCCGAGAGGTGAGGACTCGCAAGGTGGATCCGGCGGAGATCGCCAGGGTCATTGCGTTTCTTGAGAACTTGCTGCTCTGTTTGGCCCATTTGGAGAAGCTGGCTTGAGGCTGGGATATAGACTCTCTTCGACTCGTGTCAATGCTACTCACATGGTGAGTGTCGGGCGCAGAAACGAGGTTGTCGTGTTGCCCAGAGGCCACATTGAGGGAAGAAGACGGCGAGTTGGGCTAGACAGAGGGACGATGACAGCGGACAACTTGGGAGGGCCTGGCCTTTGTGCGGGTGGCTTCTCTGCAGTTACTGCGTCAACGTCGTTTGAATGAAATGCGTTTGCCTAGTCCTTGCCATGTCAAAGTGAGGTGCAGCACGCCGCAGCAACTCGACTGCATCGAATCAACGCCCTTCTAGTCGGGAGTTACTTAAAATTCCCGGCATCCTCTTTCATCCCCTTCAGAATCCAAGCCCTCGCCTCAGCCGCAATACTTTCCTCCACCTCTCCCTTCAAAATCCCTCGTCTTGGAGCATCTCGCTCAGGGACATTCATACCCTTAACCAACGAGTCAGTGCCATCATTCACCTCCGTACATCTCATTGAGCGAAACTCACCTTCTGGACTACCGGTCGTGCCCACATACGATCCTTCCACGCTTTCAGATCAGGGAACTGATCGATGTCGATCCCTGCCCAACCTGAAGAAGCGATCCACCCGATGTGAGCAATGTCTGCAATGGTGCATTTGTTGCCGATGAGGTATTCGCGGTTGTTCTCGCCTAGGTGCTTGTCCAGGACTCCGTAGAGGCGTTTTGTCTCGATTTGACTATAAGTATGGTCAGAGCAAGTGCAAGAGAAGCGTGATGAAGAGAGATGTACTATCTGTTGATACCGTAGGGTATATTCTCCGGTGCATACTGAGATTCATCAGCGTGGGAATGTTGGTGCTGAGATTAGCAACCCACTCACTCGGAAGAAATGGTTGGCTTGTCCTTACATCGGCCCCACGCCAGCGTTGAGGAAGAAAAGCCAGGAAGTCATCTGGCGAATACTTAATCAGTAGATTCCTGAAGTATACTCACTCCACCTCACCTCAATGTGTTCCCTCGTCCCCGGAGCAAAACTAATCTTGTCTACGCTGATCAGTACTTGATTAGCACGCAGCAGCAATCTCGACCTCTCTCACAATCTTTGTCATATCTCGACACCAAATACTCCATGATACTGCCGCTCTCAAACACCCTGATTTGTTCCCCGTCTGCAAAGGTATCCGTCAAAGCAGGGATCCGTCCATTTGGGTTGATCTCCAGGAACCACGGCTCCTTTTGCGTGTTTTTGGCGAAGTCGATTCTACATAGCTTCATTCAGTCCAATCGCTTCGATGTATTGCTTCTGTGCAGTGTACGACTGACTTAGTAACCTCATACGGAAGACTGTAAGATGTCAGTGCCGACAGCGACATCGTTCAATCGTGCGACTGACCCCAATTCCTCAAGTGTAACGCTGATCTTGACACCGTTCGGTGTATTTGTCGTGTAGAGGTGGATATTGGAAGACATCGTAGCGGTGGTTTGAGAAGTGCCCAGAGAGTATAGATGGACATCAAGCTTGGGTCCATCAAGAAGAGTATGAAGCTAATGCAATGACGAGATCGAAGGATTCTCAAGCTATGAGAGTGCAGATGGTGGAGCACGCCCTAGCAATGCTGCGGAGCGAGAGTATGAGTAAGTGAGAATCGAGGTTAGAAAGCAAGAATAATAATCATAACAAAGTGGTGGACGAACCTCTACCAATGTGGGCAGACAGCCTTGCACAGCACCTTTAGGGAAAGGAGCACATTTGCCCTACGACTCATTTCTAAGCTAGATCCTTGGCTTGGAACTTCTAGACTTTAAACAGTTACGCTGTCTGCATTTAGGCGAAAGAAGGATGGTCACTTATCCAGACCGATAATATATCAGCTCTTGACAAGCTCGACCAGCCACACACAACATATCTTGCCCACTGTCTCCAGCCATGCCGGAAGTCGAAGAACATGAAGTCGTTTTCACCGCCGACGGCGTGGAGCGGAGGACGTTCTACTACGCCAGAGGGCCTACCGAAGGGCCTCTCCTGGTCTTTCTCCATGGGTTCCCAGCGATAGCGGCATCGTGGAAATCTCAATTGGCGACGTTCGCTTCGCTGGGGTTTCGTGTGGTGGCGCCCGACCTACCAGGTGAGCTTTCCGTCTCTGATTTTGCTGTAGGATCCAAGGCCGTGGCAAGTGCTGATATAGTATTCTATCCGCATAGGTTATGGCAGATCTACTGCTCGGAAGGTAGCTGAAGACTACAGCTTGGAGTCGGTGCATCAAGCTCTGAATGTGGTTTTCGATCATATTGGGGCCGAGAAAGCTGTCTGGATTGGTAAGTGCGCAGAGTAGATCGAATCATTGTTGATGCTGACGTCCCATGAAAGGTCATGATTGGGGAGCAGTGGTGGCTTGGGTGCGTTGATCAGCAAAGCAGGTGCTTCTTGATGCCGCATGAGACTGACTCCCTAAACAGTCGTATGCACAGCATTTCCCCGAGCGCTGCGTCGGCGTAGCAGGCCTCGCCATCCCTTCGCACGTCATGGAACGCGGCTTCGATGCAGCCCTTGAGACGGTGAATCGAGACATTTATCCAGAAGACAAGTATCCGTTCGGTCAATGGGCGTACCAGCACTACTTCAAGACCCATTTCGAGAAGGTGGTGAAGTGGTTCGAGTCTGATGTGGAGACATGTCTACCAGTGATGTATATGAAAGGCAGCCCCGAAGGTCTCGGCAAAGTCTCTCCGGCGGCCAGTGTGGGAGGCGAGGGAGAACTGTTCGGGGGTGAGAAACCGGATCCAGCCTGGCGACAAGTTCCAAAGTCGATGCTCTGCGCTGATGAGGAATATTTGCGCGAGGCCATAGCCGCATCCAAGAAAAGCTCGTTTTGGGGACCCGTCGCCCGATACTTGAACCACGAGAGGAATGAGAAGTACTTCGAAAGTGCTAAGAATGGTGGTAAGCTGCATATGCCAGCGCTGTTCATCGCGGGAAGTTGGGATTCGGGCTGCGATGTTGTGCATTCCAGTGTGGCCGAGCCAGGACGAAGGAATTGCACCAACTTGACGGAGACATCTGTGAAGGCTGGGCACTGGGTTGTGCAGGAGAGACCTGAGGAGGTAAATGCTGCTATCATTCATTGGTTGGTCAAATCTTGTGAGCAGCATTGGCCGAGTCGTTGAGGCTATGTGTTGCTCGAGCAAGTACCATATACATAGAGGAGTTATTGACCGCCAGATCCAGCATCAATGAGCTGGCAATCCAGCCATTGCTACCTCTGCCACAACAGACAGAGACGGATCTAGGGGCTCCCAAAGCGATTTGAATTCCTCCGGTTTCGATGATTCTGTGCCAGTGATACGCTTCATGATTTGCTAAACATCCTCGTTCTGCATAAAGTGCACCTCACGGCATCGTTGTTTGTTCCGTCATTGAAGCCGCCAAGCCCTTGGTCGTGCTCAAGACTACGTGAGCAGTTGGCGAGTGATCGGGATGAATGTTCCACTTGGTGCGGATTGGGTAAAGAGCCTTAGGACGTGAGGACGTGAAGTCGCGAAGGCGTGGTCCGTTTCAAAATAGAGTTCCCGTCCGCCAGTCCTCCTCCCGAATGTACGATAGTTGCTAGTGTTTGCAACGCGTTAGCGAAATAGCACATAAAGGGTGTTTTCAACGACACATGACAAACATGCACCATGTGAGACCCCACGTCAGAGACCTATTTCGTAGCCGGCCTCGTAGTATTACACTCGTATAGACAGATTGTAGCCTGCATAACTCCAAGCCAAGCGATACAACTGTCATCCTCTACAAATAGGTATAAAACCTACCATCACTAGGTACGTATGCCGGCCTTATGCTATGCATTACTATCTCTAGTTAGTACATGACGTGCAGTGTGGCAACAAATGACATGCGGCAAAACCGTCATCACCATAACCCTAACAAGCCTCGACTGTGGGTACTGCCTCACGAGACTCTCGAGACCCTCCCGATGAAACCCCACGTGCTCAAAATGACACGCAGAAGAAAATCGCACAACCGCCAGGCCCGATCCCATCGAAGTCAAAAATCGCATTTACCATTTCCATTTCATTCCCCACCGCTCTATCCGATCCGATCGTGCAACGTATCTGTGATTGGGCGTGTAAATGCATGAATCGCCGCGCATCTCGATGTCTTCCCAATTAGGAAGGACCCTTGCGGATGCGGAGGGCGCGCCGGAAAGCTCGTCGGGGAATTTGTCCGGCTCCGCGGAGTTTTGGTTCTTATCCAAAACTGGGGTGGGTATTTTGGCGATGCCACTCTGGTCGATGTCTTTGAGTGACGCGTTTGTGAAGAGACGGGGTTCTGGCTTGCGGCGGCATGGGATGGGGTTCTTGGGTGGGCCGGGTTGGGCGTGGTGGTGGGTTGATAAGGAGGAGACGCGTTGGGGAACGGTGTGAAGAGTTGGGGGTTGTTTTGGAGAATTTTGAGGCACCGCGGTCAAGAGCAAGCAATAGCGCTTTGGATGTGTTGTCCGGTTGGGTGGGAGCCTGGCATGCGGCACGCGTGATATTGCAGGAGTGGACTTGGACACACTGGTACAGCCAGCTCTTCGCAGCCTGCGCGCTATGGGGTCTAGAGGCAGGTTGTTTGATTCTTGTCATGGCTGTTCTCTCTCATGGCCAGAAGGCCTGCAGCCAGAGCACTCCACAGTCCGTCGAGGAGGTAAAGGTCTTAAGCCTGCCGCTCGCTCGTACTCTTGAGACGTGGGATGACGGGCAGGTAAGAGTTGGCAGGAAGCCCTCCATTCTCGTTACGAGTTTATTGTCCTACTTTTACAGACTATATGTGCTCGCGTAACAGTGCTGTAACGCTAGAACACGTGAGGCTTTCTTCTTGACTGTCCAGAGGCAATTTTCTCTTACAAGTAGCCTCGCGTTCTGGAATTTGTCTGGATGTGTACAAAAACGCAACATGGAAAAGGCTGACTGCTACACAGTATAATAATTCGTATTTACGTGGATTTCCATTCTGAAATCTTCAGACGCCGCAAACATTCCTCCGCTGTGACTTCCAAGTTCTTCTCCATCTCACTAGGCATCTTTAGCGACTGGGTGGTAGAATCGCTTCCAGAGTAGCCCATTGCCTGAGATGCTCTGTCACCACCAATTCGTCACCTCGTCATCGTCTACATTGTCATCGGCCGTCGAGCTCATTGGGAAATTATTCCTCCTCGCTTGTTCCTGCCTGCGTTCTGCAAGTTCCCTCATAGGATACACGCCTCTTGACCAGCTTGCTTCATGGGCCAATCCGTGACCGGTTTCGTCACCTTCGAAGCAGCTTGCAGTCTTCACCGGTTGTGTGGGCCTTGAGTAGTCACTGTCGCCTCTAGTCGATGCTCGTTCTGATAGCAAAGGGTCGCGTAACTTCAATTCATCCCTTGGTCGTGCCCGAAGCTGCCATTTGAACCAGGATCATTCCCACCGCTGCCGTCAGGTTGTTGCATGTCGCTGTCCATCTCGAAATCGAACTGCTCTAACTGCTCGAACTGCTGGATACCTATGCCACTCCATTCCGAAACTGCAGATTGAGGATCTGAAGAAAGCGGTGATGGCCACGTGAAGTTCTGTGTCTCCAGGGTGCCCAGATTTTGCTGCTGCTGCTGTTGTTGCCGCTGGCTCGATCTTCTCGACGAGGAAGGAGCAAAAGCTTGCACTTGCGGTTGGGGCGGTCCTTGGCTCCAGTAGTTACTAGAAGGGATGGCGGAAGCTGTCGAGAAAGAAGCGCGAGCACGAGCATGGTCGAGGTGTCCCTGGTGGTCAAAAGCATGCGTCGACGGCGTGTCTGGTGCCGATTGCACATCTCCCGCGGACGAGGCGGTTTCTTCATTCTTCAAAGACCTTGCATTCTCAATCCCATCATTGGCTTCTCGCAGTGTCTCTCCAAGACGGATTCGCGCCAGCGTCTCTGTGGCTTCTTGATCGCTGCCGTGTCGTAGAACGTCGAGGATGTTCATGGCGCTGTCAAGCTCCCGTCTCTGTTCGTCGAATTCTTGCCGTAGATGCTGTCTCCTCGTCATGCCCTCTTCGGACACATCGTACGAGCACTCGATGCCACGCGCCGTGCATCGAGAGCATGTCGGATGTTTGCCGGAGCACTGGGGAAAGAGAGAGTGGTGAGTCAGGACGAAAGCAATAGCCAGGGCGCAATCGGGGAGGATAAGGGCTCACCTTGACTTTGGACGCACGACATGCCTGACAGGCATTTGCAACCTGCGACCGCCTCGAGCCTGATGCGCTTGCTTTCGCCTTGGTCATGTTTTTCCAACGGGCTGAGTAGTAGAGTGGTGGAGGTAGCCCCGAAGCGGCTTTTCCACGCTTTGACAGCTGCGGCTCACGTGTTGGTATCCCTTGCTTATAGTACTCGCACTGGCGAGAATGGTGATGAATGATGATCGCAGTGGCAAAGTCATAGGGATGTTGTCATCCAAGTCATTCGATGTAGTAACAGGAATTCTGTGGCTACTTGGTTATGGTGCCGTCTCCGAAGTCACATCGTGCTTGCGAATGCATTGGTCGTAGGTCTCGGTACTGCCTTCAGCTTAGAGAAGGCGACCCACTCGTGGGAGGTGTGTTACTGTCTGTGGGTCTTGCGATGTAAACCCCTGATGTCCGAGTATTGTCGCTAGGTGTATTTCACGGCTATGCCCCTCCCAGAATGAACCGTCAAATGGAAAGCACAGCCACGTTCACGTAAGATACGTGTGCCTCGAGAACTGCGAGTACATAACTGACCGGTGTCCATACGTCACTCACAGATGCCCACGAGAACCTTACCTGCCCGAAGCTAATTTTTCCTCAAGATCTCACGGCGACGGATCCATCTCCGTGGCGTATGCCCACACCCGTCTGCCAGTTTTTCTATATAACCAGGCAGCGCGACACAAAAGTTGCCTGCATCTGCTGCTCCTGACTGTCGCACAACCGTCGCCCGCGAGCTCAGCAAGGTGGGCAGGCCTTCTCGCGGCATCCTGTTCCTTGGCACAGTCGTTAGCGGGGACTCACGTGATGCATCTCGATCGCATCGAGTGTCATCGGGTTGACGTGCGTCCTCAATTTCACTCACTGAAATTTAACAGTCTGCTCACCACCGGGATGTGGCACTGAGGTTGTTGGATGTGTTCCTGGTGATCTTTGACCGCGATGCGCCTGTCATGGGCGACAGCGCATTACCGTCCAAACGTGCCTTACAGATCAAAATGTCAGGCCATTGGTATCACGCCATAGCGAAACGACATCGCTGAGAAAACCACCCCGCGGCCCCCTCATAACGGCGCAGGACAGAGACATCGAGCAAGATGCCTACCGGATTCGCAAGGTCCCTTTGGAGCTGTCAGAGTCCGCATCAACCAAAGTGGCAAAGTGTCTCCTCCACATTGGACCCACACCGGACGTGTCCTACATTCTCACGCGAGATCTGGTTCCTAGCGGTGCATCGGAAAAGTAATCAGGAAGGTCGTCAGCCTGCCAGGATTGCTCGCTTTTAGCCGCACATGGTTTCATGCCCTCGTCGAACCTTCAATGACGACCCTAGTATGGATCGAGAGTTCTTTGGGCTTAATGTTTGCCCAAGTTAAAGGAAAGGTCCCAATCCACGGTGGAGGATTTCCGGCTCGCCACTGCACATATTAGAGAAGCAGCATGTATGGACCGTCAAGTCGATTATTGAAGAATCGCCCTGTCGATGCGGTACTGCTCGACTGCAGTGACAATATCGACTTGCAGCCTCTTGGCCCCTTGTAAGTGAATGCCTGTACCTTCGGGTTGAGGGCTAACGGACGGGAACTCTATCTTGAAATGGACCGTGCCTTCCGACTTTACGTTCTGGAGACAGTACGTCTAGGAAGGGATCCTTCATAGCCTCAATAACACAGTCGCTGCTTCTGCCCACGTAAATGCCCGTAAATCTAGTATATATCTGGTCGTTGGCGAAATTCTCCTCATCATATGTCGTGCATTGCGTCCCTCCAGAGACGTTGAAGGCGGTCGCGAACAACACGGTATTGAGGTCTGGGTCTCAACGTCGCTCCCACAGCGGAGCCCACGTAGAAAACTCCCTTTCCATGTCCGCCTCTGAGCGATGATGAATACAGCTCAGAGCACGTAGCTGATTCGATTCGCGGATGGAGTAGATCGTTTCGTCTCTGAAAACATCAGTGCGCGTCCCTCTCCATCCTCTGGCCAAGGGCTCAAGTCTTGATCCCATAGCGCTGGTGCCTCGTGATGGTCATGAGGCTGCGTTTATGTATGGTGTACGAAGGTGAAGGGAGAGAGTGAAGTGAAGAACGGAGTTGGGACGTTTGAGAGGCAAGTCGTTTCTCCGCGGAATTGATTCCGCCAAGCCAATACACCTCAAGGAGAACTTCACCTCTCCGAAACAGCACCCTCCACAGCATCAATAACATCAACGCCGACCATGCACTGCACCGCCCGAACGCTGCTCAGCGGCGTCCTCACACCCCCACTAACACGCACAACAACCCTCCCACCGTCCTTCCTCCTCCCCGCCCTCCAAACCGCCTCCTTCTCGAGCACACCCTCTGCCATTGCGCGCCAAAAACGTCGCAAAACCCGCAAAGACGGCAACCCCCAACGCGGGCAATCCGCCCTCCACCGCTCCGGCCTTAAAAACGAGAAACTCCCCGTAAAGCTCTCCGCCCTCCCCAAACCCGTCCTCGACCCGCGCGAACGCTCCGAGGTAGAAGTCGACCCGGACCATGGACTCTGGGACTTCTTCCCCTCAGACCGCAGCGCGATGGCGACGCCCGCGGAACTGAACGCGCATGGACGGGCGTGGACGGTGATGGAGTTGCGAGGCAAGGACTGGGATGATCTGCATCGGCTGTGGTGGGTGTGCGTCAAGGAGACGAATCGGATCAAGACGTATGCGGCGGAGAGGGAGCGGATGGGGAATATGTATGGGGCGCATGAGAGTGATAAGAGGATGCTTGAGGTGAGATGAAACAATATTTTGTTTGACTACGTGGCATGTGCTGATGATGGGAATTTTGTGCTTCTAGGTCAGGAAGACGATGAAGGCTATCAAGCATGCCTTGACGGAGAGATGGTATGCGTGGGATAATGCTCGTAATGCGGCGATGGAGGATGAGGAGATTAATATGTATGCGGATTTGGATAATGGCGAGGCGGCATATATTCCGAAGAAGGATGATGGAGAGGTATGGCACTTATTTGCACGCACTGGAGTATCCAGAGACTGACATCGAATAGGCACTCGCAGAGTCGACAGCTGCGGTTGACAGCACTTTGCCTCCTCCGTCGAACCAGCCACCGCAACAAGAGACGCGGGCTTAGATGAAGCACGTCGTGTCCTATGTAAAATACGTGTACAGACTTTCAGCATTCCCGAACTAGCCTGCCTCCATGACAGCGATTATCGTTCCATCATCGAGGCTCAAGGGGATCCTAGTCGCATGATCCAGATAATGTTACACGGACGCAGAGCTGCACAATTCAAGACGCAGGCCACTCAACACACAAGCCATTCCAAGTCTCGCAGCTAACTTAGCTACTGTGTTACGACGGGGATGGATGATTAATCCATGTGAAGCCTTCGTAAACTGTGATTTGAAGCTCGATAAAAGAATCTTTCCGCGGCCGCAGATGCCCAATCACCAACCAATTTCAATGTCATCTCCAATGCATCTCCTCGAATGAACTACATTTTCATCTGCGGTGTTCCAAAAATACGTATTAAGCGGTTCTACACTGTTGTACAGACCAAGACACATAACCTCCCCGCAGCAATGGTATCTCTTCGCTCTCAATCAAATGTCCACATTACACCATCCACCCAAGTCATCCCATTCCACTCACTACATCCTTCTCTTTCAAGTACTCTTCTTCGCATCCTTAGCCTTCAAATGCCACTCCATAACCTTCTCAAAGATCCCCTTCCCCCCACTCTCCACCACATCCCCATGACACGGCACAATCCTCTCGAAATCCCACCCCGCAATCTTCCTCATACTCTCATTGAACCGCGGCCGATCGCTCGAACTCGCGCCATACCACAGAAACCTCTTCTGCCACACCGCACTGCCCCGCGTATTCTGCAGCGCATTGAAGATCCGCGTCAAGATCCCCGTCGTGGGCGACACGTCCGTCTTGCTGAACTGCTCCCTCGCGGGGAGGTTGAAGAGGAGATCCGCTTGGATGAGCGTTTTGGAGGGCCGGTGGTTGACGATCAGTTCTTTGTTTGGGTGCACGGGGACGTATTCGACGTCGAACTCGGCGTCGAATTCGGGGGTTATGGAGGGGGCGGGGCCTTTGTCGGGGAAGAGGATGTAGTTTGCTTGGGGCAGTTTGAAGTAGTTTTGCTTGTCGCGGTAGGAGGGGAGGGTTTCGGGGGCGAGGATTTTGGCGGTTGGGTAGGCCTGGCAGGTGGGTGGTTAGTGGTTGGCACCTTGATGGTGTGGGTGGGTGGGAGGTATAAGAACTTACTTTGTGCCAGCTTTCGAGAAAGATGTGGTGTTCTTGGTCTGAGGCGACGAGGTACTTGACTTCGCCCAGGGCGTCTGTTTCTTTCTTTGCGGTTTCCGTCAAGGCGACTGGGGAGAAGACGGCGACGCTGCCCGTTGCGAGGCGCACGAGGGTGCCTCTGCCGCCGATCTTGATTCTGCCGAAGCGCAGGAAGGGCGTGGACATTGTGACGACTTCCGATGTGACATGGCGGATGACCATTACCTTCTCCGGGTCTGCGGGTATCAACTTGTGTGCGCTGGCGGCCATCTTGCTGAGAGTTGAGGTGTAAGAGCTGAGAAGAGAAAGAGCTGGTATACTTGACCACGTCAAAGGGAAAGAGGAGGTCGCCTGTCCTTATACTCCGTCGACCCCTACGCGAGGCGGCAAGGGTTCATCACGACACTCGACGTCAAGGATCACAATTCGAGCGTCTGGCCCTGGGCTGAGCATATCGCCTCGCCTCGCATTGGACGAGTCTGAGACGACAGAGGTGTTGATGACGTGCCGTCGTCATCTGATGCACAAAAACACAAAGCCCGCCCTGCATCGCACATCGGCAACGTGGTTCGGCCCGGGCTCCGGCGACGCTCACTTCATCTCAACTTTCATAAGCCTCGACAAATCCTCCACCTTACGGCCGAACAGGGGCAATGGCATTCCAAATGGCTATCAGGCCATCGATGGCGAAGCTTCTAGCCTTGCCACCCACCCTGAGAAGGGCCGTCTTCTCAGCGGCAACGTCGTCGGTCACGAACCCCGAGATATACGATCTTGTTTGCGTAGGAGGAGGTCCGGCTGGACTGTCTCTGGTATCAGCCCTGCGATCGAATCCATCGACGAAGAACCTCAAAATTGCCCTGATCGATGGGCAAGATATCACGACTACCCGCGAGCCTAACGATCCGAACGCTTTCTCGAATCGATGTTCCTCCTTGACGCCCTCGTCGGTACGCTTTTTGAAGGAGAATGGAGCGTGGGATCATGTCAATGTCTCGAGAATACAGCCGTATCATGGCATGGATGTGTGGGATGGAGTGAGTGGGAGCAAGATACAGTTTGATCCCGCAGATCGGATTGGTGGGAGCATTCTGGACACCATTGCACAGGCAATACCGGGAAGTCGACTGAGTGAGAGCAGAAAGAAGTATGAGCTAGGGAGGGATACGCATGTGGCGACAATGTGTGAGAATGCGAACTTGACATCCGCTCTCGTGCATCGATTGCGGGAGACGGCACTTGAGTTTGAGATTCTGGATAAGACGCGGGTGGAATCTATCCAGCTGGGGCCTGAACCACAGGATGAGACGTCGCTGGATCTATCGCAATGGCCGATTGTTACTCTGCCGGGAGACAGGAACATTGCAGCACGCCTGCTTGTGGGTGCAGATGGCGCGAATAGCCCCGTACGCCAATTCGCGGGTATCTCTAGCCACGGCTGGGATTATGGCCAACACGGTGTTGTTGCCACCCTGCAGCTCAACCAGACGTTCGGCGAAGACGAGCTGCGTACAGCGTACCAACGCTTCTTGCCGACTGGCCCAATCGCTCTTCTGCCCTTACCTGGAAATAAAGCCAGCCTGGTCTGGTCTACATCAGCAGCACTCGCCTCGAAGCTGAAGCAACTTTCACCTGCAGACCTCGTCACCATGGTCAACGCTGCGTTCCGTCTCATGGCCGTCGATCTCAATTACATGCTTACCGACGCATCTTGCAATGTCGAAGAAGAACTCAAGTGGCGAGAGCCAAACACAAAGGCTACGGAAACTGGTCTGCCATCTTACTTCCCGCGTATCACCGGTGTCCAAGAAGGCACCGTCGCATCATTCCCACTCCGCATGCGCCACGCCTCGACATACACAGGCCACCGCGTCGCCCTAATCGGAGACGCCGCACACACCGTCCACCCACTCGCCGGCCAAGGTCTCAATCTAGGTCTTGCCGACGCCGAGTCTCTCGCCAAGATCATCGGCAGAGGTGTAGAACATGGCATGGACATCGGCAGCTGCTGGTGTCTGGATGACTATAATGCTGAGCGCTGGGCGGCGAATAATGCTATGCTTGGGGTGGTGGACAAGTTGCAGAAGTTGTATTCGGCTAGTTCTGGACCGGTGGTGTGGGGGAGGAGTCTTGGGTTGGATATTGTTAATAGGCTGGGTCCGCTGAAGGGTGCGTTGATGGGTGCTGCTTCTGCGAGCTAATTCAGGCATTACTGTACGCCTCGATCGCCTGGATCTCTACAACATCTTCATCTCCAATGAGCGGTCGGTCCAAGACACAGTTCCTGAACCCGCCTCTCGGTTTCAACTTGGAGCCGTGTCTTTCAAAAATTTGCCCACAAATAACTATTGCCAAAGACAACACAACACTTTGTTGTTGTATCAGAGAGTGCGTGCTGCTCAATGTCCGCTTTGCAAGACATGCCGATGACTCACGATCTTTGACCTCCATCGACGCCTAACAAGACTGGCCTTGTAAGACAGCACAATCTCTGGGAGACAACGCCGTCTGAGACAGGTAGACCAACCATCATATGTGTCTACCAACGAAGGGTATAATAAGAGCAGCCAAATTCGCAGAAGAAGCAAACAACTTCTACACAGCATCCGCAGCAACTTCATTTTCGGTCAATCATACAAGTCCATAAGATCATCTTCTTACCAACACACCAATCTCGCAACTTCGTACGGAGCAGCTCGTGCTAGCAACGTGCGTTTTCCATCAACGCCAGCCACGTCTTCATCAACCTGCCCTTTAGCAACAAACATCACTTCCCAACCAACAAGAATGGCTCAAGCTATCAACATTCCCGCCTTGCAAAGCGAGAACAAGCAAGCCTTTCTCGACCTCGGTTTCAAATACACCAAAGCCCGCGCCAACAACTTCTTCCGGCTCTGCGTTCAATACGCCAAACTCGAAGGCGGACGCGTTGTCAAGCAAAACTCACTCAACGACCTCCGTCTCTCCACCCTCGACGTTCTCGACTACATCGCCGTGACCTTCATCCAGAACCTGGGCGAGTACCTCTGGCCCGCTGACATCAGCCAACGTAGCCATCTTGAGGGCGCGAATGCGCTGCTGGGGAGTTGGTCGGGAGGTCTGATCGCTGACGTCCATCAGAATTGTCAGACGCCTGGTAATCATGACCGCAGCTGGTGGCAGGAGAAGGTCAGGAGCCCGCTGGGGGTCAAGATGAAGCGGTATCTCGAGGTGCTGGAGAGGGTTCCTTCGGTCATGGCGCCGGATTTTGGGGCGCCGACGTATGAGGAGATTGGGCCGTTGGTGGGGATGGTGCTGGATACGTCGGGTTGATTGAGGGGGCGATTGATGGGGTCGGAGGGTTGCCGTCGAATGACCGATCGATAAGGTGTCGTGTTTGAGATGTTGGAGGGGAAGTTCTCGGTTCCGGCGTCAGGGATGGCCAACATGTTGATGGAGTCGGTCTACGCATCCAGCAACAACGAACAATTCCCATCCACTTTCTCAACCCCTACCTCGTCTTCACCTTTCATCTGTTCCCCATCTCCATCTCCTCCCTCCCGCCCATCCCTATCCCCCCTCATCCCCTCCTCCTTTTCCCTCAAAAACTCCCCAAACAACCTCCTCGCCCAAAACAAATCCCTCCACACCCCCCGCCTCTCCTCCCCCCTCATCCGCTCCCCCACCCTCCCAACCGCCCTCCTCAAACTCCCCTCCACATCCCTAACATGCACCTCCAAAACCTCCATCAACCCCTCAAATTCCTCCTTGGAGTACTGTCGTCGATCCACCAACAAAACCGGCCAAACAACCACCCTACACGCCCTCGGAAGTCGACCCCGAATTTCCCGCGCGATGCGCTGCACGACGGAGCGGAAATAGTGGATGTCCTGGCCGAAGTTTCCTGCGGAGCTTGGGATGGAGATGCACAGGCTGCGTAAGTGGGAGGTGTCGCGCGGGCTGATTGTGTCGAGGAAGGATGGGAGGTGCGAGGGGGTTGTGAGATGTATGGTGTTGAGGGTGTAGAGGAGGTGGGAAGTTTCGAGGTGGAGTTGGCGGCTGGTTTGGGGGAGGGCTGTGGGGTGTTTTGGATTGGAGGGAGTGGTGGAGGGGATTTGGAGGGGTTGGGGGAAGGCGAGGGCGTATTCGAAGATGGTGAGGCGGAGTTCGGGGGGGAGTTTGGAGAAGGGGGAGGATTCCATTGCGTTGGTTTGTTGTTAAGGGAGAGGGAAGGCAGGAGCAGAAGAAAAGGGATATTTGAAAGGGTGGTCGATCAAACGAGATCCCAGCCTTGTGGAGCGGCAATTTCAGCTTTGTACTACCTCGACGATGCAAGGGGCACCACTTTATGTAGATGCCGTCAGCCACTTCTACTTGGGCGCAGAATGTCCAAGAGCGTAACCATTTCCGGAGTGTGCATGCAGGATGAATGTAATGAGAGGCCTCGCTTCAGTCGTCAGATTGTTTACCTCATTCGGCTAATTTTGAGCTGAGCTGCATAAGTGCCTGGAGGATGAGGGCTGTTCTGTTCGAGCTGCCATGCCATTGCCGCATCCACTTCTTTCCCCCGGTCCTCTTTCGGCGTTGGCCCAACTTCATCACTTCATCAGTTTCTCCTGTTCTTCGTCTTGTGCTCGGACGACCGTGTACTTGCTGGCCACAGCAGAGCCTCGACAAGCGTAGCCGCTCATCCTCAAACTGCGCGACCCGACGTCTTAATCTCTACCATTGCTTCTTGAAGCGCGGACTGAAGGGGTAAGCATTTGTAGTATTCTATAAGTGCTTCCAAAGTTGGAATCGCAGCGAAGTCATCCGTGTATGCTTTTACTTGCACGATCGCTTTTGAGAGGCCTTCACCGGTAGCGTCGACTCGGAACTCGATCTTCGGAAGAACATTCTGTCGGTAGAACGATGCATCACGGTAGTCGGAGTCTTCCTCAGAGACGCAAGCGAAGAGCTCGCAGGCTGGGTTGCGTGTTGCGAAGGCACGGAGAGCTCTGAGCTGATGTTTGATGTTGCCACATCCGCGCAAGTTCCTGGCATAATATGATCTCTCCAGATCGACGGTGATGCGGCGGAGGGCCGCTGCGTTTGTGTCACCTATGCTGTCACAGAACTTCTTTAATAGGCCGGCCTCGTCTCTCCTGCTCACGGGCTTCTGCTTGCGCAGCTGGAACTGAAAAGTGTTGAGGTGGTAGAACATCTGCTTGGTCTCGCCCCTGATTTGCCGCCAGACGGCAGTGATGGCCAGAGGTCGCTTGTGAGCGCTTCCGTCTGCGATCCGAAGCTTGTGGGAGTCTTGCTCGGCAGTAATCTCGAATGGTTGGTCGAAGGGAAGGACGAGTGAGTAGATGGCATTGCGAAGCTCTGGTGACAGCTTGCCGAACGGTGAGTCGTCCATCTTGATGTTGTTGGTGCTCTATTGGAATGCAAGTTGCAAAGGCGTGTGTTTGTTGAAGAAGAGGGCTTTGCGGGATTTGGGCGGGCGCTAGTCTCGCTAGTGTGTCACATGCTGAAGTTTATGACGCTCATTCACTTGCGTGGCCCGTGCGAATTCAGAGCTCTTCGCGCCTGCGCGTCACGATCAAGTAGCTTGCAATATCGTCGCATGCTTGCTCACTGTCTTGAGAACACGTGCGCTTTCATTGTTTCTGTGACCCGAGAGCTTCTTCGGAAAATCGCTGGCAGTATCGCCAGAAACATGTGTCTTGCATGATCGAGAATAGAGTTTAAGCTTTGGCGACAAGCTCATCAATGTTCCTGGTCTAATCAATGTGGTATACTGCAGGGTTTTTGCTTCGAGCCAGAATGCCCAGACCCTTAGCTGCCGAAGCAGTTTGAAATACGATCCAGAGCTCGTTCTCCCGAACATTCGGAGAGACAACTGTGTCATGTAGCTTGTCCCATGTCGTTCGACTTCGCGAGCTGCGACGAGGGTATACGCGCACAGTGGGTGTGAAGCACGGACTGGCGCCCGTGACCGCAACTTTGGTACGGTACCACGGAATTGCTATTCCAAGAAATGCTTGATTCAACAACATCTGGTAGACAACGGTCACCCCGCATTGAAGATCATTGAAATCCCAACAGAAGGTATGGCGTGGATTTTGATGTTGGTGGTCCAGCGAAAGATGCTCTCATCATCGTCTGTCAAGCAATTGCTCGCTCGGTCTGCCAACCCAAGTCAGTGGGGTGATGCTCAGACTGTAGACGACGAGGCTACTCAATAGTGTGCAGAAGCCTAGCACTCTTTGGATTTCGACTGCCGTTGTAAAGCCCATGGTACGACCACCGGCTTAATTGACTCTTCAAGCGTTGAATGTCCTCAAGCAGTGAAACGAAATTCACTCCACAACAGTCGAAAGCAATCGCAATAGAAACCCATCCCTAAACAACAGTCAATGTCAGTGATTAGCGATGGACAATGGAGTATAAGTAGACGACTCTCTTCCTCCTCAGACTCATCATCAGCACAACAACCATCCAACAAATCCAAACAACCCAAAAACATCCTCTTCACTTCCGACCTCCAAGTCACTCGCATCTCGCCAAAATGCAGTCCATCTTCAACATCATCTTCGCCACGGCCGTCGCCGTCAGCGCCACCGCTCTCCCTGACTCCTCCGGCGGAAGCGGCACCTGCGCGGAGGGCAAGGACATCTCTTGCTGCGTGACGGACAGCAGTGGCAGCGGCACCGCCGGCAACGTCCTCGGTGGAGACTGCCTGCTTTCTCAAGTCAGCTTGCTCTCTCGTGAGTTCTACGCCCTGGTCTCCCAAGTCGCGTGATGGGTGTGGATTGCTAACGTCTTGAGCTAGTCCTCGACAACCAGTGCCCGGCTGGCAACACTTTCTGCTGCCCAACCAACTCCGACGTAAGTGCATCGTCAGTGCTTGCTCTGGTTCATGAACTGACTTTTCTCGAAGGGCACTCTCAACATCAACGTTGCTTGCGATCCTAGTAAGTCTTCTCTCGCAGTCTTTTCTTCCTTTGTGGTGCTGACAACGATCTCCAGTCAACGCTTAAGTTTCAGCGGTTCTTGGACACTCTTGGAGTTGGAATCTCGTATTAGATGGCATTGCCTAGATACTGTTAATTGTACTCAAAAAGTAATTTCAAGATACCCATTCGAGCCGTTACTGGTTATCTCATCACAGACTCTCATCGCACCTCCCTGACATCTTTCCAATGGACCCGACGAAGAAGACGTTCATTCTGCAAGCCTCCTCAACATACGAAAGACATTAGGCCAAGTACTTGTAGGTGCTTTTCCAGACGCGCAAATGTGTAGGCATTTCGTGTCATCCGCCAGCCTTCGTCGTGTATGAGGCAAGTTAGAAATTACGCTGAATGCAATTGGACGATTCGTTCTGGGAGACCTCATTGATGGAATCGATGCAGTATCATAGCATGTATTGGGAGGTGTAGGTCGGAGGGAGACTCGCAGAGGAAGTGAGGGAGACTACGGTGTACCACAGTGCCATCTCACACTCGGCTTGGTGGATATGGAACTAGTACACCGTACTATCGTCAATGTCGCGAGGACTCCCGAGAAACTCTTAACTTCACCTGTCTCAGCCTGATATCGCTTTGTAGCGTCTTCTGTTTGTCTGTGATGCCTCCAATATCAACGACTTCTCCACACGGACTATGAAAGGCGACTTCTCACGTTACACGGAGACCGCCGAATCGTTATCAAGGTGGCGGCGGCGGGCACCACGGCCAGCGGCTTCCTGCCAGCCGTCCTTCGATTACACAATGGAATCTATCCTACGGAAGAGCCTCAAGCGATAACAGGAGAAGTACAGAGAACTTCAGCAGTCTCTTCAGCTCGGTATCCCCCACCTTGATGAACAACCCACTATCGAAGAGTCAGAATCAAGATGACCTTCCGCATCCTGTGGCCATTGACTCTGTGCCTCACCCAACTCGCAGCAAGCCACTCTCATCATGGCCACTACCAGGACTACCTTCAAGCACCTATCCAAGAACCTGAACTAGCAATCAATGGCATCCCGTTCGACGTACGAGCTTACTGGATGCGAAGGGCAAATCAGGCGCTTTCAGATCTCGTTTCGCCATGTCCGTTTGGAGCCTTTGGGACCGTGATTGTGAATCACACGGATACTAGTGGTATGGGCGAGCTCGTTTGCATTGGGGCGAACAATATCAGTGCTACTGGCAATCCGACCTTGCACGGTACATAAACTTGAAATTGGATGTCAGCACTTATACTAAAGGGACGACAGGAGAGATCGCAGCTATCAACAACTGCACAAACATCCTCACAGATCCGGACGGACCCTACAACCTCACGGCAAGCGAAGCACAAGACGCTTTCGCCAGCCTCTCGCTATACACGAACGCTGAGAGCTGCCCCATGTGCGCTTCCGCAATCCGATGGGCCGGCTTCAAGGAGTACATCTACGGCACTTCGATCGAGACCCTCATCGAGAAAGGCTGGGGCCAAATACGGGTGGCTTCGATTGAGATCTTTGAGAGGTCTTTTGATCTCTCCAGCCCGAGTCGCTTGATTGGAGAGGTCTTGACCAACGAGACTGACCCGTACTTCTTGTGGCAGTATGATCCAAGCTATCCATGTCCGAGTGGGTGTCAAAGGGTCAAACGGAGCTGCAGTGCTGTCTGAAGTGGGATGCAGCGGAGATGGATGGAGTCAGTCAAGAGGTACCACATAGCAGCTGACGGACATGGACTGGTGGTAGATCAAAATCCAGGAGTGGCTATTCGGACAGACTGCATTTTCCAAGACCGGTTCAGCAGCTGGGACAGACAGTTGCTCTATTGGGACTTTTCGATAACGCCCACGAGCCACTTTCCTAATGGTAAGCATTAGGCTTTCAGCTTTGGCGCAAGACAAATACGAATTCTCACACCGGTCACTGGTCAACAGAAACTGAAATGTGCCGCTGCCAGCATATAAGAACTACAAATTCCATCAACCATTCTGAGCCTACACCACCTCTCAAGTCCTCCAAGCAAACATGCACTTCCACGCCCTCTTCGCCGCCCTCACAAGCCTGCTCGCTTTCGCGGCCGCACAAGGCTGTCCCACCATCACCATCCACGACCACGGCGGCTGCAAAGGCTGCACCAAGACCGTCGACATGGTGACGAGCACTCAGTTGATCGACTGTGGCGGCTGTACGTCGATCGCGACAATGACGGATCGGGAGCCATTCCTCAACTGCAAGGTTCCGTGCAGGGGTGGCTTCAAGACGGAGTATAATGCAGAGGGCACGACGACGGTGACTTCGTGTTCGGCGAGTCCGACGCAGGGTTTGAGGATGAGGAGTGAGTGGGTGGGATGAGTGTGAGTGCGATAAATTGCTCTGTGAGATTGTTGTGCATCGATTGACTGTTTGGCTCATAGGCGAGAGACTGCACACAGCATCACAATCAAGAAGCACTAGGCAAGCCAAAAGTAGCTTTTGACAGGGAAATGGATTATTCGCCTTGAGAATCAAGACGACGGTGGTAACTTTTGCTGATTCCACTTTTGGGAAGAATGACAAGGCTGATAAAATCCATGCAACAAATCTCTAAAGCGAGTCGGTGAACATGACGTGTCTATGAATGATGGATCCCTACATTGAAAGACAATTTTGCGCCTCTTATGCGCCGTGGCCGGGAAGGAAGCATCTGGGAAAGGGTGTAGCTAAAGAGCAGCTGGCGGTGGTTGAATGTATCCATGTAGCAAGAAGCCAGAAGCTGCCAGATAAACCACACGTACATAACCGGATAATGAGAGCAAATTGAGCGAATGATGGTCTATCTAATATATTCAACAACGGATCATCTGCTGACCGTCCGCCTGATGGTGAGCATTAAGCTCAGAACAATATTTTCTTATTGGGCGCAGTACCGGACGAAGAGGGATTTTTTACGACCAGACAGTATAAAAATTGAACTACCGTAAGTATATATATATCAAATTTCTTACACGATCCCACAGCCAACATCTCCAAACCAGCACCTCCACCACAAACAACAACCATGCAACTCCCCCTCCTCCTCCCCGCCCTCCTCACCGTCCTCACCACAGCCCAAACCACCCAGCCCCCCACGACCACAACCCCAACCCCCATCTGCCCAACAACAACCCTCTGGGCACCCGCCAACCCCTGCGCCTACTGCACCACAACCCTGCACGCCGCCACCATCACCGAGCTGATAACCTGCCCGAGCGGCTGCACGGACATCACCACGCACACGAGAGAGTCGCCCCGTGGACCTAGGAAGTGCTTGAAGCCGTGCGATCCTGAGAAGGCGCCGACGAAGAAGGAGGTGGAGGGGACGTTGTCGGTGATGGGGTGTGTGCCGAATTCTTCTGTTTGGGTGGCGAGTGGGCCGAGGGGGCCGGTTAGTGTGTGGGTTTGAGGGGGTTGTGAGTATTTGAGGGTAGACTTGGGATGGGTTCGTATTGAGTGATGGATTTTTTGTAGGGGGTATGTTGATGAAGCTTTGGCAGGTTACTTGAGCTGATGGTGTACGGCACATAGCGATCGTGACGGTTCAAGAGGGTGGGAAAGAGGGCTGTCCACAGCACGGAGAAATCGAAGTATGGGCAAGATTGTTGCAACTCAGGGATCATACGACAGTCCCTATGGGGCGTGGAAGCGTCAGCTCACGGAGGGTTCGAAATCGAGAGTCGGTGACTCAAAGCACCCTTTCGTTCTTGTTGGAATATATAGTAGAAGATGAAGTGTCCAAGCGAACTGTCGTATCGCATTACAAGCTGTCGATCTATCCAATCCTACAGCGCACCAACTGGTAATCATAAGTGGAGGTCAGCATCAGCGCAATCACGGTAGACATCTTCATCCATGTCCACAGACCTGCCTTCACCTCCTCTGAGGATCAACCACCTCCTCGACATCGCCAAAGTCCTCAACGTCTTCCGTGCTGCCACTTCCTGCACTCCCAGCCTCGTCGGGCTCGTTCACCTGTAGTTGCTTAACACCGGCGTTTCGGTTGAAAAAGTCGTCTGTCTGCAGCCCTCGCACGGCATCGCCCTTGATACTCCTGTTCATACTCTTTCCGGACGCTTTCGCAGTCTTGATGTATTCTCTGACCGGCACCATCGCAGCATCTCTGCATGCCTCTTTGATGTCACTCCCACTCATCCCTGCGCTGATCTTCACCAACGTGTTGATGTTGAACGACGGCTCGGCATTCCTCAACAATCTTCCATCGATCTTTGTGTCCCGTAAAGTCAACTCGAAGATCTGCCGCCGTTGCGCCGCATTGGGTAGTGATATGGGGAACTTCTTGGGCATGCGCCGCAGGATAGCTTCGTCGATGTCTTGGATGCGATTGGTGGCTCCAAGGATACATATCCTTTGAGAGCCACCCTCTGTTGTCGAAGACGCCAGCCCGTCCCAGTGCGTCATGAACTCCGCTTTCACCATCCCGCTTGCCTCGTGTTCTCCTGATCTCCTTTGTCCCAGCACTGCGTCGATCTCATCGATAAAGACTATTGTGGGCTGGAGTTTGCGAGCGAGTGAGAAGACGGCAGCGACGAGCTTGTTACTATCGCCATACCACTTCTCAGTGAGGGTGGAGATGTGAAGGTTGATGAAGCATGCGCCTGATTCTCTAGCCAGAGCCTTCGCAAGCATGGTCTTGCCACATCCCGGAGGTCCATAGAGTAATACGCCACTTGGCGCCGTGAGTAAGGATGAGTGGTTGGCATAGAGATGTGGCATCGTCAAGGGGTAGATCACGCTCTCCCGCAGCTCTTCTATGATGTTGTCTAGTCCACCTATATCGTCGAATGTTACAGGGATATCCCGAGGACTGACAACTTCCATAGCTATTGTCTGCTCGTATGCTGTGAGGTTGAGGTCCTGCTTTCGTGGTCGCTCGCGGTATGCCCCTCGCTCATCCTCTTCCGAATCGTATGCATGGTCGTCTTCCTCGTCCCGCTCGTGATTCGAGAAGATGCTCTGTAGTCTTTGAGAAGCTTGGATAGCCTTCTGATGTGCTTCGGCTTTAGCGCCAGAGTCTGGATCGAGTCGTGTGAGGATTTGGCGGGCGAGGTAGTATGCAAGAACAGGCTGCACTAGTTAGCAGAGTTCGATGTGGTAGAGATGGGCACGTACAGCTGCGATCACCAGTAGCGCATCTGACAGCCAGCTCTGGATCTTCCTGTCGCCAATGCCCATCGTGGTGGAGGTTGTGGGAGGGGAAGGAGTTGAGTGAATGAAAGATGGAGGCCGGTGCTTGGGCTGGTGGCATCACATGCAGATGCCGTCGTCGGCGGCGAAGCCACGTGTGGCGTTCTTCTCGGATAGCTGCAGGCGGGCCGAGGCTGGAGAGCCGACACGCTAAGACTTCAGTCGCGTCTTCCTCGACGCGCTTCAATCAACCTTCCCACCACGATCGACTCACACCACAACATGGCTCCATCGGCGGTGGAAACAGTCGCTGAAGGCCACACGGAGACAAATGGCAAGACTGCAGCATTTAAACCCCACGAAGAACTTCAATACATCGACCTCATCCGCGACATCTTCCAAGATGGCGAGCATCGACCAGATCGCACGGGCACCGGCACACTCTCGATACCATTCCCGCCGCAGCACAAATACACTCTCTCGAAGCCAGATGGCACTCTTGTTTTGCCTCTTCTCACGACAAAGCGAGTGTTCTTGAGAGCAGTTGTGGCAGAAATACTCTGGTTCGTGGCCGGCGACACGAATGCAAAGACCCTGCAAGATCAGAACGTACACATTTGGGACGGAAATGGCAGCAGAGCATACTTGGACTCTGTCGGACTGTCACATCGAGAAGAGGGAGACTTGGGACCTGTATACGGCTTCCAATGGCGGCACTTTGGTGCAGAATACAAAGATTGTCATACCGATTACACTGGCCAAGGAGTCGACCAACTGGCCGAAGTAATACACAAGCTGAAGACAAACCCATACGATCGAAGGATAATCCTATCTGCATGGAACCCCGCAGACATGAAGAAGATGGCTCTCCCGCCTTGCCACATGTTTGCGCAATTCTACGTCTCCTTCCCAGGTTCTTCACCCACACGACCGGACGGCAGCAAGCGTGGAACACTGCACACGCTCCTATATCAGCGGTCGAACGATATGGGTCTTGGTGTACCTTTCAACATCGCCTCGTATGCCCTTCTCACACATATGATCGCGCGGGCTACCGATCTCATTCCTGGGAGTTTGACTCACACCATGGGCGATGCCCATATCTATTTGGATCACCGGGAAGCCCTCGAAGTTCAGATACAGCGTGAGCCTCGAGACTTTCCGACACTGGCAATCGAGCGAGAAGTAGGGTGCAGTATCGATGGGTGGAAAGCCGAGGACTTCAAGGTTCTGGATTACAAGCCGTACGCGGCTGTCAAGATGAACATGAGTGTATGAAATAGGACGAGTTTCAAGCTTTTGACTGGGCTAAAGCTCTGTATGTACTATTTCGTCGTGTGTCGTGAGTTTACAAGGAACCGTGCAAAGAAGATCCGTCCTCAAGAGTAGAAAACCGCAGTCGGGTAGTATTGTGAGATGCAAGACGCGGCCGAGATGTCCGTGTGAAGGATGTTGTCGCGTGAAAACACGCTAGAGCCTCAAGAGGAATGGCTCAGCGCGCTAAACTTAGCGCATTCACTTCACGCCACCCTCTTCCTCTGAACCTCCTTCTCGTCTCTATATACTTGATCATAACATTTTGTTTCTTCTGGAAGATGAGCCCGCCACGATGAATCATGCGTCGAGCGATAGCATGCGTCCGATGCCGGATGATGAAACGAAAATGTACGACCATCACCGTGGACGGCTGCATTCAATGTGTGCGGCATAGTCAGCCTTGCTCCCTATCCTCTCGAAAGGCTGGCTGCAATCCAGGAGGCCGACTCGCTCCAGCAAGACCATCCTCTGTATTTCGCATTCATTTCACTGCGGATGGCACCACTGTGGCTCTGACCGATGCCGTCGCAATGAATCTGGTCGGGAATTATCTTCATTTGATTCACGACCGACCGCATAGCTTGTTCCATATTGCCACACTCTGGCACGACATTCGAGAGGAGACTATCTCGAACCATTTGCTTTACAGTATTTGCAGTCTTGGGAGTAGCTTGAGCAAAGATCCTGAGCTTCATGCTCTGAACAAGCCGTTGAGTTTGGAGGCCAAACGGCTGTTGCAAGCTGATCTGGAGAACGTGACTTTGGAAAATATCCAGACTCTGATCTTACTGGCCAACATCTGCGCTGCCGAGTTGTCGCCTTCTTCGGAAACGCTTTACTTTGGTATCGCGAATCGCATGGCGCATATATTGAAACTGCACGAGCCTAACGCCACGGACGATGTCGTCACGAGGGAGACAAAGACTAGAGTGTGGTGGACTCTTTTCATGGCAGATTACTGGTGTAGTGCAGGCCTTGGCCTTCCGCGTCAACTCTACAACATAAGCAGAGCCATTGAGCTTCCCATCGATGAAGCTGCTTTCCAAGCCGCTCGGCCACACGATACAGCGATAGAAGCGTCGTCAGGCCTCTGGGCATACATGCTTACGCTGGTCGAGATTTTCCCGCTTGTCCAGGACTTGAACAGGAGGCTTGTTGATGACGATAGCCTGGATGATGCAAGTGCTGACGAAAGCGCACTCAAGATATCGCATCGACTGGATGACTGGCTTGCGTCGTTACCTCGGCGGATGAGACTTAACGATCGCAACTTCGATGAGCATGCGACGAAAGGTCTGGGCGGCGCCTACGTCGGTCTGCACCTGGGCTACCACCACTACGCTACATTGCTCTACTTTCAGTACTTGGACTTGCAGAGACCGTCAACAGCCGTATCAAAGGACTTCGCAGAACGGTGTAAGCGTCATGCTTCAAGCTACAGCGACCTTCTCCGCAAGTCTCGCGAGACCCCTGGCTGCGAAGCCGTCTACGCCACAGTCGGCCACATGACCGTGGTGTCGTCTTCTGTCTTGCTGCATATGTTGTTGTTTGGAAAAGAAGATGAGCTCGAGGTGACACGGGCACTTTTGAATACCAATTTCATTGCCCTTATTGAGATGAGGAACTTTTGGCCAAGCTTGGAGCGAATGGTGAGTTGAAAATTCATTGTATCGGCCAAGAAGCTTGTCAGGTCATCAGATCTAGAGACTCTTCCGTTTGACGTTTCCCACGAATGGGTTAGGCGTTCACTCAAGAAGCAGCTCGATTTGGCAGCAGAGGCCGACTTTCGGGTTTCAATCCAAACATCCGGCAATGCAAAGGAAGCAGAGATTCTCCTTCCCAGTGTCGACCCCTAACCTCCGCCTAGCTACTTTTGCATTTCGAACCCTTCTGCCGACAGAATTGCAAAGCTCATGCATGAATCATGCTAACCTTCAATATAGATCACCCGATTATCGGCCTTTCAAAGTGCTTGCCTACAATCAGCTGATCCAAACACTCACCGTATCGATCGATGGATGGTGCGATTCCTCCTGGAGCATTCCTTACCGCTTGACGAACGCGACTGGACATATGCTGGACAGACGGGCCAACACATTGAGAGCTCAACTGCCACCAGGCCCATTCAAGGGTTTGTAGAGAGGGAGCAATTCGTCAGCGATGCAATGGCTACCCTGCGGGAGTGAGCGGTTGGAGTCACGCAGATCGTTACGCTCCTCGTTCTGCACGATGGACGCTTGGCGATTCTTCCTGGTTGCGATTTGTTGAAGTAATTCGAACACAGTCAAGCACTCGATCAATCCTTGGAAATGGGTGGGATCGCAGTTTGATGCAGTCCATTTCTTAGCTGAACAACGAGCGTGACAGGCCTAAGCGCTAATCCATCATTCCAGCCACGCTTTTGTCAAGAATGCAATTGCATCCTTGCTGGCTGGATACGAGCCCCACACTGAGGCATCCATATCAAACGCATGGTCTTTGCCTTCGGCCACATCAAAGCGCAGGTTTATCTCTGGGAGCTTGGTTCGAGCAAGATCGACAAATTTCTCGGACTGGTGCAGATAGACGACCGAGTCATTATCTCCGTGGAAGATCCATCTGTCTGTGGTCAGCATGAAGTACGTTGTCGGACGCAGAGTGATATGACTAACACATTCTTCGGCAGTCTTGCACCAGCTTCCAGCCGCTCGAGGGGCAACTCGTTGGTAGTCAGGCGCACGCCATTGTGCTCGAGGACTTCAGAAAAAAAGAGCCCGTTCTGGGACAACGAGACGCAGTAAGGTGTGATCTCCAGCTCGCCTTTGCTTGCAACGGTACCGCGCTTCTCCTTGATCCACTTCAGGCCCTCTTCTTTCGAGGGGATGTCTTCCAGAGGAAAGCGCAATACCGTCGGTTTGCCTGGCGGAGGTCCTTCCGAGAGGATGCTGTCTTTGAGATCAACACAAGGATACGCCATCGCAAGCGCCGATATCTCATCTGGATGGGACAAGGCCACTTGGGACACACAATACCCGCCAGCTGAGCCACCCACGAGTAGCAAATGCTCGAAATCAAGGGCTTGGTCGGGCACGCCATCTTGAAGAATAGAAGGAAGTTCCGCCTTCGTCCACTGCCAGAAATCTTCGAGATCTTCAAGCTGGTCTGCAATTCCATTCGGGGTGGGTAGTAGCCTGTAGTCTGCTGAGATTAGGATGGCACCTTGCTCTAGCGCCATCTTGATGAGCCAGGGATGGAACCATGGTGCGAAGAGTGAATGGCCTGTCGCGAAGAAGCCGCCGTGGATGTTGATTATCACTGGGTGTCGGCCAGACTGCAGTCTCTTGGGGATGAGGACTGCAGCTTTGATATCGTGGGAGCTGACGGTCTTGTATCTGCATTCAGTGAGTTACGCTGCGATACGCATGTCTGAAGGTCAGCTCACGTTTCTTCAAAGATATTGAAGGCGTCGAACGCCGGGTCCGCTGATGGCACAGTCGACATTCTGCAATATGGCAAGAGTTTGGGTGGATTTGTGTTGCTGTTCGAGGGAAAGTGGTGGATCTGACTGCACTTTCAATGAGTACACGGCTACGCCTTTAAGTACACGTGAACCTCTGGAAGCACTCATGTGTGGCATTTTGGACCCGTTTGTGGGCGGGTTGGGGCACTCCGCTTGCGCAGGCTGACGAGAGCAAACGGAGCAGGATGATCCGCTTCGGACTTTCTCGCTATCAACAACGAATACCCTGCTCGGACTGCTCAGCGTGAACCACGTACCTCCATCATCTCCAGGATCGCAAAACACTCTGAAGAAGGACAGTGAGCTTCGTCAGTCCCTGAAAGTAGGAGAGATGACGGACGCTTTCGGTCCACTCGAGTGGAATGGTGAAGATCCACAAGAAGTCAATCGTCGTAACATCCGAGGATCGCTTTGGGTCTCGGCGATAGACTTTAAAGTATAGTTGCGTGTTCGAAGCCAGCGACGCATTCATTGCCTCCAACAACCAAACCATCCACCTCTTCAAAGATGCATCTCTCTTCACACACTTGGATGCGTCCGGAATCCCTTCGCACGACTCTTGCACGACTAAGGAACCTGGGCTATTCGAGCATTGAGTTAGCATGCGAACGCGAGCAGTACCCAATCGAAGAGACTCGCAAGCTCTTGCAAGAATATCAGATTCGCTGCTGGGGAACCGTTACGATTCAGACAGGAGACCGCGACCTGACGGCAGCTGACCCCGAGCAGCGCCGCAGAACGATCAACTACATGAAGGATGTCGTTTTGATGGCCGCAGAGCTTGGAGGAGAGATCGTCACGGTCGTGCCGGGCAGAGTCGGCAAGATTGTTCCCTCGGCCTCGCCAGAAGAGGAATGGCAATGGGTCGTTGACAGTCTTCGCGAAGTCGCAGCTTTTGCAAAAGAGCGAAACATTCGCATTGGCTTGGAGCCTTTGAACCGCTTCGAGACGCACTTTTTGAACCGAACCGATCAGACACTAAGGCTGACGGATGAGGTTGGCTTTGACTGCGGGATCACTTTCGACCCATTTCATTTGGCACTCGAGGAGAAAGACCTGTATGCAGCACTGCGAGCCTGCAAGGGGCGAGTGGTGGACTTCCACGTCGCCGACCACAACCGTCTCGCAGCTGGAGAAGGGAGCTTCGATTGGCATAAGATACTCGCAGTCCTCGCTGAGACCGGCTATGATGGTGCTCTCGCGTTCGAAGCTTCGCCTCCGATTGATCGTTCGCCTGTGGGCAACTTTGGAAAGGATCAGATCGAGTCTGGTGATATTGATGTTCCTCCTGCGCAGTTGCAGTTCATTATCGACCATGGATCTGGTGTTTTGTCGGATGAGTACTATACGGGTCTATTGAGACGGACTGCGGAGACTTTGAGAGGAGTTCCTGGTTGCTTGTCATAATTGTGCCTCCCACCTACAAACACAGAAATACAGAGTTTGTGTCCAGTCAAAGGCTCGAATTCTCACGCAAAAAGCTGTGGTGGAAATGCTCAGCTGGGACATATCATTGCCGTCTCGTTTGCAATCAACTTCCGAACAGGGAGACATCTTTGCCGATCGCGGACTCTGCCCTTCCGTCTCAGCTCTCTCAGCTCCCGCTCCCTCCGCCCTCTCTCCGTTTCCTCTCTTCTACACGATTGTCACCTTCCGATGACTCAATCATTGGCACGGCTCCATCTCTTTTGAACGAGAAACGGTGAAACACTTATCTTACAGGATGCCAGCAGACCCATCAACTCGAAGACGCAAGCAAAAAGCAGCCGTAGCCTGCGACTTCTGCAGGCGAAGGAAGCTCGGCTGCGACAGTGGGAAGCCGTGTAACAAGTGCACCCAGTTTGGAAGAGATTGCGTATACTCAGAGCGACCTGCGAAAGAGAGACCAACCAACTCCCGGATTGCCCATCTAGCGCAGCAGAATGAAGAACTGCGAACCTCACTTTCACTGCTTCAGACTCCGCCGACGCCGGACAGCAGTTCTGGCCTGCAAGACCAATTCATCGCTGAACCTGCAGCCGTCTTTCGACAGACGCCGTTCCATGGCCCTTCGAGTGCCCTGTTTGACAGACATGGACCGGTCCATGGACAGCAATCTGCAAGTTTGGCTACGAGCCATGAGAGAGATCACTTGCTCGCGAGAGCATCAACGCAGCGTAAGAATGCTTGACATGTCTCGTATCCACTAGATATCTCTGTAGCTGACTCCTCTACAAGGCCAACTAGAGACCATGCATGTCGATGGTGGCATTCTCGCTTATGGAGACGTCGAACCTGAATTATGCATCCGGCTGCTCTCTGCCTTCTGGAGTCGTCAACACTATACAGGGACTGTCGTCTACCGTCCAACATTCATGCGAGACATGGCCTGCTACGGACCGTACTTCACACCATTACTACTTAACGCCATGCTGTTCATCGCTTCTAAGCATTCTCCCCGTACACTGTCGCTCGATCAGGCATCCGATTTCTGTGAAGGCGGTCCTGTCTTTCGAAGGAAGGCCGAGGAGATGCTTTATGACAAAGAGACCCAAATTCTTTGCAAGAGTAGAGTCACGACCATACAGGCGCTTTTGCTCATCTCGGATGCTCTTTTCTCCTGGTGTGACGAGAGAAGCCTTTCTTGGCACTACCTGGGAATCGCGATCAACATGATCGTTGATCTTGGCCTACACACTGTTCGTTCAGACTTCTATCGGTCAGGCTCTGTTGAAAGTGGTGAGGTCGGTCGACGGTTATTCTGGGCAGCATTCAGTAAGTGAGCTATTTCTCCCACACCAGCCTCTTGTTAAGATCTTTTACACAGTTGCCGACAAGGTACAATCGATCTACCAAGGGCGTCAGTGTCGACTACGAGTTGCGGATAGCAACGTTCCGATATCGTTCTTGGATGAGTACGAGGAGTTGGAGCCCTTCAACACGGTCACGTTCGCTGCTATTGCCACACAAACTTGCATTCCCACTCGCGCAGTCACTACATTCGAGCAAACATGCAAGCTCAGCGTCATCGCTGAGAGCATTTTGTCGACTCTTTACGCTGAGAAGGCCTCCAGCACTGGTGTTGAAGAGCTCCTAGGTGCCGCTCGAGGATTGCACGGCGACCTAGAGAGATGGAAAGCTTCATTGCCATCACACCTTAATTTGGACTGGAATAATCTTAGGTGGTTCAATGTCCTGCCACACACGCTGGCTTTAATGTAAGGTATCCATACCCGAACTATCAGCTAGACTACTGACCAATACGATGACAGGGCGATGTACCAATCTCTATCCATCCTTCTCCATCGCCCCTTCGTCTCGGGTGGCCACATTGGAAATGTCTCGGACCCAAGCGTCGACTCTGCCTTCTCGACGAGCATGAAGGCAGCAAAGGAGATCGACAAGATTCTGCGGCTTTATGTGGAGCACTTCTGCGTCAAGAGCTGCCCGTACTTCTTGTCATACGCAACCTATGTGAGCGCGACCATCCACGTGAGGTTAGCTGCGCAGCATGCCACTGGCTCAAGAGCACACCAATCGCTACGCTTCTGTCTAGAAGTACTTTCTGAACAGCAGACAAGATGCCACGCGCCCAGACAATCTATGGCAATTCTCTTAGGACTTATGAAGCGTCTGAACGTGGACGTTGGGAAGACTTTCGTGGCCGCGAAGCCTCGTTCTGAAGGCATGGAGGGTTGTCAGGTCGATTACCCACTGGAAGGCACAGGACGAGATGATTTTCTGGGGAACAATCAGAACCTAACGACGGATACAATGTTGTCTCTCGACGATGATTTGGCCGACTATGACCTGGACGCCATCATGAAGACCTTTGACTTTTCGCCCCAAGGACTGCTTTCCACTGACGATTGTGACCCGGAGACCAGCTTGCTATCAGCGAATCAACACGAGAACCAGCGAGGAAACAACGTCATTCACTCTACAAGCATGCTTGTTGCAGACGAATGCCTTCAAAATTCCTTGAATGGCCCTTTCACTTTCGATCCACTCTTTGGTCTCGATGCACCCAATTTCGACGCGAACGCAAGCTTCATTTGAATCTAGCTGAACATGAAGCATTTTCCCGCCTATGGCTTATCGACTTTGCAGTTCAAATCCTGTCCACTCCCTGTGGCCAAACTCATCAACTGGGAATATCGACAACACCGACAGCCACAAAGTTGTTCGTACATGGATTGCAGCCCATATTGCCACCATTCGCAAGCAAGAGCATGTTCTTCCCTCCAGAGCTGATGATACGCAAGCTCCTGGAGTACGCAGACCACTGGCCGACATTCACTGCCCTCCATCCATTGACACCCGCCGAATCGTCGTTGACGAAGACTTCCTCGCGCGAGTTGCCGTTCATGATGATAATCCCGGATCCATCGGTAGCGCCTGGCTTGGGAGTCCATACCACATACGGAGAACCGTTGGGGATCAACTTGCTCGAGTCGTTGGAGATGATCGGCTGGGGGTCGACACTCCCAAATCCGAGAGGAGAGCTGGCTACTTTGTAGTACGCTGGACAGCCGCTGGCACTGGGGCCGCCACAATACTCGAAGGTCATGATGTATTTGCCTGTCGACTTGATATATGCAACTGTAGCCATGCCGGGACGGTCGCCATAATCTGGTTGAGCAACAGCATTGACTGGGCTGGTCCAAGTCTTGAGATCCTTTGTCGTCACAGTGACGAGCTTCTGAGCATGAGCCGGGTCTCTCTGGTCCGAGTAGTAACAAATGAGCTGGCCGTTGTAAAAGTAAAAGAAAGGCTCCCACACAGCCTTGTCTCCATTGGTGACGGTTTCTGGACCAGCTCCGTATGCGATATGGCTGACGAACTTCCAAGTTTTGGCGTTGTCTGTGCTAGCGTAGAGCTCGATGTACGCCTGGCTGAGATCTGACGGAGTCGAGACACCTGAGAGAAGAATTGTTCCTGCTGGGTAGGCGCCGAGTTTCTGCTCCAAAGTGTAGAAATACGGCTGATACCGAAGACCCCAGCCGTTGACCTGGTCATAGACCCGAGTGAAGTTGTACCACGTCGCACCACCGTCGTCGGACTTGTAGATTGGGAAGTACTGCTGAGGGCCGGGAACCGGATCGTAATCTTCCCAGGAGATTATCAAGGACTTGTCTGCGAGTTGGAGCGTTCGAGCGTATATCGTACGCCAGCTTGTGTAGTTCGATGCTGGAACAAAGACAGTGTTGTCGTTGAAATTGCTGAAGGGGGCTGGGGCTCTTGGTTCGAGGGGGCTCGTTAAGGCAAAAGAGAAGAGGCTGGTAGCTGCCAGAAGGATGGTACTGAGTGCCATGACGACTTTGGAGACTGAGTATGAAGGATACAGTTCTCCTGGTCGAAAGTCGAGCAACTTATATCTCAACGACATACGAGCTGACGATGTCATGCACCTCCGCAATATTTGACCCCAGAAATACAACCCACGGGGAAGTGCGGTTTTACCACCAATAGGGATCACACAATCAACGTCACGGGACATGTAGAATATAGGGAGGAGGTAGACTCTGAGGTGGAGCCAAAGCTATTGATCGGCACGGCTTTGAAGCACGATGATTGGATATTTCTCCGTCTTGACTGAAAAGGGCTAGGTCTATAGGAAGCCTCGTTTCCACTGCGTCCGAGGCCGTGTGAGAGGTTGGTGAGCACGAGACCAGTATCTTTCAGCCATGGCGTTGTTATACGAGATGGTTCTCCGGCCTTGTAACAAGCTTCCAAATCGTCCTGCACTTGACCTTAAAATCTACGCTCAGGTCTTCAAGGTCAGGCACTAGAGTGACCCAGTAGTGGTCGAAAGTGGCTTCGAGATGTGTCAATGCCATCATGGCATTCTTCTCGTTGTTTAGCTTGGTTACGAGGTCATCACCGAATAGAGCAGGTTTTTCTTCCATCTAATTCTTGTGGAATTGTACTTCTTGATGAGCGTCTTCCTTGTTTTTCAGTGTATGGAAGTGTCACGTCAATGTCGATGGCCTTGAGGCCATGTCAGGTAAGAAAAACGGCCACGGTGTAGTTTATGATCATTGGACGTTTGTGATCTCTAAAGATTCTGTACCTCTGAGGGTGCGGACCAGGTCGTATAGACAGCTTGTGGGATAGACATGCAGGTATATGCCACCTTCATAAGGAAACCCAGAGTAATTAAATAAGCCTGCCGTCTAGGTCTCCGCGAAAAGAGCATAAGGCTCACACACAGCAATACCAGTCCTCGCCGGGATCGTGATACTGATGGGAAAACCACCATAATCAGGATCCTCGCTCGGCATCACAGCACACTTGCCACTCCTCGTCTCGTCACCATTGAGCCGACGCAGTGTTCTCAGCTCACCCGTAGCATTGTTCACGACCTCCTTCTCTTCGAACTTGAGTAGACCGTTGAAGTACGCTCTTTCGTCCAAGGATGTGAAGCTGACTTGGAAGCCCCACCCAAGTAGCAGGAATTCACTGCCGTGAAGATGAATGACGGCACCACTGCCTGCGGATGGCTTGCCGAAAACAAAGGATCGTTCGACGGCCAAGTGCCATCCAGCCATATCGATCTCCCTTGTCGGGAAGGTGTCTGTCCCGTCTTCGAGCAACTCATCAAAGAAGAAGCCATAGCTTGCGCTGGTCTTCGTTTGGGCTTGCAAAATGTGTGGAGCGACAGACGACAAAAGCTCATAATGTTTTCGGAACACATTCTCCTCCACGGATAGAGTGTCGATACCAAAGGGCGCTGCTCCCAGAGCTTGGTATGAACAGAAGGCCGCCCAGATTCGTCTTGCACCATGGTCGTCACGTCGCTGCTCAGGGATGAGAAGGGGCTGTCCGCGGTGCCTGTACTTCCTGCAAGAGTTCTCGTAGTCGTTGAGATAGACGTCAGGGGCAATAAAATCCAGCGCTGGGGCGAATGTCTGCCATACATCCAGCACATTATCGATAGCACCGCCAGATGGGTAGGCGCCTGGAAGATTCCCACCTGCCGCATCGATCTTGGCAGGTAACACGAGAGACTTGTCTCGATCTTCGGAACCATAGTTCTGCCAGACGTTCGTATACATTGGCAAGGGGTACACATCTTTGCCAGCAGAGGCCACCGCATTCACATAGAGGGCATAATGGTAGGCCATGAAAAGCTCGTCAACGTATACTCTGCTACCAGGAAAGGATGCCCATGTCAACCCGCGCCTGAAGCCCTCTTCTCGCCATGCAGTCAGAGTATGTTTGAGGGGCTGGTTGAGTCTGCTCCAGTCTTTCTCCAGAACGTCAAGGAGGTCTGTGGGAATGGTTTGTTTGAATTGCTGCTCAGCCAACTCGCCACGGTCGCGAGAGTCGCCTAACAAGCCGACTTCGTTCTCCACTTGAACCATGATCACAGTCGAGTGGTCCTCGTCGATCCGTTTAATGTGCTGCATGAGAGTCTTGAATGCCAAAGAGTCTGCTTTCTGCGCGTTCTGGCCGAATATGGAGAGCACATCAGCAGCTTGCGCCTCGGTCGTAGCTGTGCGGATCTTCGCCCTCGGGAAGCGCTTGGGATCCATTTTCACCCAAGGTGGCACGTAAGTCGAAAGGCCTGATGATCTCTTAGGTTCGATGCCTTAAACAAACCGCACTCACTCACCATTTTTGAAACTCCCAAACCAGAGCAAGATCAACTTCATCCCCAAACTTTTCGCATCCTGGATCAGCTTCTCCAATTCGTCGAGGTGGAAATCCCCCTCTTCTGGCTCAAACTGCTCCCAGGTAATGCATCCCAAGACAGTGTTGAGATTCGCTGCTTTCAGCTTTGGCCATACTTCTTTCATGAAAGATGAAGATGTGAATGAGGAGTTCTGCAGTTCGCCTGCGAGCATCAGGAAGGGCTCATCGTTGATGATGAGTTGCTTCGAGAGCTCTGTCGAGCGGAGGTGAGGAATCTGTGGAGGCATGGTGGAATGTCAGGTTACTCTGCAATCAGAGAATGATGGAATGCGAATGTCAGGTCATGCCAGAACCCATTGGAGGAGAAAAAGACGTCTTAGGTGGCGTCGTACTCGTTAGCCTGGAAGCTAGCGTGACATTCACGCACGAAAGTGTGGGAGCCAATCAATCACTTCCAAAGCCGTTGTGGGTCTCCATTCTGAACGGCTTTGACAGTCTGCCATTGGAGACCATAAAGGCACTGTATTTTGGAGCTACCACGAGATCACACGTGCTGCGGAGGTGGCGCGGCCGCATTCAAGAGGCTGGATCGAGGCCATGGGCGAGACGCACATAAGTATCTCGATGGCCTCATGAGGAAGTAGAAAACCACTCACTCCAAGTGTCACCCATAGCAAAGCTTTCTACCAATGATGGAAGATTTCAAAGAGGTCAACGTCGAACAGAAGATCCAGCATGGCAAGGCCGAAATTAACCAAGGCTTCTATGTCCCTCCCGTCACCTGGTACAAGGATGCTGGCCTTCGCAAGCTATACTTGATGATGCCCATCTTGTTCCTTGGGGCCACAACCAACGGGTACGATGGCAGTCTTCTCAATGGGCTGCAGACAATGGATCCTTGGCAGAAGTGTGAGTTGCGAAGTCATCAACCAGGATTCGGAGAGACGCTGATGACCATTGCAGATTTCAACAACCCGAGCGGTGCCACGCTGGGATTGTACAGTGCTATCTTGCAGGTTGGAGCGTTTTCCGCCATCTTCTTTTGTGAGTGTCTCAGGACCCATGGAGAATTCTTCATGCTCATGGATTTGATAGCTTCGTACCTTGCCGACATCCTCGGACGCAGAGCCGGGGTTTCTGTCGGCGTTGTCGTGCTGGTCATAGGTGTGATACTTCAAGGTCAGTAAGAGGTGATCGAATTCGAAGACTTCATCTGACGCAGCTGGCAGTGGTTCCCACCGTCGACTCAGGCATGTTCATCGGCGGTCGATTTTTAGTCGGCATGGGGTAAGTGATCCACGTCTACACATTGTTCATTGACATACTGACATCATGTCAGCTCAAACCTATCGCAAGGCTCCGCACCCCTGCTCATCCTAGAGCTCGCCCACCCAGCTCATCGTGGCAAACTCACAACCATGTACAATACTCTATGGTACGCCGGTTCCATCGTTGCAGCATGGACTGTCTTTGGGACAACAAATTACACAACCAATACGGCTTGGCGGATCCCGGTTGCTGTTCAGGCTTTGATGCCGGTCATTCAGCTTTGTGGTGAGCAGCCCTTGGCTTTGTAAGGGCATGCAAGGGTACTGACTGTTATGGTAGGAATCTGGTTCCTCCCAGAGAGTCCTCGCTGGCTGATCTCCAAGGACCGAGAGGCTGACGCTTTGAACATCCTCGCTAAGGTAAGCCAGCATGTCCAATAGATCAAAAGTTCGCTCTGACACAGCCACTAGTATCACGCCAATGGGGACGCATCCAATACCTTCGTGCAAGCCGAATATCATGAAATCCGAGAGACGATCCGCATCGAAAAGCAATATTCCAACCAAGGCTGGAAGATCATGGCGCAAGGTCGGGGCAATAGGAAACGACTATTGCTCATAGGCCTGGTTGCATTCTTCTCCCAGTGCTCGGGCAACGGGCTGGTCTCGTATTACCTTCATGACATTCTCGAAAGCGTTGGCATGACGGACTCCTACGATCAGGCTGTCTTCAACGGCGGCTTGCAGATTTGGAGCTTCCTGGTTGCGATTGGCTTCTCCGCTATGTTGGTTGATCGTTTCGGGCGCAAGAAGCTTTTCCTCATTGCCGGTGTGGGTATGCTGGTCACTTTCACGATCTGGACCGCGTGCTCTGCCGTCTATGCCGAAACAGGAAACCAAGGAGCCGGCAAGGCTGTGCTGGCCATGATCTTCCTCTTCTATGGTGTCGCTGGGTTCGCGTGGCCCGGTCTTACTGTGGCATACTGCGTGGAGATTCTTCCCTTCAACATTCGAGCCAAGGGGCTGGCCCTTAACATGGCGTTTGTGTCGTGTGCATCGGTACCTTCATCTACTCCGCAATTACCTCTCCTCTCGCTGATGTCGTCTCGCAGATCCTCAACCAGTATGTCAACCCCATCGGGCTTGAAAGAATCGGCTGGAAGTTCTACTTCGTGTACATTGTCATTTTGGTCGTCGAAGTCCTGTGTATCTGGTTTGTCTTCGTGGAAACCAAGGGTTTAACACTCGAAGAGGTCGCACATCTTCTTGATGGCCCGGACGCACCAGCTACTGGAGGTTTATCGGCTGAGCGAGAAGATGATGAACTGAAGGAGGCTATTGTCTCTGAGCATGTGGACAATGTCAGCACGAGGTAGAGATAGCCAGGGCTTGAGTATGAGCGTACAAAGCGCATTCGAGCGCTTTAAATGGGAGGCTAGTCGTGTAAAACAGATTTCCAGAAGTACAAGGGTTCCAATTTGCTCACAAGTAAAGCGGGACACCATAATGTTGTCGCATTGTCCTAGTCCAAGGTTTCAGTGCCCGCCCTTCGGAAATTGTCCACCACTTTGAAAGAGTCCTCGGCTTCGTTGCCCACTGATACGACAGGCAGTGCGTCTGTGACGGCTTCCTTGTGCTTTTGCCTGATATGTCGACGAACATCTTTGGGCCAGTTGAACCGCTTGTCACAATGAGGACATCCATGGGGCCGTTCAGGCCGGTGTTGCGAGTTGAAATGTTTCCGGATTTCACACATTAGATTGGACTTGTATGAGCACCCTGGCCAGGTGCATTTGTAAAGCTCATCGTCGCGTCGCTCTAGCCGCTCTTGCTTCGAGCGCTTGCTACCATTCCTCGATAGCCCAGTAGCAAATTCGCCAATTTGCATTTGGGGAGAGTCGGTGCCAGGTATTTCCAGAGATAATGGGTTCACACCGGGAGACGTATAGGTTTGCTGAAGTAGTTTATTTTGGCCGATTGATGAAGAAGTTTCGGGCATCGTCGCCCGTTCGGCGAGATCAGGCAGCTCACGGAGAGACGGTGAGGCCACTGGGCCAGACGTATTTGAATCAACTGTTGTCAATCTTGTTGATACTGGGTTTGTTGGGCCAGACTCGGGTAGACCCAAGATGGAGTCATGCCCACTCTTCGTGGGTGGGTAGTCAGCTTCTCGTTCCGGTGATGGACGAGGGTGAAACGATCTTCGGTCAAGTGGCTCGGCTCGCGAAGCTTGATCTTGATCTTGATCGAGATATGGAGGCTCTCCCTTGGCTACTGGCTCAACTGGATGAGAAAGCTCATCGGAATTGAATGGAGCCACTTCAGAGGCCGCATATGAACCATCTCTCGTTCCTGGGCCAAAGCCAAGTACTTCAGTGTCCGGTTCGAATCTGCCCGAGGGAGAGAAGTTGCCGTCCGAGGCCGGCTCTGGTGATGATATGGGCACAGAAGCTACGTTCAGAGCAACATCGGACTCGCCTGGCGCAGAGTCACTCTCTTCTGCGTCGCCGTAAAGTCGACTTGGGAGCGCAAACAATGCCAGCTGCTCCATGTGATGACCCAAATGCTTATAATAAGTCTTCGCATCTTGCTTGCCTTCAAAGCACAAAGGACACCGAACACACTCAGGGCCTTGCCCTATCCGTGCCGACGAGCTCAGTAGATTTTCCGCCGCATAATCACATTTGTCGTGCAGGTGGACGGCTTTCAAGTGCTTCTTAAAAGAGCCTGGGTCGTTAAAAGCATCTGAGCAGTCGAAAGGGCACACCCAGCACGTGTCATGCTCCTTCAAATGACGGCGCCAATCTCTTCGACGTGCAAACTGGCGTCCGCGGGAACCGCAGTCGGAAGTGATGCAGACGTATGGAGGAAGATCCTCGTAGACATGACGCCTCCAGGAACGCTCATCGGGAGCTTCGATCACATGGAAGCAGATTGGGCATTCAAATGGTTCGCCTTCAGCTCCGGCGTCTGGCAGGGGCGGAACGCTGAGATGTGACGCTCCGGCTCGAGTCGTGGCGTATGAAGTAGCAGTGCATATGGAGCCTGTGTCGTTGAATGTATTGAGGCCGGACACTACCTTTTCCTTCAGCACCAAGGAAGTTGCAACGGTACTGGGGCGCTCTTCGCCATTCGTCTGCCGTTCGTCGATCCCTTCGTTCAGCTTCTCATGATGGTCTTCACGATACTTGAAGTACCTTCGATGTCTCGCCAGTGCTGATGTTAGGGTCTGGACGACATCGTCTCCCACACGTGGAAATTTTGTGCGAACATGCTCGATATCGTGAGGTTCGAAGTGTTCCACGCTAACGTCGAGGGCATATCTCACTTGGTCATCCTTAGCAGGATTGCGGAGAGCCATTGACACACGCATCAGGCACGTAATGATGCTGCTGATCTCTTCAATCGCCTCGCTTCTCGAGGCTGTCGGAGTACTTTCATAGATCCCGAACAAAGCTCCGTCGTCCTCGTCGTCCTGGTCGTCCTCGTCGTAACTGCCATTGCCATCACTTTCGTTGTTGCCGACATGTATGTTTTGCCGCTCCTGGCCACGTAGAACAGCCGAGAGATCCGTAAGATAGCCAATCACTGTAGTACTGAGGTAGTATGATTCGCGTAACCGGTACTGTAGTGATCGCTTTCCTGTAGTGTGGGCACTAACATTTCCCATCCATGCGCGGAATCTACCCAGCTGGTCAAGGAGAACATCTTCGCCGAAGATATCTGTTGCGTTATCGAAAGCCCCGATGCACTGTCGTACGGTTTCTGCAATTGACATGTCTTGAAGCAGATTATCTCTCGATGCGGGGAGAGTCTTTTTCGTCTGTAGGGTAGGAGCCTTGTGGACTCGGCTTCAGAACCTCAGAGTATGTCTCAAAGGGATGACGAAGGTGTAGGAGATGATTCGTGTGAAGCTCTTTGAAATGATTGCTCAAAGAGAGAGAGGCGCAGCATAGCTGTGTTCACTATCACATCGCATTGCATCGTGGCGGAGCTGAAATGAGGTGGCCGTGCAGCGAAGCGAGGCGTGGCCCGCCAGTGCCCACGTCTGTATCCGCTGGCACCTTTCAACCAGTCTCCTTTTTCAAACGCGTTCACTATTCTCTTTTCCTGACCTGCCTCTCGTCGAAACAATCATTTTCGGAACGCCAAAGGAACTCGACAGAAGTTTGCTGTCATGTCCGGTTTGGAAATCGTCGGGGTCATCTTGGGATCAATACCTCTCGTGATATCGGGACTGGAGCATTACGCAGATGGCGTTCGAACGATCAAAGTCATCTGCAATGCCTCTCGAGAGTTCAAGATCTTGGCACGAAAGATGAAGGCAGAGGCGACTGTATATCAGAATACGCTCAGCATCCTGTTGAACGACTGCATCTCCATCGACAAGCAGGCCCACCTGCTCCGGGATCCGACTGGTAGTGCGTGGAGTGAAGATGTCCTGCAGAAAGCCCTCAGAGACAGGTTGCGGGACTCATACGAGTCTTTCATGGACCACGTCAGAAGCATCCACCAGTCGCTCGAGGACTTCAAGAAAAGACTCCACATTGATGCCAATGGCAACGGGCCTTTCGACGACGCAAAGTCATTTCGCCAGGCGTACAAGCGCTTTCATTTCGCGCTACAGAAGTCAGCGTATATGGATTTAGTCCACGACATCAATTGTGATAATACTCACATCCACCGCCTGACCAAACAGAGCCAGACTCTTCTCAAGTCGAGCAGACAGCGTCGTACCCCTGACTACGACAATATCCGAGCGGGAGCCACCAGCACATTTGAGATACTTCAACATGGGCTGCAAGTATCTTGTGGAGCACCTCATAAGGCTAGCATTTACCTTCGACCTCTGGGAGCGCGCGAGAGCAGGTTCGACATTGCCATAAGAGAGGCGGACGACACATTTCGCATCGTTCTGCATCATGACAGCAGTGCTCAATCGCAACAGAACCCATTGTCCTGGTCGATTCAAGAGGCTGAGATGCGTTTACTCGATACGCAGGCGGCTTTGCCTGCTTGTCCAACAGCAACACCTTCTCCTTGCTTGACCCGGAAGCGCAAAGTACAGTTCGCCGATCCAGCAGGTCCGACCAAGGCAAAGGGTGGTGCAAAGACTGCGCCTTTGCCACAACAAAAACTTGACGAGATTCGAGACCTTTGCCACAGGTGAGTCGCCCATCATGCGAGTAATCTTGCAGGATGCCTTATTTGGGGGTTCACTACTGACACCTTTGCAGTATCGACAAAATGCGGTCCATGCAATGCGGCGTCTGTCTCGGCTACATGATAGGCGTTACAAGCCAACACCGTCATGGTCTCTATTGGCCCAAGGACCGCCTCCTCGACACCTCGACACTGACGGTATCGACCCTTGCCAACATGTTGGACCAGGGCAAGACTGGACGCAAGTTGACGAACGCGGATGCACATCGTCTAGCCGTCCCTTTGGCTTCTTGGATGCTTCGACTGCACGATACGCCGTGGCTGCTGTCCACCTGGGGCAAGAGCGATATCACGTTGATACAGCAAAATGGCAAAGTCTTGGCCGAGCACGCTTTTATCACACAGAGCCTGAAGTCCGCCGCTCGGGCTCCAGTCGCATCTTCGGCAGGACAAGGGGCCATCGCCACGCTTTTGATAAGGAATCCAACACTCTTTGCCTTGGGCATAGTCCTCATCGAGCTCTGCGTGGGGCAGACATTAGACGAACTCCAGCAACCAGACGAACTGAACGCAGACGGTACCAAGCACGAGCTCTCAGACTTCCAGACCGCTAATCGTCTCCTTGAGATGGGAGAAATCAGCGACAGGTTTGGACAGCGGTGGAGCGATGTGGTTCGACGCTGTATTCGCTGTGACCTGAACCAGAGCAAGGTGTCACTCGAGGATAACGCTTTTCGCTCAGCCGTACACAACGATATCGTGGCAGAGCTCGAGGAAGATTATCGGCAGTTCTTTCATCTCTGAGACACTACGATGATGAGGATGCAGCGCGGCGACCCTCTGGTTTCTGTCCATGATCTTGCCCTTCACGCCCGCGATGTAGCTCAGCCAGCACATCTCCCGCAACAGCGATAGCCTCTTCAGGCAGACCCGCCATTCTAGCGACTTTCAGCGCATGCGATGCTCGGTTGACGCCTCTCCTCAACTTGTGGTCGTACGCCCAAGAGCCATCCTGGCTTTCAGATACATCGGTACAGTAGCATCCTACATTGTCGAAGTCTCTCGTCATGTCAGCCAGAGCATGAAAGTGTGTGGCGAATAGAGACCGACTTCGATTCACGTGGTGGAGATGATGCAGGCAGGCGTATCCCACTGCGATGCCATCCTCGGGGGTCGTGCCTCGACCGACTTCATCCATGATCACGAACGACCGCGGCGTAGCTTGCTTGAGGATCTCTGCTGTTTCAAGCATCTCCACCATGAAGGTTGACTGGTCTTGGTAGAGGTTGTCTGCCGAGCCTACTCGACTGAAGATCTTGTCGACGAGCCCTATCTCAGCGTGCTCTGCTGGCACGAAGCAGCCAGTCTGGGCGAGAATGGTGATGAGTGCGTTCTGTCGGAGATATGTGCTCTTACCCGCCATGTTCGGGCCAGTAATGAGGTAGATCTTCTTATCCTCACCAACATCGCAGTCGTTTGAGGTGAAGCTTCGTCCCTGTTCTTTCAACCCAGCGTCAACGGTTGGATGTCGACCTCCTTTTATTATGTGCGAAGTACCGCCGTTTAGTACGGGGCGCACCCATTTCCTTTCCTTGGCCACTACTGCCGATGAACATGCCACATCCAGCTCGTCCAGAACAGCAGCATTGCGCCGAAGCTTCATGAGGTTCTCAAGCACTTCACCTCGCAACTTGCCAAATACTCGTTCTTCTTCAGTCCTGATCCTCAGCTTTGCATCGTCAATACGCACGCCCAGGTGTGTCCATTCGGACAAGTAGAATGATTTCGTGCTTTTCGTTGAGCCTATCGTACGAGCACCGGCCAAAGCTGACAGGTTGCCTTGAGCATCTTTGCCTTTCACATGGCAGAAGTGGCCAAGCTGAGCACTCCACTTCAATGTCAGGCTGTCCGCACGAAGGTCTCGTCTGAGCCTCATCGCCAGGTCAAACTTCGCGTGAAGCAGCCGATCGAGATCCCCATGTGCTCTTTCTAGGGTGGGCGAGGCATTTCGCCGCATGATCCAGATGTCTTCTGGTTTCAACTCAAACCCTCTGTCATCTTGCTGCATCTGTTGGGACCTGCGTTTGGAGAATTTCGGTGACTTCTGCCCTGCTGCGTCGGCACTTGTGGCCTCTTCGCTCATCTGCTCTGCTTCTGCCTCTGCAGACTCTTCTACGAGATGTTGCTGGTTAAGGCCGTCCTCATCGATGGCTGCCTGAATGTTTTTGGCGGCTTTCAGAGGTTGGTCAAGATCGAGCCGTTCCAGAACATCCCATAAGAAACTCAGATCGAGATTGTACAGGTGCTCCTGTCTATCTTGCACTGATCTGTCTTGATTCACCAGAATATGATCGTGTAGACGATCTGCTATTTGCTGCATGATATCCACTGTTCTTGCCAGGCCAAGCAAATCATCTGCATCGCCTCTGCCAACTGAGAACTTCTGAAGGAGGCGATAGGTATCAGAAGTCTGCTTTAACAGCACCACAATGTCGGCTCGCAGCTCTTCGAACCCACGCAGCTCCTGCACAAGGTCTAATCTATTGTTGATTATCGCAAGCGACATGGACGGCGACACAAGCCTCTGGCTAAGAAGCCTCGCACCACTCTTCGTGACAGTTTGCCTGACCGTGTGCAAAAGGCTGCCCGAGAAGCTACCATCTCGAAGTGTGGAGCGGACCTCGAGGTTCCGCAGGCTCTGGCGGTCTATCGCCATACACTCGTCGTCAGTTCGTCGTATGGGTGCCTGAAGCTGGAGCTGGGTGTCCTGCAACTTTTCCTTGACGTAGCCAAGCACTAGATTTGCGGCTGTGACTTCTGTACCGGAGAATTCGGACTGTCTGTCTTTCGGAACGGCGTGCTCCAGCATTGGGGTCCAATCCGCGACAGACGCTGTTGATTCTTGCACCTCGTGGAAGTGAACAGGAAGGTTGGCATCGCTTATGGTCTTTTGTAGGTGAGGAAGGCCGTACGATTGCATCGAAGAATCTAGCACGATCTCGCGTGGCCCGATTCGAGCAACCGCCGAGGGAAGTGATGCAAGATCCGCGGCCTGAGTATAGAAGTCTCCACTAGACAGATCAATCCAGCTGAGCCCGACTTTGGTGCTGCGCTTTTGACGGTCAAGGGATAACTCGGTGTCTCTTTGTTCGGATTTGGACGGCAGATATCCTGCAAAGTGGATTCCCAGCAGATAATTGTTTTCGAATGGGTCCATGAAGTTCTCATCGACAAGCGTGCCGGCCGTGACGACTCGAGTGACTCTGCGATCGAACATCTGACCCTCTGTTCTCTCATTCTCCGGTAACCGTATCTGCTCGCTGATGGCGACTTGCTTCCCAAGGTCTTGAACAAACATCTTGAGATAACGCTCGAGCTGACCATGTTGAAAGCCTGCCATGGGAACATCGCCGAAGTCTTTGGTCGTTTTCTTGGCCTTCTTGAGGTTGACCAACGGGGCGTATTGCTCGACTTGATCAAAGTACATTTCGTAGAAGTCGCCCACCCGTGTGAGGACGACGCAACCTTTGAACTTTCGGACATTGTCCAAGTGCTGTTGCAGAACGGTAGGATAAGACTTTTTGGCTTCCACTACATCTGCCTTGGTTGCGTCGTCTTCGCCACGGGGGAGTTTGCTGGCTTTGATGACAGTCTTAGTCCTGATTCCGCGATGCAGCACTTGCAAATGCTGGGCTTGACGCTGGGAAGCCCATGGATGCTGGGTACTGGGGACTTTCAGGCTGCCCGGTCGAAGAAGGAGTCTCCAGCGTGCGGTCTTTGACAACAGACTCATACGTGATGGTGGCTGCCGAAATGGAAAAGGGTCGAGTCTAAGAAGCCATACAATCCCGGTGAAGTGAAGCTTGGCTACGGGACATGCAGTGTTGTCGATGCAATGGTATGTCTGTCAGGCGGGGAGATGGGTTGCAACAAGGCCGTCTGAAATTCGATGAGTTTGTTGTTTACGGGCGATGAATTCACTTGCGCGCTGGAATCACGGAAGGGGCGTGCTTCATTGGGCCTAGCGCCGCGCTAGTAGAGCCTAGCTTCAAAACAAATGACACCTCCCTCCCTCTTTCTCTCCCTTCTTTTATCCGCTTTCATCACCCCAGATGGACCAAAAGGAGATCGCAAAGCGCTTGCTTGTTAAAGCTCGGTTATGGAGGAACAAGCTACGGATGTCCAGAATGCTGTAGGTAATGCAGATGAGGACGCCACGCGAGACCGAGCGCCGGACTCTCATGTGGCAGCAGATGAGATGATGAAAGACGGGGATACCGAGCTCCCCTCTGAAGACGAGGATCTGGCAGATCGTCACCCTGGAGTGCCCCGGGCGTCTGATTCGCACTCTTCCGCCGGATATCCGACAGGCAATCTTACCGACGAGGACCGCATTGTGGCCGCCTGTTCTGATCCAGATCGCCACTTGCTCAGCGATCCAGAACAGGGAGCAGACATCATCAAGTACTCCAAATCGTGCATTGTCAAATTCGGCAACGTCTCGGCCAGCGAAGCAATGAACCAACAACTTGCACACAGAATCCTCGATCCGAGCATCGTCCGTGTTCCCGAGGTGCATCACCACTTCACGCGAGACTCTGACGGATATCTGGTAATGCAATACATCGACGGTGCTCCTTGCGGTAGTCAAGTTGCCCGAGAGAACGTTGAAAAGATCGCGGCTGCAATCAAGCACCTGTGGAGTCAGAGCGACCTGCCTGTGCAAGCGCCAGGCCCAATTGGCGGTGGTATGACACAAGGAATGCTTTGGGAGAATGAAGAGATCGAAATCGAAGATTTGCAAGATCTTGAGAAGTATTGGAACGACAGGCTTCTGGGTCAGATGGACCACGTGCGGTTCGAGAGCAGTCAGCTAGCCTTTGTTCACTGCGACGTGGCACCTCGCAACATCATCTGGAGCAAAGACGGCATACCGACTTTGCTAGACTGGGCTCATGCGGGCATATATCCGAGATCTTTTGAGCGCGCCACACTAAGTCTGAACACGCAGCAAGGCACGAAGGTGGATTTTTCAGACTCCCTGGCTGAGCTGCTCCCACTAAGTGAGGAAGAGGAAGCCCAAGTGCAGCAGGTGCTACTAGGCTAGTTCAACGGCCATAGATTTGCCGTGTAAGTGTTTATGTGACGCAAAATCCATTTCCTTGCTGATAGTAAGATGTAGCCACACTCGGCCTAGAGTGCAGCATGCAGGTCCTCCACCGCAAGACTGAACGACAACTTGTCCAGTCTTCGTTGTTGGTTCGGGATAGTGGGAGCCATGATCTCTCTTGCGACTGAGGTAGGTGTTCATCTGTCAGCGGGACGGTCGAGTTTATTTCGCGGGGAATTTCCATCGGTGAGCGGAGCGCCAGGCCACCAAGGACTTCCGTAACTTGTTAGGCTCGTGCTTCGTCAACCAACCCGTCACGACGACTTACTTTCTCAGCTCACTTAACGCCACCTTAACGCCACCTTAGTACTCATTTCGAAGAACTAGTAGCTTCAAGAATAATTTTGATGACACGTGTTGTGAAGATGATTACCTTTGCTGTGTATGGACCCAACCAAAAATGTTACCCTGCCCAGGAAGCTGTCACGGGCTTAGCGCCACGCTAGCGACTTCCCAGATTCTGAAATGATTATAGAAGTCACAGCTGCCTGCGCTCTGTCTCGCCCAGCTCAAGCGATTGCACTTTCAGGACTTGTACATGTATGCAACAGCGTCACTTGCATCGACATCTGCTCCCAGCTTCGTCCGTCAGCATTGACACCAACTTCAGCACATCTTCGACAGTAACACCAACGCATACATCACAGCAACGATGCCGCACGCTGTCGATATCTACACCGATGAAGACCTTATCGTAGCAGCTTGCCACAATCCTCTCCGGCAGTGGCTGAGCGAGCCTGACATCGCTCACGACGAGGATAGAAAATGTGGAGTCATCCGATACTCCACCAACGCAGCCGTCAAGTTCAGTCGCTTCCTCAATGCAGGAGAGGCTGCATGTCAAAGACAAGCCCACCTCCTGACGGATCCACTCGTGGTTCGTGTTCCTGAGGTTTACTACTATTTCGAACGTGGCGAAGGAGTGAACCGGTGGGGATATCTTGTCATGGAGTACATCGAAGGAGAGAAGAGCGACGCACTTCCGACGCCCGACCAGCTGCGCACGATTGTAGGAGTCATCGAACATTTGGGCACGAAACGCGGGAGTGTGCCGGGTCCTGTCGGCGGAGGTCGAACGTATGGAATGCTCTGGGAAGACGCAGAAGTCGAAATCAGAAGTGTGGCGGAGCTCGAGAAACACTTCAACGACAGGCTATTCGACAGCTATGGTGGTCTCTGGAATGAGAAGAGATGGCAAGGGATCGACGTCCAACCATTCCGTTTCCAGGAGAGCGAGCTCGTGCTTGTACACGGTGGGATCCGACCACACAATTTTCTCTGGTGCTCAGATGGCATACCAGCTCTACTCGACTGGAGCGAGGCCGGATTCTAACCCAGATACTTCGAGCATGCTTCATTGTCGTGGTATCTTGGTGGTGGTGACAACGTCCCATTCGTCCTCGCAATGGAAGAAATCACACCCCTAAGTGAACACGAAGAGGACGACATCGAGAAACTCCATCATGCCGCTGAAAACACCTACCTCTATGGGCTGTGAGTGACTCCGTATTCCTTCTGGGAATGAAAACTCGCTGATGCTGTTTGATAGTTCCATCTACGAGCCTGAAAACTTCCTCAGGCCCCCACCACACCGGGGGAGACCCGGCGACTGAAGGAAACATCTCTCAGCTGGATGATCGCCGCTGAGAGGAACCCGAAGTGATGCGTGCGGCTCCAGTCTGCTTGTCGAGATAGTGATGGTTAGAGCCGACACGATGATTCACATTCGTTCGACTCGGGAGTAGGACTTCAAATAGCTTGTGTGTATCGATCGTATCAACACTGGCCTTGCTTTTCTTCACGATTCTGTATCCGACTTCCAAGTCGACTTCGGGCCGCCGTGGACGCAGGGAAACGATTCACACCAATTGTCTCAAGTCTAGGCTGTGCATCCCCAAGGATCGAAGGGTGACCATGCCGTCTCGCGGCTCGTGTGCATGATAGTGTGTCGTTGTGAAAAGGAGAGATGTGTTGCAAATATCGGACATTTCCCCTCCGAATGCCTGACGGCTTAGACGGGACCGAATGCACCAAAACTATCTGCTATCCCCGCAGAATGATGAATGACCGTGCCATGCGTGTTTGCCACGAAAAGTTGGACGTTGTTGATGCTGGGGAAGAGAATTGTGAAGCCTGAAATGACGCGCAAGCTTTGCATGGAGCGTGGCTGTGATGGCGGAAGGCGTCGGTGTCTGGTCTTGGCGTCGCTGACGTTGTGTCCTGCGGCTGCTTGACCTGACTTTATCCCGCCATTGCTCCAAAAACATCCCCAAACTCGCCCTCTTTCCCTGCCTTCCATATTGCTGATCGCACACTGGTTACTGCTGTCTTCACGGGGATTTCTACTACTATTCACGACGCGGGAGCGATTCTCACACTGGCGGTGCAGCGCCGGCCGGCCCAGTAGACGGGCACCCAGAAACACCCCAACACCACCAACATGGTGCGCAAATACTTATCCCACAATACGCAGAACTCTCGAACTGACTCCCTGCCAGGCGGTCACAAAGCGCGCCGGGCGCAAGAAGGACGCCGCCCATGCCCAGCCCCAGGCGTCTGGCGGTCAACCACAGATCCGCAAAGCAGCCTACGAGACGACCAAGAAGAAAGAGGTGGGCGTGTCCGATCTGACGCTGATCAGCAAGATCTCCAACGAGGCCATCAACGACAACCTGAAGAAGCGATTCGAGAATGCCGAGATCTACACCTACATCGGCCACGTGCTGGTCTCGGTCAACCCGTTCCGCGATCTGGGCATATACACCGACCAGGTGCTGCACAGCTACCAGGGCAAGAACCGCTTGGAAATGCCCCCGCACGTCTTCGCCATCGCCGAGAGCGCATACTACAACATGAAGGCTTATCATGAGAACCAATGCGTGATCATCTCGGGCGAGTCAGGTGCAGGAAAGACCGAGGCGGCGAAGCGCATTATGCAGTACATCGCAAATGTGTCGGGCGGGCGAGACTCGAGCGTCGACAAGATCAAGGACATGGTGCTGGCAACCAACCCACTCCTCGAATCCTTCGGCAATGCCAAGACGCTGCGAAACAACAACTCGTCGCGATTCGGCAAGTACCTGGAGATACAGTTCAATGCGCAAGGAGAGCCAGTGGGTGCAAACATCAACAACTATCTCCTGGAAAAGAGCAGAGTGGTGGGCCAGATTCGAGACGAGCGAAACTTCCACATCTTCTACCAGTTCACAAAGGCGGCGAGTCAAGAGCACAGGACAAACTTCGGCGTCCAGCAGCCCACGACGTACTCATACACCAGCAAGAGCAAGTGTTACGATGTGGCGGGCATTGATGATACGGCCGATTTCAAGGACACCATCAACGCCATGAGCGTCATTGGGATGACCAAGGCCGAGCAGGACGACATCTTCAGGATGCTGGCTGCGATTCTATGGATTGGAAATGTCTCGTTTGGAGAGGACGAGCAGGGCAACGCCGCCGTTCGAGATCAATCGGTCATTGATTTTGTTGCGTATTTGCTGGAAGTCGACAATGCGCATGTCAACAAGGCCCTGACTACTCGAATCATTGAGACGAGCCGAGGCGGACGACGTGGCTCTGTATACGACTCTCCCATGAACATTGCACAGGCGACTGCGGTGCGAGATGCACTGAGCAAGGCCATATACACCAACATGTTCGACTGGATCGTGCAGCGCGTGAACCAGGCGTTGAAAGCGCGAGGATCGATAGCGCAAAGCATCGGAATTCTGGATATCTACGGATTCGAGATTTTCGAGAAGAATTCCTTCGAGCAGCTTTGCATCAACTACGTCAACGAGAAGTTGCAGCAGATCTTCATTCAGTTGACTTTGAAGACGGAGCAGGAGGAGTATGCAAGAGAACAGATCCAGTGGACGCCGATCAAGTACTTTGACAACAAGGTGGTGTGCGAATTGATCGAGGAGAAGCGACCGCCTGGTGTTTTCGCTGCTCTGAATGATGCTTGCGCAACCGCACATGCCGATCCAACTGCAGCAGATCAGACTTTTGTGCAAAGATTGAATGCACTTTCGGGAAATCCCAACTTTGCACCAAGACAGGGCCAGTTTGTCATCAAGCACTACGCTGGTGACGTGAGCTACGCAGTCGAGGGCATGACAGACAAGAACAAGGACCAGCTTTTGAAAGATCTCCTCAATCTTGTCGGACAAAGTTCGAACAACTTTGTGCATACCTTGTTCCCGCATGAGGTTGACCAGGATAACCGACGAAGGCCACCAACGGCTGGCGACAAGATCAAGGCGTCTGCGAACGATCTCGTAAACACTTTGATGAAGTGCACGCCGAGCTACATTCGAACGATCAAGCCCAACGAGAACAAGAGCCCGACCGAATACAACTCGCCGAACGTGATGCATCAGATCAAGTACCTCGGTTTGCAGGAGAACGTACGAATTCGGCGCGCTGGATTCGCCTATCGACAGACATTCGAGAAATTCGTGGAACGGTTTTACCTACTTTCACCGAAATGTAGTTATGCTGGCGAGTACACCTGGACGGGCGACGCCAAGTCTGGAGTCAAGCAGATCTTGAAGGATACTTCGATCCCGGCAGAGGAGTGGCAGATGGGTGTGACGAAGGCATTCATCAAAACTCCAGAAACTCTTTTTGCGCTGGAGACGATGCGAGACCGATACTGGCACAATATGGCCATTCGTATCCAGCGAGCTTGGCGTAACTACTTGAGATATCGTGCAGAGTGTGCCACTCGAATCCAGCGCTTCTGGCGAAAGAAGAACGGTGGCGAAGAGTTCATGGTGCTCAGAGACCAAGGACACCAAGTACTTCAGGGCCGAAAAGAACGACGCAGGTTTTCACTCGTCGGATATCGTCGATTCTTGGGCGACTACCTTGGTATCGACAACAAGGGCGGCACAGGCGAGCTGCTGCGCAACAGTGCTGGTATTGGCCCCGGCGACAAGACATACTTTTCATGCAGAGCTGAAGTCTTGGTCTCGAAGCTTGGCCGATCAAGTAAACCCGAGGCCCGATTTCTGGTCCTCACGAACCGAAGCGTATACATCATCAAGCAGGCCATGGTCAACAAGCAGGTGCAAATCTTCTCTGAAAGAACAATACCTGTCGGATCGATCAAGTTTGTCAGCTGCAGCACGCTCAAGGATGACTGGTTTTCGCTGGGGGTCGGCAGCCCACAAGAACCAGACCCGCTGATCAACTGTATCTTCAAGACCGAATTCTTCACTCAGCTCAAGCAGGTCACACGAGGAGCGACGCAGCTGCAGATTGGCGAGACTCTCTCGTACAACAAGAAGCCTGGCAAACCTGCGACTATCAAAGCGGTCAGGGATCCGGCCGTGCCCAGGGATGATGTTTACAAGAGTGGACAAATCCATACCGGCCCGGGTGAGCCGCCGAACTCGATCAGCAAGAAAACACCGAAGGGTCGAAGTGTTCCTGGGAAAGCCATCACAAGCGGCAAGCTGCTCAAGAAGAGCACTGGCGGCAAGCTTTCGCAACAAGCAGCACAAAGGAGGCCCATCCCTCAATCTCAGCCTCTACCGGGATCGAACGCTCAGCCTGCACAACAGAGAATTGTGCCACAACCTGCCATTCCTCAACCAGCTGTTCAACAACCGCAAGCAGTACCTCAGCCAGTCGCGGCACTCTCGAATGGGACATCACATGCACGAAACGCATCCTCATCATCTGCACGTGCCCCACCGCCTCCACCGCCGCCGCCTGCCGCAGCTGCGCCGCCTAAAGATCCACAGTACAAAGCATTGTATGACTTCCAAGGTCAGACCGGCGGCGAAATGAGCCTGACTCAGGGTGAGGTAATTGTCATCACCCAGAAAGAAAATAACGGTAAGATCTCTCACTTTTTCGACTCTCTTTCATCACATGTACTAACACGCGATAGGCTGGTGGCTCGGCCGCCGAATGGACCACTCTGCCTCTGGCTGGACTCCCGCCGCATACCTTGAAGAAGTCAAGCAAGCGCCCGCGCCCCCGCCCGTGCAATCGCGACCACCTCCACCACCCGCACCGGCAGCGAACGGCGCCGCAAAGGGCAAAGTAGCACCAGCACCGCCAGCAAAACGTCCAGCAGGTCGCAAGCCAGCACCCGCACCCGGCACGCCGAGGGATAGTGGATATTCGAATGGGGCGAATGGAGCGAATGGAGGAGGTAGTGGGACAGCGACACCGACAGGAGGAAATCCGGGACTCGCGGGTGGACTCGCAGCTGCTTTGAAAGCCAGGTCACAGGCTATGAATCGAGATGAACAGAAAGACGATGATTGGTGAGCGCGTCATGGATAGATTTGTTTCTGAAATCAGCGGGCGTTACGACCGAACTCGACATGGTCTCGTTTACTATTGATTTTTAGCGATGAAGAAAAAATTGGGATAGCTTTTAGGCTTCCTCTTGAAATGGACGAGATTGTGTCCTCGAAGTACGTTTGTCACTCAGATGAGGGTGTACATTCCATCACCATCATTGGCGAGCCTTCTAAAAGCCAACGTGAAGTGCAACAAGGAGCAAAGTCGGAACAAGGGATATGTTCGTGCGATTTCCTGCCTGCTCAGCTTTTTAGGACGCCGGAAGCGCAGGATTAGGCGCTTCGCCAAGAATTACAAGGTCTACCTCCTTGCTAGGGGTGGTAGCTTCTGTAAGGCGCAGGATTAGGCGCTCCGCCAAGGGGTGAGGGTGCTTCACATTGCGTAAGGATGAGATTTTGGGATGCCTGTTCGACGTCTGGGCCGCTGTGGGCGCAGGATTAGGCGCTTCGCCAAGACGTGAGGGTTCTTCACTTGCGAGGAGCGGTTTTCGTCTCGGCGAGAAGTTGGGCGTGTAGGATGCGCTTGAACATGATTGATGAAGAGGTGAAGTTGCTTTATTAGTACTAGGAGGATAAGCTGCGCTGGGGAAGCGCTGGAATGCGCTTTAATGATGAGTGAGGTTCCTTCCTATTTGGGCAGTTATGAGGGGAGCGCTAAGACGCGCTTTAGGGAGGTGAAATTCCCTTACTAATACGGCCCTTCTCTCATGCCCCAGCTGCTTCTACAACCTCGAGATGAGATTGCCTCACTTGAGCGCTAGAAGCGCTATGTAATACATCTCTCCTATATGTTAGCATCTACTCCCTCAAGAAAGTAACCGGGATCCGGTGGCAATTCTTCAACCTCGAACTCGATCGGTCATTACCTTTTAGTACCATTGCCCAACTTATGGCGGAGTGTTCCAGTCGCAACCTTGGTCACCTGTTTACTCTGATGAGCATGAGACATCGGAGGTGCTCGTGTTGCGCGTTGCTTAAGCTGTGCTGTGCTTCTGTTCTGTTCTGCTTTGCTCGTCCGCTAACTTCGAGGTTAGAGAAACAAGGGTGCTAATGACCTAGATGGTGGGAAGCGGCCGGAATGTTCACGGCCTAAGACTCTCCTAAGCAGCAGCATCGATCGTGTCAACGGTACAAGATTGAATGGCGTGGAAGAACGAGCAGCGTCGGGGAGAGAGTGTGCTTCTTTTGATGTTGCGGCCCGTGATCGATTTGCGCAGCCCTGATCCGGACGAACATTTTCTTGACTGGTATGGAACGAAAGATGTGAGCAGAGTCTTTTCTCCTTTCTATCTCCGTTTTCCCATTGAGGACAGACATCTCATGCTTAGTGTTAACATCGTGGACGCCCGCAGAGATTCGGGGATCGGCTGTGTGAGTAGTCGCTGCCTCCTTCTGAGGCGGTTCGTTGCTTCCACGCTCACTGCCTTCCTTCCTATCTTCTTTCCTCTGACGCTACTACCTCTTTTAGATATAATAATGTGACTGGAGGCGAGCTGCTGCGAAGCGCATGAGGAAAAACTACATAGATCTGCAGTTTTCGGCTTCGTAAGGGTGTCTTGCATTGAGTTGCTTTTAATTTTCATCGATATACAGCCTCGATACGAAAACTTGATTCCCCGAAGCATAACGCTAAGTACAAATTGGTGGCGGTGCGCAAGAGAAATGCTAACTGAAATGCCCCTTTGCGCAGATATATATTGCTTGTCGGCCCCGAACTATATGCTCTGAGCTCTCCTCTCCTCAGCTCTCCGTGATGGTGTTGGTGGTAACATCAACTTCTGTTTTGGCAAACCTCCAGGCTGGCACCCTCTCCTCGAAAAGAACGTCCAGCTCCTGGTACGTCTTTCCTTTGAGCTCCGGAAGGCGGAAGATAGCCCATACCAAGATGACGGTATTGGTACCGAGCCAGAAGAAGGCTGTCTTGCCTTTAAGATTACCCCAAGTCGGATTGATCAGTCGCGGCTCAATAACTTTGTTGACGACATTCATAATGGTGTAGGCGTTTCTGGCGAGTGACATGGTTTGGGCACGCAACCGAGTCGCCGACACTTCGGATACGACGGTGTACACCTGCGGTCCTACAGTCAAGGCGTAGATGGCAATCCAGACTAGACAAAGTCCGGCCTGGGCCCAGAGGAAGTCTGTACCATGGAAGCATGCTAGCACGCCGATCGTCAAGAGGCAGAAGGACAAGCCAGACAAGCCTGAGAGCAAGAGCGTTCTTCGTCCGAAGCGTCGCATCAAGAACCATGTCGTCACACACCCGATACATGAGATGCCAGTCGACCCCAGGTTCATCTTGTACGTATTTTGAGGGCTCAGTCCGGCGCTGCTGAAAATGTTGGGTTGAATGCGAATCGCTCCCCACACCAGCCTTGCGCAATCATGGTGACACAGGCGATCTCGGTCCGGCGGAGATTCGATCCTTTGAAGCATTCCAAGTAGCCTGACTTGGACTGAATGGCCTTCTCATACTCATCTGTGTGCTTGATCATAGCGATTTGGCTCTGGATCAGTTCCGGCTCGACGCGTGACAATCTTTCCAGCGATCGCTGGGCTTTCGTGACGTAGCCTTTGCGGACCAACCACCAAGGCGACTCGGGAGCCAGGTAGGCAAGAATAGCCAAAGGGATCGGCCAAATCCATTGAGGCGCAAGGGTTATTTTAAAGGACCAGTTCGAAGGCATGTCCACCAGTCCGACCAGGACACCAGCACCAATCAGCTGGCCCAAAGCCCAGCAAAGAGCGTTGTACGATGTCAGGTACCCGCGCAGGGCCAGTGGGCACACCTCCGACGAGTATGCGCCACCCATGACGGTGAAGATGCCCCATGGAATACCCATCAGGACCTGGCCTACGCACAGGATCGCAATGGTCGGAGCAAACACCATGACAGCAATGCAGCCAGAAAGTACCGCCAAAGAGACTATCATCACCCGGCGATGCCCAAAGCGCTCCAAGACGAATCCGTTGATGATGAGACCGATAATTTCACCTGCCGAGATGGCGTTGCTGAGGCCAATCATCCACGGACCAGTGATCTCATAGTCGTTGTCCTCGGGATACCACTGGCCATATTTCCTCTTGAAGGAGGGGTAGGCGAAGAAATTGGCGATCAGACTCGTGTCATAGCCGATCATGATGACCGACATGGACATGATGAAGGACCAAAACACAGCGCCGGGGTATCGTTGCACAGCTGCACGAAATCCGAGCAAGTGTTCCGAATCGTTGGCGCGCAGAATGTCCTGGTCTTGTTTTGCCTCCAGATCTCGATCATCGTCTTGATGATCCACGCGCTCTTTCAGCTCAATGGTGGGCTGTTTCTCCATGGCTATTGGTAACGGGTTTCCGTTGGTGTCGGGGCTGACTTCTTGTTCAGTTCAAGGATGAGGTGGTCGGCATAGGTGACGTCGTTGGAAAGTCAGGCAGCTCAGGGGCTTTCAAGGTCATTGATGATGGGCGTTGTTACACGTCTATATAATCATCTATTGCAGTACCAGGGCGTCGGTACATCCCCAAGTTCTCTCCACAACGAGCTAAACTTTCTCCGCGTCCAGGACAAAGTAAAAAGCACATGGCAAGCTGCGGAAAGACGGTTTGGTGGGTAGTAGCCTAACTTGCCTCTTCGGGATGAGTGAGACCTGCGAGGGCGGCATAGCAGTGGTCGATCACCCAAGCTTTACCAGTGTTCGTGACTTAATGACATTCTTGTCGACACTCTCCATATCTGACAAGTAAGGTTCTACTCCATCACCGTGTCTTCACGTTCACTCATCAACAGGGGGCTTCTCGAACATTGTGCAAATTTCTGCCGACCTCGCTTTTGCGTAAGTCTTCAAGGCAAAGATCCCGTGACAGTGCCAGTGAGTGCACATAGACGCCGAACAAGCACAGCTGCCACCTTCGCTGAGGGGTCAAAGGGTTTCCTTAGACTCCGTATTCGCTTTGCCTCGACTCGAATCGGGTTCCAGGACCCACACCCCACTTGTTCGCAAGAGAACGATGGAAGACGTCAAATCCTTCTCGCATGACATCTCAGCACGCTTGAGCGAATCGGGCGGCATAGGCTCTGGCTGCAAGCTCTCGTATGAGCGGTCGCTGTATATATAAGGCGACTTCGATTCTCTTGGCTTCGAGCTGGTCCCGGTCGCGAGAGGTGTTGCAGACTGGTCGATCTCTCTCGATGCAAGGACGGACATGGCGCCATGGTGCTTAATTAAAGATGGCCAGTAGCCCATGTGGCCGTACTGTACGAGCGGTCGGTACCCCGTCGTTGCAGCAGGCTCTATGTCGACCGATTCACTGTCTCCGCACTTCAGCATGCCATATTTCCTTCAAGGCATTGCAGCCATGACTTCGATATAGCCGCCTCGAGGAGCGGTCATTGGATAGCATAGACTTAAACGGCCCCCCTGACATAAATAAGCCAAGCCAGACTTTAGCCTCATCGTCCGTACATATGATGGCCCCCGTTTGTCCAGTGTCCACATCAACACATCGATCTGAAGCATCCTCCGACTTACTACCTCTCTGACGTCCAGCTCGCCATCGAAGTGCCACAAGGTCCTAGCCCTCAACAAAACCATCAACTCGCCTCCGTATATTTCCGTAAGACAGAAAGATGTGACAACGAGTCCAACCACAAACGTCAACTTGCCAGGCAAGCCAAATTCGCCTGCGGAAGACTCCTCCAACAAGCCATGGGCTGCAGACAAAACATCGACAACATCAAGAAGGCCCTTCAGGGCTGTCATGGGCCCAGGGATATGAACTGGAAGGACGGGCTGCAGCGTAATCTCGTGGCGCAGAGGGAGATCTGTGGTTCAAGCTTGCACAGGGCGACGAAGGCGAACGACGATCGTAACACCTTTCAAGGCAGTGCCAATGAGCTCGCGCGTCAGGCAGTGGCCTACCGCAACAATGCGAAGAAGGCAACGCAGGACGTGCGGAACCTTGGCTGAGTGCGCCAAATCAGAGTTGGCGAGGTGTTGATGTGATGAGCATCGCTGCATATTGGGTTTTATGACAATTTCGGTGTATTCGCCTTGTTGTCCATCTGTTGCTCCTTCCTTCGTAGCTATTCTGAATGATATGATGCAGAAATCTATCGTTATGAATTGCCGAACGGCAGCGAGACCTATCGGGGACAGCGTGTTTCAGATTCCTTCGATAATCGAGGTAATGCAACTGCAGGTGCGGTCTCTTCAAGCCGTCGGTGGATCTGGATCTCACATGGCCTTGTGGTGTTAAAACCGGGATTCGTTTGATACTGCATTGAGTGGCCATGGGTCATGCTGCAGACACCCGGGTTCTTGGTCTCCTCTATACGTTCAACATAGTGCGCTTTTGAAGAGCTGCCCTCGTTCCTGCGCTTAGAGTAACGATTCAAATTAGAGACAATCTTCAATCTCTCTGGCATTGTTGCAATTGAATGAAGATGGCGCACTTGTTTGGCGCATCGAAGAGAGCAAGGAATAGACCTAAGCTCCACGAAGGCTCTCTTTTCAATGGGGTATACCAGGATAATGTGCCGCTGGCGGACCAAACCTGTTCCTCGTCCTTTCCGTACGCTCATCCACCGCGGGGTCCGGCCCTAGACGGCGATAGCGAGGAAGACGCCATGCTATCGGCTCATGCAAATCCTCACTCTGGCGTTTGTATATATTCTGCGATTTGCGCAAGCCTTTGATCAGTGAATTTTCGATCTCCTCGTGGCCATGGCTAAATAGAATCGTTTGGTAGTCTTGTGACAAGTCGTCCAAATGCAGAGTGTCGGCGTTCTTAGTGATGTAGTCGAATACGACGTTCCATGAGCCGTGATCCAATGAGATATTGACGAGTGTGAGATCGTGAACCTGATGGCGTTTGAGGAAGTTCATTAAATCATGCTCTCTTGCCACGAAATTGCGTAGAGACAAGACCTGGAGGGTTGGAATATGATCTGCCCTGACGAGATTCTTTAAGAATTTCTCTCCCTGGTAATCATTCAGCTCCGAACGGCGTCGTCGCACGTAACATCGCCTCAAGTCGAGCTTTCTTAGTTTTTTGCAACTGTTTAGTAGCATGACCAGGCCGCTGAAGTTTTCATCTCCCGCGACTTGGTTCTTAAGCTCTTCGACATCTGGTAACAGCCTATCTGCGTATGCGTATGCATCTGCATCGGAGATGATTCTTTCGACCAGATCACCAGTCGACCCGGCATCGTTCGGGGTCTCGTTGAGGACGCGATCGGATATACTGATTGACAACGACTCGACGTTAGCAAGTGTGAAGGCAACGCCGCTTGCAAGCCAGTCGCAGCGGCTCAGCTGGTTGCACTGCAGACTGCAATGGCCGGAGAAGTCATTGCAGAATAAGTTGAGCTCCTGTATCGGCAACCTGGCGGCACCCAAGGAGACTGTGAAAGTGTGGAATGTCTCTTCTGCCATTCGCCATACCGATCTCCAGGCTAACCTGTGAGTGGCGGGCTGCGTGGTCGTAGTATCCTGGCGGTATTCTACAACGTCGATGGAGAGAGATGCCAGCCCCTGGCGTTTTGTGTTCGCCGCAAGATTCTTCAGAGCGCTCGTCAGTAAGGTGACGTCTCTTCCCGACTCGTGGAAGTGGTAGTAGTCGGCTTGCTTTCTTCGCATGTTGTCAAGTTCTGCAGCCGCATGTGCAAGGTTGGCTGCAGTCCCTGGCTCGCTTGGCTCATCGAGCATGCCAGATCCCTCGCAGCCGCGGCCAACCATAGCTTTCGTGCGCTTTTCCAGTTGTTGATGGAGCCCGGCAGTGTTGTAAACTACGCCAACAAGCGTAAGCTCTTCGATAAAGCAGCCGATGCGGCTGGCAGTTGTCAAATCAGCCGAGAATTGCAGCGCCAGCCTTGTCATTTCGACTCGTCGGGAGTGCAAGAAGGAGCCAAAACGATTTTGAGTCGCTTTCGACGCGGCAGAGCGGCTCACCAGGCGAACATTGAGCAGGTCTCGTAGGTCCAGAAATGCATTGATGGCTTCGAAGACCTCGACAGGTAGACTCTCGAGTGGAGAACCAGCCATGGCTGGAACACGACGCGCGCTGGGATGGTGCACGAAAGGAGGATAGCGAAGCAGGGAGAGGGTAGGAAGACATCTTGATATGCATCTATGTATTCTTGTTGCTTTGTAGAAGCACCCGTGCTGGGCGCGGCGTGACGTCAAAATTGACATTTGCCAAGCCGCCATCATCAGACTGTTATATATGCAGCGGTTATATCTGATGCCATGAATGATTGATCAATTCAACTATCTACAAGGAGTGTGATCTCCTTGCCGGGAAATGTGTCTTTCATGTCCACGCCGCCGTTCTCCTCTTCTGCGAATACTCCATCCAGATCCTAACCCTACATGTTTCTCTCCACGGGGAAGGAATCCATATCGACCAGTATGCAACCATAGTCGTGAGTGGCGTGCACATCTGCAGAAGACTTATCGAGTTGATACTCTTGAGTCCGATACTGTTTTTTTATCTGTAATTCGACGATGATCTCGACTCATGAATTGCAGGCCGAACTTCACCTCTCGATGTTTGCATTTCGGACGAGACACCGCCCGCGAGTCATAAGTCGACCTAGATGGCACAAGGCAGGTATCTCCGCCAGAGGCGGCTTGAGCAGTGCCCGACACTAGTCGCTAATAGCTCGGCTGTTCAGCATCGTTTCGAGATAGATCAACTTGTCTAGAAAGTAATATTCCCTCTTGAGGGTAGGCCAAGTCTAGGAAATCTTCCCACTTTCCACGTGTTTTCGCACAAGACAAGCACCCCATGCTTCCTCCCTGTGGCATGAACACCTCTGAAACTCCGGGGAAGAGAGACTGAAATTATCGATGAGAAGCTCTCAGGTTCATCAAGTCTTGGACGGTATGCTGATTGCGAGTAGAGATCAGATCGAGATTGGATAGGAACTTTCAGGGATTGTGCCGGTATCCCCACTCGATGGGTCTCGAGAAGTAGCAGACACGACTTGCCGTTGGCTTGGATGGCTGTCGAATTCTGGGGATAGTTTTGTGAGATGATAGTCATTTCGAAAGTTCAAGGAAGCATTTCAACACTCATTTTTGCCTGCTTCTCAATGAAGCACCTTTTCTGAAGCCATAATTTCTCTTCCATCCCCACAACGCCAGCGCTAATCATGTACAGAAAGCATCTCCAACGCCATGGTCACCTATCGATCGTGAGAGAGAATGCCCGCTATCTGTAAGCAGAGATCCAAAATCGTCAGGTGCTCGTCACTCCCATCCACCAATCTCTTATCCGTTTCTGAGAAGCACAGCACGATTCTGTTCTTCGCCGCATCGCCAACGATCTCGTTGACGATTACGATCTTATCGTAGAGCTGATTGACGATCTGTGAGGCAGACCATCCTTCTGCCACCAAGTCCTCCACGGCCTGCGCAATGGGTCCATAGGGAGGGGTCGCAGACTTCGACTTCGGCGTGATGGCTGTAAGCAGGCGGTCGATTGTCTCGTCTGGGATGACACCCGCAATCTCCTCGATGGCACAGATTGTGACTGGCATCGTGTCTGCAGGTGCAGGATCAATATCCATAGCATCATCTTCATCATCGTCTGCCACGGTCTTGCGTTTGCGCTTCTTCTCCGGGGCAGCCGACTGTACCGCGCCAACGAGTCTTGCTGCACTCTGCAGGAAGGTGATAGCTTTACGGAGATCTCCCTCGCTACATCTGAGCAGCGTCTCCACAACGCCATTCTGCAGCTTCACGCCTTCCAATTTGGCAATATCCTCGATTCTCTTCGCTGCGTTGCCCTCATCCAAGCTCTTGAACCGAAATTTGCTGCATCTCGAGGCCAGTGGATCGATGATCCTCGTCACGTAGTTGCAGACCAAGCAGAAGCGTGTGATCTTGCTGTAAGTCTCCATCGTCCTCCTCAACGCACTCTGGGCGTCCTGTGTCATGCTGTCCGCCTCGTCCAGCACGATGATCTTGTAGGGTGGGCATGGGTATTTCTTCTTGTATTCTTCTCCCGCAGGACCAGACGGGGGATTTGACAGCTGCATACGGGCGAAATCCTTCACCTTTTCCCTGACGATGCTGATACCACGCTCGTCAGATGCGTTGAGCTCCAAGACTCGAGTCTTGATCAGATCGGGGCCATAGAGTTGCTTAGCGAGTGCGAGCACGGTGGACGTCTTGCCAGTTCCCGGAGGACCATAGAAGAGCATGTGCGGGAGATTGGCGGATTGCAGCGTTCTTCGGAGGACAGTGACGGTGTGGTCTTGGGCGGTGACGTCGTCGAGTGATTTGGGGCGGCTGTTCTATCATGAGCATAATTCTCTTTCTCTTGGACGTCTCCATCCAAAGCAGAGCGTCACACATACTACTTCTCAACCCATGGCTGCAGTCGGTTGTCTTGTGCCGGGGACGTGTCCTTTGATGAGCTCGCTTTTGCCGCAGCAGCCGCCTGTCGTGCTCGGATGTCGAAGAAACTGGCCATTGTGACGGTGCGCTCACTTCAGATGAGGTGTATTCTGGGTTGATAGACGCGTTGATGGAAGACGCGACGACGTGAAGCCATTACGGCTCGTCCCGCGTAGCAGCGGACACATCCGCTAGTGTGGACAACATCTCTACGATATCTTCGACCATTCCTCTCCGTTGTCTCGAGCATTTTCCTAGCGTGCATGGCATCGACCCCAGCATTATAACTTTTGAGTCCTGGAAAATATGGGGGATGAAGTCGTCTTTTCACAGATACTGAACTCAGCATGTTGCTGCTTCTATGTCGACACTTCCCCAGCAACGCCCACGACATCTGTGCCAGTGAGCCTACCATTGGATCTTGGTGTAGCCATGATCTTTGGCGATTTAGTTCTTCAAGCCATCAAGACGCAGCAACCGATCCCGCGAGTTCACATTACCTAGTACTGACTGAACAAACACATCAGCATCTTGCTGTCAACTCGACTTCCAATCCACTAGCGCCGGGAATAAGCAGCCCGAGGTCAACTCTATCCCCGTCTCCACGAACGTACCTGACCTCACCTCCACAACGGCATTGACGCCAGCGTGAATGAGCAAAAGGCGCCATTGATCAGACTCCAATTGAAGCATCTCACAACTTTTGAAGCAAGACCTTTGTTTTCTCTGAGTTCTTCATACAGAATTGGTCCCGACAATTCATCATGGCGGCCGCAGCAGGAGTAGCGAAGCAGGTCATTCGACGGGCACAGCTATACGGTAGGTCTTGAAAACCCTCAGAAAGCGCAAAGCGTGGAACCCTCCCGAGCTTCACTTCAATCGCCTTGATGATGTCCAAACTAATCCCCCCCTCCCCAGTCCCGGGCTCCTCCATGCGCTTCCTCGAAAAATCCCGCTCCATCCCCGCCATCGACAGCCTCTGCTACGACCTCGAAGACAGCGTGACCCCCTCGCAAAAACCCTCCGGCCGCGCCAACGTCCTGCAGATCCTCAATCGCGAGCGCGCGCCCGGGATCCGGGAACAAGCCGTGCGGATCAACGCCGTCGACTCGGGCTACGCCCTCGACGACCTGACCGAGATCCTCAAAGGCGAGAATCTGGACTGCATCGTCGTGCCCAAGGTCGATGCGCCGAAGGATCTGCACTTCGTCACGGATGTGCTAAGGCAGGTTTTGCCGGAACGGCATGCGGAGGGGAGCACGAGGTTTGTGAGGATTGTGGCGTTGGTGGAGAGTGCGCGGAGTGTGATGGATTTGAATGCGATTTGTAAGGCCTCGCCGTATCTTTCTGGGTTGACGTTCGCGGCGGAGGACTTCGCGATGGATTTGTCGATCACGCGGACGCCGGGGTTGCAGGAGTTTTTGTATGCGAGGAGTGCGATCGTTGCGGCGGCGAGGGCGCATAATCTGCCTTCGACGATCGATCTTGTGACGACGAGTTTCCGCGGGGAGGAGGGGAAGCAGGTGTTGCGGGAGGAGAGTGAGAATGGGAAGCGGTTTGGGTTTAATGGCAAGCAGTGTATTCATCCGGATCAGGTGCCAGTTGTGCAGGAGGTGTATAGTCCGTCGGAGAAGGAGGCCGAGTGGGCGGTGAGGGTGGTATTGTGTGATCGGAAGGCTGACGAGCAAGGACGAGGCGCGTGGACATTGGATGGGAAGATGATCGATGTGCCTGTGGTGGGGAAGGCAAAGGCGATTGTGGCGAAGGCTGAGGTTTGTGGGTTTGATGTGAAGGGGCTGATGGAGAAGTTCAAGGACGAGGAGCCGCATTAGAACCCATCAATCAGCCTGTATATATATGCTGCTACGTGATTCATCCCACCTAATACCCTCTCTTCCGATTCACCACATTAATCAACTTCTCCCCCTTCTCCCTCCTCACAAGATTCTCCTCCAACACCTTAAACGTCCTCTCGGTATAACTCTCCCCAACCCCACTGATATGCGGCGTCACAATCACATTCTCCTTCTCCCACAGCGGACTATCCGCCGGCAACGGCTCCGGATCTGTAACATCCAACGCGGCCCCAAGAAGCGTCCCATCATCCAGCGCCTTGATCAGAGCATCCTGATCGATAATCGGGCCCCGCGCAATATTCGTCACGAACGCCGGCCGCCTCCCACCATCCGACAACGCCTCAAACTCCTCCGTGCTGAGGAAATGCCTCGTCTGCTCCGTCAACGGCACACTGACCACCAACCAATCCAAATCCTGCTTCAAAAAGTTCAACCGACTCGCCTTATCCAACCCACTATACCACTCGACCGGAATCTCCCCATCCACATCCCCCGTCCCGGGCACAATGAACCCGCGATCCTTCTTCTTCTCCGCCGTATCCTTCGGCGTCGCCGTGTACGCCACGACCTCCATGCCCAACGCCTTCGCGACCCTCCCCACCTGCCGCCCAATACTCCCATACCCCAGAACCCCCAACCGCCGCCCGACCTGATCCCGTACTTTATGGAAATCCGTCTGTTCACTCCCCTGCTTGCCCCACTTGCGCTGCTTCTGCAACTCATACAACTGCTTGTACTTGTGGCTCGAGACCAGCCCCGTCATAATCACCCACTCGGCAATCTGCGGGCCATGAATCCCCGAGCTCGTGGTGATCGTCACGTCGGTGTCGGTGTACAGCGGCTGGTTCTGCATCTGATTGCTGCCGGCGCTGGTGAGGTGCACGAGCTCGAGGTCAGGGACGTCGGAGGGGTTCTGCGGGAAGGTGAAGAGCGTGCAGAGGACGGTCGCTTTGCTCCATAGTGATTCGGGGACTTCCTTGCGGAGCGCGGCGAAGTCGCGGGTGGTGGTGGTTTGGACGTAGGCGATGGCAAGCTTGGGGAAGCGTTTTTGGATTTGGGCGAGGATGGCTTTGGGTTCGGGCCATGGGAGAGCGCAGAGTAGCAGGTCTTTTGGTGGTCCGCCGCCCATTGTGGTTGAGATCGACAAGGTTGGTTAGGAGTTTGATTCAGAGAGTAAGGGAAGAATTGAATAAGACCAAGAGATGAGGATATTATTACAGGTAAGAGTCGTTCAAATAGAGCAATTCTCACCCAAAATCACGAGCTCTAGCTTCATGCGATAGGACGGGTCCGGGCAAACATGCCTTGTCGATAGGCGGCGATAGAGGTGGTGGAGTCGGACATTAGATTACTAATGCTGCATTCTTCGCAATAGGCACATTTGGAGAGACAGGGCTAGTAAAGGACTACGCTTCATTTTCCGTTTCTGGCTGCTATGATACACTGGGAGACCATGTGCAAGTCTGACCGCCCAACTGCAAGTTGTATGCCCATCTGGCGAGCATGCCATGGTCACCCTTCCACAAGCTACAATGCATGGCGCATTCCAAAAATCCAACACGCTCCCATTGACGCCCGTTGTCTCTCCTTGGAGATGTCGCTCATCATGGCGCGCTGCTTTCGTCCGCTCCCGTTCCTTCACTCGTAGCCACCGCGTACTGAGAACAATGTTCGAAGCAATGCCTATCAACCACACAGCTCATGGCTTGAGTGATCTATTCAGGTCGGGACATCCTCAGGCGCAGTGTGCATGCTCACGTCGCCTACGTCACCAACCGTCTCATCCTTCTCATCTTTCTCGTCTGTCTTCGCTTCAACGCTGGGCTCGCTGGGCTTCTCCGCTGCTTCGTCGTTCGCCTTCTCTGCTGGCTTGTCAGTCGTATCCGCAGGCTTCTCTACTGGATCTGCCTTCTTCTCATCGGCAGCAGCTTCTTCCTTCGACTCTGCGTCGGTAGCAGCGGCGGCAGGCTCTGGCACAGGCTCGGCAGTGGAGTCGACAGCAGGTGCCTTTGCAGCGGCAGCGTCCTCAGCCGTGGCTGGTGGAGCTTCTTCCATGCTCTTATTCCAGACCTCGAGCAATGCAGACGATCGCTTCTTGAAGTGGAACTCATCGTCTCGAGGCACAGAGACGAGCTTCACAATAGCCTTCAGGACCTTGTGGATCTTGGTCGCGCGGATGATGGACGGCTCCAGGTTGGTGTAGGCCTCCAGCTGAGAGAAGAACTCTGCCATACCAGGCATCTCGCTCTCCTGTGGGGTTGAATCGCGAGAGAGGAATCCCTTTTGCAGACGGTGCCGCAAGTAAAGGATGGCCTTCTCACGTGCTGCCAGCTTCTCTTCCTCCGACATCTGGGGCTTCGTTTCGTCCTCTTCTTCGACTTTGGGCGCCGTGACGACCTTCTTCTTCGGCTTGGCAGATGATTTCTTAGATCCAGATGCTTCGCCGTTCGGGGTCTTGGGCGCATTTAGCTTCGTAACTCGGGGCGTCTTCTTAGGCTGCGAATGTGTTAGTCTGCAATGTTGCACACCGACGGACACTGCACTGACCTTCTCTCCGTCGCTATCCGCCGCGCTCTTGCGCTTCTTGCTCGATTTTGGCACGTCAGCGTCCTCCATCTCGACATCCTCGTCTGCTGCCTTGCTCTTGCGTGGTGCCTTCTTCTTCGTCTTTGGGGCCGAGGCACCCTCCTCGGCATCCTTCTCAGCCTGCGCTGCCCTCTCAGCCTCGATGCGTTCGGCCTCGGCCAATGCCTCAGCCTGTTGTCTCTGGAACAGCTCTTCTTCTTCCTGGAATTGCTTGAGAATATCCTTGAAGTACTGAAGATCGTGGTTCTCCGATGCAACCTTATACGCATTCTGAAGAGCCTTCGTCATCTTCGACTGTGGCATCGTCTTGCACTCTTCTGGATCGAGGGGCGTTAGGGCGGTGTTGACCATCCATTGGCTATGATAATTTAGTTAGTAACGCTGGGAAGGAGCCTCGAAGTCTCACAGCACACTTACAACTCGTTGGTGAACATGAACATAATGGGGAAGGTGCGCTCCTTGGCGTTCTTGCCACCTTCCTTAAAATCGTCTCGCAGCGAGCCGTCAGGACGAGCAGTGCTCACAGGGCGAGAGGCGAGAAGGGACTCCGGCAACATCGACTCGTCGCAGATAACGGCGGGCCACGGCGGGTATCCCTTGAGACGCGCCCAGTAGAAGTCACCCGGCTTGCATTCGAGGTGCAGCGTCGGCATCGACTTCTTCTTGTTAAGCTTCTTCGCCTTATGCTCGGGGACGCCGCCAATGGACTTTCTCTTCTTGTCTTTGCTGCCGCCCGGGGTCGCGTCGAGAGTCGAGGCCTAGATAGATGTCAACAAACATACTCGCAGCCGCGTTCGCCTCAAGACGGCCAGATGTGCCTCGTGTATCTCGCGTCTTGAGGCGAGCTCGTTCATCACAGCACTCACATCTTCAATCTCGTCTGACCTGGCCGGCTCATCTGCTGGCTTGTCGCTCTCGGGTTCCTTATCACCGTTCGTCTGCGCCGTCTCGACAGGCTTCTCCGCCTCAGCAGGCTTGTCCTCCTTCTTGTCCTCCGTCTCACCGTTGGTCTGCGTTGTCACGGCGGGCGTGGGCTCGGTCGTGATAGGGGGCTGGACGAGCGTCAGCAACGGCACCTTCACTTCATATGACGCGACGGTATCACTCACGGCTGGCTCAGCAGCTGGGGCAGAAGCGACGGTCGCCTCGTCGGCCATGGCGGTAGTGTTGCAATGCAGGTTCGGGACAGGCGGACACGCAGGATTTTGCGACGCGGCTGGCGTGGCTGCTACTACGCGTGTGTGACAGCAGGCGACGCAATGGTGCGACGCAATGAAGGGGACGGGTGTGCGGTGACGCCGGCAGGGTGGTGGTGATGGGGCGGCGACGCGTTGGTGGTGTGTTGATGGTGTTGGCGTGGAGTGTGGAGAGAGAAATTGGGAAAGAAGTTGGAGGGCAGTTAAGTCGCAGAAGCTGGTGGCTCGTGCACCGCCAGAAGTCACGTTTCGACTTTGTTTCCGTCCAGAAGATTGATGAATGCACGACGCTCACGACGCCGCCGCGCCGGGAAACTTGAATGAGGAGCTTGTGAAGGCGTCTTCCATACTCCGCATATGTATTGGATTCGCATATGAGCCTGTCTGTCGCCTTTGTTTGCGTCGTGTCTGCCTTGGCAAGCTCGATCCATCCATGCTTTCACCCACGCCCGCCAAAGCCAATCAGATCGGCCGCAGCCTCTGCGCTTGTCCGTCCAGCCGACACTTCCGGCTCGCCATTCTCGCCAGACTGCGCTCGTTCTGCCGACCGGGGCCATCGAAGACGTCGTGAAGCCGTTCCTGCCTGGTCTGCGTGTTCGTGGGTGAATCGGGTGCGTCTTGGCGGGCCTCACGACTTGTTGTGGCGAATCTGCACCATACGGTCGCGCTGGCGCAAGCTGACCAGCTGCCGAGCTATACCGTCGTCCCCGCTCGAGGCTTGCGAGCTCGATACGATGGTCCTGGGATGGTGGCGCCTTGTTCAGAGTGTGGCCGAATGCGTATGTTCGAGCGTCCTGCGTTGAAATCGAGCAGGCTTCGTCCTGGCCTAGGATACCTCCCGATAGCTTTCGCGGCTGCTGCGTTTTACGAGGTCCTAGAGCGAGATGAGAAGCGTGTCTGACCACTGTGAAGATGTCTTGGCTCGCCAGTCCTGGTTCCTGAGGAGTACTCTCGTCTTGGCGTCCATTTCCAGAGTTGTAGCCGTGATGAAATCCAAGACTTGCATAACCCCTTCTACTGTACGCCAGCCTGTGGTAAACAATTAGATCAGCCGTGCTGTCAACCAATGATCTCAAACTGAAATACGTACCTGTTATCATATTTGCTGTAGCGAATTCATCAATCCGGCTGTGTAATGGGGTCCAAAGATGAAGCCGTGCTCCTTCTTGACAGGAAACACAGGAAGCTGCTCAGTAGGCAGAGTCGCTGTGATGTTCATGTCGAGCATGGTCTGCCACGACGAAAGCGAACGACAAAGATTCGACGGAAACTGATCTTGAAACGCAGGAAGTGCAAGAGACATGGAAGTATACTTACCGTTCGATCCAGTACAATCCAGTGTTGCGAATATTCCAGGTAATTGTGCGGCCACACAGTGCTGGAGAAATGGCCCGGCTTCCACTCTATTCTCGCTAATGCCGTCTGCAAATTGTTATCGGCAGTACAAGTCGAACACCAGGACTTGAGTATGCCACATCTCCCAAGTTCGACTCTTGAATCCAGATCATTGAAGCATATGTCCGTTCAGCGTGCGCTGCCTAACGGCAGAGGCATCCTCATTTATCGCATACCGCATTGACCCGCTGTCTTCCGCTTTATTGTCAAATCCCATCTTTTGCATTTACAGAGAGACACAGTGTATTCTGTAAGCGATTATGCGATTACCGATCATTCGCTCGTGCGTGTGATGGCGTCGCACTCGAACCGCTGGGCTTGCGACCGTGTTGTCGGCGGATGCCAGTGACCGTGGCAAGATGTCGAATGTTTGTATTTGATGCGATCCGCATGCATGGACAGCGCTTCCTGATGTCGTAGACGTGCATGGCGCGATGTAGGTCGTATTGGGACTGTTGGGGAGTTGAAAGAAAGTCGAGAAGAGCAGCGGAAGAGGTGCGCACGAGGTGGGTGGAGATGTTTTCTAGCGCCTCACGTGCGTTTCATCTTCAGCCGCCGGCTCCAGAGCTGCGTTTCCATGGAACCCAGAGCATGCGCCATCATCGTCCAAAGATGGCCATTTGATAGACGGCATATTTTGTTGAAAGAAGACATGGTCTACGCAGGCGAATTGACGGCGCTTGTGGCCGGTCGATCGGGTACTAAGATGCCAAGCCGGCTACTCGCCGGTTAAAACCAACGTCGCCTCCTGCTGGCTGCTCTGGGTATTGGAAACAACTTCAAACTCGTAAACATTGCTGGGACAATGGACGTTGTTCTCTCGCCAATATGCTTCTCAGGACTATGGGCATTGTGTATGTATTGCTACCTCCTCGCCACATCCAACCCAGCCTCCAACTCCGCAACAACACCATCATAAACCTCTTTTCGAAACAGTGGATCCGTCAAATCAGGCTGCGGCCGCGCAAACTGACACCTGATACAGCGCCTCACGACATCTCCATACCTCGTCCCAGCATCGGAGTAGATCCTATCTTCCAATCGACAAGCCGCGTAGAAGTCTGCGAGATCATCTTTCTTGCCATCTTTGCCAAGTTCTTCAGGACGATGCAGGTAGTCGATTGGTCGCTCCAGCCAGATCTCGATGAGAAGGATGCCGAGCGCAAACAGCAGATCGTTTTGTATGAGGATTCGCCGCTGGATACCGCGGACCAGATCGTAAGACCAGTTTACTTGCAGCGTTTTTGTCGACGCGGTGATGAAGGGGAAGTCCGCTGCTACGCCTGCTGGCGTTCGCAGGAGTGTGATATCGTTGCGACTAAAGCGGGAATGCATCCAGGGCGTTCCACTGAGTTGGATCAACCCCTGAGCTAGCCGCACAGCCATCTGACGTTTTGCAGGCTCGCTCATCTTGAGCTTCGGCTTTCGAAGAAGCAGAGACGAGAGCGTCGAAGTCGATGCCCCGGAGTGCTGAGAGAAGAATGGCTTGAGAGGCCGGTACACGGCGTATTGGCGCAGAGGCTCGAGTAGTGCTGGGGATGTGGATAACAAGCCTACACAAGGTTCGCTTGTCTTCTCTTCGTTCAGACTCTGACAAAGGTCCTGGATCTCGCGGACTTGACTTCGAAATACCAACGGGCCGTTCGTTCTGTCGGTCGAACCATCTTTCTTCGACCAAGGCCGTATATCTGCTTCAGCGACAGGTTTGAACCCACTCGTGGATGGCAGCCGCGATGTATCGTGCTGCACAAGCACCCTAACCATTGACTCTTCTGGTTCGTTGCTGAATGAGATGGCCTTCTGCGCCGAACCGACAATAGACCGCAACGAAGCACTGACCAGGTGGTCGTTGATGCAGGATGTCGAAAGACTCTCAGTGACCGCTTTGAAGATGCTCGAGGCATTCCCGCTGACTTGCTCGAAATCAGGGTACTGTTGTCGAGACTTTCTCACGGGCTCCAGAGTTATGCTGCCGGCAAGCAAAGCCTCCATTTTGCTGTTACTTCGCTCGATCCTGTTGACAATGGACCAGTAATCTTTGAACTTGAACACGAGAGTAAACCGTCTGACGGAACCGCTGATGGTATGCTAGGGGCGGGATCGTTAGCAAATTTGTCCAAAACATCGACTGGAATGCTCGTACATTTTCAATATCCGCTGGGAAACTCTTCTGCAGGTCTTCCACCGAACTGCTCATCCTTTTAACATACTTCCGAAAAATCTCATAATCCTGCCTCAGCCGATTCTTCAAACACTCCTCTACTCGCGCATTCGACCACAGTTTCCCGCCAACATCACTGAATAGCTGGTTGAAAGTACGTTCGTCTACGGAGTCGCTCAGAAGCAGCTCCATCGTGTTGCGGAACTTGGCATACTCGCTTTCGAGCTCATCCTTGAGATCTTCCAGCTCCTCGAGGACGTTCCTTCGCCGTTTGATCTTGCGGTCGTAGGCTTCGATGCCGGTGATGATGAGGGGGATTACGGCCAGGACGATCCCGGCGACTTCGATTCCGGACATCTCGAGACTTTTGGTTCTTTCCCTGCGAGAATGGTCTTGCACCTACCGCGATGGACGGCGAGGATGGCGACCAGAGATCTGGTCTGGTTTTGAGAGATGGTCCTCATCTTTGAGGCCACTCGAGCGTTTACCGAGTTCAGCTGAAGTGAACAGCCACCACAACGCGGCGGCCCCTGCACGACATCCTGGCTGTGCGTTGCAGTAGTGGCGGCGCCATTGTTGAAATGATTATCTGGTGGTGTATTAATCGAAAGGGGACGAATAATCGACGATGGTCAAAATAAGGACAGAATGAGTCGCAAGGTGGTTGCAAGATAGGTAACAGTTCGCCAGCCTACCTGAAAAGTACTTCTATCTTGAGGAAAACGAGCTAATGTTATGTGTATATAAGAACTCGTAAGAGACGCAAATGTACTCAATCTCGATTTCACAGCCTGACAACATTGCGAAGAGTCCCATCTTGCCGCTAATGTCGACGACACGAGTATACGGGGAGCATAAAAAACTGATCAAAGAGCATAGTGCACAATTAACTCTCCCCTTTTGCCTCCCCGCACGTGGCTACGAACGATTGATCCTTCGGGAAGCGGTGCCTCGCTGCCATGTCGATCGCCAGAGAGAATAGCCGTGGCTACTGCTTGTACCACTCGCTTGTACCGCTGCCACTGCAGTTGAGGAGGTGCATTTGACGATCACTCGCCTCGCCCAAACACTGGCCGACTACACCTGTCCTCGCCACTACCGAGTTGACTGTCAAACCTACCAGGCACTATGGCGCCGCTTCAAGGACGTATGCAAACACAAAGGCAATGTTGAGTTGACGTGCTGATGATGGTTAGGAAAGTTACATGCTGCCATCTGGGTAGAATCATGGATCGCTGTTATGGTCTTTGGGTTTGTACCACCAGTTCTTCTCTGCATTAAGCACGACTCTGAGGGACACTAACGGAGAGGGTAGTTACAACTCAGCGGCAGCAGGAGGCGTACTTGGAATGCCTGCCTTCCGCAAGCAATTCCCCAGCATCGACGTCGAGGGCGCAACCACGCCCAGTGAGGAGCATGATAAGTCAAACATTCAAGGTATGCTGGAGAATGGTTTGCATCAAAGGAGTATTGACTGACCATGACCTTGCCTCATAGGAACCGTGGTAGCACTCTACACACTCTTCGGCGTCTTTGGGGCCTTGGGCTGCACCTTTTTCGGCGACCTGCGAGGACGGCGAAAAACCCTGATTGCCGCTGCATTTGCGAACGTGATCGGTGTCATCATCATGTCGACCTCGTACTCTCTGGGACAGTTCATCGTTGGACGGATCTTCATTGGAATTGGGACAGGAGGCATCACTGCGACAGTGCCGGCGTGGCAGTCGGAGCTGTCGCGAGCCGCGAGTAGAGGTGAAGACCTGCATGACTTACAGCCCAGGGGAATCATTGACCGTGAGCAGGATCTCATGTTTCGTCTTTCGGTATCTACTGTGGCTCTGGTCTCTCCCTGGCCCTCTGGATAGCTTTTGGCTTCTCTTTCACAACGGGTATGTCTTGCCAAATGCAACCAATCTGGAAACCCACTTGTCATGACGATACTGACATACTCACAGGGCAGGTGACGTGGCGGTTCCCAATAGCAGGCTCGGGCATCTTGTCAGTCATCGTCATGTCGACTGTCCTGTTGCTGCCGGAGAGCCCACGATGGTAGGCCATACCACCTCACACTCTTATTGCAGACCCATATTTCCTTTATTGAACTAAAGATTTCCTCACTCACGTAGGTTGATGCTCAAGAATCGAAACGACGAAGCAAGACGAGTCCTAGAACGACTACACCCCGGCGACCCAGACGCAGTCGACAAAGACATCGAGGAGATCGAGCTCGCCCTACGAATGTCCGCCAATCAAACGAGCCTCAAGTCAATGTTTGAGATGGGCCCTCAAAGAATATTCCACCGTGTGATCTTGGCGTCCGTGGTGCAGATAATGCTCCAGTTCACCGGAGTGAACGCCATCGCCTTCTACACGCCCACGATCTATGAGAACAGTCTGAAGTTTCCAGCTGTCGAGGCTTCGTCCCTCGCTGCAGCCTCTCAGGTATGCTCTTTTACAAATGTAGCTCAGGACCAGGATGTTCATTAACTCTCGGCCTCTAGGCTTGCATCATTTTAGGTGGCATAATTTGCTCCTTTACCGTTGACCGCTTTGGGCGCAGAACCCTCATGATGGTCAGCGCGACTGGCATGTCCATCTGTCTGGCCTGCGTCACCGGACTCGTGTCGACGGACAACCCTCTACGTACTTTAAGTATGTACCAGAAGCAAGACTGACCCGTCTGATAGGCAGCATTGAAAGCCGCGGTCTTCTTCCTTTACATGTACTACGTTGTATACACACTAGGTAGGAAGATCATGAGTCGACAATCAATCTGCAGTCCCTTACTGATTGTGACCTCTTTTTGCAAGGCTTCATCGGCATTCCGTTCTTATACGCCAGCGAGGTTGCTCCAGTGCAGCTTAGAGGTGCTATCTGCGGCCTTTCGACCGCGATTAGCTGGCTTTTCAACTTCTTGGTAAGCTACATCATGACGTCCTTGGTGGTTCTCGAAATGGGTGCTGAACAATATGCAGGTTGTTGAAATTACACCTGTCGGATTCGCGGACATCAGCTATCGCTACTTGTAAGTACCCATGTGCTGGAGTTGATTTCACAGGACTGACCGATACTCCACCTCAGCATCATCTACACCGTCACATGCGCAACATTCGTCCCAATCGTCTACTGGTTCTATCCCGAGACATCAGGTCGTTCGTTGGAGGAAATCGACGCCATATTTCTGGAAAGCAAGACTGTCTTTGACGGTGTCGGGGTGGCCAACGGGATGCCCAAGACACGGCTGGCGGACATGCCAATTCGGGAGGAAGGAGCAGAGGAGAAGATGCAGTATGCTGAGGCTGCTGCTCATGCGGAGCTGGCTCAGAAATAAAGGGGTTTCGTGGAAAACTGCTGGGTGGCTTCCTTTTTTTCATCAATCATGAGAATTGTTCTCGGAAAAATCGCGATGTTTCGAGTAGACAGTTGCAAGAGTAGAGATAAAAGGAGACAAGACAAAGCTGATTGAATTTTGAGGGCGAACTACGCATGGCCCACTTTGATCACTTCGATGTTCAAATCGTCCACATTTTCTAGCAGCCCTCAAGAGCCTTCTTCCCAAGTAGACGCTTCAACAAAGCCGTGTGCTTACAGCCCTGGCCGGCTCCCCGTGTTTGATTCGGCAGTAAAGACACAACAAGCGACACAGTGATTCGCAGCCCTAGCGTGTCTTAAGTCGTTCAACATAATCTCGAAGACGAGAAGACGACATCTAGACAATTACCCTGTATTGCCGAGGAGGCGTTTCAAATATCCACTTTCCCGAGGAGCGCACAATACCCGAGGCTTTCTTGGATGGACGTTCAAACTACATGCAGCCCGCAGCAAGTACCACGCCGGTACAATGGCCACATGCACATATCGGACTCAATGGCCAGTTGTATAATTATGCTCGAGCAGTGATGTGTAGCACGCAGCCCTAATTCCCACCCAAGGCTTTTTGCACAGACATCCAATCTACGATGGCTGCGGTAGAGACGACAATCAATTACTTCGACATAAACGAGGACCGCGTGTTCTACCCAGGCACTGCTGGATACCAGCGGCGAAAGTTTGACACGAAGCCGGTTCACATCCACGACTTACGAAGTCGAGAAGATGATTTCACTCTTGACAAGAATGGTTTCAAGGTATTGAAGGGCATCTGGTCTGAGGCGGACGTGCAGGACGAGCCTGAGCATATTCAGAAAGTGGTGTTTCCTGAGACGATCGAGGCTGTTAAGAAGGCGTGCGTAAATTCTCCTTTGCGCGGAAGATTCACGAAAGCTCATTCACCACCCACGCAGAACCGGGGCTACAGATGTCCTGCCCTTCTCACACCTTGTTCGACGACACTTGGCCAGCGCGGTCAAAGAGCAAGCTCAAGGGCTCAAGGACAGCGATACGGTCGCCGCCCCTGGACCCACGATCTTCGCCCATTGCGACAACAGTGTAGCCGGCGCCATGACGGTCCTGGAGAACAACGTCCCCACCGACGAGCAGGAGAAGCGCAGAAACAGTCGTTGGGCGATCATGAATGTCTGGAGGCCTCTCGTGCGGCCGGTCACTAGGGAGCCGCTTGCGCTTCTAGATGCGGACACAGTTGACGAAAAAGACCTTATCGGTGTGATGTCCATTTTCCCGCAGAAGAAAGGGGCGGCTTTCGGCCAGGCGTATCCTGGTGGCGTTGGGTATGTTGTGTCCCTTGCCATTGAGTACTGCAACTTTCAGATTACGTTTTTATCTGACTACAACCAGTTTTGAGACTTCTCAAGTTCTCGCCAACGAGAACCATCGATGGTACTACGCTTCTAAGCTCGCCCCTGATGAAGCACTACTGTTCAAGCAATTTGACTCCAAGAAGGATGGTCGCGCGAGACAGACACCACATTCTGCGTTCCAATGCAAGGACGATCACGGCCCACCGCGAGAGAGCATGTAAGTGCAATCAAAACACAGATCGATGTGAAATGCTGAGCTGAACAATACTCGAATCTAGGGAAGTAAGGTGTCTTGTGTTTTGGGAAGGCGAGAGCCTTAGTTGAATAGCTATAGTCCGTGAAGGTGAGCGTCTGTAAACCCAAATGTATCTATGTAAAAGTCATGATCGAATGACATCGAATCGAGATCGATATTACTGCTCATGGTATTGTCCCAATCGAATAAGGAGACCGTGTTGCCATGATAACTTGAACTCCCATCTAGACGTGTATCGGTGAAGGGAGCAACACTGTGCTGAATCGATGATGTGACAGCCGTCGTGGGATTTAGCAACTGCGTGTGGTTCGCTGATGGTAGAACAGCCAGGGCGGATGATTTCGATTGTGTCATCAGACTGTTCATTGGCATGGTGTGTTCAAAGGTGTCAAGAGTTGACTGTTGTCGAGGGCGATTGCTCATTGACAATTCATCACCTGAGTAGGGACCAGCCTGCTTTATCGTCTGGTTCGCATGGCCTTGTTGGATCTGCAACCCGTGGCCCTGATTCTGCGGCCTCATGCCCGTACTATTCCCATCGGCCTGTATAGGTACAGAGATGCCGACCTTCTGCGAAACAGATGCGAGAAATGAGACCGCAGCATCGGCCGAAGCGTAGATGCCCCTGAACGACTGGAGGACCTCGAGGCTTTGATACAGGCGAAAGGTACTCGCATCACGCGCATCTTCATCCTCGTCCGTGGCGGAAGTGATGTCAAGCACGTGTGACAAGTAAGTTGCAATGATCGCTGTGACGCCAATGAGGCCGAGGAAGCGAAGTTGGTCCTGACGCAGCATCGCCATCGAGAGTTTTGTCAATTCACGAGCTGACCGTTTCACTTTCGATCTCGAGGCGTTTTGCTCTGTCAAGTTGTCCGAGTCGCTGGAACTGGGCTGGAGCGCTGAAGTTCGATGTAGAACGTTGACTGTGGTCTGGTATGTCATGTTCAGCACTGCCCAATGCACTTCAGAGCAGCTGTGTGGGCCAGCATGTGGAGGCCTTGGGAATATCGTGGGGTTGACAGTGCTGTTAAACTCTTCAAACCAGCGGCTGAGTTCTTGATCACAGCTCTCGAGCTGTTCGATGCGCCCTTCGTCTCGCCTTGATACGATCATCACAGAGTGAGGTATGTCTTGGTCCTGTTGCGTACTCAGTGTCGAATACTGGGAAGACACCACATGTCCTACGCATATGCATAGCTTTGCCAGGTGGATGCACATGAGTGCTGTTGCCTCACTCTCCTTGGCACCAGGCATGAGAGGCTGTCCCTGATAGCATTCGTCGAAGGGTTCAAGATCAAAGTCCTCCAACGTGAGCATGGACACGTCACAGTCTGCATCGTATATTCGCATTGGCCGTCTTGTCCCCAATGCGATCATGCGATCACGTATGTAGAAGCTCCACCAAAGTCTCTTTCGAAAGCGTCGTGCCTTTTCTGAAGCAAACTTTGCCGTCGGTTCACGATGTAGTCCCATCCTACGGGCTACGTCGTAGGCTAGCCCAGTCCAATGCCACGTATCTCGCCTTGAGTCCCACTTCGAATACCATGAACTCATCAAGACGAGTGACTGGAACACTGCGACGATGTCGGGCTCCACATCGAATTCATACAGGAGTCTGACACGGTTAAAGAAGGTGGAGCGAGCTTCCTTGGCTGATTCAAAGCCCAAGCGGTGGATGACCGGCAGTTGTAAAGAGTGTAGGCCCGCGAACATGACCGCTTGGAAGAGTAACAGACTGACACGGTTGTCTTGACGATTTGTTATAACGGCGCGGACGAGGGCCCTATGGTCCAGTATCGGCATGAACGGCTGAACGCTAAACAGATAGGCTCGTAGAATTTCGATCTGTAGATCTGGCTCCGGTATAGTGAAGGCTCCTTTACGTTCGAGATATTCGAGGTCTTCACCAGAGATATGTCTCGACAAAGGAGTGATGAACGCAGGGAGCGTTGAAATCCGTTGGCTATGTTGCGGTTGAAGGTTGCCGACAGGTCGTGAATCAGGGGTCAAAAGGCTGGCGTAAGTCGTCGAAGGCGATAGATCGGTAGCGGCATCTTCTCCAATATGGAGCTGATGATCAGTGGCATTGCTGTCCCCGCCGTCATCCTCGTCGTTCTTGTCGTTGCCGGGCTCGTCGTCGAACGACACACAGATTGGGACTGAGCCTACGCTGCTACCGGGCACATTCCAAGAATCTTTGACCGTCGCTCGTGCGGTGCTCGTCGTATGTTCGATGTGGTCTCCATTGTCCGAGCGAGGAGACGGTGGGTGTACGGCTTTGCGCCGCTTGTTCTGGCCCCTTCGCGAGGCTATAGTAATGCATTCTAGCTCGTCCAGGCGGCAATTGCTACAGCGAGAGGCATTTATCAGAACGTCGCAGCGAACTTTCCGCGTTCGACATGATTGACAGGCTTTGGATGCGCGGTGCTTGATGGCGCGTCCATCGTCAGCTTCGCCAGAAATCTTGCGCTTGCGAGCATTAGACACTTCTTTTTCTCCTAGGCCCATGGTTCAGTTGTAGCCTCACATTGCCGTGGTATCTGCCATCACAGGCATGGAGAGACCACGGCCCAAAAGATGACTGCTGCGTGGAGGGAGGAGTCCACGTGCACGCACACACGGACCCATCTCCACGTCTCCGCCTCCGCAATCCTTCTACCCCGCGTGCTCTCATGTATCTTGTACCGCCTAGATGCGAAAGGATCGGCCTGCCATTGAAAAGTTGTAGAACAAAGGTGCACCAAACAACCTCCTGTACAATTAACTAACACAAGTGAGTTCAAAAGTATTGTCAAGCTGGAAGCCTAGGGAGCTTGCATTGAAACACAGTAACGCTTTGAAGCTCAGGGCTGCATCACAGCCTGACGGCGGGAAACGTAATCGCAATCTTATATGATCCCGATAGTTTTGCAGACGACCATCGCGTCAGAGGAGTTCAGGTAACCAGATCTCAATAGCCGAGGGTTGCTTCCCTACGAACGCGCTCTCTCGCAAATTACCCCAAGTCTCTCGTGACGCCAATAGTCGAGGGAATACCCCTTTTGCCATCTGACGGCAGTGAATGGAGGGCAGACATTCGTCGAGACTAACAGCCTGCGCTACTCCACAAGCAGACCATTTTAAATGTCGGTTTCATCTGCCATGCACCGATTACACACGAGAAATCATCGATTATGGCGGGTGACAGCAGAAACGATGAGCGAGGCACTCGCCCCGTGCGCATTGCCAATTGCTCCGGAGGGCAGATGGAACCCGGATGGCAAATGCGCAAACAGTGCGAATTAGGCCCTATAGATTTCGTGACTGGCGACTGGCTGGCAGAAAACAACATTGCCCAAGAGGCGGCGGCGATGGACGCCGGGAAGAGTGAAGGATTCAAGCCCAACTCCTGGCAAGCGTTGCAATTGAGTATGGACGTTATCGCAAAGAAAGGAATCAAAGTCATCATCAATGGTGGAGCTCTCGGGTAAGTCTTCACAATGCGTTTTACCAATTGTCTGTACTGACTATAGCCTTAGGCCTCAGAACCTTGCCAAGCGCTGCCAGGAGCTCATCGATGAGAAGGGCTACGATCTCAATGTTGCATATGTCTCTGGCGACAACATCGTTAGTCGAGTTCGATCATCGCTCAAGGACCGTGGCAAATTGCCTGACAGCTTCATCGACATGAGCGGGAGGAATCACGAAGACGCCAAATTCACAGCAGATGAAATCCTAGCATCGACTGCTTACATTGGAGCACGAGCGATCGTGAAAGGCCTAGAGAATGGTGCCGACATTATCATCTGCGGGCGCGTGGCGGACGCATCTCCCATTATTGGCGCTGCCTGGTGGTGGTTCGGCTGGTCTGACACAGATTATGATAGATTGGCTGGAGCCTTCCTCACTGGCCACATTATCGAATGCTCGGCCTATGCTTCCGGCTCTAACTTCTCTGGCTTCAATCGGTTTCCGTTAGAGACATTCATCGATTCGGGCTTCCCAATTGCCGAAGTCGAAAAGGATGGCTCTTGTGTCATCACTAAGCACAAAGGCACGGGCGGAATGGTCACTGAGGAAACGGTGAAGTGCCAGTTTCTCTATGAGATCCAAGGCAATGTGTATTTGAATAGCGACGTCAAAGCCATTCTCGACCATGTCGAGATTCATCAGGAGGGCAAGGATCGCGTTCGATTCTCCAACATCAAAGGTCGACCACCGCCGCCTACAACGAAGTTGGCCATTTTCTTCCAAGGCGGGTATGAAGCACAGAGTCTGGCCAACTTTGCCGGGTACTCGTCTAGAAGAAAGTACAAGCTCTATGAGACCCAGATCCGGCAACGATTGAAGGAGATGAACTTATCCGATGCCTTTGATATCCTCGAATTCCAAGTTGTGGGCAGTCCTAAACCGAATCCACATTACATGATGGAGAGCACCACCTATACCAGAATCTTCGCTCAAGCAAAGAAGCCAGAACCGCTTTCCGCACTCAAACTCTTGCTCGCCGACAATACGCAACAAAAGCCTTCAGTGAGTTGAGAGAAGAGAAAACACGTATACATGCACTGACAATCCACACAGGGCCTTCATTGGGCACAGGACATGAGAACAGCAGATCCCAAATCGTTCTACGTTTACTATCCATGCATCATGCCGCAAGATGAGATCGAGGAAGCCGTACATCTTCTGGAGAAAGGAGGGAAGACCAAGCAGACTATCCCCGTCACTAGACCTCCGGCCTACGAGGACTTCAACGAGAAGCGCGACTCATATGATCCCGCGAACCCAAAATCACTCGAATCATTTGGTCCCACTGTATCAATGCCTTTGGGCAACATAGTCATCGGGCGATCAGGTGACAAGGGTCCAAATGTCAACTGCGGTCTGTTCACAGATCGTCCAGAGATCTGGGAGTGGTTCCGAAGCTTCCTCACCCTGGACAGGATGAAGAAGTTGATCGGTGCAGATTGGAAAGACGACTTCAAGATCGAGAGGGTGGAATTCCCAACAATTTTCGCGGTCCACTTCGTCGTCTACGGCATCCTTGGGCGGGGAGTGAGCAGTTCGACACTGCTGGATAATAGAGGGAAGGGGTTCACAGACTACATTCGTGCAAAGCATGTGGATGTTCCCAAGAAGTTTGTGGATGCTGGATGGACGTGGGAAGAACAGGATGATTTTCAGGATGCTTCATATGATGGCAAGGGATTCTAAACAAATACTTAAATGAGAAGTGAATCCTATTGAACTTCATCCGAACATATCAAGCCTTCATGCTTCCATGCTCATGCATATCCGCTACCGTATCTTCACTATGACCATTCGTCCTCTCCCTAATCATGGTCTTCGCAATCTTTGGGGGGTCCAACATGTTCTTCGACCGCCGGAAGACTTCATCCATTTCCTCTAGGCTCAAAGTAGCCGTCTCAGGAAATGTGAAGTATATAGTCGGAACAATCACCGCGTTTATTGCAGCGTAGACGATCCAGTACCGATAGCCAATGTTGTCAAACCCTATGGGAGTGACAAGATTGACAACGAAGTTCGACAACCACGAGGTAGCCGTCGAAACGCCAGCGATCGCGGCTCGGTATTCCAAGGGTGCGACTTCGGTTGCATATAGGTTCGTATTGCTGAGAAAGCCGAGAGCGAAGAACGGAACGTACAGGAATATGAAGAAAGTGGCGGCGTAGATGGCGCTCTTGTTGGCCGGGATTGAAGTCGTGCCTGCTAAGGCAGCCATGCAGATGGTCATGACAATGGCGCTGAGCAGCATGAGAGTTCTTCTCCCGAAACGATCCACTGTCACTATGCAGTAGTATTCTTATTAGTGTGCTTGTCCAGCCTGCTGTTTTCGGGATCGTAGTTTACTCACAGACGGTGGCTGCGCCGCCAAATATGAACAGGCTCGACAGACTGATAGCGAGGCCACGGGACCTGACGGCGTCGAAGCCCAAGCGTTCCTCGAAGATACTCGTGGCGTAGGCTACAGTGATGCTAGTGCCGCACATTTGCTGGAACAATTGGCCTATGTGACTTTGCGTGAGCACAGCCTGCACATGGTCCCTTCCATTCTGAAGGCCGACTTACCCAAGATGGCAATCATTGCTCGGTTGAAGAAACGTTGATCTCCCATTCGCATCAGATTCCTCACCTTTCCAGACCTCGCGCCGTTGCCGTCAAGTGATTGTTGTATCTTAGCGATGTCGTCCTGGACAGCCTTGTCTCCTGCTGGCAGATCGTTCAACACAGCAAGTGCTTCGCTCGCGGCCTCGTGTTTGCCCTTCTTGACCAGCCATCTTGGCGATTCTGAGAATATTATTAGCGACATTCACGGTTCAAATTGGGTCTCAGAATATCTTACCAGGCAGTGTAAAGATGAAAGCCATGACTGCTAGCAGTAGGAGAATTTGTATGGCAAAGGGAAACCGCCAGCTGACGCTACTGCCTTTAACGAAAAAGAAAGCAAAGTCAAGCAACTCCGCCAGAACAATGCCCAGTCCGAGGAATATTCCCTCCCAGTTCACGAATGCGCCTCGATGCTGGGCTCCGGAAATCTCGCTTTGCCAGACTGGGATCGTTGCTGAATATCCCCCAGAGCCGAATCCCAGGACCAGCCGTGCAACGATGAGTTGCGCAAGTGAAAATGACGAGGCCATCAAGATAACTCCGACGATAGCAATAATCGCTGCACAGAATATGGTCATTCGGCGCCCAAGCCAATCTCCTACTTTCATGCATGTGAGAGCGCCAATACCAGCGCCTAGAACGAAGAGTGCGATGACCAAGCCTGAAGAAAACATACATGTCAGCCTTAAGAACTTGGCGGGCTCGTCATATCACACATACCTTGGATCGTACTATTATGCTGCTCCTGAGCTCCTGTCGTGTTCACTGTATCGATCTGTGGGAAGACGCTGACAAAAGCTGGAAGCGTCAAGACATTGCCCGCAACGCTCTGGTTGTAACCAAAGCAGGTATACGCTGGACCGACGATGAGTACTAGAGCTGCCCAAGTAACCCGTGAACCACGAAGACCCCAATACTTCTGCATCTTGTCGTTTGGCGCTGAACGAAAGTTTGCCTGGTACTGACAAGAAGAGTTGGGTTAGAAGCACGCATTTGAGCCTCGTCGCCCGACCGGGCTACGGCACGCGTGGTTCGTCCTGGTGGAATTTTCATAATGACCCGAGAGGTGCAGCATAATGCCCACATCGATTGCCAATGGCCATGGAGAGGTTGGAGTGCAGCAGGTCCCCTCGGTTATGTGTCCGGCAATCTGAAGCCCAGAGGGCTGAGGGGCCACCAGGTTCAACTTGTCGATCTCCAAGGCAATGATGTTCTCAGCTCTCGTTTCGCGGATACCGGCAGACAAAGCACCCCTCTTGAGATCAAATACAAAATCGTTCAAAGACGGAAACGCAACTGTTGAGGCTCGAAAAGTCATCTGATCATACGCAACGAAGAGAGCAAGATGTCATTCGCCGATCTTCCCAAGTTCGATGACCTGGAAAACAAGAAACGATATTGGCCAGCGAAGGCAGGGAGCAGAGATGAAGGACTTGGCATGCTGAGGTATTTGACTCCGGCACATGTTGCTCAGGTTGTCAAGTCGGAAGTGCAGACTGGGGAGAGAGTATGCATACATTCTGGGGAAGATTGAAACCTGCAACTGACCGCTGAGTAGGTATGTTTGAACTGGGAAATGACGAGACTAGAGACACCAGGTATGTCACTGGATCTGCTCCTAATTTGAACGGACCATTACTCACAACATACCGAAGGCTTCAACAGATTCCCAACCGAGCACGAGATCGTGCCCATTCCCAACTACGAAGGCATTGCATGGGATGACATCTGGCGCTTCAACCCGCAGGCTTGCTCCCAGTGGGATGGATTTCGCCACTTCAGCACCGACATGGGCGATGGCACTCGCAAGTGGTACGGTGGAACGAGCTCCGACGAAATCACGGATGGCGATAGCAGTCGCATTGGAATTGGCCATTGGGCACAGGAAGGCATCGCCGCTCGAGGGTTTCTGATCGACTACGTCTCGTATGCTGCCAAGAAGGGTAAGACATTTCTTTCATCAGGTCTATTGGGAAGTTTGCTTACCTTCCCCTTCGCCGTCCAGGTATCGAATTGAGTGGAATGAGCGGCCATGCAATTCAACTTGAAGAGGTCTTAGAGATCGCCAAGGAGTGTAACATCGAGTTCAAACCTGGAGACATCTTCTTTCTGCGCTGTGGATTCACCAAGACCTGGGAGTCGATCAGTCTGGACGAAAAGAAGGAATATCGAGCTCAGACTCAGGCTCACAAGCACAAGCATACGGGTCTGATGCAAAGTGAAGCTGTCGCTCGTTTTGTCTGGGATAACCATATCGTTGCTGTTGCTGGTGATGGCGTCAGCTTTGAGGTGAGGTTCTCCTGACCTGCACGTGAAGTGAAGTTGATTAACGATGTCCTTCAGGTCCGACCAACCCGAGACGTCGAATGGTCAATGCACAACTATTGTCTTGGAGGCTGGGGTGTACCGATTGGCGAGATGTTCGACTTGGAGCGATTGGCAGCCTTGTGCCAAAAGCTGAACCGGTGGACCTTTTTCATCACATCATCCCCGTTGAACCACCCCAAAGCGGTGTCATCTCCACCAAATATAATGGCTCTTTTTTGAGCATCTGCACCACAGGTGTAGTGCTCTTCACGCTGAAGCGCTTTGCGCCAAATGTCATCAGTCCAACCTTGCAGACTTCTTCGACTTGCAACATGAGGATGTCACCTTTGCATGCGTGCAACGAGATCCCGTTCGAGATTATCATATTCCTGATACACGATGCTCCTGATCAGCTTGGTCTTCAGTTCAAGCCGGTCGCCGACCCCATACAACAACAGCAGTCAATGTGCCTCCTTTCTCTCTCAGCTGATCATCCAATCGCTCTGGCAAGCGATCGAATCTGGCTTCCCCTACGCCCATCTTCTCAGCTATACCCATGAATCTCTCAGCGAAGTAAGCTAGACCGGGATACGCAATGCTCCGCTGAAAGACCTCCTCATTCTCGTGAATGGCCTTGCCGAATCGATTGTCGATACGCTTCTGTTGAACGTCCACAAGTCCGGCATCCCCTAGGTCCTCGTACAGCCCATTGACGAAATACGGGCGTACTCCCCCGGCTGTCGTGACTTTGTGCAAAAGATGCTTGAAGTCTTCAATGGCTAAGCCTCCATCGGTCTTCGAGCAATCCGGGCTGGTGTCCAGTTCGACCAATTGCAGCCATCCTGACCCAGGTTTCAACAAGCTGGCGAAGCGTTTGATTGACTTGACAAAAGGCTCCTTGCCGGACGCAGATATTGCCAAGCGTTGGTGGACAAGGTCGAAAGAGTCTCGCAAATGTCCGGGCCAAGAATCAAGAAATGAGTGCTCGACATATTGAATGCTTCCATTCCGCTTGGATTCTTCAGGGAGCATCGATGGGTTGATATCTGTACAGACGAACAAGCTTTCCGGATGATCACGGACCGATGCTGCCAGCGCGCTTCGATAATCTTGGAGCCAGTATCCATTGGCACCAGCGCTGTCGAGGACGCGAATCGAGTTTTCGGGCTTCAAAGGTGCGAAGACGAGCTGATTGTTGAACGAGTGCTTCCAGACATCATGCTGAGCCTCCAGTCGCCGGCATTCCACGTCAGCTTTTGTCTTGAGTTCGTCAGAAGACATTTCAGTTCAAGCTCACTCGATGAGACGGAACAACTCGCAGAAGGAAGAGAAGTTTATACTCTCTTATACGAATGTGAGTGTCGGCGTTGATGCGGTTTGCAGAGGGTTGTACGAGCCCTATTTTCGATCAAGCCGCGCCAAAAAGGACTATTGGGCGAGGCCAGCCTAGACACGTCATGGAGCGGACAAGTTTGCTGTTCGTGATAAGCCTACAAGGCCGGTATGTCCCCATTGCGTTGATACGGTGATGGTTGAGATGATGAAGAAGTTTGGATGTGGAATCAGAGTCGTAGTTCAGCCAGAATATTGACCTAATACAGCACGATAACAGCAAAATCCAAGCTACGAAATTACGCCGTAAAACTTTACATGTCTAGTTTTCTCAGCCGTTGCACTGCATGCCTCTATGTATAGCCACTCACTAGCGAGATGAATGCATTGCACTCAGCCACATCGGCCTCACGGCGCATATCAGCTGAGAGACTCGAAGATGTGCATCATGCGGCGACAATCTTCACGACATCTGGGCTTCAATTTGGCCCGCCGACGCCTCCCCAAAAAGCAGCGAGACATCTGGTTCGGTTCCATCTTGCTGGACAGCGGCTGAACATAGCATTATCTCCCAGGCATGGCAAAGGATAAAGCCAATGAGATGACTCTCGAAGAACTTGTGAAGACGTGCAAGGCAGAATTCGATGAATTACAAGCTCAGCTTGGAAATACTGATGGCCAAGATGCAGTGGCTGCTGGCGACGAGAGAGCACGATTCAATGTCTGGATCGACACAGTATCGCCGGAGCCCTTCTTTGGAATCTCAAAACTCGACTATCAACTTCGAGATTCGCAGTCGTTGAGAGAAAGGCTTAAGGGTCTTCTGAAGAAGCTCGTCAGAATCCTGCAGCAAGGTTCGTTGGAGTTATTTCTCCCAAGCTGTGTCTTGCGGTGGCGAACATGAAGTTCAGCGCGAGAGCGGGATGCCGACAAGAAGGAGCGAACCGATATTCGAGAAAGACACGATCCTGCTCCATCGCAAACGCCGTTTGCTAATGAGGAGATTGATTCCCGTGAGAGTCTGCACGAGCTGCGAAGCCGCGAAGCCCTCCAAGATGAAGCTCGACTTCGTACGCAAAGTGTCCAAGTACAACGGCGTGAAGTTGCCAAACGGGACGCACAGATAGCTCAAGACGACGAGGCGTGGGCAAGTCGCAGATCTCCGCTTCCTGATCGCGACAAGGATGAAATCATAGTCCGAGGCGGGAGATCAGACATGTCACCAGCAGCATCTAAAGCCCATGACTCTGTCCTATCATATCAAGAGGTATTAGATGACCTCGAAGTACCGAAATCCTCTCAACAAGCGCGACAGATCCAGAGGGCCAGGCGTATCATCGACATGTTACTTCGACTGGCCGAGACCGTGAGAAAGCCCGCTTTGGACGAGCGACTCATGTCAAGTGCATTGGTGGCCGCAGACTCTCGCCACGATCTGGACGTAGAGCAAGTGACAGCGCAGTTCCCTGGTATTTCCCCATATCTCGCTGAACGACTGGGCAAAGCGATCTCGAAGCGGCGGCAGTACTTCATCTATAAGGCTGGTGATTCTGATGAGAACCACGCCGTTCCCGGCCAGCAAGCTGATCGAGAAGATAGCATACCGGATAGTGTATCTGTGGACGATGATCACGCGAGGACTGGCATAGATGAGGAATTTACGTCTCCACCGCCTGGCACGGAAATCGAGCTTGATCTACCACCGATGCCAAAGGAAGGCACCCCGTCAAAGTGTCCATTGTGTGGAGAAGTCTTCAATCCAACAGATCCGGACTTCTGGGTGTAGGCCACAGACTTTTCTTTAATAGTGATGTGGAGGCAAAGCTAACTATCGATCCCCACAGTTTCCACCTCGAGGATGACCTTCGACCTTACTTGTGCACCTGGAAAGACTGCAGCATTGGACCACACCTTTATCACCGACGAAGAGACTGGCAGCGCCATGAAGACACAGCCCATCGCAGGACATGGAAATGCCCCTTTGAATGTGACTCCGCATACGAGACGCCGAGCGAGTTCTCAGAACACCTGAAGACGGCTCATGAAGCGAACGAAGACCCTGAGATACTGAAGTCACTCATCGAAGCAAGTTCAAGGCCGAGCGAACCGTCGAAAGACCTTCGTTGTCCGCTATGTGAATCCCGAATCGCAACCCTGGACAGGTGGTATCGCCATGTAGGGCAACATCTGGAATACCTTTCGTACTTCTCTCTGCCCGACCGTCTACGCAGAGTGAAGTCCGAAGCGGACGAAGTAGGCGTGGGCTGGGTTAGCAGCTCTCTTGTCAATGAGCAGGACGTCACTGGCGAAGCACGTGTCACAAATGTCTCGAATGCGGACAGAAATCCGCGACAAGCAATGGTGGAGTCTGAGGACACTGAGCAGAGCGACAAACTCTCGGAAGCCGGTGCTTCAGTCACTGACGGTCGCCTTGAGACCCTGGAGCTCGACGAAGGCGTGCGCGGGTTATCCACAATCGAGGTCCGTGGCAGAAGCCGGAGTGTGAGTGTTGACAGCTACCCGCCTCGAGAGCAATCGCCGATAAGCGTGGAAGTCGTCTCTGAGTCGAGTAAAGTCGTTGAGCGCTCGCGGTCTCGGGAAAGCGTTGTTGAAAAACGTGGTGCGGCAAGACACTACCCAGGTAGGAACCGAGAGTCACACAAAGGCAAAAAGACGACAACACCACAGGATTTGCACGTGAGCGAGTCAATCTCCCGGCAGCCACGAAACGCATCGCCCACAGTCGAGGAGCAGAACAGAGTCACTGAGTACGACTTTCTCGGACGCGACGATGGGACTCATTACGCAGTCCATCGTCACGAAGATAGGAACCGCGCCCCAACAATTCACGTCTACAATAGGGATCGCTCTCCAACTCACGACCATGAAGACATGCCCTCCTACGTTCCCTACCCGACCTACCCGATTGAAAATGCAGGCATGGAAGCCGAGAAGTTGAAAGACGAGCAGGCGAAGATCGACAGGGAGCGACAGCACAAAGAATTTGTGGAAGAATATGAGTTGCGCAAAGCCAAGCAGGAAATGGAGCGCAAAGAAATCGAAGCGAGAATAGAAAGGGAGTACGAAGAGAAAAAGTACAAGAGAGAACGAGGACGGAAAGAGCTCGAGGAGAAAATTCGACTCGAGATGAGGCGGGAAGAAGAAAAGAAGAAGGACGAGGACAAAGAATTTGGGAAGAAAGTCGAAGAGAAGATGTGGAAGAAGCTGGCCGCCTTTGGTTTCCAGGACCATCAGATTCGGAGCATTGTGGAAGGCGATCAAGCAGAGAAGTCCAAGTCGGGATTCTACGAAGACAACTTTTCCTTCGAGAGGGAGAGGGAGATCGCGGAGAGGGAATTCGCGGACAGAGAGCGACAGTACCACGCTCAAAGGCGGGACCGCGAGCCGCTGCGAGAATACTACGCCCCGAGCCAAGAGTACTCCAACCCACCTCGAGAACACAGAGCCGGAGGAAGACCACCACAACCTGCAGCAAGACTACCTACAGACTACGAAGACTACCTCGAGCCAATTCGATTCGAAGACGCCGAATACCGCCGTTACAGAATTCCTTTCAAAGCGGCCAGAACCTGGAAAGGCATGCAAAAGGTCGTCCGAGAGGTCTACCAGAACTCTGAAATTCGCGATATGGACGAAGATATCATTTCTGGACGCTGGCAGATTGTTGATGCCGATGATAATGGAATCCTGCCCAGCTCGTGGGAGATGTCGGTCAAGCCGGGATATGTCTACAAGCTGGCGTTTACTCGTCCTCAACAGAACGATCGAATGTATGAGCGAGATCGATACAACGACGAGAGAACAAGGCTCAACGACGATGTGGATGAGATTATTGGGGACCACCGCCCATGGAGAAGTCGCTCACCTGTGATCATAAGAGAGACGCCGAGGGAGCCTGTCCAAGAGCGTGATGCATTCCGATCGGTCGATAACGCAGCAAACCCCTTCCAACCGCCCGAACCCCAACCCCAACCACCCACTACGGGCAACCCAGAGTACGCCTTCTACCGACGACGCTCCCGCAGCAAACCCACCAAAGCCGTCTCCTGGGACCCCTACCTCGACGACGAAGCAGGCTGGTATCCCAACCTCGAAAGCGCCACGAGGGGAGGCTTCCAACGACCTGGCAAAGAACCGACCCCTCGACCGTGGTATCGAGACAATGCCCAGCAAACAGCCTCCTACGCTTATCCGCCCCCGCCCCCGCCGAACAGCAGTGGCCAGTACAGAGGACCGACGTGGGTGAAAGCCCACCGGGACCATATCTCGCCCGAGACGTTGCGGTATTATGATTTGCCGTGGGAGTATGATATGGTATGTTCCCCAATTCATCGATAGCTGTAGTGTGTGTAGCTGACATGCGGAAACAGAATGACAATAACTACATCATCATTCAGAGAGATATGGAGCCGCGAGAGACTGATATCTTGTTCGAGCATACGCGACGGTTGAGGGAGCGGCCGGCTGTTACGGCGGGGCCTTCTGCGCCGTACCCGGTGTATCGATGAGCTCGATGCTTAAGCCATGTATATACGTCCATTTCAATCCATTATGTACCCTCATTTCTCTCTCCCTCACGAATCATGGTATCTCGCAAGAAAAAACAACCTACATCCACAAAAAGAAAAAAATATCCCCAATATCCCCCATATCTACAACCCACCCACCCAGTCTATCCCCCCAAATCACCTACTTCTTCCCCGGCTCCGGCGTCTTCTCCTTCTTATGATGATGTCCATCTAACCCAACCGCATGCTTAACCTTCTCCACGAAACCCTCCCCACCACCCTCCTTCTGCGCATGCGAATGCCCCCCAAACTTCTCCCGATGCACATTCCCCTCCCCGCCGCGTCCCGTATGATAATTCTCATAACTCTCACCGGGCACCCTTGTGGCGCTCTCGGGGACGATCTCCTCGGAGGGGTGGTTGTTGGTCGTCGAGGCGTGCGCGATGTTGCCCGTGCCGCCCCGGCCGGTGCTGTATTCGGCGGTCGTGGAGACGCCGGGCGTGCCTTCGCGGATTATGTCGCCGTCGACGTAGGTGGAGGGGTCGGGGCCGATGTTGCCGGCGCCTGGGAGTGGTTAGATGGTGGTGGGGGAGGGGGGAGGGGAGTGCGTACCGCCGCGGCCGGTGGAGTGGATGCCTCCGCTTTGGGGTTGGGACATTGTTGCTTCTGGTCTCGAGGAGTAGGTTCTGTAGTCTTAGGTTGTGTCTGTCGTTGACGGGAGGCTCAAAGCAAAGCAAAGTAAACCTGTCGTCGACTTAACCTTCCAAATCTAAACAAGAAGCATAAAAGAAAGAGAGCTGTGAGAGCAGAGAAGAGATCCAACAACCAAGGAAACCCCCAGTCCCAAAAATGACGCAAACCCACCACCAGCACCTCACCTTCCCATCAGATCGGTCACATCTCAGCCTGTCACTGGGTGCTTTCTGCGCCGTAAAGACGCCATCGTTCGCCTGGCCAAACCTCAAGTGAACTCTTGACGGGCACGAGGTGAGGTCGAAGTTCGCTTCATGACATCAGCCAAGTGCAGAGCTGTCGATAAGGCTGGAGCTTGTTATTGGTGCGCTCGTCCAGCGCGAGGGACATGTGAAGATGATATTGGAAAGGACATCTGATCAGATCTGATATGACAAAGTGATGGGCGGGAAAAGTAACAAGGAGTTTGTTGGGCAGGCGGAGTTGGTTCCGATGTTCGGGATGGAGGAAGAGTTGGAGTTGGGAGTTGGGAGTGGATGTCCGATATGCTGATAACAACAAAAAGTTCAATACCCTTGAATTTGCCCATAACCTCGTCAGTGAAACAGCAAAATACTATTGCCGCTTACTATGCGGACATGGATCTCATGTCTCTCACGGTACAAGACAACGCCTCTTCTGAATGTCTATTCTCCGCCAGAATCATACGCTCTCACCTCATCGATCAAATGGTACCTTTGCATGACAGGTCGTTGTCTACTTCTTTTGCTCGCCGCCGCCTCCGGTGGTTGGAAGACCCATGAAGATCTTGAACGAGTCGTAGATCATCCATTGCAGACCAGTGAGAGTACCAATCATGACGATACTGTTTAACACATCAGCATATATTCAATCATTCTCAGTCTCTTTTTTCCTTTGAAACTCACCGAATAGGCAGACCAGCCCAAAGACCGCCAAAGCCGATTTCCTTGTAGATTCGCGAAGTGGCACCGCCGAATGATTCACCAGGAGTGCGGTTGGCGTTGAGCTTGGAAACCATAACATCGGCAGGGTGAGAGATGATGGCGCAGAGAATACCAGCGAGGTAACCACCGGTGAAAGCAACACCAGTCTGAGCACCCTTGGAGTAGTCGGACTTCTGGCCTGGAAGACGGTGGTAGATCATTTCGACGATCGTTTCAAAGGAGGCAAACTTCATCATGGTGTACGGGATTTGACGGCCCCAGAGTGGGGTGATCCCCTTGTAGAGACTGGATAATGAACGTTAGCAAATGTCCAGACAATTTAGTGGCCTTCGTGTACTTACCCGCCAATACCTTCAGACGCGACAATCTTGCTGATGCCATCCCACGTTCCCTTCGCAAATGGAGGAATCGTAGTCTGCATACGAACCTTGACAGCCTCAAACGGACAAAGACCAATATCGGCGAAGAACTCCGCAGAGGCAGATCCAGCAAGGTAGATATAAGTCTTATAGCGAACCGCATTCTCCTCGCCGGCCAAGTCGGAGTAGAACTTCTTGAAGAACTCGTAGCAGCCGTATTTCAGCGCACCTTGGACGGAGTAGCCGAAGAACGTGGGCGAGCCGCCGGTGTAGACGCCGGAGAAGCCCTCCTGGCGGATGATGGTGCGCCAGCCGTCGATGTTGCCCTTGTAGAGCTTGCTGTCGACCTGGCGACGGCACTTGACGAGGTCGAGGGGTGTGACGCCCCAGTGCGTGAGGCCGCAAGCCATGAGACCACCAAAGGTGCTGTGCCTCGTATGAGTACGTCTTGAAACGCGCGGACGCTCGCATGCATGCCTTACCAAGTAGCATAGTACTTCCCGCTGTAGAGCTCGATCTTGCCGACCTTGTCCTGGGCGGCGCTGGAGGCCTTCTGGAGCTCCTTGGCGGCGGCATCGCTGAGCTGTGTGGCCTTCTTTTGCGCGTCTTCGGTGACGTCCCAGGACTGGTAGAGGTGGGCGATGGACTTGCGTTGGGGCGCGGGTTGGGTGTTCATGGCGTAGGGCGTGGCATTGCCGAAGGTGGCGCTCAGGGCGCTCATGGACGGGAAGAGCGACATGGTTGCGGTGGTGTCTGTTGGCGAAGGGGGTGGTCAGTCGGGATATTGTTGTTTATCTCCGGATTGATCCAGCGCATTGCTTATGCCCATCGCTCGGCATGGCCGCAATGGCTGCAATGGCCTTTGGGAGTGTCGATAGACTCACCTCCGTAGCTCACCTGCTCAGCAGTGCAGAGTCAACAGCTCGTCAATGTCCCCAGGACAAAGAAGACAGAGAAAGTTGAAGCTGGATACGGGAAGTCGGTTACACGGCAACAAGGTGGTGGAATAGGCGAGCCTCACCATCCTCCTCCAGCTCCTCCAGCTCCCAGCTTCTGACGTAGCCGTTGACTTCGTACAACCCCGGCCCGGCAATTTCGAGTAGATCCCGTCCACGATCAACACCATTGAACTTCACCCCATCTGATAATCCCCGCGATATACCCCTCTCCCTCCCACAACAATGGCAGCAGCAACAACAACAAGCACAGGCGAACCGCGCGAGAAATCGCCATGGGCAAATAAATACAGAGGCGTTCGTCCACCTCTTCCCATCTCATCCCTTCAAAACCTCACTAACACCTCCACTTCAGGCCACAGTCGAAGACCTCGACCCCCCACCCGCCCTCAGCACCTCCCCGCACAGCCCCATCTCGCACGCCCTCATGGCCGCCTACGAACGCGACTACACGCACCTCACCGTAATCCACCCCGAAGACAAATCCCTAATGGGCTACATCTCCATCCCGCACCTGCAATCGCTGCTGAAGAGCGGGGAGGTGAAAGATAGCGATCATGTGGAGAAGGCGATGATCAGGTTCAAGAGGAAGGGGAAGAAGTATCGATTGATCACGATGGAGACGAAACTGGAGGAGTTGGAGGGGTTTTTCGAGGGGGAGGGGATGGGTGGTTCGAAGCAGGAGTTTGCGGTGGTGACGGATTTCGGGAGGCGGTTTGTGTTGGGGGTGGCGACGAAGGAGGATCTGACCAAGTTTCTGGAGAGGAGGCCATTCTAGAGACGAGGAATGGATGTTGGGTGGACAACAAGACTTTATTCACAACTCTATGGCTACGCCCAGACTCCGACCAAGGCCATGAGCAACGCTCCAGCAACGACGGCTCCGCACGCCTGTAACCGCCGCTTGCCTCGTAACTCCACATAACTGCTGTCGCTGAGGAAGTCTTCCGCCAAAAGCTGGACCAAACCCGCGTACAACAACAACCCGGAGCTGATGGCATTCATTATGCCAACCATTAAGAGCCCAAACTCGCTCTCGGGATCATACAACCCTTGGACTCCCAACCCAATTGCTTGCCCGACAGGCGTGGTGATGCCATACAGCAAACACATCACCCAGGGTCTCAAGCTTTCCGTGGAGAATGTGCCGATGGAGGCAATCCGCGAACCCAGAGCCAGACCTTCGAACGTTTGGTGGAATGAGATAGCGATCAGGAGGACCACAAAGGCGGACCCTGTGCTGACTGATACAGCCAGTCCAATGAAGACGCTGTGGAATAGAATCCCAGCTTCAAGCATTAGACATTGAAGAATGAGACGTTGCTCTTCTGGTGAGGGCTTCCCAGGGTTGTCGTAAGATGGTGCTTCACCTTGTTGATCTGCCCATGACACAGTTCGCTTATGCTTGTTCGGACGCACATGCCCATTCGCATGGCCATTCGCAGATGGTAGGTCTACCTCATCCTCGTCCTCATCGTCATTCGCTCGTCCAGTCAAAGGCTGTGTATCGTCCGCAACAGGATCCAACTCGTCCAAATCCAAATCCGAGTCATTATCATCCGCATCCGGCTCCGGGGGCAGAGGTTTATTCAACGAACTCGAGTCCTTCGGTGGTGTAGCAGGCGCCCCGGGAGAATCCATATACAGACTCCTCTGCTCCTCCAGCGGTATATCCTCCTCCCCTCGTAAAGGCAACGTCCTGAACCTATTGAAACTCTCCGACCTCCTCCCAACAGCTGGTCGTTCCTCCACCTCCCCACCCCTCAACCGCTCAAAATCCACATGATGACTATGCCCGGCGCCTCGTGTCGCAAAGAACATCTCAATCCCCACCACCACCATGACGCTAATCATCGCAATGAAACCCGGCATCTCCGGGTAGACCTTCGTCCAGAACGGCGGCAGACAATCATCCGTGAGGTTCAAATACGCCGTCGGCAGGAGATGCACAAACGCCGTCGCGATGAGGACCCCCGTGCCGAAGTGTCGGCTGATGAAGAGCGCATGGTTAGGGACCGGCAGGCGCGGGAATCTTCGAATTATGAGGGGGAAGGAGCAGGCGAGGGTGGAGAGGAAGAGGATTAGGAAGAGGGCGAAGACGTGTGCGGCGAGGTTGTAGTGGTGTGAGCGGTCGCTGGAGCCGCATGTTGGGCGGGTGTTCTCTTCGGACTGGCGGCGGGCGAGTTCGGCGCGGAGGGCAGAGAGGGGGATGTCTTCCCAGCGGGGTGTTACTGTGAGTGAGAAGAGCGTCTTGTCAGCGTTGATGGCCTGGTGTGGATGTGGTTGAGGGAGAACATACGTTCGCCGACTGCATCTTGTGTCATCTTCTTCTTCGTCTACTCTTCTGCAGTGTTGTGCGATCCACTATCATCGTATGCACGGCATGTGGTTGTAGGGAAGTGAAACTTGCTCACGACGACGACAATGAATCCTCGAGGTCACTTTGGTGGTCGTCTCGTACGGAGCATGTCGGATCTGATCCGAGCTCCGCATTCGTCACCCCGCCAAGCCCTCGTGGCAGGTGACAGGGATTAGGACTTCGCATCATTCATTTACTCTCTTTGTGACTATTCTTGTCCGCCACATAGTTCCATATAGAGCTGAGCAGTTACGGCTTATGCCCCAGCGCCACTCTCTCCACAAGGCGCCCCTTGAGGCTCCCGATTCCAACTCGTGCTCCCTCCATACCTCGACTACTCGCCCATAAAGACAACTCCATCCCGTCACATCTTATTTTCCCGCTCCCCCACCCATCCAAACCCAAGTTCAGGAAACAGCGCCTTCAAAAATCTCCAATGACATCTCTCCTTCCAACCCCTCTTTCTCCACTGATTCGCAACGCCAGGAAACAGCTCGACAACATCCAAAAGATCTGGGTCGTGCGCCAGTGCCACAAAGACATTACTCGCCCCGTCGAAGGCCTGGAGGGCGTCGATGCTCTGCTGCGCTGCAGCAACATCGCTGTGGGGGCCGGTCGCCGTACAAAACGGGCTCTTCTTCGCCGTCTCTCCGCCATCGTTGACGGTGTATTCGCGATGGAGCGCATGCACACGCGGGCCATCACGACTGCTAATTTGATCCGGTAGCGGATGCGCAGCGCTTGGTCGGAGAAGCGCGCACTCGTGTGCGACATCTCCGCCCAAGAATATGAACGTCGCTGTGTCCGAGTCATGTGCCGGAAGGGTGGTTCTCGCCAGCGCGGAGAGATGCCCGACTGTATGTCCAGGCGTATGGAGCAGATAAAAGGCCCCATCGCCGAAGTAATCATATGTTTCAAAGCCGCCGATGCGCAGCCCACGCCCAGATGTAAGTGAATTCGCATACGATATCTCGACCACGTCCCGACCGCGGTACAAATCGCTGGTTGTCTCCCATTTCTGCTTCGCAGCCGGCCAACCTGGCAAGTACGCCTCGCGATAGCCGGGCCCTACGACCACTTTCATCGTCTGCGAGAAGCGCGTGGGATCGCCAGTGTGGTCGAAATGATGATGGGAAAAGACCACCGCGTCGATGCTCGCCGGGTCGACACCACCCTCATAAAGAATACTAGCGACGTCTTTCTCAACACGCACGCGCATACTACCATTCTGAATGGATCGGAGGATAGGTCGAGACGTGGCGATTTGCCAGTCAATGCGGAGGCCCAGGTCGAAAAGCACCCGGGTATTAGAAGGTGGATGGGTGATGAGGAAGCTATGGCTGGGTTTGGGGGCGATGGACTTGGAGAGTGAAGGGTATTTCGTCGCTGGGGCCATGTAGTGTGACCCTGGTACGCCACCGATTCGAGTGGTTGTGTCGATGATGGCGACATCTACGGTGATATCGCCCTTGGGAAGGATCAGGGATTGCTGCTCAATCATCTTTTCTCGCACTATCAGGTCATGTAGGAAGGTGTCGTTTCTTTGTAGGCTAAGGTAGGGGTTTGAAGCATTGGAGAAGATTTCCACTGCCCTTCTTTGAATTCGATGCAACAACATGCTGATCGCTTTCGCTTTCGCGTCCGATGTCGAATTGATCGGAACTTCAATCTAAGCTTACCTGTTCATTTACTTGGCAGTTACCTAACCCGACAGTAGCCATTGATTGATTGTATGCCTATGCATGGCTCCCGGGTCTGGCAAAAGCCACTAAATTCAACATCCATCTTAGTCAAGGTATGAGTAGAGAATTCAATGTACTCCTCGCTGAAGCCTCATCTTCCAGTCCCACGAGACTAACATCTTCGATGAGATTCGCTATGTAGAAGCTATCCAACAGTCCTTCCCATAACCGTAGGCGCCTCGAACCGCCACCTAAGCATTCGAGCTGCAAGTCTCTCCCGCATGAGACGATTTGCCTCTGCTAAATTCGCGTCCCGTGGTGCCTTTTGATACGCCAAGAATTGTTCCTTCACCGTCTTGAGCAGGTCGAAGTCTCCAAGGACGATCTGCCCAGAATTAAAGGCGTCGAAGATGCGAGCGTCGGTGTGTTGGGGCATCGAAGTTGATGCTAACAGGGCTTCTTGCTCGGAAGAGGCTTCCTCGTTCGTAGTCTGTGTCGATTCTGCCGCCGTGCCTGCTGGGTTCAAGGTCTGCATCTCTATGGCATCGCGATTCTCTTGCTCAACTGAGCGCCGCACACCCCGCTCTTCGTCCTCCACCGTCTGACCCGTAGAAGTGGGTTGCGCTGGATACTGGCTTCCTGTCGATGTCGTGACCGCAATCGCTGGGCTCTGTCTCAGTCTCTGTCGCAAGACCAGGACTGAGAGGTGTACTGTCTGTAGAAGCACGACAAGCAAGTCCAGTAGAAGCAAATGCAGCTTGCTCGATGGCCCTTTCTGACCTATGAAGTCCATCGCCATGCCCCCATGCAGATATCCTCTTGTTGCTTCCCCTGCCGACGGTGCGCTGCTCCACATGTGTAGCAGCAGACACAGGATATTGGTGCCGAAGATCATGCCGATGTACGGCCGGTTCGGGGGAGGTTCAGGAAACATGGCCGGCTTGGGCGTAAGCCATATGAGCTGTACGACGGCGCGTAGGAGGAATGTCAAGAATGAGCAGCTGCCTGCTGTTAGCCGTGTGCTGTCTCAGAACTCATCCATCGCTTATCGTACTCCATATAGTAGATGGTGCTCAGCTCGGCATAGACGAGTAAGTCGACGCTCTTGATGAGGTCGTCCAGCAGCTCTCCACGTCTCTTATTGAAGTTTTCCCTGTTCTTCTTCCTCCTCTCTTCGATCTGCTTCGCACTAGGCAGCGCATGGGGTGCTGGTGGGATGTCATCTTGGGCGGGCTGTGCGGAGGTCGAGGGCTCATCGTTCATAGCTCGGCGTGGCTGTGATGTAGTGGCTGTCGCATGGCTCGGACAGCATTCGACTGGTGTTTGGGCGTGTTTATTCAGATCGCGTGGGGTGTTGATCAAGAGACAACGTGAAGTTGGAGAAGCACGAGCAGGCGGGCGGGCAGACGAATCTCGGAGCGAGCCGAGGCGCTCAGCTACGACGACGTCTCGATACCAATCCATATCCATCTATCCTATTCTCATCAACTTGACCGTCTCAATTGGAATCATTTCTGTCTATTCAGAATCGAAAGCTGTATCCGCTTAGCCTTGCTATGTAGCTGCCGAGACGTCGGATAGTTCTTGAACCACCTGATACGCCAATATCCATTCTCACGCCTTTTTGTTGACCTTCCAGCCAAACTTAATCACTCTCACCCCCCAAAAGCCCAATCCAGCAACACAAGCCGATACACCACCAAAAGTCCAAATGCCCGTCCAGTCCAAAGGAGGCTTATCCCCCAAGATCCCACCGCCACCAGGTCCACCGGCGAGGATTCCAAACCCCATGATCGCATATCCCATCCCGATTCTCGTCCCTAGCTTCGACTTGTCCGGCGTCATCGCCACGAAGCAAAGCGGCGGCATGCCAATCATGACACCACTAATAAAACCCGTGAATATCGCCAGGACGATGATGCCAGCCCCAGACGAGACCGCCATGAAGCAGAGCATAAACACTCCAGCCAGGAATGTCCCCGGAGCCAGCAGATTGAACGAACCGGTCTTATCTGCCAACGCGTTTGGTAGACTCCGTCCAAAGCACGACGCCGCATTGAAGATCGGTACCACATAAAACGACATCGCCGTGCCGAGGAAGTGTTGATCTTGGCTGTAGTAGGCGACGTAGAAGAAGAACACGAAGATGCCCATGTATGCAATGAGTCCGGAGAGGACGAAGCTCATGAACTGCACATCGACGAAGGCGCTCCAGTCGATGATGGCTCTGACTTTCGGTGGCTTGACTCGGAGTTTCAGCAGAGCCAGCGGAATGAGGAGTGTCGCCAGTGCGAGAAAGCCTTCGATCCGTACGGCCCAGGCGAACCCGATTTCGTTGATCAATCTGTAAAGCACGATAGGATATATCACTCCTCCGAGTGAAGATCCAGCTGTAGCGATGCCAACCGCAAGCCCAAGTCTTGTGCTGAAGTATTGCGCATTGATCGCAACGCAGGGGACGAATAGCAGTCCAGTCCCCACACCTATCACGACACCTTGTGCGAGTATGATTTCCCAGTATGCATGGCAGAGACTGAGCATCATATGCCCGAACACCACCAAGAAAGCCCCACTGATCAGCAACAGACGTAGGTATCCCCGATCATATATCGGTCCCGCGAAGACGCCCATGATCAGCAAGAGGAAAGCCTCAATCGACCCGATCCAGGAGATGTCGGATGAGGATGCGTGGAAGAGTTGACCGGATTCGTAGTACGTTTGATATGCGCCGAAGGCATTTAAGATACCCCCGTGAAAGTGTCAGTTGAGCTTGTCTAAAGGTACGTGTGGTGCAGTGTCTTACCATGTGTTGAAGTAAAGCAGGAAACTTCCCGCGACTTGCATCCATGCTGTGAGTCCGCCATTTGGAGGCGGTGTTGGGCCTGCTAGTGCTTGTTGAGGCGGTGGAGGTGATGGTGCTTCGACGTTGGCATCGCTGCTTGGGCGCGAGGATGTGTCTTGAGGCTTCTCTTCAGGGTCCATTTTGGTAGGACTTCTTGGCTGCTTTCGGTCTCACAAGCTGGGTTGTGCCTCTAGACGCGTGTGGACCTAACCATCCTCAAGGCCTGTCGCACAAGATATATCCCATCTCAACTTCGCCCAAACGATGGCCCGGACATTACGTACAACCCGACATCACCAACGCCAAGTCCCCATGAAGTGCAGGATCTTCAAACAACCTCCCGCAGTTCCTCTACACACCTGTACAAAGCGTCCATCTCGCGCCACAATTTCCATGGTAGCATCCTGTTCCTGCATACTAGGTCAAAGTGAATGTCAAGATCTAGGCCGACGCCTCGGCCGACAGGGGTCCGAGCTCGGACGAGGCTGTGGCTCCTTCACTCGGTTGCTCGGTGGTGCTCGTACGTACGGCCTTTTGTTTCTTCGTTCTTTCGGTCGAGGTGCGAGAGCACTCTATGTGACGGATGGATTGTTGGAGTGGTTTCTGCTTCTGGCTAAAAGTGCGACGGGTGCAAGATGGGTGTTCTATGTGTCGGACATCTCGGATAAGGATGGAGCAAGAGAGATGATCGGACGTAGAGAAGTGTGCTGGTGGGAAGAGCGTTGTGAGCGAAGACATTTTGTGGCAGAGACGGAATACTTTGTTCAATAGGCGTCACAAGTGTGTAGGCACCGTGTGGGAGGGCTAACGGCGGCTGCCTCGACTCAAGACACGCATCAGAAGCTATGCCACCGCCATCAAGACTGGCATGGGACTAGAATTGTATGCTGAACTGAGACGTTGTGTTTTGTAGGCTCTTGGCTGAGTCTCTGCGGTTGTTGATCACTTAAACAAAGGCATATGGTCTATCAGTGGGAGTGGTCGAAACTACTGTGTGTTGTGGGCTTACAAAATGTCACCAATGTACCAAGCATGGATCTCTGCTAGTGCTTGCAAATCACATTTTGCTTCACTGCATGGTTACTCAAGGCTAACTACCAGCTTCTGAGCCGACACACCCTTCAAAATCCTATCCACAGCGGTCTGCACAGACTCCAATCCCTTGCCAACAACAACCGGTGCCGGCGCAGGGACAAAAGTCCCAGCCTTCAAAGCCTTTGGAAGGTAGTCCTCAAACACCGCCTTTCCAACGCCATTGTCCTTCAACGTCACGCCGAAGAGTCGCTGCACAGTGACACCTTCAACTCCCTTCTCAGCTCCACCTTTTGTCGTTGTGACGATTCCAGTTCCCGCAACCCTTTTGACAACGTTGACGGAAGTGGTACATGCTTGTCCACCGATGCAGTCCAGAACACCCGCGAGCTGCTTGCCCTTGAACGCAGCGACAAGACCATCTTCAATCGTCGAAGCGTTGTAGTCCAAGACCTGGCTCGCACCAAGCTTCTTAACAACCTCAAAATTCTTCGGCGACGCAGTCGCAACAACTTCATACCCAGCCGCAACCGCCAGCTGAATCCCATTCGCGCCAACACTCGACGAACCACCCCAAACCAAAACCGTCTGCCCGGTCGCCTTCCCTCTCGGCTCAGTAGGATACCGCAACCCCAAACACGGCTTCTCCTGGAACAACCCACAAGCCGCCGTCGAAAGCCCCAGCGGAATCACAGCGGCCTCCTCGAACGCCATCCCCTCCGGTATCTCCGTCGCCATATGCGACTGCAAAACCGTAAACTGCTGAAACGCATTCTCGTTATTCTTCTTCTCCTTTCCGATCCCCACGGCCATGCCCAACACCCTATCGCCTTTCTTGAAACGCTTGTGTTCCGGTCCGAGAGCGACCACCTCGCCGGCAACGTCGTGGCCGACGATGGACGGGTAGGGCATAGGGATCATGGCGATTTTCTGCAGGGAGGCGTCAATGAGGTTTATGGCGATGGCTTTGTTGCGGATGAGGATTTCGGTGCCTTGGGGTTCCCACATTGGGGCGGGCTTGATTTCGAAGGGGTGGACCTTGGGGCTGGTGAGCCAGGCGGCGGTGTTGGTGGACATTTTGGCGTGGAGTGGATGGAGATGGGTTGGGTTTGGTGATTTGGTAGTCAATCGTAGGAGCTTGCTGAAGACCATAAAATTCTTGTTTTGATGGTGATTGTGTTGTTGTCTTTTTTGACTTGTTGATCTTTGTTTTGATGGTGATGATGATGGACACTTGATAGCGGAGCCATCACGTCCTCTATATACCCCTTCTTGGTCGGCATGCCGTGTTGATGTCGTCGATGTTGTTCGAGCCTCAATTCTCGCTTAACGTATGGAATACGAAAGAGGGTAGTTCAGATAGACCCTGCAGCGGACCGGATTGGATTTCGCTCGTAGGTCCGGCGCGTGAGGCTGAGAAAGAGCGTATCGAACCGTATAGAGTGATGACTGTGATGATGTCACGGAATGAAGATTGAATAATAGACTCCTGCCGGCGGCACAGAGTAGTTTCGATCTGAGAGCAACCAATGATGATGCGTGAATGTTTTGAGCTGTGAGTTCGGCCGGCAGCCTTGCTCGGATAACGCGGTCGGCCGAGCATGTGAATGCTGCTTAGCTACAGGAGTACGAACGTAGGTTAGCGTAGAGATCTGGCTCCATATACATCTGCACAGGACTGAGTACTTCGATCTTTCCTTTGTCTAGCTTGTTCTGCATGTAATGCGAGTCGGAGATGCAAACCACGAGCAAGCTCAATGTTCGAGGCCATACAGACCGGAGGCGGCATCGCCACGCCTTGGAGTTCAGCTGGCCCATGGGGTAGCAAATTGCTCTTAGCATTCTGGCTTACAAAGGCGACCAAATGGACGGTCGTCTCATTGACCATCGTGATCCCGTTAGTGGCCGCTTTTCGATACCCCCACAAGAGAGACCATGTCGCTGCGCTAGACTGGGCAGATGAAACTTTGAGTTCTAACACTGCGAATCTCCGTTCCAGAATGTATGTTGGGAGTCTGACTTTTTGAACATGGCCTGTCTGGAGACATTTTTGGGTATCTGGCAGGAGGGAAGGCCGGCCGCGATGATGCGAGCTTGTAGTCGTCTTGTGTCATCTTACTCATCATTTCAGACTGATGTGGACCTTACGGTCGTCTACTGTCTTCCTGAGATAGACTCCTCAATCGATCAACCGCCACCTCAACAGCAGTCCTAGCTTTATCAAGTGCCTCGCGTTCTACCTTTTGAGCTCCCATCATCCATCTCGGCGCAATGTTCATCTCCATCTTCATGAGATTTGCCAACTCTTTCCACTCTCTCGTTGCCTCGTGTCCGTAGGGCGTAGCCACACCCTGCTGCGCGAGTGACTGTACGTACTTCGTATACATGTCCGGGGGCCAGTCGGGATTCTGATTGCCCTCCTCATTCAACAAAACGTCATTCGTCACGTAGGCGAAGAATTGACTCCACGTGGGGAAGAAACCGCAAAACTCGAAATCAAGAACAGCAGTAATAATTGAAGGGTAGTAATCCGATACCAGGACGTTGTGAGGTCCAAAGTCTGCGTGCGTGAACACGAATTCGTGAGTCTGGTTTTGCTTGAGGATTGATAGACGTGGCAGAACGTTCTCAATACAGTCGTGCAGTATTGACGACAAGGGCTCACGATTCGGCACCAAAACTTGCTCACTTTCAAGCTCGTCGGTCAAGCAGCGTAGGTTGAGCTGCCAGTAGCTCAGCATAGTACCCATAGGTGGTGCTCTCCCTTTGCCCATCCCTTGAAGGCCATATATCGATAGGTTCGGCAACGACGTCCTAGTGGCAGGCCGGTACCGGGAATACTTGGAATGGTGTGGTTCAAATCTGATATCACCTGCCCAGACTGACCAGGGGATGTTCCGACGCCAACACAAAGTGATGCGAACTAGTTGGTCGATGATGGAAGTCTTTTGCGCGGGCGTCAATTTTGTAATGTCCAAAGGTTTTCCAGCGACGCGAGTCATCAGAATCCAACCTGGCACTCCGACGTCCAGCTCCTGAACGATCTTCTTGATTATGGTACCATCTTTATGCCGCCTTGAGACAACCCTACCACCCGTTGACCAAGCCACTACTCGTGGGACTGGAACGCTAGGGCAATATGTCTCGTTCAAGAGCAAACACCCAACTTCGTTCTCAGCTTTCACGCCGTCGAAATGTTGGCCATTGACTTTGAGGATATACTTCTTGGGCGGCTGACCACAAGAAATTGCATAAATGCGGTTGTTGAATGCAGCGAACTCTTCAGGTTGAATGACGATATTGTTACCGCTCGGCTCCGGTAAAGAGTGTTTGACAATCGCATGAATTGCAGCTTCGGAAATCTGGACGGCTTGTAGAGGCAGATTGGGTAGTCCGCCGCTCTTCGCTCTCTCCATTTTGCTTGTTGATGGGGCGACGGCCATCCATGATGTGGTTGTTGATTCGATGAAGGTCTACTTGCCACCGAAAGCAAAGTCTGACGTTGGGTTGAACTTTACGCCTTTCCGCTTTCGGATATTGAAAGAAGAAGGTGGCAGGAAAGGGGGTAGCAGGATCTAATGATCGAATTTCTTCATATATTGTAGATACCAGTTATACAGTGGATAATATCATGACACAACTTGATTGGCATCCCGAGAAGCCTCAAAGACGTAGGAATCGAAAGCAACGACAAGATTAGAGGTTGGCAAAAAACTCTATACTCAATTTCGGCCGTGGAGGGAAAAGGCGCATGTGTTAGACATCTAGTCGATGGCGAGGAAATAGGGATAGAGGGTGACCATGGACACAGAGTGCCATACCAGATGTCACAGTAAACATTCTAGAACACCGCAAGCCGCATCTCCGCCTCTCAGGTAATGCGAAGTTTCTCTTTCTTGAAAGGGGCAGCGAAGATTTCAGCCCGCAATCGCTCGTGTCGTAAAGCGATCTCCAGCAGCTTGGCCTGCCTCTCTTCATGATCTTCCATCAGTTTTTTCGAATCTTTAACAAAGTAACCCCAACGGTTTCGATTCACGCTTAGACGTGTACAAGTTTCTTCGCTTTGGCCCTCGAAATACAGCCTCCAGTCGTGTGGCCCAGGATTCATCTGCAAAAGAGTGAGTCTTCTCCATGTCTCGTCTCCACAAGACTCCAACAAGAGCCAGTATTCGACGGTGTCTTCTTTCCGACGCAGAATTTTGAGGAACGCAAACTCTTGCTGCGGATGTTCTCGATGATGTTGGAAGAACTCGTGGGCCGTCGCATCGCTGCCCTCCAAATGAGCGATCTGTTTGAAGCGTCCAGTAGCCAAAGCCATAATTCTAGTGTAGTTGTGTAGAGCCGGGAAAGGATATGCCGACTCACAAGATTGTAGTACGGTGGGAATGCGCAGCGTTTGACCAACGATGTCAAGATAACCACTCTCAAGACGGCCAAAAGGATCTCCGTGTTTCGGCACCACGCGTACATCGACAATTTTGGCGAGGCGGTGGTAGGTATGGGGCCAGTAGTGGACTGAAGTGCGAACGGATGCCCACGACCAAGAGGGTGCAACGTACGTTGAGGGGAAGACGCCGTTTGGCCAGTCAGAAATGTGATCGGTTGGGACATCCAGTGGCGTGATTCGATGCCTGTCGCTGTGAGGGTTGAAGGCGGGACTGGCTTCCCAGGCAAGAGATTCCAAAAGCTCGCTGCGCCAGTGGCCAGCATAGTACATGTCTCTCGTGGCCTTCTGAATTTCCTTTGCCAGTCCGCCGATGGCTGGCAATCGATCTTCCATCACCGTCAGCTGACGATCTGAAAAGCGTGCTATCATTTCTTTCCAGTACCCGTAGCAAGACTCGAATCTTCGGAAAGGGGACAGAGGTAAAGCGTTGAAGAAGGAAAAGATCATCCAGGGGGTACGGATTGGGTCCGGGATCGCGAGAGCCTTGACCGCCATCTGAAGCCACGGATGGATGTAATTCTGCTGACGACGAATAGTGTGCATAGTCTCTTTGCGCAAGTGATAACCGACTCCACTTCCCAGTTCGCCATCAAAAACCCCTGACTCATCCTGCACACCCTCGACACATTCGTACGACATTTGGTGCCTGCCGTAGCTCAACGTTCTTGGCGCAAGGGCTCTCTCCTGCAGCGTCCAGCCTCGAGAGAAGATGTAGGCATCATTCAGCCCCGACTCCGGGATTTCGTCGGCAGGCCGAAGCTGCACTGCTTCTGTTGCGAGTTTCTGGTCCGGACGGCGCCATTCCAACTTCACATACGGCTTGAGATTATTCCGAGGCTTTAAAAAGCCCTCACTTGGTTTCGATGCCGAAGCGATTTCCAACGTAACTGCGGCTCCCTTGTAAATTTCACTCATTTGAGCCGCCTGTTGGGCCCAGTCCTCGGTGTCATCCTGCTGAATGCAAAGCGCATCGATCCACAGATAGCGCAAGCCCAAGCTTTTGGTCACAACCACAGCGTCGCTGAGAGCTTTGGGGAAAGCAGAAGGCGAAATACCATTGTAAAGGGTGTCTTTAGTGCTGTTAAGAAGGCATAAACCTCGCTCCCCACCCCAACAGTAGGACAGCGCAGCATAGCGTCCCGAGTGACTGTCTCCCGCAACGAGTCTTACCACTCGCATAGCCTCAGACACATCCAACACCCGGAACGGAAGCTTCTCGGATACTTGGCACCGACATCTTGAGTGATTTGTCGAGCAGGCGTCAAGCCACTGCTTTGCGAGTGCAAGACATCCTGGCTCACTTGGGTCTGATGCTTGAACGCGATTGAACCCGCCTTCGCTGACCAGAGACTCGTCATGGGGTTCACGTCCAGGAGCCCCACATACATCAAAATATGCCAAACGGGTGCACGAGGACCATTCCGAAAGGGGATCTTCGGAGTACTGAGTGGCCATGATATGGGGTCTGCTCATTGACGAGTCGTTTTGATCCATCTCAATGAAGATTGGATTTTGCTCCTTCGAATTCCGGATTTCGTCATCGGACAATGGTAAGCCATCTCGAAGGCGCATCATCTGATCGAAAATGGCGGCACAGAAGTCGCACGCCTGTGCGGAAGCCTGGAGAGCAGACAGGCTAGGGTGTAGGGCATGGAAGCGCAGAACCCCGTCGCGCAAACAATCAGGATCCCTCTCCGGGTCGATAAGATGCGGCCACTCCATATCCTTGCCACGGGGAGCAGAGGCTAGAGCAGCATAAAGAGCCCGTACGTCGAAGCTGGCGCATGACGGGCAGAGACGGCTTATATCTTCGGCTTGGGTGTTCGTGTCCATGTTAATCAATCATGCCTGCGACTGATATGCACCACAGCTTCACTATCCCTTCCTTTGACAGATGGGCAAACAGTTGAAAGGCCGACGAGCAGAAGTTTGGTAATTGTCAACAGCGGCTAGGCTGTCGTCGAGGTGAAGTCGCTCAGCCGCAACGCCGCCTGCCTGAGACACCCGTGCATTGACCAGCTGCAGGCGAGATGCCATTGAAGATCATCAGACGCGAACGAAGCGCCGTAGGGTTGATAAAAAAAATTGGGTCGAAAAGAAGCCCTGATAGTCATTGCGCTCTGTCGTTGTCTACTGCAGAAGTGAGGCAAGGGAATGCTCTAATCTCAATCTTTCGTCACTAACTGGCAAAATGTCCCGCGGTATCAAGGTTCGCGCTTGTCCTATTTTGATATCAAAGGAAGAAAGCAGCGTAAAAGGGGGTGGCGACGAGCCGGTTTTCTCACGGCACTCACTTGCAGGCTTTTGATGACGAACCTGTCCTTAGACCTTACGTACTGGTGTTCGGGATGGAAGTGTCGGAGGCATCGCTTTCTCCATCCAACGGCTTTGCAAGATCATTCAGCTCACGAACCCGCCAGCCACATGCATCCGACGGAAGAGCTGGACCTGTCTTGTCAGCACTCATGAAAAGAGCACGCCACAAGCATGGTCTTCTACGCATCATGTTGGTCAGATGCGGCGGGCAGAGGCCTTTCAAGGTTTTCCCCATCCCCCACCACCTGGCGTCGAGATCTGGATATACTCGCCAGCATCCAGATCGATCACAGCCTTGCCACCAAGATTAACTTCAACCAGATCTCCCGAGGTTGGATCCCTCTTAAAAGCCACATTCCGCCCTGGCATTCCGTCCCCGCCTCCACTCATGCCATACGGTGCAAAGACTCTTCTGTCGCTGAGGATGCTGAACTTCAGCGGGATTCTAGCCTCGATTTCCCTGGTGACTCCGTTTCCCCCGTTCCATTTGCCCTTCCCGCCAGAACCCTGCCTGATCACAGATCTTCGGACGAGGACTTGGGTCCTTTTCTCGACTACCTCCGGATCGGTCATTCTTGTGTTCGTTGAATGCACCTGAGTTGCATGCTCGCCGTCCCATCCAGGTCCAGCACCGCAGCCTCCTCCGATGGCCTCGCCAAAGTTCCAGCCTGGCGTGATAGCGCCCGAGATTGGGTCCCGCCCACCTGTGCCCCAGCCGAAACTACTTGCGCAGCCCTGGAACGCGGCACAAGCTTTGAAAGCCTTCAGGATGGTGTCAATCACTCGTTGGCTGGCAATCGTGCTACCACAAATCGCAACACCCGGCCCTGGGTTGAGGATGCTGTTCTTTGGGACTTTGATTGTCACTGGAGTGAGGCAGCCTTCATTCAGAGGAATGTCGAGGTTCAAAAGGCAGCGCAAGGTGTATATGACCGCGGAGTGAGTGATAGAGATGGGGCTGTTGAAATTACCCCAGATCTGAGGGCCAGTACCTTCAAAGTCGAATGTGGCAGACCCGCTTTCTTTGTCGATGGTGATACAGAGCTTGATAGGTGTTCCGTCATCATAGTGATCCACAGCTCGCAGCGGTTCTGGATGTTTGGTGCTCATCTCGCGAAGGAACGTCCGCACCGCATTCTCTGCGTTTGCTTGGATGCCTTCCATAGCCTGGTGCACGAGTGGAAGCCCTACCTCATCACAGAGCTTCTTGATCAGGGTCAAGCCACGCTGGTTGGCTGACATCTGCGCTTTGAGATCCGAGAGATTGTCTTGAATCCGTCTCGTTGACGCACACCCAGGATGATCTCCCGCTGCAAGGAACGCAGCCCGAACATCGTCCTCGAGGAACTTGCCGGCACTGGCTATCTTCATACTCTCGACGTTGATGCCTTCTTCCCAGAGCTGCTTGCTTTCCGGCATCATGCTGGTGATACCTCGTCCACCGATGTCAGTATGGTGACCACGGCTGGCAACGTAGAACGCAATCGATCCATCAACGAAGCAGGGAGTGACGACCGTGAGGTCTGGCAAATGCGTCCCACCCCACTCAGGGTGGTTTGTGAGGCACACATCTCCTTCTTGCAGCTTTTCTTGCCAGTGGCGATGCTGAGCTTGTATGGCGAACTGCATGCTACCGAGATGGATCGGGACTATCACAGAGCGTCAGTAAATAGCTGGAACGCAATCCTTGGTACTTACTGTGCGGTGCATTGGCGATCAACTTGCCCTCAGGAGAAAAGATTGCACATGAGAAGTCAAGCCGCTCGCGAATACTCGACGATATCGACGTGCGTTGAAGTGTGTTGCCCATCTGTTCGGCGATGGCCATGAAGCGATGTGCAAAGACGGAGAGCTGAACAGCGTTGAGAGCATCGTACGTCGTCGACTTTTGTGTGAGAATCGATTGCTTTTCCAGAGCGACATGATTGGAAAGAACATACGCAGTAAATGACGGCTCAATCAAGATGGTCTGCGTCGCGTCAATCAAGATCGCAGGACCTGCAATGTTGGTACCTTTCGGAACCTCGTCTAGCTGGTATACCAGTGTCTCGTGAGCGGCGCCGTTGACATACACCGCCTGTGAAGCGGAGGATGAAGATGGCATTGACTGTGATTTAGCCAGAGCCAGTTCCTTCGTTGGCGGCCTCTGCTTCTCGATTGTGCCGGAGTTGCCAGTCCTTCGAATCCTAAGAGAGTCAATCACAATCTGCCTGTCCATTGTGAATGCAAATTCACGAGCATGCTCTCTCGTGAAAGCTGTGCCGTAGTCTTCGTCTTTTGGCTTCGAGATACTGAGCGATGTGTCAGTGCCGAAATACCGCAAGTTCACAATCTCGTCATAAGTAATGGTGTCAGGACGGCTTCCTTGTGAGACCAACTCCTTTTCAACGCCCTCGCGTAGTGCATCGAAGCGGCTTCGGATGCTACCCAGTGCGTCAATGGACCAGTTTCCGGAATATGGAGCGGATGTCTCATGTTGCAGCTGTGCGTGCGCGATTCCATAAGCTGATAACAGGGATGAATGTTTGTGAATCAAAACGGTGCCAATGCCCAGCTTGTCTGCAATAGCACACGCATGTTGCCCTCCGGCACCTCCAAAGCTGACGAGGTTATGGCTCTCTGGAGCATAGCCTCTGGCTTCTGTGATGTTGCGAATGGGCCTACTCATGGCTTCGTTTGCAACATCGAGGAAACCCAAAGCAAGGTCCTGTGCAGCCATGCTCTGTCCAGTCTGCTTGTGGAAGTCTTTGGCGAGTGCATCGAATTTCTTCTTTACTATATCGACGTCCAGTGGCTGATCTGCATTGACTCCAAAGATCGCCGGAAACGAGGACAGGACAAGTCGTCCAAGGAAGAGATTGGCGTCAGTGACAGTCAGAGGTCCGCCATTCCTGTAGCAGGCCGGACCTGGAAAAGCACCTGCGCTTTCCGGACCTACGGCCAGCAATCCGTTCCGTAGTGACAGAATAGAGCCACCTCCTGCTGCTACGGTCGATATGTTGAGCATCGGTGCGATAATACTGCGACCAGCAATTTTGGTTTCCTGGAGAAAGTCGTATTTGCCGTCGTATCTGCAGACGTCGGTAGAAGTTCCACCCATATCGTATCCGAGTAAAGGTACTTGGGATTCGGAATCAAAGCATGATTCGGCGACGCCGACTACACCACCAGCAGGGCCGCTCAACAGAGCCTCGTTTCCGTTGAACTTCCGTGCTTGTCGTAAGCCTCCATTCGAGCACATAAACTCGACTCGTTGTGGTAGCTGTGCGAAACCTTTCTCAAACTGTTGGACGTAATCATGCACTACTGGGTAAAGATACGCCTCTGAGCACACGGCAGTTGCTCTTTCAAGAAGTTTGATGGCCGGATGTGTCTCGTGGGATGTTGTGATGTTCTCGAACCCAAGTTCTTTAGCGATTCTAGCAATGACCTGCTCATGATCGGGGAAAGCCCAGGCGTGCATGAGACAAATGGCGACTGAGCGGTATCCCTGGTCTTTGAGTTGGAACAACTGCGTTCTCACACGCTCCTCGTTGGGACGTTGCAAGACTCGTATCAACTCGCCGCTTGCCGTCTTGACAACATCAGCATCCTGTAGGAGTTCTTCTTGCAAGCAAGGGGAGGGATTAAGATCAAAGTCTTCAACCGTGACTCTCTCATCGATCTCAATGACTGTATCATGCAAAGCCTTCGGCTTCACAACTCTCAGATCGAAAAGCTTCGGCCGCGTCTGGTCTCCAACAACGCATACATCTCGGAACCCTTTCGTGGTGACAAAAGCAAACTTCTCGCCTTTCTGTTCCAGTAGCGCATTTGTCGCTATGGTCGTTCCGATTCGGCAGCTTGAAATTCGAGACCCATCGAGCTTCTCTACCACTGGTATTTGTCGAGCTTCCACTTTCTCGAGAATCCGCCGTATGGCTTCCGTAGGAGCGTCAGTGTAATGTTGAGGGTCGACAGACAGTAGTTTGAAGATGATATCTTCTTGCTCTGGAATTTGTGCAATCACATCGCAGAACGTGCCGCCACGATCGATAGCAATGCTGATTCCAGATGGCTCAGCCTTGTCAGGCGAAGAATGGCCGTCGTCTCCAAGGAAAGGGCTCATATCGTAAATTTTGTGCCCACGTTGGCAGCTGACCCTATTTTCTCTGCTGCTATGAGTATCGTTTTTCACTCTTTTCGACGCCAGCAGTCGTTCCATGAGGTCGATCTGCGCCGTAGATCTACCGGCGATATCGGTCAACCTATCGCAAAACCCCTGTCAACCGTGGCCTGGCCGTACGCTGATAGGGCAACTTGGTGCGTCGCTGCATCCACTGAGATCTAATTCATCTTCTAGACGATTGCGTGCTTTCACATGGTGCCATATAGAAACTTCACGGCATATGGCGAGCCGGCGAGCCATTTCTCGAAATCATAAATAGCGTTCCACGCTCTACGTTCTGTAGAGGTCGAATAGGAACGTCGCAAGTAGTATGGCGTCGACTTCAGCCACCGAGAAGCCTGGCGGCATTGTCCAGACATCGCTATCGCTGTCAGAGGACGGCCAGCCAGCCAGCAGCGCCGGGGCTGTCGAGCAGAAGCCAAAGAAACGAAGCAGGCTGCGAAGATTCCTCTGGGATTCCCTCGACAAATCGCCAGAAGAGAGAGCCTTCGTGAACAAAGCCGACTGGTTTATCATGTCGTATGTCTGTATCGCTTACTTCGTCAAGTATCTCGATCAGACAAACGTAAGTCAACGACAGTCTGCGGATATATCTTTTAGCCTGCTAAGTTTCCCACTCCAGGTCACCAACGCTTACGTTAGCGGGATGAAGGAAGACATCGATATGACTGGACAGGACTATAACCTCTTGCAGACAATGTTCACCTCTGGATATGTCATCGGCAACCTGGCCTCTCAGCTGGTCATGCTAAAAGTTCGGCCTTCGATCTGGCTGCCGGCGCTGGAGTTCATCTGGAGCCTTCTCGTCATGGCCATGGGTGCCGCGAAGAATCTGGAGACCCTGCTTGTACTGCGCTTCTTCATCGGACTGCTTGAAGCATCAGCATTTCCCGGTATCCTTACATTGCTAGGCAACTGGTATAAGCCAGAGGAGTTGGGGAAGCGATCATCGATCTTCATCGCCACGTCCGCTGCTGGTAGTATGTTCTCCGGATATCTCCAGTCGGCATTGTACTCCGGCATGAATGGGAAACATGGCATCGCAGCGTGGAGGTGGCTAATGATCTTCGACGGCATTATCGGCATCCCTGTCTCTCTGTACGGATTCTTCGCCGTACCTGACAGTCCTACCAACACTCGAGCGTACTGGCTCAACACCCGGGATCGCGAAATCGCAAAGCAGCGAATGGAGGAAGTGGGCCGCAAACCTCCATCGAAGCTAACCTGGCGAATCGTTAAGGAGTCCCTATCGATGTGGCCAATGTGGTTGTTCCCGATTGCCTTTGCTTGCCATGTGCTCGGAATCAGGGTGTACAACTACTTCAACATATATCTCAAGAGTACTGGCTTGTACTCGGTCCAGGACGTCAACAACATCCCGACCGGCGGCTTTGCGTACCAGATCGTGATGGCGCTCATCTATGCATGGGTGAGCGATTACTACCAGACTCGCTGGTGGGTGGTCTGTATCGCATGCATGATGTCAATGATTGGAACGATAATTCTGTCGGTGTATCCAGAGCACAATCATGCTGCAATGATGGCTGGCTGGTTCATGACGTACGGCGAGACTGGCGCTGGTGCGTTGGTGATGACAATGGTCAATGAGGCCTGCAGTTTCTCGAGCGAACATCGCATTATTACGATTGGATGGACAGAGGCTTTTGCGTACGCAATGAGTGCGTGGGTGATTCTTTTCGCGTATCCATCCGGGGACGCACCAAAGTTTGCCGTTGGATACGAGCTGGCGACGATGTTCTTTGCCATCGAAATGATTGTCGTGATACTCATCGCTTATTGCATGAAGAGATATCCGCCTGGAGAGAAGAGCTCCGCCGCCGGCTAGAATCCGTAGCATTTTCAATCATGAAGTAGCGGGTTGAGTTGATCATCCAGAGTTGCCACAACCTTACTGATTATCATGGTCCTAGACTGGCCATTGTAGGTTTGAGCTGGAAGTGCTTCAGAGCCGATCGCACACCTCTGGTGTAGATGCGCGATACCACGTTCTGGCACCAAGTCTGCATCTCCGTCATTCCATGTGTATGAAAGTAATCTGCGACCGCTCGGAGCATGGGCAGCGAACCTATAGATCCGGCATATCCTTGATCAGTACTCGACTGATACGGGATTGTGCAGCAAAGATCTTCCACGCAGGACTCTACCGAAGTTGGCCAGTCTTGAAGTGACTTCTTTTCATCTGTGACATCGTAACCAAGGGTTGATAGATTCAAAAGCGCCTGACTTGTAGAGAGGAGCAGCAGCGTGAGTGTGCTGAATACGTAAGCAGTTCGTCGATCGTTGAAATTAAAGACCATGTGGAATACATGCTCTCCTCGCATGCCCGTGAAGAAGTCACCAAAGTCAGAGGTAGGGACAAGCTGATATGGCCGGCCTGAGTCGTACTGCTGGTACCAGTCCTCCTTGAAAGTGTCGAGCTCTGCCATAACCTCATGAAGGGCGATTATCGTAGTAGGTGCATAGTGTTCACCAATACCAATCATGATGCTGTCAGAGTTCTCTAAAAGTCGAGGAACCTTGACTCCAATGGTGAGGAGGTTCCAAAACGGGCGTTGGGATTCGTTCGCTGGGTGACCGTTCGGCCATCCGATACAGTCTAAGATGCATGCTTTCCTTGCGACCAGTGTCCTAAATAGCTTCACACTTGTAAGTGATATCCCTGACACGCGATGCGCGACTAACCATGATGTGGCTTGCCTGAAGCAACACTGAAGCTTCGACTTGCTGAGAGGTCGGGCTGAGAATGTGTCGGATGAGCATGCGCTCCAGTGCCACTTTATGCCAATAAGGGCTCCAATCATTATAAAGGACGTCGTAGTGCTAAAAGCTGTGTCAGTCAAGGTCGAACGTACCAGCAGAAGCGGATGAGACATACTCCACAGAAGACGAGAATCAAAATGGTGACGAGAATCTCATAAGACGGCAAATCTTCATGAGAAACCAAAGCTAAAGCACTCCTGAGATGATGCAGAGATCTGTCGTAGGCGGAGCGCGCTGCTCTCGCCAAGTCGGGACTCTCCAACGTGCTCGCGAACTGAACTTGACTGAAAGCGTCCATGGCAGAGGTCAGACACCGCTGTTCAAGTGTCACACTATTCAGATGCGATATGTCCATCATATCGAGAAATTGATATGAAATCTCGTTTTTGCCTCGGAAGAGAGACATGGAGGCCACAATGAATTGTGATCTGGCGACGTTGGCTGAACTGACTGCGTTCGGGGTGGCCCACGCTGGGATGATCGGACCTCTCTGTTTGGAGACTGCGTCGATGAGCGGCTCGGCATCATCCTCTGTAGATGGAATGCCAGCCACCTCTGCCGGTCTTTGAGTACCAGCGTATACGATGAAGTTCGTGAAGGTGTCGGTCTCCGACAAGTAACCCGGACAGACTTCTTTCCGACGGACACAGTTTCTGCATGATGGCCGCGCAAGATTACACTGTGAATGATGAGCCATAGTAGATCGCTCGGGTGCATGGATTCAGACCTTGACCTTGCGCCGTTTGCATGCAGCGCCTTGATTTCATTGGTCAAAACACCTGAAATTACCGAAGATGGATGTATTCAGGGACTCACATGCTAGGCTGCGAATCGGCATATCGAAGAACCGCAGCGTATCAGCTCATGACTGGTACGAGGAGGCGTTGTTGTTGATACAAAGATGAGCAAAGGAGGCAAGCACCTTCCAGCCGCAAAGTTTGTGGGGTTCATTCACTTAGGTTCGCAGCGCTAGCCGACTTGGGCCAGTGAAGGAAGCGCTAATGAAAGCTAAAGACACGACAACGTCAGGACGAGGCATTTCCAAGCACATGATGACTGTAAAGCGTCGAAAGGCTAGCATGCCCTAAAATCCAACGGACGAACCTCAACGGAGGAGGACGAAAACGAAGACTAGTCAGCAATGCAGCAACATGGAGCACACCTGCTTGCGAGGCATTTGGAAACGACAGTTTGAATTCCAAAATGGATTACAACAGACCGTAATCCCACGTAGACATTTGCAGACCCAAAATCTATGCCGCTGGTCTACTCAATAAGACAAAGCATAGCTTCTGTCGCTGCTGCTTCAAGTTGGCCTATCCTCTTCAACCCACTTCTTCATCCCATCCGACCCCATCACTGGCGGCCTGACCCCATTGACCCTCCAATGGTATGACGATTGCTCGTAAATATTGCATTCCCACTTCAATCCCTTGGGCTCAAGCAACGGCCTTATGATATCATCAACCTCTTTGTGAAATTGCAATGCGGACTCTTCATCGGGGAAAGCACGAGCCGCGTGCGAGATGATGAAGAATACAGCCTTCGCTGGGCTCTTTGCACCTGCGAAGTATCCCCCAACTGGATGCTCATTGTATATGACGTTGATGAGAAACTTTGGAAGGCCTTTCTCGTAGTAGAGGTTTGTGATGTCGGTGGCCAGCTGTTGCTTTTCTGGCTGCGTCAGAACGTCTTTGGTGAGCTCAAAGTTCCAGCGAGGCATTTTTCAATGCAGTTTTGTGGAATCAAAAGTAAGCAGGATTTTGTGATGATAGGATGTATAGTCAGTCAGAGCGTTTTGAGTAAAGAAGAAAGTGCGATTGCGAGTACGTGAACCTATTCTCTTTTATGAGACCCTTGACGGGGTCGGATGTTGCAGCCTTCTGCTACAAGCTGATTACTGAGCTGCAGCTCGGCGTGGTGTCTTACACATGAAGCCTTCAGCTCCACACTCCAACGGGCTAGCGCCGCGAGCTGTGAATATCGTCGTCTAGTTGACCTTGTTGATACTCCGAGTGTAGAAATGTTTTAATACGCAGCATATTTAGCACGCCTTCGCCGGATGAATGATCAAACCCAAGTCGGCTTGTAGCTGACTCATTCCCTCTTGGCATTGTGTTCTCGCAGAGGCCACCGACTCTACTTTACGAGCAAGGTCCATAAAGATCAAAGCGGTCGCAACAGATGCTGTTGAATGTTGAATAAGTCCGAACTTTGCAATACTTCCAAGACTGACCAGTAAAACTTTGGAGCACACGAGACCTGTCGTCATGGACGCACCATATAAACCCCTCCTACTGATAACTGGTACGTAACAGAGCCTTGGATGCTAATATCGTCTGAACAAGACGTGCTGACCTCGTGGATAGGGGCTTCGGGCCATCTTGGCTTTCGAGTCCTCGTTCTGGCCCTGCAAGCCGGTTACAGAGCACGAATCGCTCTGCGAAAGCCAGAGCAGGCGGAGAGGATCAAGAACAGTCCGTCGGCGAGACCGTATACTGCCGACATCGAAGCTGTGCAAGTTCCGGATGTGATAGCGACAGGGGCATACGACGAAGCTGTGAAGGGTGTCCAGCACATCATCCACATCGCCAGTCCGATGCCTACCAAATTAGAGCATCAGAAGGAAGATTGGCAGGAGCTGTACTTTGAACCAGCGACAAAAGGCACGTTGAGTATCCTGGCAGCCGCCGCCAAGTCGCCAAGTGTCAAGACTGTGATCATCACTTCAAGTGTCGGGATTCTTCGAGTTCCAGAGAGCAAAGATCGAGCTGGCCCAAACGATCTTATACCACGTCCTTCGGTCGAAGCTGCCAGTAAACTGGAAACGCCTGGAGAGGCCTACATCATGTCCAAGGTCCTTGCCCACCATGCTGGAACAGAGTTTGTCAGTCAGAACGAGGTTGGGTACAGTCTGATCAGAATTCTGCCTGGCCTGATCCAAGGCCCTCATGAACTGGCTCAAAACGTGGGCGATCTGTTTGCCAGCAGTAGCATTGGAACACTCAACGCCATGCTCGGTCATCCGACTCGAGCCGCAAACTCGCAGGTGCTCCTCGACGATGCAGCCAGAGCGCACGTTCTGGCTCTCGACCCAGAAAAGGGCCGAAATGGAGACGTTATCATTGTTGTGGGCAACGATGGAAACTGCACAGCCTGGGACGTCTATGCGAGAAATGCGGCCAAGTTCTTTCCCAGAGAAGTCGAATCTGGTCTGTTCAAGCCGGGGACTGTGGGTAAAGTTGAGCAAAGCCTCAAGAAGTACGAAGTCGCTTCTAGCGAGGAAGTGTTGGGTTTCAAGTTTGCAGGCTTGGATGAGATGGCAAGAGGTGTTCTTGAGCAGTACCTTGAATTGCGTCGACAGTCGTAGATCGATCTCATCATGGCCTGTTCACTATTGGGATTCAAACGAGCACCATGAGAATCATGCCTCGAGCGTCCACGTTCGATGATACTGTACTCCCTATATCTGTCCCCGCGGTTTTCTGTGTTCGAGCGACGTCTCAGGCCATCCTGCTTCTCAATTTCGCCCTCGGCTGCATGACTATTGCTCAGCAAATCTGCTAACGGCACTTCGTCGGCACCAGATCGGCCATGCCCAGAAGGAACATTCAGGCATGAGGAGGAGCAAATATCGATCAAGGACTCATGATCCATTCGATGGTTGTGGCTTCGTCGTAGTCTCCTCTCACTCGAATCGATAGTCATCAGGCAGAGTCCAGATTTCGAAATCTGACATTTTCGTCGGCCACGGCGTACGCAAAGCCGAGATCCTGCGTTCTGGCGATGTCTAGCGTGTGTTGATGTTTGGGTACCCGCTGAATCGGTGTAGTAGGAGCCGGGGCGTGCACGATCCTTCCGGTCGAGGAGACGGGAGAAATCACCCGGTTCGCACATTGTTCTTCCTTTCTCCTCGCCTTCCACAATATCAATAATCTGAGTGGGCGCGGGCTTTTGTCACGCTCCGGCGATGCAGCTACAAGAATGAAACAATAGTTTATGTTCAATGACGCTGCAGATTTCGAAACCGGCATGGTGACGAATCCAGCGGGTGGCCGAATTCGGCAGTGTGCCTGACGATCATCGGACCGAATGCACTTTTATGCAAGGCCAGTCTAGATTTGGCCGCTATTGGAGACGAACTTGGCCTGCGAGACTCAGCTTGGACATAGCATGCCTATACTAAGCTCCTTTCGAACAGCCACATGCCAGAAACGTGGTCTCCAAACGGCTTTCGGAAACATCTCTACCAAGCTTCACATACCGTCGAGTCGACGACGACGACGACCACCAAGCCTCAAGACGCCCTGTGCTTGCGTTCCTACTTTTCCTCGGAGGGTAAGGGCCGTTCAGTTCACCTCACTAAGTTCTCCCCAATCATGCAACGCCAAGGCACCGCAGAGGGGAAGAAGAACGACCGGGTCGACGGAGACAGACGGTTGAAATGCCCTATGAGTCTGGATTCTCACGGCGTTCGGGGAGGAGTACGATACAGGTCCCGTCGACGACTCGAGTCAACCTAAACCTCCATCCTCTCGTATCTGTTACGCCTATTTCGGTGGACTCTTATGGCCCCTTACACATCAATGCTCTAGTATACCCGCATGACCGCGGAGCTTGCAGTCCAGACGTCGCACTAAGGGCAATGTTCTGGCATATATAGTGAGTGGTGAACCGCGAGGTAAGTCGACCATTACACTCACTCAACTCTCATTCTCCTTCTGTTCCAGCAAGAATCATTTTCACAATGATCAACAACCGCAATCTCTTGGCCGGTGCAGCCTTGATCGGCTCAGCACTTGCCTCTCCTGCTCCTCAGCAGCTCGACTTCGCCCAGATCGCAGCAGCACCAGTCGTCGCCAGCGGTCCATCAGCAGTCGACTCTGACGGTGTTCAGACCGCCACCCTGTACACCAGCGTTGCCATCAGCGGAGTTGCCACCGCAAGTGCTACAGCCACCTCAGCTGCAGGCAACGCACGCCGTGATGCCACGACCTCTGGATATACTCCTTACTATCCAGCCCTAGCAACTGGCTACACCACTGATCCAGCCCTGACCGCGACCACTTCTGCTGGTCAGGCTTGTCCTACCACTCCTGAGGCTGGCACCTACTGCGGCTTCATCAACCCATTAGTATGAGCTATCGCATAGTCTGATAGTATTGGTACTGACCTTAATGGTAGGACCCCTGTGCTCCTCAACCAGATGGATATGGACCCGTCCCAACGCCAGACACTGCCTCCGCTTTCCTGGCTTACCCACCATTCCACTCGTCCGCTCAGGCTGCGCCGACAAACGTTCCGTCTGTGAACAACACCCAATACAGCCAAGTCTTCAAAGATCTCAACGCATCCGTCAGTGCTCAGTCTTATCTCGGCCTGTACAGCCTTCAGAGCTACGACGTCGCCGGATGCGCTGCCAAGTGCGACTCGACCGATCTCTGCACGGCCTTCAACATCTTCATCGAGCGTGATCCATCGTTGAACCCTTCCGCCAACGACTCCACCGCACCCACAGTTTGGGGATACTGGTGTCCGAACCCGCCCTCCATGACGGTCTACAAGTGCACACTCTGGGGCAGCAACATCGATGCTTCGATGGCAACCAACACTGGCGAAAAGCGACACGACTTTGACGTTGTCATCACGGGCTCCGATGGCTACGACAAGACGAACATCACCACCCCACCAGAGTGCTCGCCACCAGTCGTCTCCAGCACGTCCTCGGTCCCAGTCCCAACCACGACCAGCACAACATCCAAGTCGACCGTCCCCGCATCAACGACAACGACTACTTCAACCGCCAAACCCACCTCATCATCCACCCCCGCCTGGCCAAACCACCCCTGGGGCCCACCCAAGAACTGCCACGGCAAAGGCATCAACAACGGCAAAAACTGGATGGGCTCGCGCTTCTTCCCGGGACCCTTCAACCCGCAAGTCTGCAGCGACTACGCACTCCTCCAGAACCTCGCCAACGCCAAAGCCAAGAACGGCCAGAAGTGCCAGATGTTCAACGCCTACTATCTGCACAAGAACCAGAAGCCGCTGGGCACGTACTGCAATTTGTACAATGCCTACCTCGATAGCTCGTGGGCGACGTTCTCCGGCGCGAAGTCGGGGAGGGATCAGTATGACTGCAAGCAATCTTGGACTTACACTTTGCAAGAGTAGGAAATTTGGATTAATCAGAGAGACCAGTGACTTTTATGGCGCTCACTTCGAATTCGTTCCTAGAAGGAGATCGGCGTTTAACAAAGGTGCAAAAGGGACGTTGACACCGTCAAGAAGCATTGAGCCGCTTGCTGTAGCCATCCACTCCATCATTCCTCGTTGGTATCTTTACGCATGCAGCTTCGTCTACTCTAGAATCTCCACAGTGCATCATCCGGGAATAGACTATGTCTGAGACTCCTGCGTATGAGCCGTTGATCTGTTGTTTGGTAAAGGTTTACTATCATTCTGCATGCATTGTCCTCACCTGTGAAATCATCCCTCACCTCTCCTACCAATCTTTCGCCTCGCCTCATATCGTCTTCTAAGTCTTCGCCACGGTTCGCATGGTAGGGTGCCGAAGCACTCATGGCCCCCAAGCAATACAACATCGAAGTTCGTCAACCAAAGTATAAGTCAAGACACGCTCGTTACGTTATTGTATCTACAAAGCTAGCGCTCTATATTAAGCTCCCTAGACCATTAAGAGTATTTACTATCTTTATATATAGGTTACTACTATATACTAGGTAGACGAGCTATAGACTCTATTATAGCGTATACGCCTTATAGGTAGACACTACTATAGCGTTTATGCCTGTTAGGCATAACTTATATAAAGACTATTTATAGGAAAACACTAAAGAACACGACATAAAAAAACAGGACTGGCGAGCGAAAACACTGCATAATAGAGGGCGTCCACTGCTACTAGCAAGAGAATTGACACTCGATCGTGCGTGTCTATCCGCACTATTAGTCCTCACGCCTCCACGTAAAACAGCTTTTTTCTAAGGAGACTCACCTGATCACAAGATTCGAACGGTGAGTCGCCCGGGATCCAAGATCCTACAATACACCCCGGGTAGTTCGCGATGTTATCGTCGGTCGTCCACTGGACTTGGGGGCTGGATCCGTAGGAGAATTGAATGTAGTCCCCTTGGCTTTCCGGCACTATGGTCAAGTCTTGCCCGTTCCCGTTGAAGATCAATGGGTACTTGTTGCCTGCCACTTCTGTAGAGTCCTGCTTGCCGGCGGGACTGGTGGAGGCGACGTTGTTGCCGTCAGCATCATACCAGGTCGCGTCGAGCAGGTATCTGATGTCAGCGACTGTATCTCCCTCCGCCGATGCCGTTTCCTCGAGATTCGGGCAGCCACTTTGGTCAATCTGGGTCATCTAAAGAGGAGGTATAATGTCAGCCAGGTTTCTCTGCAACGCCATCCAGGCAACAGGCTCACATTAATCCAGCAGCGATCCGTCGGACCTGGCTGGTTGATGATACCGTTCGACGTGCCAAGCACGATGCCGATCGAGTTCGCGAATGCATTCGCGTAGGGAGTATAACCCGACCCTTTGGGATGGAAGATACGCTTGGTGTACTCGTCGAGAAGAATCCTTGCCGTGTCGTTGCCGGTGGCATTCAACGCGTCGAGAAATCCTGCCTCGCTGCCGAAGGTGTTGTTGTTGATGTTCCACGGTGGATTTTCGGCACTGATGGACGTGCGCTGGCCCGGATCGGGCACGAGATAGTCGAGTGTCATCGTCGCCAAATCGAACCCACCATTATCAGTTGAGGTTCCAGAAGGCCCTTCACCATCGTGGGCGGATTTCAAATGCCAGATCCAGGTATTACTTCCCACGGGTTGCTTCTGGTAATCGGTTGGCGCTGGTTCGCAAAAGCGGTGTCCATTGTATTGGTCCTGTGGAGGGTCCACCCAAACGATCCCAACTCCCCGTAGCTGGTTTGCAACTGACTGGATCTTGCTGTTAAGAATACTGACGAGGCCGTTCATCCTGGAGCGAAGGTCAGTGGTCAAAGTCGGCGTGGATCAACCCCAGTAAGAGAAAGACATATCGTTGCAGCCTGTATCGACGTCGTTCCAAAAGTTGACGAAGCCGGAGACGTATGTTTGGAAAGACTCTGGCGGATTGCTACCTCCAGCTTGGCGGCCCTCGGCCACGACTTGTATGAAGGTCTGGATTATCTGGTTTTCGAAATCTTGGCTGTTAATTTTGGTCTCGATATTGTTCAATGTCGTATCGCAGTCCCCCGGAAACCACGCCCGAAGGACACAGTCGTTGATTGCACTACCAGTCCGTTAGAATCACATGCCACTCTTTTAGATTGGCGAGTGGCCTACTCAAAGAAATTGACATCGTTACCAGTGATAGTCATGACGGCAATCTGTGGCTTGCCGATCGGCGTGTACTCCACGTTGATGGGATCTCCTTGCTTCAACTGTCTATCCATCAAATCTTGCATCTTGGCGCCCGAGCAAGCCCCGAACACTATGTCGGGCTTATTTGTGCCCCAAGCAGAATGGCTTCCTAATTGGAGTGGCCAGGATTGTTGATATCGGCTGCAGTCGGACGAAGCATCTGAATAATCTTGCAGTCCATTCGATCCCACGCCGGCCGTGTACGAGTCGCCGATTGCCAGAATCGTTGAGATCGGCTACAGTGGAACAGGTCAGCTTTGGACATGCCTGGTGAGAGTAGTCGGAGTCAGATGAGCTAGTACGTCCGTGAAAGACTCGGGCCAGTTGTGCTTGTCTCTTGGCCGTTATAGCATCTTCCATAAGAGTTAGGCACTCACCGCTGCAGGTGCGACGTACGGTCCCTAAACTCATTGTCAAAGAATCAGCCAAAATGCCACAAATTTTCACCAAGGCACTCCTGGAGCGAGGAGAGAGCTTGACTAAACTTGATCGTATTCGGGGAACATACCAAGCCTGCACTGGCAGTCGCAGCTGCCACTAGAGATGACAACGCAGGGTCCGCAGACGCGGTTGTGTCTGCGAAGGTCGTCGCAGACACTAGTGCAAGAACCAAGATCCGGGCGTAGGTGTGTGCCATGGCGTAAAACGACTCTAGCGTAATTGTAGAAGTAATTGTAGAAAGGTGATGCAGACGCGGCCCATATTGCCTGGTATGATGTTCTTGACGTAAACTTTTATACTATGCGTGCGTCCAAAGAACGTGCGTCCCAAGAACGTGTCTACAGACTGGATCTAAAAACAGGAAGAAGATGGCCATTCCTATCTAGAACATCACGTCGAGATCTCGCACTTCGAAATTGATCCTGTGAACATGAAATGATGCTGCATTTGGCAACTGGACGTGTTGGTGGCAGTATGGCGACGCACAAGGCTCGCTCATCTTCCCACAGGTGACAGATTTCAGCTCATTCGCGGGCAATGTGTTTCATGCTAGATCCTGTCGCGATACATTCCTTTGGTAGCCACAGTTCATGCACATAGCTCTGCCACTATTTTCAGCCTCGTGCTTACGGGAACGCCCTGTGCCGCGTTGCTATGAGGAGATTGGCGTTATGCTAGACGCTCTGTCGTTCATGAACGGTAGCACGCAGAGATTCCTGACGTTGTTACAAAAGGCGGGTGACGTCTTAATATACTGGCCAAGTGTATGCGTGGCACTGACAAATTGGCCAAGCAAGGGATATCATTTGTATCAGAATACGCTCCAAACTTGCACGAATCATTTTCGATTGGTCCGATTCAGCCCTGATTGTTTCAATTACCCAAGCTCTGGATGTCAGCATCGTGCAGCCACTTGATAAGCCTTGATTATTTTTAGGCATGGGCTCCTACTCAAGAGAGGATGCGGGAAGGCTGCGCACGGGGGCCCACTTATCAAACCCCTCATGGGTGCGCCCCCCGTCCCCTCCAAACTTCACGACACGCCTTGCACAATGACGGGGCTCAGAATTCTGGCCATCATCTCCGCGTTTCTACTCAGCCGTTCGACTTTCGCACTGCCTACCACCACCCAGAAACCACTTCAGTCCGACCTCTTGATGGCAACAGACCGCAAGCGGCTTCCTGGCAGCAATGACGCTCGCTACTGTGGCGTCCCCGAGGAGGAACAGCTCTTCAAGATAGAAGAGTTCTCCATCTCGCCACGCCCGCTGGCAACGTACGCGCTCGGAGAACGATAGCTTTTCACTCGTCGAAAGACTGACAAACGTCGTGGAACAGAGACACGCGCTTGTTCGCATACCTCAAAGGCCACGTGTCCGAAGAAATCAGCGAAGACGAGTTGAAAGAGGCCGTCCTCCACATCAACACTACGAATTCCAAGGGAGGCCTGTGGCCTCTCGAGGAGAAGTTTGCGGTCTTCCCGCAGATCGTGGTCAGACAAGATCAACAGTACAGCAAGCTTCTGAAGCCTGGAGTGAACGAGGTGATAGGTGACATATTCTTCTGGAGCAAGTTGACGCCAGCGGCGACATACAAGTTCAAGGTCGAAGCTGTATTATCTAGACGGACACTGTTTGGCTTCGAATTTGAATACTTCTTAGACGGAGAACGAGAATCATAATTCATTAAGAAGTCGCGAGAGCCGCCGGCTTTAACACCTGTCTCAAGCATCTGCGAGGGCGTAATGGCTGCTGTGAAAAAGTATATAGGGTGATAGTGCATACATCGTATACCTGTTACCAAGTATACCACTTCTGCAACTACTTTACCTTAGCAATAGAATCTGAGTTCTACTTCGGCCTCAAAGCCCTTTCTTGGAGTGCGCTTTGAGTCAGCTTGAACGATGATACTCAAAAAGAGAGATCATATCTAAACAGCGCTGTCTAACCTTCCTTAAGTATCTGTCCACTCAACCACTCCTCCCTACTCACAGCACAACTCATCAGTATCCCTCGCCCTAGCTTCCTTCTTAGGCAGCACCCTCGCCACCAACTGCACGGCCACAATCTACTCCGGCAACGACTGCGCCAACGGCACCAGCGCGACCTTCGACGCCGGCATCTCCGCCTGCCACACCCTCCCCGACGGCGCCAAGATCGCGAGCGCGGTCTTTTCGAATGGCTGCAGCTCGCAGACGGGCGAGGACTTTTACTTCTGGAGTGGCTCCAACTGCAAGGGGTCCAACTCTTATCAGGCTCTCTCGTCCCTGACGGGGAGGGAGATGTGTGATTCCTGGTGGGGGGCCGAATGATCCGCTGAGTTGTGAGTGTAATGATTGCTAGATTGGTATGGGACAGGTTTACGGGCGGCGATGGGGATGATGCCAATCTGGATTGAAAGGGACTCGGGACAAGATACACGGAAGTCTGTTCAACCAGAACTACGCCGCCTTACAAGCAGCACAATCGTTTGAGAAGTTCTTTTGTCATATGGACGTCAACACTAGCATAGTCCACTGTTTCTCCTCGAGCTACGTCCTCTACGTTGTCAGAGACAGAAATCCAAGAGCATACATGGAGCGTCCGCCTGTCGTATCTTCTCATCCGTAGCTATTGCTCCCTCTAGATAAGAGTCCAGTCTGCAGACATGACTCAAAGCCATCCAATCCACGAAAGACGAATTTCCCGGCCGCTCTTTCCTCACTCTCGCTGACTTCCCTCATCCGAGTCTGGTCGTCATGGTAGCGGGCCTGCGCGGGCTGTACCCTCGATGTTCCACTCCAAGTGGGACACTTTCCATATCACCCCTCAGCCATCTCAGCAGCATAGAGTGCAACAACGAGACAGAGCATCCGCTCGTAAAAACTCGAAGAGACAGCAATTCAACAAGTCCTACTTATAGTTTGACAAGAACGAAGACGGCAAACCCCTAGTGGACATGTGGCACCCGCCCATGGTTCCAAAACGTCACCCCCGGCCCCATCCGCACCCGCACAACAAAATCAGTATACGACCGCGCAGCCAACTCCCCAATCAGCTAGCTCCGGAGGCAAATCCCCCACAGCCTTGTCACCCGCACGCAAGCCCTCAGAGCGTTTTTGTGAAGGATTCTTGACCAATCACGTCACGGCTGGATAGTAGGGAAAGCCCCAGACTGCTGTGTGAAGTTGTGTTTTCAGCCGCAGGTGCTAGGCTGGAGGAGGAATGTATGGGCATGGGCACTTACAGGGTGTCTTACTATTATGCATACGGGGGACGGCTGAGCGTAACGAAAAACTAAAACACGACGGTCTACGCCAAACGATCCTGTGAAATCGTGTGCTCTAACTGGGGTTGCTAGGTGTTCCCTTCTTCTCTCGTGCAATCGAAAGACGAGTCGGAGGTCTGCAATAACCTCTACTCTTAGTTATCGATATCGGTTCTGTCCTCGGGCACTATATTGTAACGGTCTCCGTCCCCCGCATGCATATGACGAGGTGTACATGTGCTTAGGGAGAACGGTGAAGTGGTATGTGTATAAGATGGCGGCGTTCGCGTTCATCACTCGGGAACCGTGGGAAAGTCTTGATCTTTCCAAACACCGAAAGTCATGTCGTCCCTCCTCTCCACCCTCCCACTCCACCAGCCTACACTCCCCAACATCCTCCTCTCCCTCCTAACAGCCCTCACCCTCTACCTCCTCACCCTCGCCCTTTACCGCCTCTACCTGCACCCCCTCTCGCGCTTCCCAGGCCCCACCCTCGCCGCCCTAACCTACCTCTACGAAATCCACCACGACGTCTTCACCACCCCGAACGGCCAATTCGCCACGCACCTCAACACCCTCCACGCCCGCTACGGCCCCATCATCCGGTGCTCCCCGGACGAGATCCACGTGCAGGACTCGGCGTGGTTCGACACGCTCATCGGCGGACCCGGGCATGTGCGGGATAAATGGGCCAAGGCGAACCGCGCTAACGGGAGTCCGGGGAGTTTGGCGAGTGCGACGGGGCATGAGTTGCATCGGATGAGACGGGGGGCGTTGAATCCGTTTTTTAGTAAGAGGACGGTGGATCAGCTCGAGACGTCGATCAGGGCCAAGACGGAGAAGTTGTGCGCTAAGATCGCGGAATATGCGCGGGAGGAGAAGGTCGTGGAGTTGGGCACGGCGTTCACGGCGCTGACGCTGGATGTGATTACGGAGTATTGCTACGATAAGTGTCAGAATTGTCTGGACGAGGAGGATTTCGCGCCGCGCTGGAAGGCGTTGATGATGCAGTTGTTCGAGAGCACGCCCGTGGCGAAACACTTCCCTATCGTCGCACAGACGCTCGCGAGTCTGCCGCGGTTCGTGGTCAAGTACCTCAACCCGGGTTTCGTGCCGTTCTTCGAAGCGCAAGATTTGATCCAGGATCAGGCGAGGCAGATCTGGCTGGCGGAGCAGAAGAATCCCTCCAAACCGACGTCCGAGGACGAGAGGCCGAAGACCATCTTCCACGGTATCCTGAACTCGAACCTGCCCCCGCAAGAGAAATCTATGCAGCGCATGGCCGACGAAGCCTTCGTCCTCATCGTGGCCGGCGGCGAAACGACCGCGCGAGTAGCGACCGTCATCCTCGCGAACCTCCTGCAGAACCCTACTCTCTACCAGCGTCTCCGGAAAGAGATCGCCAACGTCATGTCCGGGCCCGAACTCCCGTCAACCCGGCAATTGGAAGACATCCCCTTGATGCGAGCTGTCGTGCAGGAAGGCATCCGGATCGCGGCGCCCGTGACGTCCAGGCCGATGCTCATTGCGCCGAATGAGGAGATGCGGTATAAAGAGTGGGTGATTCCGAGGAGTACGCCGACGTCGATGACGCTGCAGTCTGTTCTGTTCGATCCGGAGATTTTCCCTTCGCCGCATACGTTTGATCCGGAGAGATGGATTCGCGCTGCGGAGGAAGGGAAGAGGCTCGATAGGTTTCTTGTGACGTTTTCGAAAGGGACGAGGATGTGTATTGGGACGAACGTGGCGTACGCGGAGATGTACCTGGCTGTGGCGGCTTTGGTGGCGAGGTTCGATTTCGAGTTTGTCGACTTCGATATGAAGAGAGATCTGGAGGTCACGAGGGATACGTTCGTGGGGATGCCGTCGAAGGAGTCTAGAGGGGTGAGAGTCAAAGTGTCGTCTGTAGTGAAGTAAGATCTTTCGCTCAGGTTGAAAACGCTTTATAAGAACTGTCGAAGTGCTTTCGCTATACTTCCTCATCTGCCGATGCCACGGATTCATATCCACCACGGTACTGCATTCCACCGCGGGGTACATCATACATGTTCGCGTAGTCGACGATTTGTCCACCCAATAGGGCCTTGTTGCTATCCTTCCGTCCAAAGATGGGACCGTCCATCCAAAAGTCCTGGCAGTTACGCAATATTCCCCTGGTGAATGGGTTCTTCTTAGGAGTATGCTGGTGCTTCTTCTCCTTGTGCCCCTTGTAGCCCTGGAAAGCAATGGCGAAGAATGTGTCGATACCAAGAATCTTCCCCCATCTTGACAGACATCCCTCTTGTTTTTTATGCTTATGCTTGTGGCCGTGTCCATGACCAGAAGCGTCCGGGCCAGCTCCGGAGTCGGTCACCTGCGCTCCATCGAGTGTCATGGATCCTGTCGTGATGGCTGACATCAGAGGTCCAACTTGGTCCATGGTTCGCATGCTTTCGAAAGTGGTCATATTCTTTCCGACTTGAACGAGATGGACAAAGATGAGCATGAACGTCCATGTCAGTTGCAAAACACCCCATGCGTTGGTGATGATTGCAAGTGGGTCCTTTGAGAACATGGCGCAGAACGGGCCTTTGAGCACTGTGCAGTTGAGTTCGGTCGGCTCAGGCAGGACTTCCAGGTCTGCGAAGTGTGAGTACAAAAGCTGCAGGATGGTGAAAGATACTCACAAGCCAAGGTAAGTTGGACTAGGAATCCAAGTCCAACAATCATGAACGTCACATACAACAAGAAATGTTTGTGGTTGTTCACAGCAACACAATTATCCACCCAAGGGCAGTGACTATATCATGTTAGCCTCTCGAAGTGCGCACTACTGACGATGTCACTCACTGATCTTCTCTGGCAACACACCGGCCACACCGCTTGCAATGCTTGCTTCGTAAGGGCTTGCGTATCATACATGTTGTACAGAAATGGGTCTCGTTGAACGCATTATGCTCCACGAGGTCGTCAATCGTCTTCTTCGTTTGGCCGCGACTCGATCCTTTGGGAATGAAACCCGGGTCTGCGGTCATGGTCATGAAATAGAAGTAGGTAGTAAGGCCGTAACAAGAAGCGAACAAGACGTTCAGGAAGAAGTTGGTGTACAGTGTGGCTACTCACTGTTAGTCACTGTAACGCATGGATTGATTCGATACTTACTAGGTAATACGCGTAAGATGTAGCGTACGCCAACCCAGAAGAGAGTTCCCGCAAAGATGCCAGCCAAGAAGGGAGTCCTGTGCATGTGGTTCATGTCGCTAGGCGCCCATCGAAGGAGTTTCTGGACGAGATGCTGGAGGCCGAAACCAAGGATCAACACACCAGGTACCGAAACCCATATCGACAAGTAAGCGAGCATGTGCAGTTGTATGCCACCCAATACGAACGGCCAGAAGAAGAAGAAGCGGTTGAAGAACCACCTTCTGTCCTTGACCATGGGGATGGGGAAAGAAAGAGGATTGCCGGCCTCGTCGAATCCAGAATCAACAAGCGCTTTATGCCATTGTCGCTCACTCTTCATTTTCGACGCAGTCAAGGCTGGAGTATCGCCTTCGGTCTCACCCTCGGGAGGTTTGCTTTTGGCGAATCGATCACTGCCGTACTCAACCAACTTCTGGATACACATGTAGCTGCCCTTTACGAGTGCCCAGTGCAAAGCCGTGAAGCCCATTTCGTCTACTGCATGTACGTCTGCACCAAAGCGGAGAAGGATGTCTATGCATGCCGGGAAGCCTTTGTATGCGGCCCACATCAGAGCAGTATGGCCTTGCGAATCGGGTACGTCTACGGGTATATCCGGTTGATGCAGGAGAAGGATAAGCTGATAGACATTGCCGTCAAGCGTCGCAGAGTGTAGTAGATTGTAGCCCTGATCATCGCGTAGTAATGGATCGGCCCCGTGCGCGAGCAGCAGAGAGACAACCTGGAGATTGAAGCGCTTGCTGGCCCATAGCACGGGAGACGCATGGGCATCTCCACCCCTTGCATTGACGTCCGCGCCGGACTGGATCAGAAAGTGGCACAGAGCGTGGTGTCCATTAATCGCAGCCCACTGTTATCCCAATCAGCCTCATCTTTCACCATATCCTACGACCATCTCGCTCTTACATGCAACGCCGTGATGCCCTGCTCGTCGGTCGACTTGGCCGTATACCGCCCACTATCGAACAGCTTCTGTATGGCCCGCAGTTCCCCCAATCTCGCCAACTGCATCAGATCCTGCTCGATGGGGTGCTGGGGCGGGCTGGCGTCCAAGTCGCTGAGCTCGACCTTGGCGAGGCCATCTTTGCTGGGCGAGTTCGGGGCGCTGCCGGAGTCTCGTCGCTCGGGGGAGATGGACGCCTGGCGCGAAGGCATGGTTGGGGGTGGAAGAATGGGAGAGGAAGAGGATGGAGGGAGTGTCACCGCATCATCCAAGGCAAATCACATTTGATGGGACTTGGTTGATGCAATTCGTAATGCGCTGCAGCTGCTCGTTCAGTAGAGGATTCCCGTCGGCGCGTCCAAAACGTGGCTGAGCTGCGGCTGGTGCGCGGGCGCTAATGCACGAGACGGGAGCGCGCCGTTGATTGGCGGCAGGTGCTTGACCTCACTTCGTCTTTGTTTTGCTGCTGACCGTCTTGACATGCGTGTGTGAAACACTTGACACGGCCAGCATGCAGACGCAAACCGCAAAAATGGGAAATCGTCTCGAGAGACCATCCCCAAAGCTTCTTACATGTCAAGATTCCCAAGCGATGCTACAGCGGCTCGGATGCTGCGATATCTAGGGAGATGATGCTGAGGTGAAATTCATTCCTGCTTACTACCTGTTTTTGTGTGAAGGCGGTTTGCGCCGGCATGCCTAAGCGGAGGAAATGCGCAAACAAGGTGACATCACTCGGAGGGGCATCCCCAGGACTTGACCTCAGTCAAAGGAGCCAAACAGCGTCCGAGTGGCTTGGACGATGAGAGAGCTTTGGGGATGATGTTCAGTTTGAAATTCACACTCGGCGATACAAAATGTGAGGATCAGGAAGCCCTCGCTGAGGCGCATGCCGGCGCGCAAAATTCATTAACATTGATGAGATACGAGTAACATTCCGCATCCATCCCCGAAAATTTGTCCAAATCCATGCCAACGGGAACAGTGTCGAGATCCTTCCAATAGAAACAGCTGTGAGATAACCTTTCCAAAAATACCGCCGTGACCCGCATTCTCATCACCTGCTGTGCGCCCCACTCGCGCCAATCAGGCCAGCGCCAAACAACCTAACGCAGCTTCCAAGTGGGCTTGCTCACCCTCCCGCTTCTCCGTGGCTCGACTGTAGCTCGAGCACCCTTCTGGGTGCCACGGCCCTTGCCAGTTCTCCGGGGATGCAGTACCAAGGTGATCTTGGGCTGCTCCTCCTTCTCCACCTCCTCGTCATCCTCCTCCACCTCCACCTGGTCAATCTGAAGCGCAAGCAGCTCACCCAGCAGCTGCTCCTCTTGCCGGCGCCGGCGGAGAAAGTCCCCAAACTTCGGGCGAGACTTTTTCTCCTTGGCGCTGCGCTTGGCGACCTTGCAAGGCAGGCGAGCTTCGTTGTCATAGGTCCCCTTCGGCCGGGTGAGGGTGACGTTCCTGTCCAACTGCGCTTTCAAGCGGTCATACTCCGCCTCGGCGCTCTCGATCTTCGTCTGGGAGTAAAGGGACCACACCGGGAAGTTACCGTACTTCTCCTTGACAGCGGCCACCTTGCGCTCCTTGCGCTTGAGCATCTCGTCCTTGGCGCACGGAGCGCACGCCTTGTCGAAGGAGATGGTCATGCAGCCTCCCTTGAGGCGCGCCTCGTTCTCTCCGCCGACCTCGTCCTCGATGAGCTGAAGGTAAGCGCTCTTGCAGCGCGTCGTCTCCACGCCGTCCCTGCCCGTGAGCTTGACGAGGAACCTGCAGGGAGTCCTCTTCACGTGCTTGTGCCCGCACTGGGTGTAGACGTACTCAACCGCCTTGCACATGGCTGTGAGGGCGGAGGTGAGGTGAGTTGTTTGATGTGAGATTGTGATGGTTTGTGGGTGATATCCCCGAGATGTTGTGACTGTCTGAGGTGCTGATCAAGAGCCTGTATGATTTGACAGGACCCTTGAGTTGGGGAAAATTTGAGATGTGACGCTGTTTTCTGCTATCCTGCAGAGTCAGTGGGCGGCGTGCTATATGTATGCTCCAAAGGAGCGCTCGTCTCCTCTGCTGGTCAGCACTGGAGAATTTTCACATCGTTTGGCTTTGCACAGCTTCGAGAGAGAAACATGGTACTTCGATGGATCTGACCTCGATATACATCTACAAAGAAAACATCACATTGGCCTGTTTCTGCCAAGATAGAACGAAACACGGTACCTGAACGACATCATATGCTCGTACTGCAAGGTAAGGAATAGAAGGGCTCGCAGTGGCCAGCTATACATAGCTCAACTACGATATCTGCGACCTCAAAGAATTTTCACTACGACCTGGGAAAACATGTCCTAGATAGTGATCCCGTACCTGCTTACTATCATTATGCAGAGCTAGCCATCGCCGCACGCGCCATGCGCACCATCGCGTCGACTTCTAAAAGCGAATTTTTTCATGAACAGATAAGATCTTGCGTCGCCCGCACAAAACAGCTCATTCATGGATCATCTATAGCAGAAGACTGCAATTACCGAAAGCGATCGCATGCTGCGGACAGGCTGACTCAGGCTGCTAGCAGGCTAGAAATGACCTATACTTACGCTGTTATTCGTTAGCGCGAGCAACGAACTACTAACTTCGTATTCCAGGGCCGTGGATACTGCTAAACTCTAATGACGACCGACCTCTATCGAAAGTCTTATGTTTAGGGAATTAAGTTTGTACCAATATAAGAGGGTTCAAGACTTTCAGGAACAGAAGACGTGCGCATGTGCAAATTTCTGGCATGCGGAGAAGCAGAAACATGTCGAATTTCATCTGATCTTGACGAACCTCCTTGTAGCGACGTATGCTTTGATAGTAGCTTTTATTTAGTTTATAGGATGTAAATTTCGCTAATACACTACGTCTGTCTACAACAAGAACCAGCTCCACTCGGCGAATGGATGCTCGCTAAACTACCACTTTCCAAGAGTATGGAACAGGGTCCAAAGCTAAACTTTAAAAAGTTTAATATTAGTAGGCGCGCCAACTTAGTTTGTTTGAATAGGTATGTTTTCTATTGGCTTTAGATTTGTATGTAATGGGTTCGAATCGGCGTTCTCACTACCGGTATCGATCAACCTGTTTACCTATGTTACTTGGTCGTATAATAATTGGCTTTTGGTCTTCTGCGCTCGCAGTCTGACAGTCGGCGTCGAAGAAATGTGTGCAGTGATGGACAGTCGCTCATCTAGCTCGTTATGCATATCCAGAAATGCAGCGTGTTTTCTTTTCCCCAAACTCTGCCTATCATACACGAATTGTATTATTCACCTCGAAGCTTTCGGACACATGTGATTCAAAATAAAGTTTGACGCTAACAAGCGAAGCCGCGCCCAAGCTCCAAACAGCATATTCCATTGTCAAACCACCACCACCAGAATATGCAAGAGACAGAACTCGGAGCAATATAAGTCGCATCCTGCTGTCATCGCTGGATCCAAGTCATCATGAAGCAACCTAAGGAGAGCAACGGCAATGTACGCGACGCCCAACGCCGCACCCACAAGCTCACATTCCTCGACCTCCCCGGAGAGATCCGCAACCACATCTACGAGCTATACAGCGAGAACGACGAAAAGCGACTGAAGTCGCCGCCACAGTGGGACGTGCTGAAACTCGTTGAATATCAACCTCGACCCAAGCGAGGCAGGCGGTCAAAGCAGAAGCAGAAGCAGAAGCAGCAAGACCAGGAACTCAGAACAAACACGCTGCGCCTCGAGCGCCTCCTGTTGTTCACACTTTCTATCATCCGAGTCAATCGACAAATCCGACGAGAATACGCGTCGCTCACCTTCTGCCAAGCGCCCATGGTCGTCGACATCAACTCCGAGCCGCATGTCTGGGGCGCTTTTGTCAACACAATCGGAGAAGACGTCCTCAAAGAAAAAGATGGACTCGAGACCACAATCTCGCCAGGTGAAAAGCCCTTCAACGACTCGAGCGAGGTCGACATCTCGGTGTCGCTTCACCGGCTTGCCAACCCCGTGACGTGGAATTGTCCGGACCACTCGTCTTCATAAAGTCCACGATTTGGGGTAATGGGAGGCTTTGAAACGCAGGTACTAGCCGCCGAGAGGATCGAAAGAATGGTTCTGGGGTTGACGATGGTCGACGGGAAGAGAACGATGTCGAGAAAGCTCTTGCGGGATATCCTTCACTATTATCCGCTTGAGCTGCTGCGAGAGGCAAAGGCTGAAGAGAACAGAAGTCGGAAAATGAGACTTGGAACAAAGAAGTGGTATCGTACTTTCTTTGCATGATCATGGTCGCAACATGGGGATATGCTGCTTCAGATGGACAATTGGTTCAGCTGGGCAACCCTAGGCACGGTTCTCTTGAGCGTGTGCTGGTGGTGAGATACTTGCGTTAGAGGTATTTGGGAGTTGGCATGGTCGGGCGTCGAGGGCTTCTCAGATTTTCTCGAGGGAAAGGGGTACGTGTTGGATTGAGGCACTGGATGAACGATCGAGGGCGGGAAATGAGACATAAGCGGCCTTGAATATGTTTCCAATCTGTGGCAGATCTACCAGTGGCTTTTCACATAAGCTACGAAACACATTCCGCAAGGCACAACATCCCATGGAAAAAACTTGCAGTGCCTTCCAACTACCACTGATTAAGCCCCCAATATCCTCGAACAAACGCGAAGACCCAAGTCTCAGTTATACCTGACAGGAGGCCTTGTCAATCTCCTAGACCCCTTCGCCTGCTGGGCCTGGAATACCGCCGGTTGCGGCTGGTACACCGCGGGCTGAGGCTGGAAGTCCGTCGGCTGATAATATTCCGTCACCTTCTGCTCTTCCGCAGAGCCCGAAGTGACGCCATTTATATGGCCTTCACCGCCGTGGTTGGAGTGTATCGATCCCGAACTCGTCGAACCATGGGCTTTCATAGATGAATCCTCGTGCGTAGTCTGTGACTCGCTAGCTTTCCTTAGTGTGCCTCCTCCATTGACGTAGCCGCCTAGAGCGCCGTCTGGACGATGTTGACCATGGATCGTCCTGAAGCCAGCAGAAGGTGGTGTTGCGGGCGTGGTGACTGGTGAGCTTCCCGATGGCTGCGGTGGATGCATGGAAAGGCTGCCGAATTGACCCTCGGCAATGGGAGGGCTCGCTGGGGAAGGCATGGAAAGGCTCCCAAATTGACCTTCGGCCATGGGAGGGCTCGCTGAAGGAGTCGTGACAGCCTCAGCGGTGTTCTTGAGCTCGGTCATGCTGCCCGCCTCGCTGATGGGGTTTCGGTCGTCTATGGAACTGTCGAGTCCCTGGTGGCCGTTAGTCGCTTCTACTTTGCCGCCGCCCGGGCTTGCAGCTGCCTGGATTGATGCCAAGGTGTCTTGCAGAGTCTTGTATTCTGCCTCCAATTTGGTCCATTCCGATCGAAGCGTCTGAGTCGTGTCCCTTTCCTCTTCGAGCTCTGTCATTGTGGCCACTGACGCCGTATATGCAGAACTGGCCTCTTGCTCTTGCCTTCATAGTTGCTCCTGGAGCCCTTCGATCTGTGTGCACATCTTTGCCTTCTCCTCCTCTGACTCTTGCCCTTTGATAACCGTCGAGGCAGAAGGGAGGCTCAGAAGGACGCATCCTTCTCCTATGCTCTCATTGCATTCATTAAAATCTGCCTTGAGCATACCATTCGATCAAACCTTTCCAGCCTCAGCGAAAGACAGATTCGGGGAGCTAGCTAGAGCACGCAACATCAATCTGCTGAAAGGGTCCAATTCTTGTGTTGATGGCCGCTCGAGATTCCCTTCACTTGATGCTCCCCTAGTCCGGTGGCTGTGCGATTGAAGAGCTGTTGTGATGTCTGATGGCTCTACATCATACAACATTGGGGGTATGCAATGGATGTGCATGCTGCGAAGAAGGCTAAGAGCTTCGGGGGAGTATGGATGCCGGAAAGAGGGCACACTTGACGCCGTCCAAGGAGCACGCACTGCATTGTGCCACTCTGGACGACTCACAACAGCACAAGCAGGCTGAGAGATGCGGAGTCCTGTCTTGCTGCTTCGGCTCGTTGGTGTATTGCTGTTCGGTGTCGTCAGTGAGCAATGGCCCAGTCTGGTACATCTGGACATCGTGTTTGCAACTGCGTCCTGATCTTCTGACACTTGCACCTACTGCATTTGTGGAGAGGGGCTGACCAGAATCTCGAAGCCAACGACGTCGGTAAACGTGTGCCACAGCTGTCCAATCGGGAGTGTTTGAAAAGAGACAAGAGCAATGGGGAAAATTCGGACAGTGTTTGCCTCCAAAGAAGCTCATTCGCGGTCGAGATCTAAATATGTAGGGCCGCCATATTAGAATTATCGCTCATGCAGCACTCTGTCCCTGAATTATGCCGGTACGAACATGCATCCTGGTGCAGTTGGAAAACCGCGACCTGACGAGATGAGGAGGCTCCACAGTTTCCGAATATGTACAATTTCTCAAAGCACAGATACGAAGATGTATATCGCAGCCAGCGCTGGAAAGGCATCTAGCCCGATAGCGCGTGTCTTCCCCGCCGAAGATGTGAATGCAGGTACCGGCAAAAGTCCACCAGAGGCGGTGCTCGTCTCGCTCAGTCTCGTCGTCGACTGATTGTTGGCTTGGCTGTGTGTAGCCAAGGAACCCGGATCTGTTGTGATATTCGCGGTTGATGGAATTAACATATTTGAGCTTTCAGAGCCCATGTTGGCAGATGGCGCTGGCAAGGAGAGCTCCAAGCCCGATTGACTGAGTCCGGAGCTATAGAGAATGCCACTCGTTGGTATCGGTGGTGTTGAAGAGCTGCTTGTGGAGATCGCCTGAGAAAGTACTTCGAAGGCGGGAGGAATCGAGAACGTCCCGTACCTGGGCTCAGAAGACGTCAATGCGACAACTGCTGGTATGGCAACATCAGAAGAAGGTATGATGGAGGCTAACCCTGAATCCGGCCTCGATACATGGGATGTTGATGGTTGATCTACTACTGCCGACAAAGTGATTGAGATGGATTCTACTGTGTTTTGGATCACCTCGAGGACCGTTGGAGACCCTGATGACGGGTCCAAGATTGGAGTAGCCGCAGGCCGCGGCAGGGTGACAGGTATCGAGTCCGATGTCGAAGTCGAGTAGTTGGCTGCTATTCCTGGAGGCGGAGTTGGTCTCGCTTTCATGCTTTGTTCCGTAAGTGCCTGTGGAGGATCATAGTAGCCGTCTAGTGCAATGGCGCAAGACTCCCATGCCTCGTTGAGTGCTCGGAGTTCAGGGGGAACGATCAATTCCCATGCTAGTACACCAGTCGGTAACGTAGGCTGTGCACGAGGCGCAGTGACACAGGTGGCCACAAAGCTGGAGAATCTTTCCAGGTCTGAGATTGGTAGACTCTCGCTTACTATCACACCACTTGTGGCTTCAGGTCCAAGAGTGAAGAGTGGATGTGACGAGATTTCAAGTGTTGTGCCGGGCAGAGGACGGCCGACTGTACTGCAAGAGTCTGTGGCGTATAATGTTTGCAGCTCCACCTTTGCCGAGGAGAAGAATGTCGTGAATGTGGATCTGACGACCTCGATTCCAGTGAGTGAGCCGCGATCTATTGACCGCGTAATCGTGAAGGTGCTCTCGATGGTCGTGTAGAACACACGAACGAGTCCTCCCACTGCAATTAATTAGCTGATGCTCCTCACAAGGACACAAGAATGTGTACCTATAGTGCACTGCCCACACCGGTCCGCTTCGCTGCCTGCACTTGAGACGCTTAGCGGCGAACTCGCCGTTGATGGTGGGAGGTCCGTGGTTGAGGATGTTGAGCCAGGTGTGGGTGGTTCTACTTCCGCAGACGTGAGTGGAGTGAAAGCTGAAAGCGAAGTTGACACCTGCCCCGTTGGGTCGAAATCAGACGTAGCTTGACTGATGGCTGGTACTGTCAACGACTCAGACGAAGAATTGCTAGATTGTGACTCAGTCGGCAGCGTGGGATCACCTAGGACCTTCGGCACGGTATTGCTGAGACTGGTAGTAACTTGTGGTGCTGTTGAGAGCGATAGCGAAAAGGATGGCAATGAGCCGGCGCTTGCAGTCTCCACAGTGGAAGAGATTGATGTTGAGCTTTGAGGAGCCTGAGTTGAGATGCTGGAGATAGTCACTGAAGACTCCAGTAGCAGGCCCGGCTCAGAAGCTGTACCGATAGAGAGGAAACTTGTTGGAGTGGTGGTACTCGTGCTGGGGTTGGAGTCAACCTCTGGTGGGGAGGTTACTGGAGAACTTTGAGAATCCGAGAATGAAGACGAGCTTAGAGCTGCGGTGCTATCAATCGAAAGTGGTTCGGTTGTACTTGTGGACAGTGTCGCACTGGCTGTTGGCGAGCTCGTTGGAGTCTCCTGGGAGGATGAAGCACTGCTCGAGTCTGTCTCTTGCGCTGAGGCTGACGGGTTTGGTACAGAGGCCGAGGATGAGGACGAGCTTGGGGTTGGAGTGGTATCAATCGTAGGTGATTGGATGTTACTGGTTGAAGATGTAACGCTTGTTGTCAGCGAACTTGTCGGCTTCTCCTGTGATGATGGACCACTGGTCGAGCCTGTCTCTGGGCGTGAGGCCGATGGCAATGGTACTGAGGCCAGGGATGAGCCGCTCGTTGTGGTGGTCATGGACAGGATGAGGGATTGTGTGGACACCGAAGACGTAGAGCTCGAGCTCGAGCTGGTGGATGACTGTTCCTGAGTGGAACTCTCTTCTGTGGACGAGCTGGACTGACTCCGTGTGCTCGATACCAGTGAAGAGAACGTGCTCGTCGGTTGCAAAGTTGTTGACCCTAGAAGACCTGGCGTAGACTGCGAGGCAGGCAGACTCGGTGGCGACAAAGCTGTAGTCGAAGAAGACGAACTTGGCCCCGCGTCTATACTGCTGCTCCTTGAAGTCGGAATGTCGAAGATGCTTGTACTTTGTGAGGTAGTCGAAGTGAGCGGTGGAGATGACGTTGAACTAGACGCTGACATAGTCGTATTCGTGTTAGAAGTCGTAAGTGTAGTTCGAGTTGAACTATTCGGGGTGCTACTGGTTGTGGAAATACTGGTCGTAGATTCAGTCGGAGAGCCGAACGGAGCAGATGTCTCCGTCGTTGATTCAACACTGGTGCTCGAGGCGTCTGTAGTGGACTGTGAAACAGAACTGCCAGCTTGCGAGGAGCTCCTGCTGGCCGAAGATACCGTAGGCGGGTCTTCAGATGTAGCTGGAGGAGTCGAATTGTTCGTGCTACTAAGCGACGTTTCGGACGAAGACGATGATGTGGTGGGATTCGGTGAGCTGGTTGGAGGAGCGGACGTAGAGAGCGGTGGAGGGTTTGATGACACCGTAGTGATGGTGATGCCGGATTTAGGGCTTGATGTGAGCGGGATTGAGCTTGACGTGAGCAAATTCAGACTAGACGAAGACGTGGTGGGTAATGGGGACGCCGTAGAAAATGTCCGTGATGTCGAGTTTGTTGTATTCGAGAGTGGCACAGAGCTCGTTGAGCTGGAAGCAGGTGACGTCGAATTGCTGACGATGATGCTACTGCGTGTCGTGTCCATAGATTGAGTCGAGGAGCTCGTCGTAGAGGATGGCGTAGTTGTGGAGGTCAAAGTCGGAGTGACGGTCGTGGTCACCATGCAGGAACACCCTAGATGCCAAATTAGCATGGCCTGAGTGCCTACACCATTCTTTCTTACCTGTAGTCGCAGTGACTGAAGTCGCAGTCGGAGAGGGCCCAGGACAGAACCCAAAATCAGACTGACAACCTGTTCCACAAGCCTCGGTGGAGTTGCCACAGATGCTATCGCCGGAGCAGCAAAGTCCCTCGGGACATAACACGGGAATCGGCCCTCCGCAGAAGCCCTCAGGGACATATGGGCTGCACTGTCCATATCTGGGATCGCAGCCATTACCGCAGAACTCTTCAGTCTGGCCACAGAAACCATCGGCAGAACAACATGCATTTTCGAGGCAGAAAACTGTCGGATTGGTCCCTCCGCATGCACCATTTGGTCTGTCGGACGCGCAAAGTCCAAATGACTCCTGACAATCGAAGCCGCAGTAGTCAGTAGTATTTCCACAAAACCCGTCGAAAGAGCAACAAAGCCCAGCCGCACATTGCAGACTAGTCGACCCTCCGCATCTTCCCGAACCAGGGGCAAATGTCGGTATTGCAGAAGTCGACGAAGCAGTTGATGTCGTGGAAGAGGCTCCTACGATCGACTCGTTTGCCCAGATCGTTGACGTTGAGGTGATGGAGCATGAACAGACTGTGAGAAAGGTCAGCTACGGATCATGGAGCCAACAGTTGAAGACGGACCCTGTGTGTCGGTCTCTGGTGTCGAGGTGATCGGGGGTAATGTCGGTGCACTGTTGATGGAGTCTGTTGCGGTTGTAGAATTGCCGTTCGTATTGAGTGTGGAGCTCACCGATGTCGTCGAGACACTTGGCGAGTTTGTGGAGCTTGAAGAGGTCGAGGTTTTCGGCCTAATGGAGCTTAAGGAGTGTGTTGTACCGTTGGCTGATGTTGTCGAGTTAGGTGCAGTCGTTGATCGTGCTGTCGATGTCAAGACAATGCTGGTGACTGTGCAGCTACAATCTGTTCGACATCAGTACATGCCAATCAATCACTGCTCATTGTAGCCCTACCTGAAAGACTCGGCTGCACCGAGGTGGTGGATGCTCGGCTGCTTGTAGTGGTCTCTCCCGGAGAGCCACACGTCCCGAAACCTGACTGACATCCTTCACCACAATACTCCGTAGTGTTACCGCAGTATCCCCACTCGGAGCAGCAGTCACTCGAAGCACATCCAAGTTCGAACGCACCCCCACAATTGCCAAGGCCATAGCAGGCACCGAACTTGGGTTGACAGCCTTCGCCGCACCATGCTAGCCCACTACCACAGAACCCATCTGGTGAACAGCACGCACCGGCGGCGCAAGACTGTCCATCTGGCCCTCCGCCACAGCGACCGTCTCCAGTTTGCTCATAGCACTCGCCGAACGCAGCCTGGCATCCGCGCCCACAGTACTCATCGGTCGAGCCGCAGTATCCGTACTGTGAACAGCATCGCGCCTCTTCATCAGTCCGACAAAAGAAGCCGTTCTCTAGTCCACAGAGGCCTATTGGCGAATACGTCCTTTCTGCGCCGGACGGCGCAGTAGAACTTGGAGCGCAAAACCCAAAGTCGTCTTGACAACCTTGACCGCAGAATGTCGAATTACTCCCGCAGTAGCCCCAGTTGCTGCAGCAGTAACCAGGCGGACATACAAACTGTCCGTTATCTCTGCCACAGCGACCATCGGGCGAAGTATTGTTCGACAAACCCGTATTCTGTCGACGTAGAAGCTCAGCAGCAAGAAACCCGGTTGATACTGCTGCTGTTTCAGTCGCTCTGGCCCGATTTCCCTGTTGCTGTATGTCTGTGGTGGGATAGAGTGTACTTGTTGATGAGACAATGCTGCCGGATGGAAGGATGGATATGCTGAAGGTCGTTATAGGCACGCTAGAGGAACTTGATGCCGAGCTCGTGGAACTCGTCTGCTGGTCGGACGATGTTGAGTTAACAGTCGAACTTGTTGGAGAGGCCGATGCTGAAGTTGGTGGTAATTGATCTGTATATATTGTCGATGTGAAAGTCGAAGAACATGTACAACCTGCAGATTGGCTTAATGGTCGCTCGATGAAACAAGGGAGAGCGTCAAAATCTCACCTTGATTCTGATCTTGTCCATTAACGATACCGGCCATCACACACACCATCGCGAGACAGTGCAGTAGGAGCTGCATGCTGCCGCGGAGGGCACTGAGCCTGAACAAAAGCGATCGCAAGTCGACGTACCCCACGGTTGCGATGCAGGTATCCTTTAGAGCCAGGGATCGTTGCCTCTTTCATCTGCTCCACGTTGACCGGTTGCCTTTGTCTGCCTGAATTGTGTGATGAGGCTCTCTGCCATTTAGTGCACATTGCATGGTGGCGGGTAGGACAGGAATCCAATCTGCCTGTAGTGGCTGCTCTTGTGTATCGTCTGGAGGTTCCACCTGCACAGGAGCACTTGAGGTATTGAATAGCACCGGTGAGTTTCTCACCGTGCCAGTGCACATTGAAGGGACCAAGATCGGGTGGAGATGTTTGCGATATTGCGGTCTGCCTGTTCCTGATCCTTGCACAAGTGCATCTGTGAAGTCAGGTGAAGCGTTGTCGCCCTCGCTTATTGCCACACGAGGCGCCGGATGTCGAGTCAAGAATGGAACGGATCAGCCTTGTGCACTCTCGCATGTGCTCGGACGTTTGCTGCCCGGCATCCACGCAGATACTGTGAATGCGTTGCCCCAAGAAGCCATAAGGAATTGGCAGCAGAGACTGCATGGTGTGCATCACGACTCTGAGCGGAGGAAGGCCTCTTCGAGGCATGTTGCCATCGTCCAAGTGTCTCACATCGACCGCGCGTTGCTTGTGATAAGTTGCGTGATCTTTTGCTGCCAAACTAGAAGGCATGCTCAATCTGTTTACTTCTTCCTGCACATCACCAACGCACTACCCCACTCGATGTCAATGATGCTGTGGTCGTCTTTATAGTGCTGATCGTGTTCAGCAATCTCATCGAACATCTGATCCATCAGATCGCCTCTGCCACCTCGGATCCGAGCCTCTTGATCGGAGTGATTCTCTTTCCACCCAACATAAGAGCTGAAAGTTCGCACATACTCCTTGCATTCGCCAACAGTGAGCCGCTTTTCCATGAACAATGTGCCTTCGCCTGAGTGTCTACCACTGGTGCCGGGCTCATACTCAAAACGCTGCACATCCTCCCAATCCTCGGCCGGCGGCTGGAGGATGCGCAGCTTGTCTCGCACATACTGACGTCCGGGTTCCCAGTACGAACCCATCTTATGCGGATCTTTGTTGTAAAGGTAGTCCAGTAAGATCTTACTCGCTACGGGAGAGTCCACGAAGATGTGGTCTTTGTATCCCCAGCAAGCAACTGTCCCTCCAGGCCTGACGAGACGCCGCATCTCAGGCCAGAACTTGGCGTAGTCGAACCAGTGTGATGATTGCGCCGCAGTCGCACAATCCACCGAGCCATCACTGAGTGATGGAGTACTCTCGCCAGCACCTTGCCGGAACTCAATGTCGGGATACTGCTCTTTCGGGGTGTTCTGGCTGGCCTGCTTTACCATGCCGACGGAAGGGTCTGTCCCGATTGCCGTCTCAAATCTTTTTCCCATCTCTCTTGTTGCTATACCCGTACCACATCCCAAATCTAGACAAAGCTTCTTAGGGCCTCGATGGTATGCTATCACCGCGTTGTATAGGCTCTCTGGGTAGGTTGGGCGAAAGGCGGCATAGGAGGCAGCACCGAACGTTGCTTTGCTATTCCATTGATTGGTAAGTCTCATAAATGGTATCGAGTCATGAAATGTTATAACTTACGCGAAAGTCGTCATCTTGTCCGTCTACCTGGCGATGTGTTGTCTTTGGCGAAGAAGCTGTGCGCAGCACCGCAACACGCTTCTCGATGTCTTTATACCATTTCCAGGCCTCCTTTTCAGCCACGTCAGCCATTCACATCATTGGATTTTCATGTTGAAAGGCCGTTTTCGCAGTCGTGAGGTTGTAGATGGAATGAGTGGGAAGTTCACTTACAGCTGCGCGACGTCAATGCTCATCTCCGATGTGCGGCCCCACATTTCCCGCCAAGTAGGGAAGTTGCCAACCACGATGTCACGTTTCCATCGGACGCTTGGACTGAACACGACTTTAGCTTTTCTCGCTATTTTTCATACGCTGCATCGTGGTCTGTTGCCCTGATAGGCTGGCGAAGCGCTCCCGCCGGCAAAGAAGCAGCCGACGTCAACGTCCACCGCCGGATCAACATCTCCAGGAGCGGGTTACATACCAGTGTAGGCTCTCGGGATCCCTCTACTCCAAAGAAGTGCATTGGCCGTAGCTTTGAGCTCTGTGTGCCCCAAACTCAGCTATGACTTTTTAGCAAGAGCACGAAACATGCCTGTACCTGGATTCTGAGTAAGAATCTTTGTTCTTTTCCAGGCTCTTAATGGGACGATCACGACCAGATAATGGAATCTCACCAACCTTACTATGATGCGATAGCTTCAAGGTGCACTTACGCTTCATTGAACGAGGATACTTGCGACCAAGACTGCCTCTCTCTGTCGCATTGCCACCCTCGATCCGCAGGTCATCGAGGATTCTTTAAGAAGAATCATCTACAGGAACGATGGCTCCTCATTCTAGCCTCCATACTAAAAGATAGCGCTTGTTCATTGGGCACAGACTCTCGAGAGACTGTGGGCCCAAAGCTATGGCGCCAAGGACAGCTCATTAACGTCGACGACTCGTTCGAGATAACCACCGGTGGCTACAAAGGCCGGGGATGGGGCACCTCCAACGAGACGATCATTGAAGGCAATACAGGCATCATTTGCCATGGATCCATAAATATCTTCGAATGTGTTCAGCCCGCCGATGACTTGTACTCAAGGTATCACGGATCTCGTCCGGTAAAACCTATCGCCTACCACCATTCTTACATCGACCATCACGGCAGAGCTCTGGGTTTACTACCAAACGGCACCAACGGAGACTACATAATCCTCATCGTAACCCTCCAAGGCTTCATTGACCTGGCTACTAACGGGGCGATATCTGTTGGTCTGACCATGAGCACGCAAGTCGTAGCCATGTTTGGCAGTACTTTGCTGAAACACGATTTAGAATTGGGGCTACGTTTGGCCACTTCGTGAGCAAGCAGCGCCCATTCTCCCGAACGACCCGATCAAAACAACTGGTGAGGAACGCGTGGTCGATGGCTTACAACTGATATCAAAGATAATCCCAGAAACCTAGGCGCTCACTCCGATCGACCTCTACTTCCCGCTCCAGCGAGCAGTATGTTGGCGACACATGGACTAGTTCGATGGGCGACCTAGCGATCTCTGGCACCGCTCGCCATTGGAGTAACACAATTGATGCGTGTCGTACATAGGCGGCGTCGACGCGGCTCTCGAGAACGCCACTGAATTCGTGACAGACGAAGACCAAGGGTTTGCGACGACATTTCGCGATCATGCCGTAGCTGCTGCGCCGACTCACAATAAGGCTAGGAAACATCTGGCTAACGTGTCTGAGGAAACGGGGTTTGGAGCAGAGGACGCTACATGGAGGAATTGCCATCTCACCGCTACACAGAACCTGCGTCTAGTACAAAGGTCGCGTAGAGGGAGAGACGTGAACAACTCAAAAATTGAGTTCGATCGATCCAGGTTCCACGATCAATCACTAGTTGGATGCGTTGGCGGTGGAACTTGGCGGGCCAAGGGACTCGCGGTTGGATGTTAGTGGATACAATCCCTTTTCGCATTGGTGTTGAGTGTGCCTTTGAGGACGCGACACCTCTCGTTCTACTCAACAACGGAATGTTACGTTGCATACGACAAGAATCAGTGAAAAGTGGCTAAGCAGCAAACACAGCAAACTCAGCGCTCACGGTGACAAAGCAAGAACTGCATCAGCTACTTGCTCGAGCGCGTCTTGATGCGGTCAAGACAGATACAAAGGTGACTTTGACGCTTGGGAAACGCTGCTTGACTTCCTGGATATTCGACAGCCAGCTGCAGCTGAGCGCGCGACAGGCAAGCTATCAGCTAGATGAGAACGCAAGCAAACAGAAGCTATTCCCCTTTCCCAGCTATTCAAGCCATCCGATCTAGCATTTTGTATGGTCGTGCCTTTTGCAGTCCTATCTCAGACCTGCTGTCGCATTCTCCGTTGACCTCGCTCGCCCCATAGATCCGCCTTGAAGGTGTCTTTAGTTGCGAGTATCCTTGGGGAACAGGCAAGTGGTGACTTTGCACCGCACGGCTGATGAGATGCATAAGCAATGCTTGAGTCTTCTAAACGCTCTTTCACTCGTGGCGCTTCAGATAACTGCTCTCTCGTCGCCTAGCCGGCGCCGCCTTGAAGATCGTCTTCACGTCCACGGCCCAGTCTGGCCTGTCTGCAATATCCACCTCGTACCATTTTCCGGTTCTGTCTTTGTAGAGCGTAATTTTTTGGCCCTCCGCCGATCTGGTGGGATCGAGCAGAGCGTTTCCGTTGATTTCTAGGTCATCACGGCTCGAGCCTATGTTAGTTCTCCTCCGCGTGGAGCTCCGTCGACGGTCCGATTTTGGTGAGCTGAGAAGCGAGTCGTTCTGCTCGGGTGGTGATGCCGCTTCCACTGTGATGGCCGGAGTGGTGCCAGATCTGGGGCTTGTGGAGAAGGATGAAGCAGCCTGCGCCACCGCCTCATCGAGCTTCTTGTTGGTTTTCACGGGTGAGACACGGAAGGGCAGCTTCGGTGAGCTATCGAGAGTCAGTCTTTGGCCTTCAAGTAAATGTTCTGCGATTTTGACGGCTGCTTTGACGGTGGGAAATTTTTTGGAAAGGGAAATTTGGAGCGACTCACCTTAGCTCAGGCTGGATCTCGTACTCCTCCTCAGCGAATGGCACAAATTCTTTCGTCTCAGAAGCGGCATCAGTGTTCACCGCGCTGTCTCTGCGAGGAAGTTTGGCGTTCTCCTCGGCTGCTTTCAGGACTTCAGCCTTGCATAATGCTCTGTCCTGCGCCAGACAGGCATCCGGCGGCGTGTGGCGAGGTTCCAGGTGCTTGATGTTCCTGCCACTGGCAAGATAGGCGGTAATGCCACCCTCATCTCGTGGAGGTGGGCTTTGATAGCGGATGCGAGTGGCCGTAGAATCATCCACTCCGCGCTTCATCCGCTTCGGAGTTCTGTCCATGATGACGTTGGTGATGGAGGCCGTTTGACTGGGGGAAGGTCAGTCTTGATGACTTGGGTCACAGAAATGATGTTTGCTAGTCAGTTCTGATCGGAAGACGGATGCTTACATAGGTTCGGGGAGCAAAGATGGTGGCGGTGTTGGCAAATGCGCTGTTCCGATGCGGCTTGCGCCGGTGTGGTGTGACAGGGGTAGCGACGCAAAGTCTGAGTCTTTGTTTGAGAGTGTTGAGGGTGAGACACCGGCGATGTGTTGAGATGCACAAGCGATGTCTTCGAGATGGAGGTGTTGGTTGATGTTATGGAGTTGGTAAAAGATGCTTCTAGAGCAGGAAAGGTGTGGGTGGCGCCAAGCGGGCCGCTAGATCAGGCAAGCACATGAAATTGACTTCACTTCAGGCTGCCTGCGACATCGTCCGGATAATCCCGTACAGATGTATAGCGTCGTTGATATTGTCTGTTGTCATAAGTGATACAGTGTTGACTTGCAAGTCAAAAACTTGTCTGGTTCTGCGACATGATGCAACGCCAGCGTTCACCCGGACCACGACTTTACCCACTAGGGGCTCACACACTGTGCCACGATCGTGACGGTGGGAAGGGTATGAAGTAGCCATTGCAGTATAATGTAAGTGCTAGAAACAGCGACATGGAACTCATCACCGCTGTATTGATACCCCATGATCGGAACGATGGTCCTTTCTCGCCAGTCCGCACACAGCGGACAGATGACGACACTTGACTTAACTTGGAACGTAAAAGCGATGTTTTGGAGTCTACAATAGTGTTATAAGCGGATTGTGTAAGGGAATGCCACTGGTTTGAAGGTGTCGTGTTGGGCTTGCACGGTGCTTTCAGAGGAATCGAGCTTCCCTGCTGCAGAAGTCGGCCAAACCAGTGGCCACCGGCGCAAGCACTCTATGTCTTTTCTCGATTCTGCATACGAATGTGCTTGAGCTTCACATGATGCTTGGCGCCCCATTTGCAGCTCTCCATACTCAAATGTCCTACTTGACGCTGGACCTTCCACGGGGTTCCAACGCAGGCCTCGGAACGTTATCTTGATACCGATCATTGCTCCTGGGACTTACTCTTCGCCTTGAGGCAGCCAGTGTCCACTTGTGTAAGCCAAGGTGTAGGTTAACCGCATGAAGTCTGTGTTGAAGTAGCAGTAAGATCTTGCACCATCTCGCATTCAAGTTGGGGACGAAACAAGCCGTGACAAGAACTTGGCCACGAGTGGTATTGAACTGCTTGATACAGAGCCTTAATGCTCCATTGCGAAAGTGAATCGTCGGGAAGAAATACCCACGATAGAGAGGACATGCGGTAGCTGGTGCATTTGAAGATGCGACAGTGTCGCCGGTCAAGTCCTCTTCCTAATAGCATCTGTCAAGATGGACGGGGCACATACCATTGGCGCAGTAAACTTTAGCCTATCACTTCACAATACGTGTGCAGCGCTTCCGGCTATTGAGGCGGAGATGAGTGGCCATCTCGGCATGGCCAGACGAATCAGGCTAGTGATGTTCATGCATAATAGGGAGACTATCGGAACGGTACATTGAGTGCTCACCGTGTCCTCTAGGATGAGCCTTCCGATTATGAGGTCCAAAGTGATCTCGTGTAGCTATGATCAGCATGGCCAGAACAAAATGCTGGTCAACAGAGAGGCGATCAGTAATCCTCCCAGAGATCTTTGTGGTAAGCCTCCGTCAACTCCTTGTCCTCGCCATACCTGGGGAGCGAATGTTAGTGACTTCGAAAGAGAACATGAGATTGGCAACTCACTTCTCCTGCCATTTCTGAAATCCTCCGTCAAGCACATAGACCTTCTGATCATCCGCGGCACCCAACCTCTCCCTCTCCCTCAGATACTTCAACGCGCTGGCTGGTCCTCTCTGCTGCGACAAGACACAATGAAACACGACTGTATCCTTGTCCTTGAGTGTTCGGACGAGCTCGGGCATCTTGTAGTCGTGAGTGTTGGTGGGGACGTTTTGGCAGCCGATGATGTGGCCACCGATGAAGTCGTTGTCGCGGACGTCGATGATGGCAAGGCCAGTGTTCTTGGACCGCACGAGATCCGCGAGCTTCTCGCGTGAGATGCGTTGCAAGGTGGAGATGGTGTGGTTCGACATTTTGATGGTGTTGAGATTCTTTCTGTCGGAGAAAGGGGTCTGGAAGTGGTTTCTGCTTCTTCCTGCGAAACTTCCTTGCGTACACAGGAGTCGCGATCGTTCGAGATGTATGCGCAACCAATCTCCGTAAGCTCACTGATTTGTGAGCTTTCGTGGGCTCAAAGTCAAGATAAAGTGTGATGATTGGGAGATGTCGTAGATGGCAGAAGCTGAAGTTGAAAGTGAAGCTCCACCATTTGGCCAATCAAATTGCGCTGAAATTTGATTGATCATGGCAATTGTTTCTATGCTCTGCCAACCGTCTTCTCAATGGCAAGGAAACATTGCACGACGACAACAACATTTCAATACGTCCACTCTCTACAGCTTACTACCCTTCCACTTCGGCTTCCTCTTCTCCACGAAGGCCTTCACGCCCTCCTTCAGGTTCTCACCAGCCTGCAATCGGGGCTGCCAGTATTCCAGAGCGAATCTCGTGGCCTCGTCTGCGCCCATACCCTCCCAGCCAAGCTTGATGCCCTCCCTACTCACGATCACAGCGTCTGGACTGTTCGCTGCGATCATCTTTGCGTACTCAACGGCAGCTTCCACCACCTCTCCGTCCTCGTCCCCAACGACTTTGTTGATTAAGCCCCAGTCCATTGCCTCGTCTGCTAAGACTGGCCGACCAGTCAATGCCATTTCCATGGCTCTTGGGCGTCCTACTGTGCGGATTATACGTGGAAGGGCGCCTGCAGCGGCAACGACGCCGACTTTGACTTCTGGCAGGGCGAAGGTTGCTCGTTTTGCGGCAACAACCAGATCGCAGTTGATGATCATCTCACAGCCACCACCAAAGCAGATGCCGTTGACGGCGGCAATGACTGGTTTGCGGCCGCTGCGTCGCGAGAGGGCACCGAAGCCAGCGTTCGACATGACTTTGGACGCACCGCTCTCGTTGACTTTGTTCTACTCTATACCTCTCTTTCAGCTTCTTCTGCCTCTTACACACAGCACATGTCTCCCATCTTACCTTTCAAATCCGCCCCAGCACAGAAAGCTCTTCCCGTCCCAGTTATGATCCCCACTGTCAAGGCCGGCTCTTGATCCAACCAGTTCCATATCCTCTCCAGCTCTTGTCCGAATTCGCCATTGATGCAGTTCAGATCTTTCGGTCGGTTCAAAGTCACGAGCAAGACTCCTTTGGCAGGATACGAGATGATCGTGTACTTGTTCGGCGGCTGCGGGTTCTCGAGCTTGGGCTTGAAGCTAATCGGCGCCATTGTCGTCTTGGACTTGTGGAGTATGGAGAGAAAATGATGGCCTTACCTGATGAGTCCAACAGAGAAACATCTACGTGACTGCAACGACAGTGCAGTGAGATGTCAAGATCTGCGGGGGACTGTAATCCCGAAGGATATGGCAGGCCGAGGCTGATCTGTCTCCTCTTTGGGATGGATGCCATGCCTCTCCTTTTCGACTCGAATGGCCATTGTTCAAACAAGTCATTCTGCTGGACGTTGGTGATGAAAATTCGCACTTGAAATGTGGCTATCGACGTGAAAAGCTTTCAAGCTGTGTTTCCGGAGGGAAGGTCTTCGGATGCCGAAAGGGGTGGTCTCGCCTGCCTCTTTGCAGTTCTGGACTCTTCCTCTTATCCGCTTCTTTCCTTGCCGCAACTACTTTCCCGGGGGTGTTGTTCTTTCTCTGCCGACACAAACTTGTCACCTACTCTCGAGATATGCCGCAGTCAGCTGTTGCAGGTTGCCTTGCTGGCCCGCACATGAGCCTTCATGTACCGCAGTAAGCTTCGGACCACCAATCAAATCAAGAGAAATCTTGAACAGCTCAACAAGCGGGTTTATTCCCCCGTGGCGCAATTGGCTAGCGCGTTCGACTGTTACCACTCTCACGAGTCAAGCAATCGGGAGGTTGGTGGTTCGAGCCCACCCGGGGGAGCAAAAGTACAGAGGATAAGGGTTCGAATATGTCTTACTTTTGACCTTTCTTATTACTTGAAGATCATCAACACCGATATGGTGCTTTTTGGTTCTCACTTGAGTTCCAAGGACCAAGGGCTTCGAGCGTCTAAACACGTGCCTTTTTGGCCGTCTTGTGTATTTGAGCCACAGCATAACAACAGATGGTACTACTGGGCCATGACGGCACTGCTCCAATAGGTCTCGGTTCGTTGGGTTGCTGGTGATGAGACGAACCACTTGCTCGACCACGATTCAACAACGAATGCTGCTCATCAAGCTCTAGGTGTACCACTGCACGAAGAATCGTGTCCACCAGGAAGAGCACACAGCTGCTCGCCACTCAAAGTGTGACGCGGAGCGAGCGTATGTAGGTCTGAAGCAGCCCTGAGCAGATGGCCACAGTGAGGCTATCCGTGTCTCAAGGGCTTGCAAACTTTTACAGCAAGACGATATCGTTCGTCCTACAAAAGGGAATGGGCCCATTACTTTCCCTCATTACCGTTTCTGCGTTCACACTACAAATTGCGAGAGGAGGCTAACGACCGTGTACGAGAGCTGTCATTCCGAGAAGCTTCCTTGAGCCCACGCCGAACGACCCCGATAGATCGTTCAACACAAAAAGCACGCGAGACTGAGGCAATGTATGGCGACTTGCAACCATCCTTGGATACGGCTACCCGTCCAATGAACACTGCACCACTCAGATTTTGCCACTGCCCTTCCTACTCTCCATTTCACCAAAGGCTCTCTTCAAGTCCCTCGCAAACTCCTCAGGAAAATGTACAAAGCCAGTATGCGGTCCGGGCAGTGCATACTGGGGACAATGCAGGATCTCTCCTTGACTCTGGACGGTTCGCGCATAGTATGCGTCTTTGCTGGCATCTCCAAGCGCCACTGCGATTGAGGTGTTGTTCGCTTTGATGCGGGTCAGGTCGGGACTGCGAAACCACAAGGATCGTATCAGCAGGTGTCTGGAATTTGTTGGGATGCTTGTCGAGGAACATACCACCAAGTACTGAAGACGATGAACTCATTCTCCCAGAAATTGATCAGATCGTCCAGCGAAGGTTTATCTTCCGCCGACAAGCCTTCGTAGCCCGTCATCACGCCCTTGAAAATGCTCCATGCCGCCTCTGGACCCTGCTCGCGGTACGCTTTCGATGCACTCGAGCACCAGTCGGTGACATCTGCTGCGTCGGGTAAGAGGGCGATCGTGGGCGCCTCGTGGCAGATGATGTGCGTCAGGTATTGCGGGTAGTTCACCGCGAGAGTGAAGCCGATTACAGCGCCTACAACCATCAGCAAACTCGCGATTCTCCGGAGAAATCTTCCACGACATACCACCACTATTCCCAAAAACACACATCTCCCCATACCCCAAATCCTGCATAATCGCCACAACATCCCTCGCCTGCTGCGCCGCGTTCAAGAAATTCATCTTCCCTTCGACGAGCTGGCTCGCTCCGTTCTGGCGGCGATCGTAGGTACACACGTGGAATTTGTCGGAGAGGTGTTCGAAGAGGCCGTTGTATTTCTTGCCCACGCCATTGCCGCCGGAGATGAGGATTAAGAGGGGTTGGGACGAGGTGCCTTGGTGCCAGTAGTGGAGGGAGCAGTTTTCGGACTGGATGGTGGCGTAGGTAGGTTTGAATGGCATTGTTGGGAGTACTGATGTCTGGTGGTACCTGTTGACTTAAAAGATGGAGTAGCAGTAAATGGTAAATGGCCAGTTTCTGTCGTGGTCATCGCCATCTTTTATCTACGAGTGGCGACTCCCTACTCGACGGCCGTAAACTCCGGATCGAAGGTGATGTTCTATCTCCACACAAGGCATCTGGTCGAGCGACATGCTATCCACTTCTCCTCACTCTTCATTGTTGGACCGATTAGGCAATTGTGGTGGTGCCCCTTGCCCGGATTTTCGATATACCGGTACCGATCTTGAGCTGCGAGCTTCGCATCAGAACCACGCTAGCATGCTATTTAATTTATAGCAGGTCGATCTTCTACAGTCGATCTTTTTCTACTTCTAGAGCACATAGCAAGATTGTTCCAAAAAGTCGTTGGAGCGTCGGCGCCGGATCTTGCGAAATGTGCCTCCTATATCTGGCCTTGCTGGGGGGCTTGCCCTACCTTTCAATCGCTAATCTTGAAAAGCTATAAACAAGACCTCAAACGCGCGTGACGACGAAAGTAGAAATTATGCCCGGGCCAAAGACGGCAAGAAATGCCGTTTCATCTGACTATTCAGTGATCCCAGTATGTGCCAAGTCGACCAGTTTCAACAAGAGAACAATTACGAGAAACATCCGTCCGGGGAATGGCCCAAAACGCCGAGTCAGGTCGGTGGCTATGTCCTTGGTCGACTATATAAACATTTTATTCTGCTCGACGAGAGAAACAACATCGACGAAGTTCTGTTTTAATCATCATGTTGAACGCCGCCGCCATCCTAGCCGCCCTGCCATCTCCAAACTCGGTACCACACCCACGACACCTCACCAAAAGGAAACGAACAAGCACTAACCACCCCTTCAGAACCTCCCCACACGTGCCATAGTCGAACACAGCGGCCGGCAGATCGACTGCAACAAAATCGCCTTCTTGGCCGTCATGCCGCCCTCAGAACTCGAACTCAAGTGCCGCGCTGCGCAAGGCCTCCCGTTGGCGTTCGATCGCCGCGAAGAGGTCGATATCCACGCTCGCGCCATCGTCGAACATAACGGCCGCCGAGTCGATTGCGATGCGACTCCGTCGGAGCCGGAGTGTCGTGTTCTGGGTGATATAATCACCACTGGAAAGCGGTCCGGAAGAGGCAGATAGTTGACTTTCAGGGCGGGAAGCTGGATTACGGGAATACGGTGTTTATGGCTGTGAATCGGCCTGAGGGCGCGGAGGAGGCGTGTCGAGATGCTTTGTTGATGGAAGAGGATTCTGATGAAGGAGAAGGAGGGAGAGAGGTTGGCGTACGTCGATGGAAGTCCTGGTCAATGCAATTCCCTTCATCGCGTCTCATGGTTCTCACTGTGAGTCGACTTGACTCCCAAACGCCACGCCTTGAATCCAAAGCACGCTGCAAGAAACGCTCTCCAACGCTTCTGTAAATGCACAACCCCCATCAACACGAAAATGCCCGTTCCTTTACCAATCATGCACCCAGTCCCTCGCCCCGCTCTCCCAGAACTCATCACAAGCCGCCTTGAGCCCAAAATTGCTCCTCAAATCCTCCACCCGCAACACCTCCCTCGTCATCGGATCCGTCGGACTGCGCTTCAAATGCTCATAAATCACCGCGCGCTCGTACGAATGTCCATTCCTCGTAATGACGGGGTCAACCATGGGCTCGAACGTAATCATATCGATGAGATGGTCGGGGATCTCGCGGGGTTTGTGGTTGGCTGGATCGGCGGCCTCAAAGACGGAGCGTAGAGTGGCGATTTTGGTGCCGAAGGTGGTTTGCACTTCTTCGATGCGTTCGGTGGCTTCGACTTGGCCTAGTTCGCCGGCGTGGAATTGTTTGGAGATGGCGTCGAGTTCGCGCTGTTTTGCGGATTCGAGGGTGTCTTCGAGTTCGGCACGCATGTCGCCTTGTCGACGGAGGCGGTCACGGTCGCGGGCGGAGAATTTGGCCTTTTTGCATTTGAGAACGAAGGCGGAGAAGGTTTGGAGGTCTTGAGGGGAGGTTTTGGCTGCCGGGGCTGGGTTGCGGACTTGTTCGTAGGCCATTAATGCGGAGGAGAGGGCTTCATTTGGGTGGTGTAAGGCGAGTTGGGCCTGTGCTGGTGGATAGGTATCAGCACATGCAATAAAAAGTAATCCAGATCTCTTGACATCGCAGAACGTATTGACCTCATGCAAACGAACGAGCGGCAGACCAAGAGAGAAACAATTAGGGACAGTCCTCACCCAGAAAATAATAAGCCTTATGATTTTGGCCCCCGCCCGTAATCTCCACACTCTTCAAACAATCATTCACAGCCCCCTCCCATTGCTGCAGCTTCAACCGCACATTGGCGCGGTTCGTGAAGATTAGACTATTCCGAGAATACTTTTGGATCGCCTGGGTGTAGAGGTCCTCGGCGGCGGAAAAGTCTCCGGCGCGGAAGGCGGCGTTGCCCTTTTCTTTGAGTTGGTCGGCGAGATAGGACATTGGGTGGAGTTCCTACTCAAATTCGGACGTATGGGTGACGAGTTCTTTCAGCCCTGGTATTGTTGAAGATGAGTCGTGACAAAGAACGGGCGAAAGTGAAGGAAGAACGGGTGGTCGTGGACAATCAATCGCCGGGATATTTTTTGTTTGTTCCCTGTCAGGCGTCCGTCGACCGTATAGTCGATTGTGTTGCTGCCTGTCTGCTCGTGCGATCTGGTAAAGGTTAAAGTGGATGGGTGTCGTGAAGTTGGAATGGTGGGGCTGTGCACACCGGAACGGGGCGTCGTCAGTCTTTAGCGCGGATTGTGTGAATACAAAGCCCGCTTTTCTAGAAGGCCGCCGAAACTCCAAGGCTCGTTTAGCCTCGTGCATTACATATCAAGGTGCGTTGTGCAACGAGTGCAGCATGTGTGAAGCAATCATACAACTCGGAGCATGTTGATTGGTATTCATGTCATTTCATTTATTTTATAGCAATCATAGCAACATCATCAAGCGCTACTTTACTCTAATCCGAGGTCCTTGTAGAAGGCCGAAGTCGACGGCTTGCGATGAAGGAACTCCTCGAGAGTAGTCATCTCATCTTGACTTCCGCCCTTCTCTAGCACGGTGTGTCTGTACCTCCGTCCCTCCTTGCCATCCATCGGGTTCTTCTTGAAGACGGTGTAGAACATGTCCGCAGAGTAGACCTGTGAGCTGAGATAGCCGTAATAGCCAGCATCGTAACCGCCGATGAGATGGCCAAATGTGGCCTGGCCATGACCCCAGTGGTAGTCCTCGCCGAGTTCCTCGGGCCCGTCGAGTTTGGAGATGTCCTCGCGCAGCTTGTTGTACGTCTCGCTTACATCCAGCTTCTCAACATCTTCATGCGACGCAGGCTCGTGCACCAGCATGTCGAAAGTGCCGAAGTGGAGCTGTCTGAGGTTGAAGAGGGCATCGTTGACGTGTTGCGTTCTGATGATCGACTCGATGAGATCGTCTGGCATCGATTCGGGTGGCTGCGGTGCGCCGTTGGTCGCTTGATCCTTGTATTGCTTGGTGTACTCTGGTGTGAGGTACGACCAGTGCTTGCTCAGAGACTTGATCTGAGATGGCGTCCAGCACCAGTTTTCGAGCATCTGAGATGGTGCCTCGACGAAGTCACGGACAGTCGACGTGCCGTGGAAGCGGCTGTAGATGGTCCGGGACACCAAGTCGTGAATGCCGTGACCAAGCTCATGGAAAAGAGTGACAACCTCGTCATGCTTGAGGAGGGAAGGCCTCTTTGGAGTGGGCTTGCTGAAGTTGCAGACCAAGGCAGTGGCTGGGTATCGCCTGGTGCCATTCTCTTGGATGAAGCCTGGCTGAAGGTTAAAGTTTGCTGCGTGACCATACTTGCCGTCGCGGGGATGAAGATCGAGGTAGAGATAGCCGACGAAGCCTCCGCCCTCGCCTTCATCATCCCACACGGCAAAGACCTGAACGTCTTGATGCCAGACGATGTCTGCGCCTTTGCCAGTCTCTGAGATCTGATCACGATGCTCGCCCTCGATCTTGACGAAATGCAGGCCAAACAACTCCTCGAAGATGTTGAGCATACCGCTGATGGAGGATTGTAGTGGGAAGTACTCTGATATCCTCTGCTGATCGAGCTGGTACTCCTTCTCCAGCATGAGGGTATCGTAGAATCGGTGGTCCCACAGGAAGTACTTGTCGGCTTTGCCAGTCTCAGCCTTCTTGAGCTCCTTCAGCTTCTCGATCTCCTTCAGACCACCTGGGGCAAGTCTCTTGCGAAGATCACCGAGGAAGTCGTCAACTGTTTTGGGAGTCTTGGCCATCTTGTCTTCGATCCTGAAGGTAGCGTGGTTGGGGTAGCCGAGGAGACGAGCACCCTCATCGCGCAAGATGATGGCCTCTTTGAACAGCTCCACGTTGCCAGGACATTTGTTCTCGTTGGCGACAAAGACCTTCTGCCGTACCTCTGCGTTCTTGCAGTACTTCAGCGTTGGGAAGAGGTCAGGGTATTTGAAGGTGAGCCACAGCTTTCCCTCGCTGGGTGTGCCCTCCTTGCCCTTCATGAGTCCACCAACAACATCCTCGGGCACACCCTCGAGCTCCTCTGGAGTTAGCCACAAGCCGCCATTCTCCTCGTTCAACGCCTTCTGGAAGGTGATGCTGAGCTCTGAGAGACGCTTCTTGATAGCCTTGAATCGATCACGCTTAGGACCAGCGGGAATGCCCAGACCCATGCGAATGTAGCCTTTGCGATCCTTCTCCAGCAATCGCCTGCTCTCAGCGTCCAAGCTCGTATCATCCTTCTGCTTCTTGTACGCCGCATCCACCAGCTTGAAGATGTCTTCTCTCATGGATGCCTCGATGGCAAAGTCGTCCATCAACTTCTCTGCCTCGGTCGACGCATCCCGCACCTTGGCATCTGTCGACACCGCCTGGTAGAAGCCTATGATATGCGACTCGAGGGACATCTTGTTGTCGTCCTGCGCGAATGGCAGGTCGGCATTGTGGAAGTTGGCATTGTCGACCGACACCTCTTTGACGATCTTGTCCTGCAGAGCTTTACTGGTCGCGATCAAGCGCTCGGTGTCCTTGATTAGACTCTCTGGTGTATGAGTGAAGAGCGGCGGCGCCTGTGGTGGCTTCTTGAAGGTCGAGCCCATGGCTGTCGAGGTGGTGATGGGTCGCGTGATGGGGAACTTGGGGGCGGCAAAGTGAGCGACAAGTGTCCTCAGGCGCGGCACAATGCTGACGACTGCCACGATTGCGAAGACGGCGAGGAGGAGGAGCAGGAGCGGGCGACGGACGAGAGAGGAGCGCGTTCCCTTGGGAGGAGCCAGAATGGCGAATTGATGGAGGGCTAAGTAAAGTGCAGGTAAGGTGGGTGGACGTCTGAAGTCGGTGCTCAGTAAGCTTCGACCCACCACCTTCAATTCGGGGCGGTGACAATTGAATACCTGTCCGTTATAGTACCAGAATAGCACCACGATATTGCTTCTTCGAGACTCGTGATGCACGCGATCTGCAGTCCAGATTAGCGGCAGCGAGCTGATGCAGGTGACAGCCGCCTGCTGACCCACGAGTTCGGTGTGCGCGAAGCCAATCTGCACGCCTGCAGGTGGCTGGCCGAGTACCAAGTAGCTAACGAGCTACAATGATAGGTATGTGTATTCTGAATATGGAATAGATAAGAGCTGAGAGTACCGGAGCAGGTCAATGAATTGGTGAGGCTACTATCGTAATGTCGCCGACCACGATGACAGCTGCTCACATCCTGCGATTCCCGTGGCTGGGATCCAGCCTTGTCGAATCCTTGCACGCCAAACCCGTCTCCCAAGACCACCAGTGGCAATCTTCGTGCGAGCTGAAAGTCAACAATCTTCAATGCTGTGGTGAGCGCCATCGAATGTTTAGGAGCCGTGGATGCCTGGGCGGTGCCGCTGCTCAGCTAGAAGTCCCTGTCGCAGAAACATGCATTAACTATGTGCTCATTCCCCAAACGGACATCGTGAGCGATATGAAGTGGCAAGTCATCAGAGGACATATCACGGAGGTGAGCGGTAACACAAATATCTCACATCATAAATACCGCCTCTCTCCCCGAAGTAAGAGTCAAACCGTTGCGAAACGTCTTTCAAAGAATCACAGCTCATCTTGCAACTGCAGTTATCTGTAATGCCACACCAAACATCCCTCCCAAATTGCCGCCAAAATCGCCTGCCCCTGATGGACTTTGTGTTTGCCTTTCACCTTTGCAACATGCCCCTCAATCTTGGCCTTTGACACTGCCATCAGGATGTCCGGACATTTGACCCGAAGACTATCGCTTTCGGAGACAAACAGCTCGATGTCGACCATGACCACATTTGTGGACTGTTCGCCGGTCTCTTTCGGGCGCTTTTGCTGCTCCCATCCGACTCGCAGGAGGAATCTCCAAGATGAACAGCCGACGTTCCAACGAACGCATTTGCCCAGCGATCCAAGACGCTACGTACTGCGTTGTGATACCCCTTAGCCCACCACACATGTCTTTCAGCCTCGTCCGTGTCTACGCAGAAGGTGGTATTGGCAAATTAGAGCTGAAGAACTTCTTGTCTCAACTGACTACTTGCACTCACGAGCGCAGGTACCCAGTTGGATGGCTCGACAGTCCATGTCTCATTCTTTGAGCGTAAGGCAGGACGTATCCATTGCTCGATGACTTGTTTGATGATCCGAACGCGAACGAGCGGTTCCAACTTCATCAACTTGGAAGGGTTACAGAGCTTCTCCAGCTCGGCATAGAGCTCACCGACACTGAGACCGTATCGATACCTTACGCGATCAAGGAGTGCTGGACTAACTTTATCCGTCACGCATTCGTTGTCCAGGAATTCATCGTAGTGGTAGACAACTCGACCAGACGGCGAAGCAATACGTGCGATGGAAGGATAGGCTAATTCTGGCCTGCCTTTGAACACGAAGCTGCGCTCACTCTTTGCTGCCATTTGTTGAAATTTCCTTCGTAGAGCAGACCGCTGGTGGTGAGGGCGCCTTCAATTTGCGTTGGGCGGCGTGGCATCTTGCGTAGCTCGTTGTGGATTGAAGTCACCATCGCACGTCTGGGGCTGGCCTTATCTAACTTGACCCTGAAAGACGGAAGTCCCATGAGTGCCTGTTTTAAAGCTTCTAGCATGTCCGAGACAGACATGTTTAGCCCTTTGTCGTATGGTACGAGCTCTGCTAACATTCACATTCACTCACATTTAGCTCGACCGAATCCAGCCTAGCGCCAATTTCTGTCGGCGTTTGCAAACGACGCCGATCAAACGCCAACTTTTCCTAGCCTCGCATGCTTCCCGACACTTTCAGACACACCACACCAACCGTGCAGTGAAAGTGTGTCAACATGGCGCCGACGTCAAGCAGCTGCCAGCTGTACGAGGGGAACTTCGAGGACTGGCGCAAGCGCATGAACGCCATCTTCATGGTCCTCCGAAGACCTAGACAGCTCTCCCCTGCCAGCCTCTACGACCCAACCATCGGCGGTACCCTCGACGCAGCGAGCACACCAAGTGAGGTGCAGACGGTCCGCCGCCGAATCAGCCCCGCCCTCCTCGCTCGCCTACCCGAGGACCTGTGGTCTCCCGAACGCAGTCTTGGAGCACTCTACAAACAACTGCAGCAATTTTGTCAGCCCTTCCGCCTCTTCTCCTTGCCAGCGGAGTTACGGATCAAGATCTACGAAGAGGTCATCAATCAGCCCGAGATTATCAGCCCGAACGAGAAACCGACATGGACCGTCACTTCCTCCCACCGTCTCCCTGCCCTGGCTCAGACCACCCAACAGCTCCGCCAAGAACTCCTTCCGATCTACTTCTCCGCCGTCACCTTCACCCTGACGATTGACATAGACGTTATCGACGGACGTCTGAGCTACCCTTGCACGGTCAAAGACCTCGCGCTGGGTTGGAGTTGCGACTTTATCGGTGCATCCGCCCGTCACCTCCGCCACATCTCACTCGATCTCACTGTACTCGAAACTGAACCTGGCCCCCTCATACGTTTGCATCGCATTACCCTGAATCTGTTCTTCAGCAAGACTAAGGGATACTGGGTAGAGTACCCCGACAACCTGTCCAGTCGTTCTAAAGAGGCCCTTGGTGAGCACGTTCGATTCGTGAATACAAAGCGCAAATATCTCGGCTTGAACGGCGAGGCGCTCCTGGTGGCTCTGGTGGAGGAGTACTGTATGTGGGACTTCGTGGGCTTGTCCGTTGGGGAAGACCTTTATTGAGGTTGGCTATGATCAGGGACAGATGATGTGGTTAATGAGGCGGTGGAAGTAGCAGGGAGGTGTATAAGAAAAGATCAGCCTTCCGAATGAGAGGGGAAAGTGTGGAGGGAAATGTGTGGAGGGAAAAGTGTGGAACAGAGGCTTAAGCTCACACAAAGACGTCCATAGACCTGCACAGCAGCTACTCGTCGCCGCTACACTCTCTTAGACCCACAAAATTACAGATCAAGATGCTTTAACGAGTTGGTGAGATGCTCAGTACCAGCTATTACATCTCAGAGAAGAGTGGGCTCACGATGGTGAAGTATAAAGGGCATGTCGACATTCACTACCAGTCACATGCTGGGGCCTCTGGATAGAGCTTAGTGCCAAACCGTTTCCGTCGTAACTTCCTTTGTTGTTTGCAGCTGCGCGCCGCGCTTAAGCTCAACTTCACACTGCACTTCCTGCAAAACCTTCACCACACAGTAGAAGCCACGCCAATCAGCATACGCACATCTGCAATGATGTCGCAACACTCAAAGAGAAGAGACACCGAAAGCACACTTCTTTACGAAGGGAACTTCGACCAGTGGCAATGGCAGATGAGCAACTTCTTCATCGCGAAAGGCCGCCCCACGCAGGCTTACCCCTCCATCGCCTACACAGACCCAGACGACATTGTTCACTATTGTAAGAGCACCTTGGGCGACATCGAGGATGTTCTGTCTTCAATCACACCAGCACTCAAGAACCGCATTCCGGTTAGTCTTGAGGTCGGAATTGGCCAGCTCTACGCCTGCCTAGAGAACCTCTGTCTTCGACCATTCCGTCTTCTTGACCTCCCTCCAGAACTCCGAGTCAGAATCTATGCTGAAGTCGTGACGAGCCCCAACGTTCAGGGAGTCGAGAGCGACAGCAGCCCACTTGATAGACACGCCATTCCGGCACTCGCCCAGTCGGCCCAGCTCATCCGGCGAGAGGTGCTCCCAGAGTACTTCGCCACTAACACCTTTCTTATCCGAGCATCCATGCCCCCAACGCCCGGTAGAAGAGACCCAACCACAACGGGCATCTCGCTGTGGAAGGCCGACGTCCTGCGAGAACACATCAAGGATCTCCGCAAAGTCGACCTCTTTGTCGTCGCCCGTCAAGACTACGTGCGGTCCGATGGGGTCTTACAGCTTGCACTAAAATCGGTGAAATTGGGTGTACGATTCGACAAGTGTCGTGGTGTGTACATCGATGTTCCCGTCCTTCTCGACCAAAACTCCAAGAATAGATTGGCAGTCTTGACTGCGATGGCTGAGACAGCGCGGCAGGAGAAAGGACATACGGGCGAGGCGATCTTGGAATTGGTGGGGCTGGTCTGTACCAGAGACGTTGAATATAGCCAGCCGAATTTCACCCATATGAGCTTGATGGTACCGGATAGCGCTAGATAGTAGTTCATAAAGAGCGAGGGAAGAGGCGTGAAGCACTCCGAAGGGAATTACCGTGGGACGGTAGAATTTCAGGAAGGCTAGGAGTCCGGAAGAAAGTTGAAACAGGCGGTTCACAATTGGGTAGGCACACTTTCAAAGCCCACGAGTTACCTTTACGCTCAAGCAGGTTTGAGGCAGCAAAAGCCGGATAGGTTGAGGACGAGGGAAAGGAAGAGGAGCAGGTCGGGTTGGGTGCAGGAACTCTAGACATAGGTAGCGCTTCGGTCACCTGTTGTGAGTGCTTCTAGAGAGTACCTTTGTTCCACAGCGGTTTGCTACTAAGGCGAGTTTCATTGGATTAAGAAGCCACTCAAATCTGCTCTTCTGCTATAACAAAACATCAAGCAAAGCTTGGCAATGTCGAATTTTGTCGTCATGGTCGGTCCAATTCCGCAGCACTACTCTTTCCGTGTTCTAACTTCAAACCTGACAAGTCACTGTGCTAAGATTCACTTCCCGTCACATGCTCGCGCGGCAGGTGCAGCGCTTAGCGCCAAACCTTAAATTGCGCCAGCCCACGCTTAGCTTAAAATCTTTCTCGTTTGCATCTCGACCTCTTTCTTCTCTCCAACAACACCGTCCAACATCCATCATCCACCATCTGTTACCGCAGTCGCAAGATTACTCCACGCGCCGCCAAAGACTTCACATCACCGCGCGACATCCGCATCTCTCCAAAATGCCGCGCCCCACCACCGATCCCACCATCAAATGTACGAAGGCAACTTCGACGAATGGGTCGCCTACACAACCGCTATCTTCACCAAGCAAGGCAAACCACACCAGGTCTATCCGGCGATCCGGCTCTACTATCGAAGCGGCACTGTCAAGTACTACAAGAGCACCCTGGGCGACATACGAGTCCTCCTCGATAGCATCAGCGAGCACCTCCTCAACCGCATCCCCTCCGATCTCGAGCTCGGCGTCGGACCGCTCTACGCGTAACTCGAGGAACTCTGCAAGCCGTTTCGTCTGTTCGATTTGCCAGCAGAATTCCGCGTCAAGATCTACGAAAACGTCATCCCAGTCGGCGTACGGCAAAGCCTCTCAAGCTCACCCGAGTGCGATTGTGGTAACGACTACTTCCCCCGACGCGGAGGCGTGCCTGCCTTAGCCCAAGCGAGCAAACAAGTCCGCCAAGAGGCCCTGCCCGTGTACTTCTCCTCCACGACCTTCTACCTCGATAGAGGGGACAGGGAAAATGAGGTGAACCTGAGATCTTGGAAGAGTCGCTACCTGCATGGCTCGGCGAGGTTCTTGTGGGCGCTCGATGTCACCGTTGACGCATTGAGAGGCCCAGTTGAGTTGGACAACTACGGCGCGGAGTCGGATGGCCTGGAATGTGTGGTGTTGGAGGTTCGGTACCATGGGCTCAGTCGAGGGGTTGAGCTGAAGGCTCGGGCTGTGCCAACACTGAAGGCAGAGTCGAAAGAGAAGCTGGCGGCTCTCGCGGCTGAAGTGAACATGGAGGCGAAGAAGCGCGGACTCAAGGCCGAAATGGTTCTAACGGTGGTGCAGCGGCTGTTTGAGGAAACGAACAGGAACCCTCGTTCAGAGAATCCCCTGGGCTTATTTCTTGAGGATGAAGATGAGGAGGAGGAGTGGGATTGGGGACATGAAGATTAAGGCATTGTCGAAGAGAAGGATGACGAGGAAGAGGACGAGGAAGGCGGCGACTAGAGAGCGTGATACGGATGAAGGAAGGAACCTGACGATGAGGTAAATGGCGACGACAAAGAAAACAACGACGAGTTGGGGACGAACACCGCAATGAGACGGCTTGGAAATCGCATACGCAGGGCTCAGATTGGAAATTCGGGGACGATGGTGTTGTAGCAGCTTGACCGAGAGGCTCACAGCAGCGGCAGAGATGGTGGTCACAAAGAAACTATAGGGTGCAAAAACACGTAAAGAAAACTCCTGTCCCATACTTGTTCTCCCCTTGTTGCTAGCCGGAAGCATGACTTCGAATGAGAACTGCCATTCATCTATATACCTTAAGTTTCTGGTGGTATGCTCCTTCCTAAAGCGGTAAGTCCCTAAGCTGCTGCCTGAGTGGGTCGGTCCAGCGCCCAAAACGGCTATAAAACCACCACCTCATTCCACCGCAGCATTCCTTACAATACAACCCGACATTCGACCCCGCGAAATCTTTCTACGTTTTCTGCCAGGCAACGCCCCCCTTTCGACTAGCACACATCGCCCGCATCCATCGACTACCTACGTCATGAGCCTGCGAATCGGACTAGAAAACTTGCCCGCAGAAGCTCTGTGAAGAGAAGGCTTTCTTCAGGAGGATGACGAAGGAGGTTCACTTCCCCTCGTTGCAAGACTGCACCCTTCTGGGAATACCACTCCAAGCGTCGGATCTTCTCTCCTTCCTGGGACAGGTTCGGCTTCAACGGCTTCGTCTCAACGACATTAATCTAATAAAATCGGGAAGCTTCCACGAGGTCTTCGAGCGGATAGTTCGTCAGGAGGATCTGACCTACCTACATCTAGAGAATCTCTTCGAAAAGACCCTGCTCTGTTTCGATGTTCCCGGCGAGCCCCCGTACCCTTTGTCTGAACCCAATGGACCAGCTGTTCTGATTAGAGAAGGGGAGAGGGCTCACGATCCAATCCGATACTACCGCAGAAGGGGGGTTCGCTCTTGGTTCTCCTGCCCGTCATCGGTGGCTGAAGGCGAGGACATTGAGCCGTGGGCCGCCTCTTCACTCGATTTGAAAGGGAGGGATTGGCGGATGAGAAGTGAAAGGTATTCACTCGTAGTATTAGAGGCCGCGGCGTTGGAAACTCGTACTTGTCCAACCTCCTGGCTGAACCTCAACACTAAAGTCTTGTCTGGTGGCCATAAGGTGCTGCACCCTAAGACCAGGCTTTGCACTTATAACACAGCCGAGCCGACCACGATCACTTCGACAGCTTCAAGCTCGTCTCCGACTGTGCACACAGACAACGGGGAACTGGCCTGCGGTACCAAGACCGATGTACCCAAAGGCGAATACTGGTTTAGCACCAGAGATATGACGCATGCCCGAGACGAGCTCTGCTCCGACACAGAACACAGATTCATCAACAACCATCCTCAAAGCTGCTCAACATGACTTCTATCGAGCTGCTTCTCATCAGAGAAATCCTGCCCCCCATCCTCAATCCCCATCAACAAGTCGATCAAGCCGACCTCTCTCTGCACCCGCTCGAGCTCGTCCAAGTCTTCATGACTGGTATGGCTTCCGAACGCAGCGTCCATCTCTTCGAGCGTCTTGCCGCGAGTCTCTGGGATGAAAAAGTAGAAGAAGAGGAAGCCGATGACCAGCCAGGCTGCGAAGAAGATGTACGCGCCTGTGAGTTTTGTTAGTAAGTCTCGTTGAAGTGGTACGTCCGGGGCACGAGACGTACCCCAGCCGATGTGGCTTAGCATGATGGGCGTGACCAAGGCGATGATGAAGTTACTGCACGTTGTTTAGCAGACACAAAGGTTGAAGATGTTTGTCTGGATGGGGGCCTTTGACGTACTTCATCCAGTTGGCGCTCGCGCTGATACTCGTTCCTTTCGCACGGATGGAGAGGGGAAAGATCTCTGCAATCAGACACCATGACACGGGACCCATTCCATAGGCAAAGTTGACCTAAGTCGTATGAATGAGATGATGCTCGAATAGTCCGGCACAACAAGTCGAAGAGATGCTTACGATGTAGAGCCAGACAAAGACAACTGCTGCCCACCCACCGGCCGGATACGCCGCCCAGTCTTTGCCGCACGTGGCGACAATCACACCGACGATGATCTGGCAGACGCACATGCCGGCGCAGCTGGCGAGGACGAGAGGCCGTCGTCCAACCTTGTCGATGAGTAGGATCGCTGGGATGGTCGTGGCGACGTTGATGACGCCCGTTATGCCCGAGGCGAGAAGGCTGGACGTGGCGCTGGTGAGTCCAAGAGACCTGAAGATGACGCTAGCGTAGTAGATTACTGCGGTCTGTCAGTCAAGTTGCACCGAGATGCGGCTAGTGGTGGTAATGCTCACTAGAGTCTATGCCCGACCACTGCTGGAAGAACATGACCAGCGATCCCATGGCAACGCGCTTGAAAGAGTCACCGGAGCGAAAGATAGTGCTGTACTGTGCCAACTCTCGGCGAAGGACATTGTTAGTTTTCGTCGCCAAGGCTGGAAACCTCTTCTCGAAGGCATTGCACTCGAAAACGACTTCGGACTTGATTTCAAGAAACTCGACTTGCACCAGGCGGTGGTTGGCAGGCAGATTCCGCAGGCCCGCGAGGGTCTGCAGCGCCTGCTCCTCTTTGCCTTTCTTGACCAGAAGACGTGGTGAGAATGGCATGAGCCAGACGCCGATCGCCAGGATGATGGCGGGCACACCCTGTATCAAGAGGGGGGTTCTCCATGCGAATCCGGATTGCACGTCTTCGTTATAGATATAATTCGTTCCGTACGCGATCCCTGGATAACGACGGACGATCAGTAGTCAGTCTCATTTGTGTCAAATCGGCCCGGGACCTACAGTACGCAACAAGAATACCAATCGTCGTGGTGAGCTGCTGCAATGCCACGAGGAACCCACGAATCTCCGGTGGTGCCAACTCGGCGTTATAGAGCGGACCGATGGCGCTCAGCGCACCGACCCCAATCCCCGTGAAGAACCTTCCAGCATAGAGGAACGCAGGTTGGTGCGCAATGGCTCCTGCGGCGAGATAACTGCCCAGGATCATCCACATGGCGCCCCAGAAGATGGTATGTTTCCTCGAGAAGACTTCGCATAAGATCCCAGAGGTCACGGCACCGAGCCAACCGCCTAGCTGGAGGATGGAGGTGAGCCACCCCGTCGCACTCGACGATGCACTGACGCGGGGGAAGTCTCGCTCGAAGGCTGGCATGACCAGGGCCTGGCCGAGGACGCCTTGCTGATAGCCGTACAATAGGCCACCTGTGATGCGCGATGTTAGGCATAGCATAAGCCACGGTGGGTGCAGTTCCTTACCAAAAGATGCAAAAACCGCGATTAAGAAAGCCTTCTTGTTGTCCAGCAAGGCACAGAGGCCTCTATTGCCGGTCATTTGCTGGCGGACGAGCGCCGCCGCGCCGATGGTTGCATGATTTAAGCTGGCCATGTCCTCAGTACCTACGGGATTTGCAGAGCAAGGAATACGGTTTGCCGAATTCAAGACGACCTCTTATGTACTCGTCACTCGAGGTCGAAAGGACGTCGTGAGGTGGACATCGTCCAGGCCGACACATACATATGTATTTATCCGCCGTAGACAATGCATAGTAGTGTCCTCGGAACGGAGTCAAAGGGATGCCACTCTCCACGGGGAGTGCACACGACAGTAGATGGGGTCGTGAGCTGGAGTGTGGGTTATTCCCCAGACCTGGGGTTTAGAGAGGAGGTGCACATGTGGTGGTCGCTTCGAGGTTTCACAGCCGAGTAAGGTTCGTTACGAGCTAAGATCGCCGTTACGAGCGAGGCTCGCCGTTACGAGACCGAGTTAAATTAGGACTAGCTTAAAGCCTTACTGCAACATACAAACTCTATCTTAGAACGTACTTGTAGAAATAGGTAAAATATAACAGAGACGTATATAATCTAAAGGATCCGTTGTCGAAGTCGTCTGCCCATGTCCTGTATTGCAAAAAACTAAGTACCTACCACCAGCGACGGCTTGTGTGCAAGCCCAATACCGATTGCCTCGATCCGATAAGACAGCGACCTCACAGAAAGGTGCTCTACGATTTACGGCTCGCTTCGATGGTTCGCTTCGACGACTCTGCGGCGCTCGAGGCTTCAACTCGCATCGAACACGCAATCTATCACATCAATCCTACGTGCCGCCATGAATGCCGCCAACGATGCCGACCAAGCGATACCTCCTCTTGGGATAGACGTCTCTTTGAAAAAAGTCCTCATCCTCGCGTAAAGAAGCCCGCTCTCAAATCAATGTCTCTCTTCGGGTATCCTACTCTTAACTAAAAGCCTTCATCAGTCAGTCAGTCGTCAACCCAGGGGAATCCTCCACGGGAATTTTGGACTTCACGGACACTAAACTCTTTCATGTGGTCGGTACATTTGGCCTCGTTGATCAAAACGCCACCTTCCATTCATCTATATACCTCTCATTTTCTGGATGGTACGGACTTTTTTTCTCAAAAACGTTTACAGTATGCATACTTCATTTCATTCCTCATGACCGTGAAGGAAGGAATCTTTCTAATCTTTCTACAACCCTTCATCCTCATAGTTTCGCTCCTTTGACCCTCATATCCTGCATTCACTGCACATTGCCCAACTTCTTGAACGCGTTGATCAGCCCGCTCGTGCTGCTGTCGTGCTTGGTGCTCTCGCCTGGAGTATCCAGCTCAGACTGAATGCTCTTGGCCAGGGCCTTGCCGAGCTCCACACCCCACTGGTCGAAGCTGTTGATGTTCCAGATGGCGCCCTCAGTGAAGGTAACGTGTTCGTAGTATGCGATGAGGGCACCGAGCGTGCCGGGGGTGATCTTCTGTGCAAGGATGCTGGTGGTTGGACGGTTGCCCAAGAACACCTTGTGTGGGACGAGCTCGTCGGCGGCACCCTCGTTCTTAACGGTATCAGGGGTTTTGCCGATCATGAGGGCCTCAGCTTGTGCAAAGTAGTTGGATGCAAGCATGATCTGGTGCTTGTTGTTCTCGATGGGGTTGTGTGATTGGGCGGCGAGGATGAAGTCGGTTGGGATGAGCTTGGTGCCTTGGTGGAGGAGCTGGAAGAAGGAGTGCTGTGCGTTGGTGGCTGGCTCGCCGAAGAGGATAGCACCGGTGGTGTACTTGACGTAGTCGCCGCTGCGGGTGATGGCCTTGCCGTTGGACTCCATGGACAGCTGCTGGAGGTAGGCTGGGAACCGGTGCATGTACTGATCGAAGCTGGGAATTGTCAGTCTGTGAAATGAAAAACTGCTTTTCAACACTCACGGTGCAACAAGATGTGTCTGGGCGCCGAAGAAGTCGGAGTACCACACGCTCAAAAGACCACCAATGACTGGGATGTTCTGTTCGAGCGGTGCGGTCTTGAAGTGGTGGTCCATAGCCTGGGCGCCAGCAAGGAATTGGTGGAAATTGTCGAAGCCAATGTACAGGGCGACAGACAGGCCAATGGCTGACCAGACGGAGTAACGACCACCTACCCAGTCGTTGAAGCCGAACATGTTCTTGGTGTCAATGCCAAACTTGGCAACCTCCTTGTCGTTGGTGGAAAGAGCGACGAAATGTTTTGCAATGTCGCTCTCCTTGGCGCTCTGCAGGAACCACTTCTTTGCGGATGTTGCGTTGGTGGTGGTCTCGGCAGTAGTGAAGGTCTTGGAGGCGATCAGGAAGAGAGTGGTCTCTGGGTTGCTGTCCTTGAGAGCCTCAGCCAAGTGGGTGCCGTCGATGTTGCTGACGAAGTGCAGCTTGTAGCCCTGCTTTCCGTATGGCTTCAGCGCTTCGGTCACCATGACTGGGCCGAGATCTGAACCGCCAATACCAATGTTGACGATGGTGTCGATGGGCCTGCCAGTGTATCCTTTCCACTCTCCACTGCGGACTTGCTCGGAGAACTCCTTCATGTGCTCCAGCACACCGTCGACCTCCTCAACCACGCTCTTGCCATCGACCTGCATGGGCTCCTTCTTGACGTTTCGCAGGGCGACGTGGTAGACAGCGCGTTTCTCGGTGAAGTTGATCTTCTCGCCCTTGAACATGTCATCGCGCAGCTCCTCGAGCTTGGCCTCCTGGGCCAGCCTGACCAGCAGCGGGAGGGTCTCCTCGGTGAGGAAGTTCTTGCTGAAGTCGAAGAGGATCTCTGAGTTGTCGGCGTCGTTCTTGAAGGTGCGGCTGTATTTCTGGAAGCGCTGGGGGTCCTTCTCGAACTCCGACTTGAGGACCATTCCGCGGCCCAGCTTGTCATGATGCTCCATCAACGACTTCCATGCCGGCAGCTCGTTGGCCTGAGCGAATCCTGGCATTGTGACGGTGTTGTGAGGGATGTTTCTGCAGCGGTTGGGAGCTGGCGGTAGGCGTCAATGGGGGGTATCAAATTGATGGGAATTGGTTGAAGACGTACTTCAGATGGTGGTGGAGTGAGTGCAGGCGGTGGTGAGGAGCGGGTGGACAGACGGAGCCCCACGGAAGCTTTCTGGGAAAATGTTGGATGGCGTGGGCAGAGGTGGATTGAGGGTGGTTGTCAGTCGGTGAGCTGTCGGCTCGTCAACCTGTGACGTGCCTGCACTGTCGCCTCATCGCACCGCCCTTCCGCCAATGACATGCGCCTGCCCCACCAGATGGCGGGGTAATTCTGTGTGAGTGAAAAGTCTCGCCCGCGCGCCGCTGCCATCCATCATTCTGTAAGCATTGACTGAGCATCTTAGGCGGATGATTACGCTGCAGCCTTCAATAATTCCATCAATATCAGCCTGAACTGTCTTCTGCACATTCATTCACTCACTTCCAATACATGCTGCAGTGACGTCGAGCATGTGAGAGCCGACTCATCTCCGACAACGGCAATTGTCGGACGGCCTCATCACGGATGGTCTGTCAATTTCGACTCACCATGAAGAATCTGTGTATATGCTTAGCAATGCCAATGGTGCTTCGTCAGCTATAGGAAGTAGAAGATGATGTGACTGTCGAGAACAAGATGAGACGAGTGAAATCGAAAATATTAAGCGTAGTGGTCTGCAGAGTTTATCGCTACCACAGTCGATTTATCCTCACTTTGCATTGCTTGCTTAGGGTGATTGCTCCCTGAGCCACTTGCATACCGCGGCCTGTGGGAACTGACCACCCCATTCTCTCTGCTCCTCGACGAACTCATGCAATCTTCTCGCAACGCCAAAGTCCTACTGAGACAAGCCGCGAGACTCGCATTCTCCCCAGAACACCAACAGACGCCAGACCTTCTTCACCAAAACCTCCGACTCTTGTTCGAGCGGACCTTCCAGCTCGTCGACGAGGGTCTTGGCCTCCTTGCGATCCTTGATGCTCTGGATCACAGCATCGACAATGAGGTCTTCTTGCACTCCCAGATATTCCACCACCTTCCTCTCCACGAAAGGTCTGATCTGGCTGTCGAGAAGAGCGGGACCCAAGCACTCCCACTTGATCGGGTGTGAGAAGAGAGCTTCGGTGTCGGTAGGAATCTCCGACGCAAGCTGCTGGCGGGCATGACCCTTCTCGTCTTCGGTAAGGTCCTGGCCAGAAGTTGGGACGGTGGACGTGTCTTGGAGCGGTTTCAGTTCAGGACGCTTCATGCCAGCGGCAGCAGCATCTTCTTCATCCTCGAGCACATCAGCCATAGTGCGCTTTGGTGCAGCCGCTGCTTGAGGCTGCTTGGTCTTGGCGGCAGCACCACCCAGGCTGATCTTGAAGGGAGCTGGGCCTGACGCTTCTTTCGATTCAGCTTCCATGCCCATCGAGCCCAGGAATTCGTCCGCCATGCCGCGTGCCTCGTTCTCGCGACGTCTCTCATCTGCTTTCTCACGCTCCTCTTCCTTGCGGTCTCGTTCATCTTCACGACGCTCGTGCTCCCTGTCACGTTCACGCTGGCGAATCCAACCAGAACGATCGCGATAGTACGGGTGTCTTGCCTTGTCAGCCTCCTCGTCGTCATTCCACTCGGCCAGTCGAACGAGCATGTCCTGCTTAGCTTGATCCCTGTCGCGCTTCTCGTCGTCCTGGCGAATCTTCTCACGCTCCTGCGCAGCACCACGCTGTCGCTCACGAATTTGCCATCGGCGCACTTGTTCCTGGTATTGCTTTTCCAACTCCGCATTCTTCTTGTCCTGTCTTCTGCGCTCCAACTCCTCGTCTGACTCTTCTGCATCCTCATCTTCGCGATTGAGTGAAACAGTAACGCCCTGTCCATTCGGTCCGGCGCCAGGTACAAAGGCAACGCCGTTAGCGTAATCACTTGGTATCTGAGCGCCTCTGAAACCCTTCGGTCCAGATGGAGCTCCATGAACGCCTTGCTGGCCTCGTGGTCCGACTGGAATACCGTTCGCTGCGCTGGTGGATGGAGGTGGAGAAGCGAGGCGGCTTGCACGGGGAGCTGCACCAGTCCGCCGCCGCTCTTCCTGTTCAACCTCTTCCTCACGTCGCAGGCGTTCGATGTCGCGGCGGTTCGAGCGGTCACGGAAAGCTTTGATCTCCTCTGCTACAGTCGCGCGCATATCAGCAGGGATGTCGGCGAGTTCGTCGTCAAGCTCAAGCGGGATGTTGACCACTTGCTCGCCAGCTGCATCGCCGTTCTCTCCCATGTTGACATCTCCGTCCCTGTCCCCATTCATATCGTTCATGCCATTTGTCGCATATGCGCCTTGATTGGACAAAGCCGTAAGCTTCTGCTGAAGCTCGTCGTGGCAGCTCTGGATGCGAAATTGTCGGGCGTTGTCGTCCTCCTTTTTGCGACCCTTCCACTGATCAATGTACTCTCTGCTCTGTTGATCGACGACCACCAAGAGCGTAGACTTCTTGACATCGCCATCCTCTCCTTCCTCCTTCTGTACTGTGCCATCAGCGTTGAAGAGTGGGACTTGCACGTCCTTGAGAATCTCTGCCGCAGCCTCCAAGCTCTCGACATCCTCATATTCTGCAAAGCCAAACTTGCACTTCTTATCATCGGCATCCTTCGCTCTTGTCCATCTCCGCAATTTACCAGCGCAGGCCAGTAAGTCTTGGAGAATGTCGTCTCCAGGCGTGCCTTCTCCCAGCCCTCCGATGAAGATGGTACGTGCGACCTCTTCGCGAGTAGGGGGTTGTAACGCCATCATACTCTCTCTGACTTCCTGTCGCTGTCGGTCGAGGTTGCGATCCGCGCCCAGGCCCATGCGACCGCCTCTGCCCATGGATTCTGCATTATCTCTTCCACCGCGACCTCCTCCACCACCGCCGCCGCCCATACGGATGACGGGCGCATTGAAGTTGATGCCCGGAGGCGGCGCGAAGTTGGGCTGATTCCACGCCATGTTGGTTGTTGTCGTGTGTGATTGTCAGGATACAAGTCTGAAAGTCGCGAGAAGCCAAAGGTGCATGTCTTGGCGTTGCAGGGATGTTGCTCTCCCGCGTCGCCGCAAAAGTCTCCTGGGGAAGGCGCACCACGAGACAGCTTGACGCCAGATAACCAACATTCACTTCCATCACTTTCACATGGAGACGCTACGCTGTGGCGAGGCGCTGCTTCGGTCGTCGCAGCCGCTTCTGTCATTTCTGGCCCCGGCGACACGCAGTCCAGCTTCATCGATTCCCCGGCAATGCAGAGCGCAACGACGCCAATGGCAGCCATCACGACCATTCACCACCACTCCATGCCGTCGCCAACCCCCAGCGGAAGATGACCGACCTTCACCATCTCGAAACCACAGTTCCACACCGCCATCATCACAAGAAACCGTCACCGACGACATCTCGTCCTTGCTAGAGAGTTCCCTAGATTTCAGTAAAGGCACGCCTACCGCTCCCGCCTCACGAACATCACACTACCCCTCCCGCGAGGCTCAGGCCAGGAACCCACTCGCCAAGCACATGGAGAAAGCCAAGGCGTCCCAGAGCAGCGGCGTCGACGACGTCCTCAACAACATCATGTCCCGACCCAAGCGCCAAGCACCCGCAGCCAGCTTCTCCTCCTCCGACATTGAGTCGATGATCGCGCCGCGAGGCAATCGGAATGATCACCTCACGCGGGACCAACCGGAGCTCGAAAGTCCACCGATGAAGTTGGGTCCGACTGTGGGGAGGACGGTGAATGTGAATACTGCACGGGGGATGGATGTGGGGAGAGCGTTCAGACAATTGGAGATACTGTGTGCGCGGAACCAAGTGCGGAAGGATTTTATGAAGCAGAGGTTTCATGAACGCCCGGGGTTGAAGAGGAAGAGGCTGAAGAGCGAGCGGTGGAGGAAGAATTTCAAGGCGAATTTCAAAGAGACGGTGGCTTTGGTGCAGAAGATGCGGAAGCAGGGGTGGTAGTATACGAGAGAGATGTGCGGTGAAGACGAGCAGTTCAGGCATCGATAGAAGAAATACCACGAAGGTGACTCGCAATGAGGTATATGATAGAATTATCTGTCTATGTCCAGATGCGCGAAGGAGCCTCTTCGCTTATATCATCCCAATTCATGTACATATACACAGCTAACAGTGTACAGTCTTCAGAACAGACAGCGCGGGGCTATACAACTCCTCAAGCCTCCCAGTACCAAACTCCCCCAACGCCAAGCCCTACAATTCTTCAAAATCTGAATAAGAAAGATTACCACCTCTCCCCTTCGCTCACGCGATGGAAAAAAAATCTCCCTCTCCCACGCCCTCAAAAAGCACAGCACACCCCATCCTATCCCTCAAAGCCCCCTTTCACACGCAAGCAAACCCAAAGCACATGCACCTCACATCACATTCCCATCCATCCCCGAGATTCAACGACTATCCACGGCATTGAACGCCCTCTCAAGCCTCCTGTCCATCCCCAAGATCTCGGAGATACCAACGAGAAGTGAGAAAATATGCCAGCCGCACAGTACGATTACTTCGCGCACTACGAGGATCTCTGGGATGCGCGGAGTATGACCTCCACGCCGTCGACGGTGGAGATTCCGCTCGCGGAGCTGGACCTTCCCAGCGACGGCGATGAAGGTGAGGAGGTCTCGCCTTTCGACAATGTGTACGAGGTGCCGGAGCCGGTTCTCGTGCTGCAGGATGTTCCTCACGAGGAGCGCGATGAGATTGCTGCGGAGCGCCGCGAGCGGTTCGTGGAGGCGGGCTGCGCGTCGTATACGCTCGTACGACTATCGTCACGCCGGTCTGAGACGCGCTGCGACTCCGCTGCGAATACCCTCGTCGACGACGACGACGCCAGCCCCGACACAAGCGAAACCCCCTTCGCGGATACCGCCTTCCTCTCCACCACCACCATCTCCGAGAAAGACGAAGACGAAGACGATGTCTCCCTCACAGACACCGCCCGTCTAGGCCATCTGCACCTCACCACGAAGGATTCCTACGTGGGTTTGCGGAGGCATTTCACGCCGCAGCAGGAGAGGAAGGTTGGGAGGGTGGTTAAGACGGTTTTGGGGAGCATGGTGAAGGGGTTGGGGCGGGTTAAGAGTATTTGAGGTTGGGGTTGGGGTTGGTGGGGTGGATGTTGAGGGGATGGTTGGGGATGTTTTGAGGGATTGAGGTTCTTGAGGATTATGTTGTGGTGCGATGGAGTTCGTGGGAGAGATGATACCCCCTAGTTGGCGATTGCGATTGCGGTCTTGATGAAGACTGATGGCGCAAATGGATTTGTAGATTTGTTTGAAGTTGTTGCGCCAAAACCGGCTAGAATGACTTATGGCTCCTGCTACTGCGTCGAGATGCATGCTTCTTATGCATGTATGTATGATATGCAAATATGCAAATATGCAAATATGCAAGAGATCTACGTGATGTCTACGGGAGACTCACTGCACGGGCCACACCAAGAGGACTTCACCCGGCGAGCCATCGTGGTTTTTTCCTTTCTTTACAACGAACACGGATTCTTACTTTCTATACATCTTTCTCTGTTCTTGAGATGGACATGAAGACTATTGATTCGAATCACCGGCAGGCCAGATCCATCCCGCCTCTTCCTTTCCTTCTCGTTTGCTCTTGCAAGGATCTCCGTGTTCACTCACGACAGGCCAATTCGATTCTTCTAGTCGGGTGGAGCTCACAGGCAAGACGTACAGACCCACGCCTAACAGTTTCCATTCTCCGAGAACTTACATTAACATATAAAAGAAGAAGTCTAGATCTATACCATAGGAGGTGCTCGGCACACGGCACAATGCTCACCATCCCCGACCTCGGCTGCAGATGTGTCGACTCCTCCTCCGCCCATGAGAGAGCTTCAATATTCTCAGTTGTTGGAAGCGGTAGCATTTCTAGGTATACGCTCTGGAGCATTTCCCAATTTTTATCGAATTTCTTCGTGAGAAGAAAGAGAGAGTAGCGGAGGGGCTCATTGTCTGTTCAGTCTCTTTGCTCTGGTACTAGAGTCTCGTTTGGCGTTGAGTTGTTTCGGTGGTCTTCTCATTGACTCTGCCGGGTGAGGATCGACGAGGTCGAGACGAGTCGAGGCGAAAATGGCGCTTTGGAAATCAGAACATCCAGATCTTGACAGTACGTACATTCTCCTACACAAACATTTATCTTGCTTGGAAATACGACACTAACAAGCTCCAGTCCCAACAAACGTAACAACCTGGCAATGGGCCTTCGAAAGTCGAGAACACTCGCCCGTGATATACGCCCCCAAGGATCATGGACATTACGAGAATGCGGTGTCGAAGGAACGATTGTCGTACGCTGAGGTCAAGGAGAAGGCGACTTCGATCGGCACGGCGCTTGTTCGCGAGCATGGATTCGAGGTTGGCGATACGGTGTCGTTGTTTGCGTCGAATACGATTTGGTATCCCTTGGCGTTGTGGGCTACTGTGAGGGTTGGTGAGTATCGATGTCTTCGACCGGGGCTTGGTGAGTCTGATCTGACTTGGTTCCTTTTAGGTGGACGCATCAACGGCGCATCACCCGCATACAACACGAACGAGATGAGCTACGCCTTGAAAGTAGCCAAGACGAAGTTCCTTTTCACCCTCCCCGGCTCCCTCGACGTCGCCACAGCAGCCGCTCAAAACGTGGGCATACCAAAATCCAACATCTTCCTCCTCGAAGGCCACGCCCCAGGCCTTCTGACCATCCACGACCTCATCGCCCTCGGCACCCAACACCCCCCAGTCCCCTCCTACACCATCCCCCCGAACACGACCAACAAACAAATCTGCGGCTACCTCAACTTCTCCTCCGGCACCACCGGCCTCCCCAAAGCAGTCATGCTCTCCCACCACAACATCATCGCCCAATGCCACCAACTGCGCCAAATCCAACTCCTCGAACCGGGCGAGCCCTACAGCATCCTCGCCGTAACCCCCCTCTTCCACATCACCGGCCTAGTGCGCTACATCCACTACCCGATCTTCATGAACGGCTCCTCCATCCTACTCCCCTCCTTCACCATGCCCTCCATGCTGGACGCAATCCTCACCTACAAAATCCGCGAACTCATCCTCGTCCCGCCCATCCTCATCCGCATCGTCCGCGACCCCATCGTCGACACCTACCTCCCCGCCCTGCGCCGCGTCGTAAAACGCTGGTCCTCCGGCTCCGCCCCCACGTCCCCGGAAATCATCCACCTCCTTCACGCGAAATTTCCTGACACGGGCTTCCGCCAGGGGTATGGCGCGACGGAGAGCACGGCGTGTATTTCGGCGCATCCGCCGGATTGTTATGATTATCGGCATGCGCATACGGCGGGGAAATTGGTGGCGAATACGGAGGGGAAGGTGGTGGATTTGGAGGGGACGGGGAGGGTGTTGGGGGTGGGCGAGACAGGGGAGATTTTGGCGAGGGGGCCGCAGATTGCGATGGGGTATTTGGGGAATGAGGGGGCGACGAGGGAGACGTTTGATGAGGTATGATGAAGGCCTAACTTAGCCCAATAGGCTTTTGTGTTGTGTTATGATGATGGTGGCTGATGAGTGGTGGTGGTGTTTTAGGACGGCTTCTTCCACACCGGCGACGTGGGCCACTTCGACTCCCAAGGACTCATCCACATCTCTGACCGCATCAAAGAGATGATCAAAGTCCGCGGACAACAAGTCGCCCCAGCCGAACTCGAAGATGTCCTCCTGTCGCACCCTCTCGTGGAAGACTGCGCCGTGTTAGGGATTCCCGATGATTATTCCGGCGAGGTGCCTAAAGGGTTCGTAGTTTTGAAAGAGGGTGTCAAGCCGAGTAGGCCGGTGGGGTTAGAGTTGTTGGGTTTTGTGGAGGGGAGGAAGGTAAGGTATAAGAGGGTGAGGGAGGTGGAGTTTGTAGGGAGTGTTCCTAAGAGTCCGACGGGGAAGCTTTTGAGGAGGGTTTTGAAGGAGAGGGAGAGAGATGCCGGGAGGGTTAGGGGGGTCGTTGTTCGGGAAGAGGGTGGTACGGTGAGGTCGAAGTTGTAGATAGACGAAACGTATGAGATAGATTGAAGGGTTCTCAGTCGCCATTTGCGTAAGTTCTAGCAAGATGCCTTCGTAAGTTGTTTGTGAATGATTTTGGATGAGCAGGTGATAAAGTGAAGTCCAAGTTGTAGGTTGATGGAATGTAGATAGTGCGTATGAAATAGATTGTAAGGTGTATCGTTCTCATTTGCATAGAGTTCGGGGCGGCAAGTCTCGTAGATTTTTTGATGTTAGCGTCTGTGGGGAGAATTGGCAACTGTCGTCGCTGGCGGCAGATCCTTTCCAATGGTGAAGGTTTGGTGAGCGGTAGTCGAGATCGAGGCTATGTATGCAGCATAGCAAGGCGAGAGTAGAAGCTACGTTTCTCGAGACTGTAATTCGATAGTGCAGAGGTTGAGGGCTGGTTCAGCGACGTGTTCTTGTCAAGTCGCCTTACGAGCTGACGTCTCAATTGATGATAGCGACTTGAATGCCAAGTCGTAGAATAGCACCGAGTCTAGTCTTCATCCAGCATGAGGTTACTGATTCAAGGAAGTTCAGTATTATTTTCGCCATTTTCGCTTGGAACAATATCTCATTGGTGCAAATGCTTCAAATGGCTCAACTGGTCCACCTGGTTGCCTCCATGTAAGGCTTAAGCAAGACTTAGCCTGGAAGGCGTGACGTCTGGTCGATTTGTGGAACAGAGTGAGGCGTTCGTAGTGAGTGGTTCTCCTTGTCGCCATAAGTAAGATTGTCCATCCAAGTTGAGTGATGGAGATGTCATTTCTGGGTCACGGCTCGTACTCCGCAGCCCTGAATTTCCTGTTCAAGCACTAGTATCATGTTGATCGTCGAGAAGGGAGGGTCTAGGGAGTCGAGTCCCGACGTGAGACAAGAAGTAATAATAATGCCAAGTCGAGATGTTCTGGTGTTAGCACTTACTCCACGGAGAAATCTCCTAGCAATATGCCAAATCAACCCACAAACGTTGGTTCGGGTCGTGGGGCAGCTAGTGGCAAGTGAGACCAGTGGATTGTTCAAAGCCGCGAACTGTACGGCTATTGGTCTGGCAGTGACATTGGTCCTTCATGGATGTCGGATTTTGCAGTGCGCCTATAGCAGACACCAACAACAAGTCCGCTCAGAATAGGATGAGACAAATGCTACGTACCTGACATGATGCACTGAACGGCACTTTCACATGTCAATCGTGAAGACATCACGTGCCTCGGCAGTGGTGGGGTTCTTCACAGTAAGCTTAGATTTAGCGGGTGCAATTGGCGGCGGCTGTTGTGCTTAGTGGGCGAACTCGCTTGGGAGGCGGCGAGCTGGCGAGAGCCACGGCCCAGTAGAATTGATTGCGGGCGTAAGAGGTTGGCGCTCAATGACGGACGGCTGTGAGGGACCGGCTGCACCCCAGGAAAGACTGCTGCAGCGAGATGGGGCAGATGATGTTGGCGTGCGTGTGGGAGGTCGATCGCGGGCCGTGACAACCGGAGAAGCGAGCCTCCAAGGCGCTGTTTGCCAAAATGCCCTCGGGCGAGATTCCGCTGTGAGGGTTGTGAACGAAGAGATGGGTATAATGGGTATAATGCCCGCGAAAGCGATTTTCTCAAGTCTAGGCAAAGCCCCTTGCAATGGAGGGGGAGTGCTCGGATTGGTGAACAGTGAGGATTGGTGGCCAGCCATGTTGCATGGGTCGGACAAGTCTCGACTGCGAGCTGTTCCTGCAGGTCTCACCAGGTTCCACGAAGATATTTCGTAGCCCAGGCGTGGCAGACGCTGATCGGTGACGGAGTGGTTGTTGGAGTCGTCGCTATTTATCCTGTCTGAAAGGGAGGTGAGGTGGGCAGATTGCGAGAACGATGGTGTGTGGGAGTGAGAAGGATGACTGGTCACAACTTTTGGCGCGGAGATGCTGGTGACTGCCATTAGTCGTGATCACCTCTTGCCAAACAGAGCGAGCCTGGCCAACGGGAGGGTGGAGGGGTGCCACGACTTGCTGGGTGTTTGGTGACGAGCCTCGGTGTTTGGAGCTGGGTGATAGCAACGCCGATCGGGGTCGGGCGCGGCCGGGAGCAGACGACACAGCAAGGCAGCGCTACGGCGAGCAGCACTGCCAAATCCACCTACTCTGGACCCCAGCGAGCGGTATAGGTGACAGGATTCGGGGATGCTGCTGCGGCCCCGCAAAGAGTACATACGCTGTCCTGGGGTGGTGCAGCAGCTATAGTAACTATAGTGTGCCGTGGCTGCTGGCTGGGCCTGCCTCGAGCGTCGCGACACTAACTCCAGACGAGTTCATCACCTGCCCGCAACTCCACCCAAACCACCACCAGTCGTACCCTGCTGCTCCATCACCAACACCACCACCACCCCGTCCGCACGCCCACCACACCGCGCCCACCGAGCGATGTGGCCCTCTGCCCGCCCCGACCACGCCCTGCAATAATCACCACCAGCACCAATCACCACCGCCGCGACAATGGGCGAACCGCGCCCGCTGGCCGCCGCGAGCTCCGACCCGCCCAAGCCATCTCCCTCCGCCATGGCCATGCCCGTCGGCGCTCCTCCATCCTCCAACGCGCCCAAGGACCAGCTGCCGGGACATCCCTCTTTCAGACGGTAAGCTGTTGTGCGTGTTCTATCTGGTGGCGCGCCTGCTGACCGCAATGCGCCCAGCCAACGCGCATCTCGCGCCTGCGAAGTAAGTTTGTTCCCTCGCAAGCATGCACGTGAAAGGAAACACCAAGCTAATGGAGGATCGCAGACTTGTCACGCTCGAAAGGTAAAATACATCATAACATCCTCCCGCAACATGGCTCAGACAGCTTCCAGGTGCGTTGCGATGCCGCTAGTCTCGGCGTGCCGTGCACCAACTGCGTCGCCTTCTCCATCGAATGCAAAATTCCCACACCGAAGCGCAAGAAGACGGCAGGAAAGAAGGACAATGACAGGTGGGAGAGTGTGGTAAAGAGGGATGACATACCAGTGCTGATGGCTTTGATACAGCGACCGTGCCGAATCGACCAAAGATACGCGTTCCCCCGCCGCCAGCACCAGCGATGCCATCCCACGCCGGGGTGAGATGCTCATGTCTCGCGATGTCCCGGCCGAGAAGATTGGTGTCAACACCCCAGATGGCATGCCCAAGACCGACCACTCGGACGCCTACTATGCCACCCAGCAGGCGAGCAATGGCACGTATGCGCAGTACATGAAGCCAAAGTTTGCGAGGGCTCCCATCAAGGAAGCTGGCCGCGTGGCATATCTTGGAGAATCATCGAATCTGTCACTACTGGTACAGGACCGCCATGGCACGACAGATGTAGTCCATTATCCTCTACCTGAGAATGTGCGTGGGGCTCGAGCTCGCATCAACGAACTGGACAACGTCGAGATCGACATCCTACATCAACGCGGCGCCTTCCTTCTACCGCCTCGCCAACTATGCGACGAACTCGTCGATGCATACTTCACCTGGATTGCTCCAGTTGTCCCAGTCATCAACCGCAGCAAGTTCATGCGACGATACCGCGATTCGAAGAACCCGCCATCCTTACTACTCCTCCAATCCATCCTTCTCGCCGGCTCCCGCGTCTGCAACAACCCCCAGCTTATGGACGCTAATGGCTCCACCACCCCTGCGGCAATGACGTTCTACAAACGAGCCAAGGCTCTCTACGATGCCAACTATGAGGATGACCGTATCACCATTGTCCAGGCACTCATCCTCATGGGATGGTACTGGGAAGGTCCAGAGGGTAAGAATCGCGAAAGAGGAGACATCGTCACGCACGCTCGGTCTGACCTGGCTGCAGACGTCACCAAAAACGTCTTTTACTGGAGCAGAGTAGCCGTCATTGTCGCACAGGGGTCTGGTATGCACCGCAGGTGAGATGAAATCAACTCCTTGCCGAATCACTGAATGAATGCTTAACTTTGGTCACAGTGTTGAAGGCTCTCAGCTCAGTAAGGCGGACAAACGACTATGGAAACGAATCTGGTGGACACTCTTCACCCGCGATCGTTCAGTCGCCGTGGCGCTTGGACGACCAGTCTCCATCAACATCGAAGATTCCGACGTGGAAATGGTCAGCGAGGACGACTTCATCGACGACGAACCGGACAGGCCCGCTGAATACCCGGCCGATCCAATACACGTGCAGTTCTTCCTGAACTACGTGAAGCTATGCGAGATCATGGGTCTTGTGCTCTCTCAACAATACTCCGTCTCGTCAAAGCTTCGACGCAACAACGCGCTGGACCTCACACACAGCGACATGGCTCTTGCGGATTGGCTGCAGAATTGCCCGCCAGAGGTGAGGTGGGAGCCGCAACGCCACCATTTCTGGTCTGCTTTGCTCCACGCCAATTACTAGTAAGTATTTACGGCCCAACGCTTTTGATTGCCGAGAGCTTACATGTTGTAGCACCACACTGTGTCTCCTCCACCGAGCGCACATGCCCCCTGCAGGCTCGCCCGACTCACGACCGAACAACGGCTACCCAGAAGAAACCGCTTACCCCTCACGATCGATTGCGTACCAAGCAGCAGGCATGATCACGTCCATCATTGAAGGTCTGCAGTCGCACGACCAGCTGCGTTACACGCCGGCGTTCATGTAAGTTTCCATCCACCAGGCTCGGCAACGGCTCGCGTGGCGTTACTGACAGCGGATGCAGTGTCTACAGTTTGTTCTCCGCGTTGATCATGCACGTTTACCAGATGCGTTCGTCCAATCAATCGATTGTGTCGGCTACACAGCAGCGGCTGAACACCTGCATGACCGCGCTCAAGGATGTGTCAAAAGTTTGGCTGGTTGCCAAGATGGTACACACATTGTTTGAGTCCATTTTGGGGAACAAGGTGCTCGAAGAGAGGCTGCAGAAGGCCGCCGGTCGGCAACACCGCAAAGCCAAACACACCAGCAGCAGCAAAGCCAGCAAAGCAACCCCGTCGATCGAGCCGTCGTCAGAGGCGCACAAGCGCAAGTTTGACGACATGGAGCTTGGTTATACCAACGGCCCGCCCGCTCCACAAATGTCGTACGAACGGTCGCGGCCACAATCACCGGCCATGACACCCTCGCGAGAGCTGCCACAAGGTTCTCAGGCACAGCAACCGCAACTTCCACAGATCAGCGCTGGCAGTCCTCCTGTGCGACAGAGCACTGACGCCTTTATGGGCACGTCACGTGCCAACACCAGACCAACCACCCCCTTCAACAACTTCTCCTACCCTGGCACGCCGCCAGACCTCTTCCTCCATACGCGCAATTCACCCAAAATCTCAGAAGACCTATGGCAGAATTACCAACCAGACCAACTCTTTCCCCCAGAGGCCAATACCCTTTTCCCGCTCAATACGCAGAGTCCGAACCAGCAGATGGTTGACCCAGCACTGCGCGGACCACCACCCCAGCAACCGCCACCACAACACTTCCAACCGCCGCCACAGAACATGCAGACCACGCCTACGCAGATGCAGCCGAACCCAGCGATGCCCATGCCTGAAGGTCAAGGCATGAACCCGATGGCGTATCATCAAGATCCTGCCGCTTGGGCGCAGCTTAACATGCACAACCAACAGCCACCGCCGCCGGATGACCAGTGGAGTAATTCCAGTAGTGCGGGTGGACCCATCGTGCCGACGACGCTGAATGTTGGTGACTGGTTTGAGTTCTTCGGCATACCGAATGGCAGCGACATCAACGGCCTTAACGGCGCTTCGACTGGATATGGATGAAGGACGACCTGACCGAGCTTCGCGATTTGTTCAATCAATGTGCTATACCAAAAGCAACTGGTTCAATTCCCATTGACGGGCGTTTTCGCTTTCGAAAAGCTTTCTTCGGCGTACAAAACTTTGAGAGATGCACGTGCGTCTTGTGTTACGATATGAATGGGGAGGAAGAAGATGAGGAATGGCTGTTTGACCAGTGCAGTCTTTGCTCGTGTGTCAGTGAACATACATGAAGGGACAGGAGGTGGATGAGCAGACCAAGGATGGGAATGTCGAGGTGTTGGCGGCTAGTGTTCGCTCCTTTGCTGATGGCATCGTATCATGTAGATATGGCTTTGAAAGGGTCCAATGCGAATGTGGTGTCAATCAGTATTATTTTTCAAAATTTACTTCAATCTGCTCGCGTAAAAGACTAGGCACGGCTAAAGAACGTATGAGTAGGCATCAGCTGCACACGCGAACATTCACTCTAGCGCCAAGACCCACGTGACAGCCCGCGCTGAAGTTTGTGGGATCCGCAGATCGCGAACTTAATCTCGCCCTTGCCCTGTAGTCAGCCCCGCCACAAGATTCCATCTCCATCAAATCGCCATCACCAGGCACCGCGGCGCATCATGAAGCTCTCCCTCCTCGCTCTCGCAATCGCCCCCGTCGTCGCGCTTGTCACAGCCCACGTCCCCTACTACAACATCACACCAACCTTCTTCGACTTGCAAATCACCATAGAGCCCATCAACGACACCTCCACGACCTTCACACCCCAGATGGAAATCGATCTGTACGGCGCACTTCGCGCAACCGACCGCCCCGCCTCCCCGCACGGCGACTGGGATGAAGACCTCTTCGTGCAGCTCGTCGAAGAGATCTATCATACCCTCGCCAGACTCGTCCCCGTGGAGGAAGGCGATGTCACATACCCTCCACCACCACCAAAAGCGGGAGGCGGAGAAGGACATCCCCTGGACCTCACCAACGCCACAGACACCGACCCGGTCCTCGCATCGCTACTGAAACGCCTCCCGGTCGATCGACGCCAGCGGCGGGAGATCATCTCCGGCATGGGACCTGTGGATTTCTTGGGCGAGAAGGGGGTCTATTTCAACCGCTTGCTGGATGAGATGAATGAGATTTTCAGGTTGGGGCCTCGGGAGAGGATTCTGGGTCCACCTACGGCGTTTCGATGGTTGAAAGATTCGGATAATGGAAGGCCGGTGGTTGTTGTGGATGTTGGGACTAGTGTGCTTTTCCTCTCCCCAATGTGATCGGTTTGTGCTAATACCGGGCTAGATTCGATCCACCGCATGCGTGACGCCGAAATTCTCGACGACGCATATACCAAGCAGCTCGAGGGGAACGAGGCGAAACTGGAGGATTGTCAGTGCGATTATCGCAATTGGCCTAGTATGGCTGCGCCGGAGTTCTTGATGGGGATTTTGAGGAAGTTTCACGAGGGGGTGTGGATTCCGGATGGAGGAGGGTATGTGGAGATTCCGGCGAGGGAGATGGAGGAGGAGTGGGTGGTGAGTCATTTGCGTTTGTTTTGTGTTCTATTGGGGCGTGGTTTGTTGATACAGATTTGTGCAGGGTAGGATGAGTGCGAAGAGGAGACTATTGATGGATGTTTATGGTTGGCCGGGGGAGGGGTTTAGGGAGAGCGATTGGAAGCGGGAGGTCCAGCGATACGCGAATGTGAGGCCGGGGGAAGATGAGGATTTCTGCATGAAGTTGTTGCCGTGAGTGAGTGAGTGAGTGAGTGAGCGAATGAGGAAGTGACCTGTGCAGGCCCGACACAACGTGCATGAAGCTATTGATCTCGCCGTCTCGAGGGTCGAGAACATACATCATCGTTTCTCGAGAACATGGGACAGAATCAAAGAGTACGTTTCTCGTCAGTGCGTCGCAATCAGGGGTATCAATTCCACGAACTCCATCCTCCCTCGCTTCAAGATCTTCCAGACCTCAATCCACCAAAAATCCACAACCATCACTACCACCTCAATATCCACCTCCAGTAACCTCATCCCCAACCTCAAATCTTTAGTCTCGTAACCTAGTCCAGTTTCCCTTCCCTATCTCATCGTTCCGCTCTGCGTCTTCTCTCCTGTACTCCTCAACCTTTGCCTTCCACACATCCTCTTTGAAGTCATCCGGCCATCCGCATTCTTCCTTCAGGAATCTCTGACGCTTGGCAATACGAGGCTGATATACGTCAGCATGGCCATGGATGTCCTTTTGATCAACGACTACTCACTCTATCTGCGACATCTATGCCTTCAACGCTGTTGGGGATCCAGATGGCTTCGCGGTAGTTGTGCAGCACCGTCTCGAAGTACCGGGATGCTGACATTGCGGGCCAGTTGGTAGGTTCGTAGCGATAATCGTCAAGCTTCTTCTGGTTGTTTTCAGTGTGGGTGTATTCGTCTTTCAGCTGATAGACGTCGCCAACCCATCTGATTGTGTCTGCACACCGTCAGCGCAAATCTTGCGGGAAGCAATCACGATCGACCTTTACAGACTGTTTTCGATGTCAAGCACCAGAAGAGGTGTAACGTCATGGCTTCCTCGGAAAAGCACGACAGTTGTAGGGGCGCGAATATCGACTCATCCGTTTGGAGGTACTCGTCGTAGTTTCGGACGTTCGCAAGTCGGCTTTGCAGCAACTCGGGTGTGTATGAGTAATCCAGAGATGCCATCTCTGGCAATATACTATCATAGCGGTGGTAGCAGACCGGGAGACGCTTCATGAGCGACACAATGCGACAGGAGCCTCCGCGGGGAGTGAGGAGACATTGAGCTCGCGACCTTCTGGAGGCGACCAGGAAATTGAATAGGCTTCTGCCGGTCTAATCTTGAGGAAGAGCTTGTAGATGTCGGTGATTAAGCCAACGAGGATGTCCTCGTCGTATGGAGTGTTTGGGCCGTTGACACACTCTGTTGCATGAATTCGGCCACTCAAGTCCATTATTGCCATGGCTGCGATGGTGTGCAGAAGTGCGACGAAAGCGCCCAGGATGAGAGCCTCCATGACGATGGTGGACTTGTCATGGCGAGCGTCGCTACAGATCGCGAGCAATTAGAAGATTTGGCGAAAAGTGCCAAGAATTAGTCATCGTCACATGAGGCTTGGCAGTCAAGTGAATGTGTATTCACTCACTCCAAATGATGAAGCGGTCTTGAGATGGGGACCGATTCTCTACACATCTTTAAGCAGATAATATCGTCACCAATTTGCGATCTCATCTTCAATTTGATGTCTGAGCTCGGCTTTGTCGTTCTCGAGATCCGTGTTTGCCCAAATGTCAAGATGTCTCAAGCAACTGAGAGATTTACTGCACCAACACGTTCTGTCTCAGGAGATACTTGCCAGTCTTATGTCTTGCGTGAGTAGCATATCGTCTCCTTACAGAGCCTTGTCTGAGGGGAAAGCCACTCTAGTTGATGCGGCCACTGACAAATTCTACGATAAGACATCTCAGACTTGATAGCGAGTGCGGCCATTACGTCGTAGGGAATCTTTATAAAGGCGAATAGCAGAAACCATAAGTCAGGGAGGGTACTTCCTAGTTGATGAAAGGCTTTCAGCGATTGCACATTGCGAACCAACGGTATTTGCTTTCAAAAGTATGTCCAGATTTTCACTCATAGCATGTTAGCTTCCTGTACTGGAAAGAGTAGATGCCGATCGCTCTGACTATCGTCGGTACTAACTAGTGCGCTTGACACTTCTATGCCTGCCGAGTCAAAGTATCTGCACCCTACAGGGAAGTGGCATGTGTGTAGCTGCCGCATCAGGAAATACTTCACCTCGCCTCTCATCTCGCTCTCGTCTCTTCTCATCTTTAGCTCTGTGCGTAAGATCTTTGCATCTTTGTTACAAGAGATGGAAAGGAAACAACAGCAGCGGAGATATGATTGTCGCCAAGGCTCTAAAGCCTGGCAAGAAATTGTTCTGGACTCGAACTCTAATTAATCAATCGTCAAAGACCTTCCCAACCGGGACTAACAGCTCAAGACTTCAATCTGAAGCCGGTCCGGTATGACCACTCAAAACATGCCCGAGACGATAACAGAAGGCTCTACTCTGAGCGAAACACGGAGCTGCTAATCCAATATCGTATCCTGCATATGCATCATGGCCATCATGTGGTCAACCCTTCCCGAAAGGTTTTCCTGAGCCGTTCCAAGCTCCTCGAGAAAGCTTGGGTGAGCTTGATGAAAGCTTTCCCGTTTCGCTGGCAGGATTGAAGCTCCTCCCTCGGTACAGCCTAAACTAGTTTCCAAAATATCACCGAGTCAGACGTGATAGGATAGAGGGAGTTGCTTGATGATATGCTACCTTCCTAAAGCAGAGCTTGGATGGGAAGATCGCTGCATGTTGTTTTAGTCTTCTGCGCTAATAGCCACATGTCACCGAGAACGACACTCCTTCTTGGAACAACCATCCTGCATGATTTGCGACCGATCAGTACGGCCTGTCGGGGCCTGCGATTCCCCAATGCTTGGTCGATACACGGATTATGGCAACTTCGAATTTCTTGTGAGACATCGACTTCGCAGCTCAGCTTGAACGAACCAAGACCTTGGGCGGGCAGTGAACCGGAATTAAGCAAAGAATATGGACACGTTCAAAGTCAGACTAGCACACGCAGCATACTAATGCAGATAGCGCCTCAAGACTTCACGTTCGCCTAGCTGCTGACGCTTACATGAACCACAGGAGCTGCGAGATATGAACAAGGTCACCTTCTGTTCTGGTCGACAAGATCCGAGATATCACCACACCGGGCCATGATTTTCGGGCTGCATGAAAGCTTGCAAGCAAGCCGACATGGCGAGGTAGCCTCTGCCATGAGTATAAAGTACGCATGGAAGTTGGCGATGTTGATGTACCAGCAAATTGCTCTCCTCTCAAGATCTGCCCGGAACGCATCAAATCGACAGTCATCATGTCTTTCTACGCTAGGCTAGCAGTGCCTTTGCTTTTTGCCCTCCCAACTTTCGCAGCCCCTACACTGCCACCAGACCTTGGGCCCTTGACACTTTTCGATGAACTCAAGGCCTTGCCCAGCGAGTGGACCAAAGCCAGCGGCAATGCCAGCGAGTCCAAACTCAACGTCAAGATCGGTCTGAAGCAATCCAACATCCAGGGTCTCGAGCAGAGGTTGCTCGAGGTCGCCACGCCTGGTAATGCGGACTACGGAAATTGGCTGTCCAAGGAAGAGATCGACTCGTATGTTGCTCCTTCAGCGGTCAATGTTGCCCTAGTGAAGACTTGGCTCGCACTGTACGGTATCACCGATGTCACTAGCCCTACGAGCGACTGGCTGGCATTCTCTGCACCGGTATCGACCATGGAAGCGTTGTTGGGCACGCAGTACGACTTTTATACGCACCCTTCTCGCAAGGGGGCAATCCCAAGAACCACCCAGGTGAATTCTCCACTCCATCCCTCAATCGAGAGGACTAGCTCGACGGTGGCTGACGCTCATTAGTACTCGGTGCCTCTCCTCCTGCACGATGTGATTGATCTGGTCACCCCGACCACGGCATTCTACCGCAATCTGGCCCCGCAGAAGAGTGTCGCAGCCCCTGAGAGCAAGAGACGTACCAAACGTCAGTCCTGCACCGGGACCACCATCACACCAAAGTGTCTCTACCAGCTGTACAACGTCACCTACACCAGCAAAGGCAGCCAGACCGTCGCCACAACCGAGCTCATCGAAGTCGGCGCCGTGCACTCCGACTACGCTTCATTCGCCAAGCAATTCTCCATCAGCAGCACCCTAGCCGATTTCACCGACGTCTCCGTCTCCGGCGGCAGCAACCCAGGAACCAGCGCCGATGAGGGTACGCTTGAAGGTAATCTGGACACTCAGTACATGGGCGCGATCGCAAGAACGTTCGTCAAGAACCAATTCCTCGCCCTGGGACCTTCTGGGGAGTCGGACCAAGACTTCGAGGACGAGCTGGCTAACTTGGCGAGTTACCTCACCTCTACCAGCAGCCCTCCCTCCGTCGTCTCGACGTCCTATGGAGGAGAGGAGCAAGCCTTTTCCAGCTCGTACATGACCCGAGTGTGCAACGAGTTCATGAAGGCTGGTTCGGCTGGCATTTCGGTTTTTTTCTCCTCCGGTGATGGCGGCGTTGGCGGCAATGGAGAGCCCAGCTGCAACAATGGCTTCTACCCAGTTTGGCCTGCTGTTTGCCCGTACTCGACCGCAGTAAGTAAACTCTGTAAAGTATCCCATCGCTGAGCCTTGTGAAAGCTAACTCGTTAAATAGGTCGGTGGCACCATGTTCTCCAGCGGAAAAGAGGTTGTTGCCAACGCGCAGACCTCTTCCGGCACATTTACCCCTGGAGGAGGCTTCTCCAACACGTTCTCTACCCCATCGTATCAATCATCGCAGGTGTCCAAGTACATCACCTACCTCAACGGCAAATATAACGGCCTGTACAATGCCAAAGGGCGTGGATTTGTAAGTCGTCTCATCATCGTTTTGTCCGAACAGGGTTGTTTGAGCTGACCAATATCCTCAATCTCCAGCCCGACATCTCTCTTGCTTCAGTCAACTACCAAATCGTTGACGGTGGCTCGGTCGAAGGTGTGCTCGGTACCTCGGCCTCTTCGCCGACGTGGGCAGCGCTCGTCTCCCTCTTGAACGACTACCGTCATTCACAGGGCAAGGCTACGCTGGGGTTCTTGAACCCCCTGCTTTACTCTGCGACGACCGGGCTCAATGATATTACGTCGGGAAGCAATTCGGGTTGCAACTCGAAGGGCTTCTCTGCGACGACTGGATGGGTAAGTGACTCCTCTTCCTCTCTCTTTCTCTCCGATCATGGAAGTTGACATGTTGAAATGCAGGACCCCGCGAGCGGTCTCGGAAGTATCAACTTTGGCAAATTCCTCTCGAACGTTTGAGAGTGGAGGACAGAAGGACCCCAGCTTCCGGCTATGGCCTTCGTCGTTGTCCTGTGACAGAGACGTCTTGAATAGGCAAAGTGTTCTTCCACGTCATTCAATTTCATCTCATGTCCAGCGCCTATCGAACTTGTAAATGGGAGCCTATTGTGATGTAGACGCAATAGCACAGCCAGACAAGCTGAAGGAGCTGAGCCATCGAATCCTGCACCGAAACCGAAGACTCCCATTGCAGTGTTGATCGACGTCTTTTCCTCGGCTGCGATTCGCTCACGGCAACAGAACGAAACCGAGTTTTCCGAGCCCGAAGCGCAGCAGAGCTGAAATTGGGTGGCTGTCGTCAGAGCGAAAGAGCACGAAACTCAATGGAGCAGATTTCACGCGGCGGTGCACGTTTCTGGTGGCCCCCTCGAGGCTGCCATGTGGGAGATCGTATATTCTGAACCACGGTTCTGAAGGTATAAGTATTCTTGCGATTTCCGTTCAAGTTTGTTCATCACTCAGCATCACTCAGTCGAACCAACACAACAACACACCTCAAAGCCTTTCAAACAGACACCAACTTCAACACCTTCAAAAGACAAACAACTTCCTCCTTCCTCAAACACTATGGGTCTCATCAAGTCCGGTATCAAGTGGGGCACGATTGGCTACGTTGCCCACCAAGGCTTCAAAGCGGTCGGCGAGAACAAGCAATCACACCAGCAACAACAGCAGGCACCTCTTCCACGCGACCAGCCGCCATCATACTATCCCCAGCAAGGCCAGCAGGGTCAGAGGTTCCAAGATGCGAGCGGGTATCTCCACCAAAGGTGAGCCTTCGCCTGGGCGAGTGCCTTGGACATTGTGCTGACTCGTGGAAAGCTGGTGTAACGGACAGTGCGGTCACCACTGCAATTATTGAGCCATGTGCTGAACGACTGGATATTGCCCGATTTTTAGCGAAGATTTGAAGCGCACCCGCTGTCTTGAGCCGGCATAGACATGGGATGGAGTTTAGATGATATCGAAGTATCGGTCGATTTGCAAAGCATTGGCGGGCGTTAGGGCGTGCGAGATGGCAAGAATATTACATTGCCATCATGTTAGCAGGACAGATAATATACAAATCAGTACTCTTGAAGTCTTGACTAAGTCTCTATCTTCAGGACGATCTAGGATAAGACTGTTTAATGGTCAAAAGATGAGTGAGCCAGTGTGGTCGGGTGTGCTTTGCATCTTGAGCGGTCGTCTCAGCTGGCTTCAGTTTCGCCCGGAAGGCAATATCGTCGATCTTCTTGTGACTGTTGTGGCCAGGGCATTTTCAAAGGCCTAAAGAGTACCAGCAGAGTCTCCTGAACACGGTGCCAAATGGTGTCTGATGTAATGCCACATGTTCAGCTCAGCGGTGGGACAAGATGGCGAGTCGGGAGAGCTCGATGTCGAAACATTCCTGGTGTGCTGGACGCGTGGCATTGATGAGACGCGGGTTTTGGCCAGCAGGCTGCGATGACGGATGATAGAGACATGATGGATGAGACTGCGATTGAAAGATGATGGATGGATAGCCAGAAGGGAGAGTACTTATTTCGGTTATCCTGCGGAATTGACGAGCTGGCATAACAGCTGATAACCAAAAGAAGAATGGAAGGCTGGAGGCTGGATGAACGTCATCCCATCAGATTCAAGGCAAAGGTTGTGGCTCGCTTCCACTTTGTCATTCACGTGGTGTTTCTGTTCTTTCTCACTTCCTTAATTCATTGCTTTCAGCTGACTGGACCCATCCCTTGTGATGTGGTATCTTATATAGTATCACTAACTTGGTCCACGAGCCTCATTCTTCATCTGGCAACCAATCCTGAAAAACACAGTCCTCGAGAACAGTCTTTGGCATTGCAAAGATGCCGTCTCTCACTGCTTACCTGGTCAAGATGGACGAGCCCGGCCTGCAGAAAGCGACGACTCACCCATTCCTGTCAGCTGCTGCGACGTCTTCACTCCAACCACACAAGCTCAAGCAATGGCTGGCTCAAGATCGGCTCTACGCCCTGTCCTACACCAACTTCATCGGGTCTCTACTCTCCCAAGTCTCCATCCCAACCGGGCCCGACCGCGAGACTACCATAGAATGGCGCATTGCCGATGCCCTGATCGACTGCCTCAACAATATCCGAAACGAAGTCAAGATGTTCGAGGAGGCCGCGGCCGCCGAAGGATTTCTTGAGGAGATTTGCAGTGCTGAGGCGACGGTCCCGGCCAGAGCAACACGCTCATATCAGGACCTCTTCGCAGGAAGCTTAGCGCAGGGTAGGCCTCTGATTGTTGGTCTGACTGTCCTGTGGGCCACGGAAGAGTGCTACCTTCGCGCATGGAGGCATGCTTGGTCCAAAATGGATCAATCGCTGAGGCCAAAGGATCGGGACGTGATGCAGAGGGTGTTTGTACCGAACTGGAGCTCGCCTGAGTTCGAGGCGTTCGTGAGACGGTTGGGAGGTTTAGTCAACAAGAGTAAGTTGGACACATTTCGGGCTGGAGAAACAATCGGCTGACTTGTTTGTTCGTTAGTGGCGATTGAATGGGGCGTCGAAGAGGAAGGCTGGGTATGGAAGGAGTGCGAGGCGGCTTTCAGACAGGTATTGTGGGTGGAAGCAGAGTTCTGGCCGAATGTTGACGAGGATGGACATGAAGTGAAAGAGGACCAGTCTGGACAGTCTGAGTAGGGGCACGGGGAGATGTATAATCGAGGGATACGAGTTTGCCTGATATGTAACCGGCAACACAATTGTAAACCGAGCCGCTTCCGTTGAGTCAATTGTCAGAAGATGTCGGCCGTCAGTGGTCTTGATGCATATGCCAGAACAGCGATGATGGTTGAGGAGGACGAAGAAGCTGGTCACAGGCGAAGGCCAAGTTACATGTGCGCGAGTGGCCCAAGCTTCGGCAGCGCGGGCCGAGCTCCGCGCTTGACGGGGTTCGCAGCTGCAGCACTTCGACCTTACAACACCACCACCCGCACCCATCGGGCGCACGCGACATCACGACTCGACGGCGCGCACCATCCGACACTATTCCTACGCGATGCTGGCAAGATGGAGGCGCAGGCGCTGAAGCAGCGCGTTGACCTGGACATCGACTTCCCCGCCCGCGCCATCAAAGGCAGCACCGAGATCACCGTCCAGCCCCTCGTCAAAGACCTCAAATACGTCTACCTGCACTGCCGACAATGCAGGCCCAAGTTCGTCCAGGCCGGCGGCATCACCGCGAAATGGGAGTACGATGACCCCTACCGCCGCGCGCACATGTCCTCCAAGTCGACGGTGCACCAGCATGACATGCTCAAGTCCAAGATTGCGACCGCCTTGCGACCGTCGCCCGAGCCGCAGCTGCGCATCGCCCTTCCGCCCAAGTTGAAGATCCAGGAACTCCACGTCGATCCGATCACCTCACTGCCTCTCTATAATGGAACGCCGAGCATACAAAAGCAGGAGAATGATGCGATGGCGGTGGCTGAGACGCCCGTGGTGGAGAAGATGCAGCAGCAGATACCCCAGTTTGCGCCCATCAAGATTACAGTCGAGTTCGAGGTGGACAACTTGCGCGATGGCATACACTGGGTGGGATGCGACAAGTACGACAAGCGATACCCGTATCTTTACACGAAGCTCGAGCCGTGGCCCGGGAACACCTCCAACATCTTCCCGTGCGTGGACAGTGCGAATTCTCGCTGTACATGGGAGATTGCACTTCGCCTGCCTCGCACTCTTGGGGATGCCTTCAGGAAACCAAATACGATCGAGGCGCAGCCTACCGGCCATGCAGACCAGAATGGCGATGTTGAGATGGTGAACGGGATCGACACTGTGCCTGCGAAAGACCAGGGCAAATCTCAGTCTCAAGAGGAGTTCTTGATTGATCTCAGCGAGGAAGACGCGGCGCTCGAATTGACTGCGCTGTGCGTCGGCGACGTTGTGGATGATGTCGCAGACACCGATGATGATACCAGGCATACCGTAACCTTCAGCCTCAACGACGCCGTCACAGCCCGTCATGTTGGTTTCGCTGTTGGGCCGTTCGAAAGCGTGGATCTGACTTTCTCTCGTGAAAGCGATGACGAGACCAAGCTTGCCGGAAGTGCCGTCAAAGTCGAGGGATTCTGCTTGCCGGGCAGGGCTGATGAAGTACACAATACCTGCTTTCCCGTCTGCCGAGCGGTAGATCACATCACAGTCAACTGCGGTCGATTTCCGTTCCCGAGCTATAACCTGCTCTTCGCGGACGATCTCGTCTATGACACTACTGCGGCTGCCGGACTCTCGATTTGCAGTACACGCCTTCTCTTCCCAGCGGAGATTCTAGAACCGTTGCACCGAAACACCCGCATCTTGGTTCGAGCGGTAGCTGACCAATGGAGCGGCGTCAACATTATACCCAAAGAGCCATCGGACTACTGGGTGATTGCCGGTATCGCTGGCTACCTGACAGACGTCTACATGAAGCACCTCTCGGGCAACAACCAGTATCGATGGGAGCAGAAGCAGGCGTCTGAAAAGGTGTATGAGCTCGACGTTGATCGACCCTCAATCGCACAGCAAGGTAACCTCTTGCATCTTGATCCTTCAATTGGAGAGTTCATCAATCTCAAGTCGGCACTGGTGCTGGGTATACTGGATCGCAGACTCATCAAATCAAGTGGTTCAACAGGTGTGATGCGAATCATCAACAAGGTCCTCCTCAATGCCAGGACTGGCTCATTGAACAATGGCGAGCTGTCAACCCAAGACTTTCAGCGCACTTGCGAGAAGCTTGGCCACAACAAGCTTGAGTCGTTCTTTCGGCAGTGGGTCATGGGAGCTGGTTGTCCGATCTTCGATTGTATTCAAAAGTTCAACAAGAAGAAGCTCGTCGTTGAGATGACGCTTACGCAGCGCCAGCTTGAGCGGCGGACCAAACCGCTTTTTGAGCCCAACAATTTCATGCGAGAGATCAAAGAGCACGTGCAAGAAGTCTGGGCACCGGAACCCCAAGGAGTCTTCACCGGCCCCATGACCATTCGTATTCACGAAGCCGACGGCACACCTTACGAGCATATCGTCGAGATTAAGGAGCACGTGACAAAACTCGAAATTCCATACAACACCAAGTACAAGAGGCTCAAGCGATCCAAGCGACAGAAGGAGCGTGTCCTGGCCGAAGGCAATAACAATGGCGAGGACGGAGGAGATGCTCTTGTCTACAGTTTGGGTGACACGCTCGATGCGGAGGCAGACATGAAAGAGTGGCAACTCAGCGACTGGTCAAAGGAAGACGAAGAGAAGATGGGCCAAGAAAGCTACGAATGGATTCGAATGGACGCCGACTTCGAGTGGATCGGAAAAATACATCTTAAGATGCCATTATACATGTACATCTCCCAGCTGCAACAGGATAGGGACATTGTTGCACAGTACGAGTCGATGCGCTACCTCCTCGGCTCGAATCCCCACCACGTATCGCTGACCATCTTGATAAGAACACTGGTGGACGAGCGATATTTCCACGGCATTCGAGTCATGGCTGCCAACGGGCTCGCAAAGCTTGCAAGAGACAACCTCCTGGAAATCGGGCAGCATCACTTGACCAAGGCATTTGCGGAAATGTTTTGCGAAGAGGATGGCATCATGCCGCGGCCGAATGACTTCGAGAGCCGAGTAACGTTCATCATGCAATGCGCGATCCCTGAAGCACTTGCTCAGCTTCGAGACAATGAGGGCAAAGTGCCCAAAGCAGTGCGGCAATTCTTCGTGGACAAGCTGAAGTTCAACGACAACTCTGATAACGCATTCTCGGATTGCCATTATGTCGCGACTTTGATGCGCTGTTTGGCAGATTCATTGGTTGTTTCGCATCGGATCATCCAGCCAGCCGCACCGACAACGTATGAGTTCAACTTTGGCGATGATGAGCCCGTCGAAGAAGAAGGCCCTGAGGAGGCGTACAACCCAGATGCGGATTTCGAGCAGATGGCGGTCGATGAGATAGAAAGATATCGACGCATTGACGAATGGGTCTTGACATACCAGAACATCTACTCGACGACTGCGATCGAGTGCCTGCAGAAGCTTACCAAAGCCGGGATTGTGAAGGACAAGACGAAAGAGCTGCTGCAGTACACCCGTCCAAGCACGGCAGACAACGTCCGTCTGGAAGCTTTCAGGTGCTTAAACGAGATCGGCCTGACGAAGCGCATGCCGATGATGAAGCATCTGGTGTATTCGATTGTTGATGACCATTCGCCATACTTCCGCGAGAGATTACTTCGACATTTTGGAGAAGCTCTCGGTCACATTGCGTTTGGAGACGATGCAATCGAAGAAGCCAAACCACCTCCTCCGCCTCCAACCGATGGCCTGGTCCTAGAGCAGGAGGTGAACAGCGAGATCAGAAAGATTGAAACCACGAAGAAGACCACACCTGAAGGCGCTTTGGCTGCCCTTAAGCTTGCGCTGTCGAATGACGACACCTTCAGAAAGGCGCTGTGGTACGCAGCTACATCGCCGGACATATCACTTGATGAGGTGTCGGCTTTCTGCGAGGTGGCCGCATTGATCTACGAGCCTGTCACTTCGCACACAATCATGTTGAAGCTTCCCCGCCCGTACAGGTGTGTTCACGAAGGTCGTGGCCAGATACGTTTCTACCAGCAGGGCAACTACCGTACCAGACCAAGCCTTGGTCTTGACAAGGACGACTACGAGGCATTGGAAAGCTATGAGTTGAAGTACAGTGGGCCTTTGGCGGAGGAGACGAAGCAGTTCATCGAGAAGAAGAATGCAGAGAAGGCGATCAAGCTCCGCATCCAACAGGCGCAGGAGCAGATAGCGGCCGCTCAGCAGACTCAGGCTTACATGCCGCCGCCAGCACTCCCAACGCCAACAATTCAGACCGTGCCGACACCGACGATCGAGAAGACTGGCTTCAAGCTCTCACTGGGTGGTAACAAGCGCAAAGCGAGTGTCGATCTTAGCAGTCCCAAGATTGCCAAAATTCCTAAGCAGACGCGGCCGGTGGTGCTCAATCTCGGGTTGAAGGCCTCCAAAAAGGCGCAAGAGATTATATCTTCGCCACGGCAGCCTGGACGTGGACCCTTCGCATCTCCTCATGCACCAAGCCGCAAGAACTCACAGGAGCCGTCTCGACCGCTCACGTCTGCATCGCCGCAGCCACCGACACCTCAAGCGCAACCTCAACCGCTAAACTTCAATGTGGGCGGCTTCAGGTCTTTTGGTGCTCCTGGTGGTGATCCGCCGTCAACTTTCACTGCAAGCCCTACGGTCGAGCAGCAGCCGGCAGGACAGAACGGATTCCCTGCCAATTCGCCGCCTCCTCTGCTCTCGCTGACCGGCTTGACGGGAACAGGCTCGAGTTTGCCTTCATTGAGCATGTCACCGCCCGCTACAACAGGAGATCCTAATGCGATGGGCCCACCAAAGAAGAAGCTCACCCTCAAGTTATCGGCCAAACCGAACCAGAGTCAGTGAGCGGGGAGGAAAGGGGAAGTGTAATGTATATATTATTCATGCATGCTGGATTATTACTGAGCCTGCTTGTTTAGCGCGGCGTTGGACGGTGAAAGGGAGGGCGGGTCTGTGATGATTTGCGATAAGTTTGAGACCCCAGCATGCATTTGATACCGTTCGTGTGTGAACGACAGCTAGGAAAGAGAATGCGATGACCATTACAGCTCCCTTCCCATACATCGTTCACAGACTTCGCCCATTCTGACAAGAAAGTAGTAATGTGTTTATGGGCAAGTCCGTCGTCAGAGGCTTTGGCTGAGTTCGTTGCAGACCCTCGCCGGCCATTCAGCAGCGCACGTTGCTTTCATCGCCAAGCAGGGTCTCGATGCCGATCACTGACTACGCTCTCTGCTATTGGAAAAGTTGCCCTTCCAAGATATGATCAACGGTGTAGTGCGTGAAGTAGAAGTAGTCGCACGAATGGCGTGAGTGTTATAGGCGAGAATGCAGGTACGAGAGACGAGGTGGTATGTATTCTACCTTTTGTGGACGTCATTCGTCGATGAACTCTTTAAACATGAGGATGAGTAAAAGCATGCACTCTCTCTTTCCTTCTCTTTCAGTCTTGCAATCCAGTCTCATCTCATCATCAACATGTCCTTCTCAACCCTCACCCTCCTCGCCCTCTCCTTCCTCCCCTCCACCCTCGCCGCAACAGGCACCTTCTCCACCCTCACCCTCAACGTCGCCGGCCTCCCCTCCTGGATCAACGACAATGGCGTGCCAGGCGACAAAGCCGACGCAGCGACAATGATCGGCCAGAAATTCGCCCAGTACAACTACGACATCATCCAAATCCAAGAAGACTTCCACTACCACGACGAAATCTACGCCGCGGACAACCACCCTTTCCGCACAAAGACCTCCGGCGACGTCCCCTTCGGCAGCGGACTCAACACCCTCTCGAACTACAACTGGACCACTCTCGAGAGGATCACCTGGGACGAATGCTTCATCGCCGACGGCGACTGTCTCACGCCCAAAGGCTTCACATTCATGCGTCTGCAGCTCGCCGAGGGCGTGGAGGTGGATTTCTACAACCTCCATGCGGACGCGGGACAGGAGGATGGGGATCAGGAGGCGAGGAGGGAGAATTTGAGGCAGGTTGTTGAGAGGGTTAGGAGTGTGAGTGCGGGGAGGTCGGTGGTTGTGGAGGGGGATACGAATAGTTTGTATTCGAGAACGACGGATGATGTGGGTGTTTTTGGGCAGGTGGGGCTGGGGGATGCGTGGGTTGAGAGGGTTTATGGTGAGTTTTCTGATGTCTTGCGTGGTCTGAGATGCGCTGCTGCGGCTGTTTGTGAGGGATACTACAATGAATTCTTTGTTGGGAAATGTTGTCGGTTAGAGAAGAAACTTTTGCTGATTGAGTCGATAGGCGGTGTCATCCCGACGAATGTACCCAAGTGTCCGGGTCCGACGACCGACAATACTTGCGAGGTTTATGATAAGGCAGGCTCTCTCAATGGCTGGTATCTGGTTCCTTTGTGCTGATGCAGTTTCTCTAGATCCTCTATCGAAGCGGTGATAGTGTCAAGCTGAATGCAACATCGTTCGACTATGTTACAGATATGTTCCTGCAGCCGGATGGAAGCATTCTGACGGATCATAATGCTGTGCTGGCGGAGTTTAGTTGGTCGTCTGTATAACAGCTTCTACAGCGTCTACATTTACAAATTTTTTTGTGATTTCCACCTTCTTTGATCTATCACTGAGGCTTGTGAAATTGCATTTGTTGACTAAATGTCACAGTTCTCTAACGTTCCATACCTTCTATGTTGCAATGTGTGCTGTCGTCTCGGAGAGTTGAAATAACAATTCAACGGGTTTGTTCACTTTACAAAACCATCGACCGCAGGCTTTTGGAAGTGGCCAATGCCTCTTGAAACCGTGCATGCTGGCCATTCTAATTGCCTGCTTGGGTTTGTGGACTTGTCAAGCCTATATATTCAATTTTGCTGTGAATTGACCATATCAAGCAGCAAATCAGCTTGGGCCTCAGAACACAGCTTCTGCAAGCCTTCTTAGCTCAGCGGTAGAGCGCGTCACTAGTAATGACGAGGTCATTGGTACGTAGCAATTACAGCCGGACTCGACCCAACAGTCGCTAATATCCCCATTGGTTCGATTCCAGTAGGAGGCATGACTTTTTCCCAATTGCTGGGCAAGTTGCGGGGTAGCTGAAGATACGAGCTTGTAGGGCTCGTCGTGGAGAGTAGTTCTGTCCTTGCGACTAATTTTTTTGGGTGCTCGCAGAGACGATGGTGGCTTGGGAGGGCAAACTTTTGATTTTGATGAATTTCGTTAACGATGTCCATACTAAGAGAACGAGCCCAAGTGCCACAATTCTTTACTATATTTATCTGAGCGCCTTCTTCTACTGCTGGTTACTTCGACAAGACACAGGCTTGGACTTCTCGACGAGATTTCCATATGGAGACCTCTTGCAGCACGCTATGTTCCAACGATATGGCCGCTTTCTCCTTCGTCAGAATACCTCGCCTGCGAACAGATCACGAGTATGAGCTTCTAATATGAGGCTTGTGTATCAATGCCTCAATTCGTAGAGCGAAGAGTTCTACAGCAGAATTGTGCTACCAACGATGAAACCCATGGATCGGGCTCGGGCATCGGAAGACTGATAGAAACCTCTGGTACTGCTCTGCATCGATCCATACTCAGTTGTACGGACGATTGATCACATCCTGCAATAGCTTCTCGATAGGTGCTCGATGGATGGGCATCAAGGTCGATGGTGAGAGCAAAAATCTTGCCGGCAATTTCGACAGGTGAAGTCCGGCGTTCCTTTTCCGCGCCAAGCCTTGGCAACGGACGCTACGACCCGCTCCGACGGCTACCAACGTCTCCCCTTCCTACCTCCACCTCCACTTCTCACCCACCTTTCTACCAGGACCACGCCGTGAGGCTGATATACTCCAACATGCTGCACGACGACACTTCACACCTGTCCGAATCGTCGACCGAAGGAATCCGACCACGGCTAATGGCTTACCTGGCACCTGCACGGCACATGAAAGTTCTCGTCCACCACCTCCACGCGATTGACGTCGTCTTCAGGGAAGCGGACCGGGAGAGCTCATGAAAGATAATATCCTGAAGGTGCTACGACGTGGAGAAGCTACCCATATGCCCTCCATGAAGTGGATGGACGCGTTCCACAGACCAAGACGTAGTAGTCGATCAACTCGATTGATTAAAAGATCCTGGAGTCGTGTTACTTTGGGCATGCGAGCATGTGTCCCCGGTTGCCGTGCTCCATGAGGAAATTGCTATCTAGCCCGCTACATTACAAGTCTCCATCATCACATTGTGTGGGCAGAACGTGGAGCAGACTTGTTGCACAACAGCCGTCGTGTTGCGTCTTCAGCGCCACGCTCGAGCACTCCGAACCAACCGACCAATGTCAGCCTTTCACGGATCCATCCGATTGATACAACTCCATCCTGCACAGAGCAGATGCATATACCGCTGACACGAGCTCCCCCGCGCCCTCTCGTCACCTACGCCTGACGATAGCATGTACGACAAGTCGAATTGTTTCGACATGCATCGACGTGATGTCAATGTGTTCACTACAGCATCACTCTTCAGGCTTCAATGCAAGCAAGGGAATTTGCTGGGTTGTAGCTTGGTCTGTGGTAGCAGGGCTTTCAAGAGACGCTACATTGAAATGAGCTCGAAGTCGTCCTCAAGCCCGTGCAAGTCAATCAACTTCTCACTTCATCAATCTTTGAATATTCGACATCCAATTCAACAGCAAAAGATTTGTTCATCATGTCTAGCGGTCCTTCCAGCGGACCCAAGTTTCACCTCCCCTTCGCCGGGCTCGTCGTACCAGAGCACCCGAGCACACGATCGACGCTTCGAAACCACATGGTCGCAGCATCGGGAGAGTTCGTGGGCACATTCATGTTCCTCCTCTTTGCCTTCCTAGGCCATACAATGTCCGCCGCCCAGGCATCAGACTCCGCTCCAAACGGCGCGGCAAGCAATCAGACAGTCATCTTCATATCCATGAGCTATGGGCTGCCTCTGCTTGTCACCGCTTGGACGTTGTATCGCATCTCTGGTGGCTTGTTCAATCCCGCGGTTACCGCGGGACTGGTCTTAACTGGGAACTTGCCCTGGATCAGAGGTCTCATATTCTTGCCGGTGCAGCTTCTGAGTGGTATCTGTGCTGCCGCTGTTGCGAGCTGTATTGTGCCTGGTGATATTGCTGGTGTGCAGACGACTCTGGCGGATGGCGTCAGTGTCGTTCAGGGGCTGTTTATTGAGATGGTGAGTACTTATATCAGTCAGTCTGTCTGCTGCGCACAGGCTGAAAAAACATATCTACCAGTTCCTAACAGCCGAGCTCACCTTTACCGTCCTCATGCTCGCCGCCGAGAAGTCAAAGCAAACCTTCATCGCCCCCATTGGCATCGGCATGGCCCTGTTCGTCGCAGAAATAGCCGGAGTGTAAGCACTCCCTCCAAAAATCCCCTTTGCGCCCTCCACTAACCTCCTCTCCTCCCACAGATACTACACCGGCGGCTCCCTCAACCCCGCCCGCTCCTTCGCGCCCTGCGTCGCCGCCGCCTCCTTCCAAGGCTACCACTGGATCTACTGGGTCGGCCCCTTCCTCGGCGCCCTCGTCGCTGCGGGCTATTACCACTTCGTCAAGTTCTTTCACTACGAGGAAGCCAACCCTGGGCAGGATAGTGCGAAGGGGGCGTTTCATCCGGTTAAGGATGCGCCGGATTTGATGCCGGTTATTAATGATTCGGCGACGGGTACGCAGAGGACGGATAGTGTTTGAGTGATTATGAGGAGGGGTGTGGAGGAAGTGGGAGAGTGTGGTGGGAAAGCGTGGCGATAAGATGGAGTATGTTGAAAACATGCAAGATTTGGGCTGCCGCTTTTGGAGGCGATGGGGCCAAAGCATCCCGCTGCTAACGAGGCATAAGTATCCTTTCGAGGAGGATACTCTTTTGTAGCATGAAGTCTGACTAAAGCGCTGGCTTACGACTGGTGGATTGCAAGCATGACTTAGTATTTTGACACGATCTTTGTAGCATAGAGCTTGTATGTGTTGATTTGGTTGTGTGTGTGTGTCTCTCTCCTACATATCGCCTCGTATTGTCGGCAATGCCGATACCATGACGCTGTGCAAGTGCATCTTGAATCGGCGATCCTCTTGTCCTTCTTTCTACGCGTGGTTGCGCAATCATAGTCCCACATCCTCCATGGATTGGCGCTAGCTTGTCGCTTGCCACTTGCCGCTGCACAGCTCACATTCGTTGGCTATGACGTGCCGCTGCGATGGTTAAATGTACTATCGAGCGCAGAGAAGCTTCTGGCCACAGCCGTATCGCGAACTACAGATGTGATGTGCCGAGCCGGAAGCGCGGCTGCTCTCATGGTAGCTCTCTGGTCTGGTGATGCTCCAGTATACACCTTCACACTCATCAGCCGTACGTGTTCTCAATCAACTGCTTCTGATACGCCTCAATAATCTCCTTCGTCTTCATCAACACACCCGCCGCCAGAGTCCTCACCCTCGCCTCCTCATCACTCCCCTCGGTGACAAGACTTCCACCTCCGGTTTTCTCGAATACAAGCTCGACCCATTGTTGTGTCTCCATGAGCTGCTTTGGCGTCTCTTGTACCACGCGCTGTCTTGAGTCGACGTTGATCTCGAGGAGTGTCAGCAGGGAGAAGAGCACTGATTCAAGAACGGAGATGTCCGAGATGGCTTGCATTCGCAGTGAGAGGAGGAGGTCCCAAAAGGCGGTTGTGATCTCGGCGAGGTTCAGTGTTGCGGGTCCGGCGGCGTGGAAGAGGAGAGCGAGAGTTTTGAGGAATGTGACGAGTACGAAGGGCGCCGAGACGAAGACGCTGCCTGATCCGTAGGCGGCGACTTCTTGTTGGTAGCGGCTTAGCAAGGGGAAGAAGAAGGATTCGCCGAGGGTTTTGGCGAGTTGGTTTGCGGTGGGCTTGCGTTTTGTGCGCTCGACTTCCATTCGGCTGGAGAAGGTGCGTACTTTGACGGCGTCGAGGTGGGATGTGGTTTTGTCGGCGGCTGAGAGGGCGAGTGGTTTGATGAGTTGGTGTTCGACGTTCTTGCTGGCTGACTCCAGGCGTTTGACGGAGCTGTTTGTTGGACTGTAGATGGCGTGTAAATGGTCTGGTAGGCGTTTGCTTGGGAAGGATGTGGTGCTGCTCGGTGGGGCGGGATTCAAGTCGTCCTCTTTATAGCCTGCTAGTTCTCTCCCGCCCAGTCCGATGGCGCTGAGCATGACGCACCGCTGTGAGAGGGAGTACTCGCCTGCGAAGGCCTGCTTGCTTAGCCATGGACTCATCGTCTTGACGTCTGTCAGGAGGATGGCGATGAGAGCTTGCAGCTTCAATTCGTCAAATCCTTCAGTCTCGAAAGGATCTCGCAGGTCGCACAGCATAAGTGCCAGTTCTTCAGCGTGGTCTTTGACCTCACCCCCAAAGTTGGCTTTTCGTCTGATCAAGCCAGGGGCATGGTTGATGGCCATCTGGAATTTGTCGTGATCCTGGGCCTCTTTGAGCATTCTCATCAAGTCTCGAATGTACACCGGAGGCCGTGGCTTCTTGCGATTGACCAGTGTTGCATCTTCATCGCTGTCCTCCGGGTCACTGTCTGGCTTAGCGTATGGTTTGAGATCGTCGTCCTCGTCCTCTTCGTCATCTTCTATTTCAGTCACCTTGTCGCCAATGACTTCGGTCTGAACAGGTACTGGTGGCTTTGGAGGCCCAAATGCCTGCTTTCCATTGATCATGGGTAGCTTTTGGGGCTCGGATCTGATGGGTATCTTTCGGTGCGCTCTAGCCAGAGACTTTCTGGTCTCCAACAGCTTTCTGAGATCTCCCAAGTTGCCGATCTTATCCTCGATCTTGACAAGACTCTGATACCACTTGGCCTCCTCAGTGGACATCTCATCAGTGCCAAAGCTCAACAGAGAGTCTGCTTTATCGACCAAGCTTGACAAGGATACGCCAACAACCATGCCGAGCCATCTTGCTCTCTGATTGGAACTATGCAAGCGATTGCTCACACCTTGCATATGCCCCGATGATCTCGCTGTCATGAGAAGGGCCATTGGGGTGATGCGATGAATATGACCAGCTGCCAAGAGAAGGGTTTGCGCAATGCCCTCCTGCTGAACGATGGGCGCATGGTCGATGAAGACCTTCTCACCGAAGGTGCTCATCAGCCGTTCGAGCAGGATTTCCAGCTCATTGGTTGCGTCTTTGGCCAGTACAGCAATGCACGCTCGTCGGGTATCATTCGTGAGAGTGGCTGCGACGGGATCTCCCAGAAATTGGACGAGATGCTGCAGCATGAATGTGTCTGATCTCAAAAGAACGCTAATCAACGATGATATGCCCTCAACCTGGACATTGGAGGTGTGACTGGAAGTGTTGCTCGCTGATATATCGTCAGTGGCCTCTGATAGCCATTTCAACGTAGTCTCGAGGAGTTGTCGTTTCGTGTGAGTTGGAAGGACTCGGAGCAAGGTGTCTATGCCATCGAATGCCTCATCGCCTGGTTCCTGCAAGAGAAGGGCCTTGAAGAAGGCCTTGGCTAGTGATAGAGCATATCCGAGCCCGAATGATTTGGAGAGAAGTAAGCCTGAGGCTGAACATGCATCTGGATGATCCAGGCTCTCATTTCCCGATTGTTGAACGAAGGCTGCAACGTTTCTGCCAAGCCATGCCGAAGTCTCAGCTCCAGATGAAAAAGACGAAGTCGTCTGGCTAATACTCTCCTTGGTCTTGAGAGTGTCTTCAGTACGAGCGACGGTCGTAACGAGCTTCCCAGATGCGATGAGGCCAACGAAGTCTTTCCACGCCAGTTGCCGCTTGACTTCGTTGTCTACTTCCTCTGCAAGACCACTCCAAACGACCAGAGCGATGTCATCAGGTTTGAAGACTTGATTGATAGCGGAGAGGATAACAGCCAGCTCCTCGTAGTTGGCATCTTCAGGCCTGGACCTACTGAGATCGTCGCAAAGCAGCTTTGCTCTCGCCACAAGAGCATTAGCTCCCGCAGCGTTTCGCAGGCATGCAAGCAGAAGTAGCTTGTCGTTCTTGTCGAATGCAGACCAGAAGGTTGGAACTACAGATGTGACAATGGTATTGATGATCTGCGCTTGCAGTGGTCCAGGGGCATGGAGGTCGAAGTTGTCGGAAAGCCCATGGCGTGTGCTCAGGCGACGAAGAACCCTGATGAGGCCATCTGCATCAGGCTGAGACCGCAAGTACTGAAGTGCATCTTCGGGCGATGTGATAGAGGCGAACGTTTTCTTCTCGGCATCATCGACCCCGGCTGTGGGTTTGGGCTCGGGTTTCTCATCCTGCACGGCTTGTGTGGAGATGGGTGTGAGGATCGGGTCTCGCGGTTCATCGTTTGTCTTGTGAACGGTCTTGACTGCGGTCATGAAGTCCGCCATTTCCTCGATCGGGACACATGGTACGGTGGCGATGTGGGTTGAGAAGAGACGGAATTGAAGTGTCGTGGTGAAGTGCCAGATCACGTGTTTTCGTGCTTATCGATATCGAACCTTAAACTAGCTCCGTCTCCGCCAACGTCACAAACGCCGCCAGCTTGCAACCCACCTCCTCTCACCACACTCTGCAACATGGCGGTCAACGGCGAGAGCAGGGCGCGATGGCGCTACATGGACCACCTCCGCACCCGCCCCGGCGCCTACACCGACGACGACTATAGCTCCGACGTCTTCGACACGCTGGATCACTTCAAGGTGCTGGTCATCGGCGCCGGTGGGCTGGGCTGCGAGATCCTGAAGAACCTGGCACTATCGGGGTTCAAGAGCGTCGACGTGATCGATATGGACACCATCGACGTCTCCAACCTCAACCGCCAATTCCTCTTCCGCCAGTCCGACGTGGGCAAGCCCAAGGCAACCGTCGCCGCCGACTTCGTCATGAAGAGAGTGCCTAGCTGCAAGATCAATGCCCACGTGTGCAAAATTCAAGACATGGACGAGGATTACTACATGCAGTTCAGCACCATCATCTGTGGTCTGGATTCAATCGAGGCAAGACGGTGGATCAATCATCTGCTGGTCGAGATGGTGGACATGGACAACGCAGAGTCGCTCAAGCCTTTGATCGATGGAGGCACCGAAGGCTTCAAGGGGCAGTCGCGTGTCATATTTCCAACCATGACCTCGTGCATTGAGTGTCAGCTCGACATGCACGCTCCTCGCGCCGCTGTGCCGCTCTGCACGCTTGCCACAATCCCACGCCAACCGCAGCACTGCATAGAGTGGGCACACATTATCAAGTGGGAGGTATGCAATTCGTTGATCGATACATGAACGGCACACCGGTGGTTAACTTGTGGTAGGAAGAGAGGAAGGACATCCAGCTGGATACCGACGATCCAGAGCACATCACTTGGCTCTACCAAACAGCACTCAAGCGCGCCCAGGAGTTCGGCATCCAAGGCGTCACTTACAGCATGACGCAAGGTGTCGTCAAGAACATTATCCCAGCAATCGCATCTACCAACGCCATCATCGCCGCCTCATGCTGCAACGAAGCATTCAAGCTGGCCACAAATTCTGCACCTTTCCTTGCCAACCCAGCGGCCATCCCAGATGGCGAGGATCCCGACACATATAATCCAGGTAAGGCGGACTTCAGATCCGAATTGCCAATAAGCTGACTTGTTTGTTTGCAGAGGATGAGTTTGCCCCAGTCCCAAACAACTACATGCTCTACACCGGAGACAACAGCATCTACACCTTCACCTTCGGCCACAAGCGTAAGCCCGACTGTCCAGTCTGTGGCAATCTACCCAAGGACCTGAGTGTTCCCGGAGACCAGACATTGCAAGAGCTTGTTGATAGCTTCGCCGAGCGCCCAGAAGCCCAACTCAAAAAGCCCAACTTGCGGACCGGAGAGAAGTCACTATTCTACTCATCACCGGAGGGTTTGCGACAACAGACAGAAGGCAACCTCAACAAGAAGCTGCGTGATCTTTTGGAAGACGGCGAAGAAGTCGCAGTGAGCGATCCTGCCTTCAGCATCGCCTTCAGATACAAGATCCACCTCATCTAGCTACAACACCGTTGAGCGCACCATCGGCAACGTTGCTCACACTTGCTCTCCGCGACGGCACCGCCATAGAAAGAGATACCCATAACTAACAGAACCCCGCACTGAAAATTGCTCCATGCTTCATGTCTGCATACATCGTTAGTCACGGTTCAAGCATACCATGACTGCGAAAATCTCAAATAATCCTACAACGAGCTCGTATCGTTCGCGCAGAATACGAGGCTACATCCTGACACATATTCCTTGCCTATCTCGCAGTCGTGGCCTGACCGACAATCTCCTGCAGAGCGCGTGTGCTGCAATGGTTGTTGATGGAAGAATTGCGCACTGCAACATCTCTTCGATTACCTCGTAAAGACTCTCATCAACCGCCTTCCTAATACCAGCAGTGCGCTACGCACACCCGTCCGTTAGGTACGCTTCTGCCCTACCTCCCTCGTGTGAGAACAGCTAACCATGGTCCTGGGTGTTGGGCAAGGATTCGCGACTGGTTGTGTCGTTCCGTGGAAGCACGATACCCTGGATTCCGTGTATTGCGACCTGAGCTTGCTGGAACGTTCCCTGTTGGTTTGGGCTTGAGGTCCATCACGCACCTGGACGTGTCACAGCTCGGCGACAGGCTCCCGAACCCCTAAATGTGCTGCACGTGCTTTTGACAGGTCTCATGAAGAAGCTATGGGTGTACACGGTTGTCGGGTGCGTGCCCGCTTCACGTTCTTCCACTTCAGCATCACCAGAAGTATCATGGCCATTAGCGGCCACGCCTCACCATCCGCCACTTTGGCAGTCATCTTCACATCAAGCGCTCTGGCTATCTTTGCCGTGGTGTTGCGACTATGGACGCGGCTCTTGATCGTGCGTCAGCCTGGGTGTGATGATCTCTTGGTTACGCTTTCGCTCTTTTTCACATTGATCTTCGCGGTTTGCGTGTCTTTTGAGGGTATGGCGACGATTACATTCTTTTGTGGACAGTCGCTGATGTTCATCATCAGTTTACTATGGTCTCGGGCGACACATCGAAACCCTCACCAAGCATGACCTGACACAGCTGTGTCTGTGGCTTTGGATATCGGTTTGGAACTATTACATCGGGCTCGGTCTCGCCAAACTATCTATTGTACGTGCCGCATCCTAATTGACAACGTCAGCTAACGTCTCGCTTTGTCAGGTCGTCCAATGCATGAGGATCTTTGGCCATATCAAAGGCTTCCGCATTGCCTCTTACGTACTATCAGCCATCATCGTTGCGTTCACCATTTTCAGCACGTTCATATCGATCTTTCTTTGTCAGCCGGTCTCCCGCTTCTGGAACCTGGAGGGGCCTGGGAAGTGCATTGATAGACTGCCATTATGGTCGGCAACACCGAAACGTGCCCGACACCGAAAGCAATGCTAACAGTCTAGACAGGCTGTTCAACTCCGCCTTCACGATGCTCGCCGACATCGCCGTGACGGTACTTCCCCTCCCGGTCCTGAAATCACTCCAACTCCCCGCCCGCCAACGTTACATTCTCATGGGAGTCTTCGGGCTTGGTGGGGTCATCTGCATCGTCTCGATTGTCAGACTCTCAGGCATATACGCTACATCTGTCGCGAAGGACGTCAGCTGGGAGAACTCCCAAGCCGCACTGTACTCGAACTTGGAAGCGGCAGTGGGCATCATTGCGAGCTGTGTGCCGACTCTGAGGGCTTTCGTGAAGACATATTTCCCAAGGCTGTTTACGTCAGGTTCGGCGGGAAGCGATGGGACGGAATTGAGTGATTTCTCTGGTGGTTACGATAGGATGAAGGTGGGAGCCGTTCGAGTGACGGCCGGAGAGCTGGACACTGGGTCAGGCGGAGATGGGACTAAGAGCAAGGCAATGATGGAACACAGGGAGCGTGTCCCTACTCCACGGCCGTATGGGAGTACGGAGGAATTGGTTCCTGCTGTTACCCGTGAGGTGTCTTAGGCATGATAGGGGGCTGTAATGGTGTATACTTGAAGACTGACAACTACATATCAACGATCTCCCAACCGCTTACCAAACAGGATGAGTCTCTCTTGACACATTTCGCATCATCACTGCTGTCGTCGACTACTAGATGCCTCAGGCCAAAATACATTCTCGCCAAGGTCGGCTCTCGGATCCTTCGGCGAAGGAACCGAGACGACACCACCTCACCTCTTCAGCTGTCCTTGGAAACAACGCCACATGAGGTATTTTCCATAGATCCAGCTCCGCGGCCAAGTTACACCAAATGCTAGACCGGTGAGATGGACCTGATTTCTACAATAACAATACCATAACCCCACCATCGGTTTGACAAACACCAAACCAGACGACATCCGTCCATTCATTCCTCCGCCCACGCACAGCCTCGCCATGCGCCCCCGATTCAGCCCCTCCCTGCCTTGACCATTGCTTGCGCTTCAGCCTAATAAACGTGTCGCCTCTGCTTCTATCCTAATTACACTTTAAACCCTCGCTTCATCAACCATGGCCACCAAACTCGGCAAACTCTCCGCCTCCATCTTAATCGACAACCCCACCCGCCCTCGCTACGGTCCCAACGACCCCATAACCGGCCGCCTCATCCTGCGCTACAACCCCGCCACCGCGCTCTTCAAGAAAGACCCCATCACCGCCGACCTCTTCGGCCCCTTACGAATAAACGTCGTCCTCGTCGGTCAAATCCGAATCAAAATCCGGCGAGACCGCGATTTACCGACTCACCACGGCGGCACGCTCTTCGCGGTGCCGTTCCACGTCTACGATGGACCTTTTAAAGGTGTCGTGAACACGGACTATAGTTTCCCTTTCGAGGCGAGGTTTCCCGCGATCGGGGATGGTGGGGGGAGCTTGCCGCCGACGTTTGCGAGCCATTTTTCGGATTATCCTGATGTGGTGGATGTGGCGGTTTTGTATCATATGGGGGCGAAGGTGGAGATGCCGGGGATTGATATTAAGGTTACTGTGCCGGAGGGTGAGTTGATGGTCTTTGCTTTGTGATGGGGGAGAGATCAGAAAGCAGCTTTCTATCGTGGCCGCTGGAGATGGAACAAGGATAGAAGCCCTTGAGCGAAGCTGATGATTGACAGGTAATAATGCGCCGCAAGTCCGATATGACATTCCCAGGCCGCCTCTGGTAAGAACTTGGTCAAGCGACGAGGTCATTGTACGTACTAACACTCTGCAGTCTTTCATCACAGACAACACTTCGGTATTCTCGCAGCGCGACAGGGTCCAGAACGAATACCTACTCCCCGAGTCGCTTCGACCCTCGGGCTTCAAGGCAAAAGCCAAAGCGGTCTTCAGCTCCTCACAATTCCCGGTCTTCGCCTTCGAAGTCTTCTGCACCGACCAGAAACACATCCACCCCGGGCAAAGGCTCACCTTCAATGTCAGAATCATCCGAAACGACAAGGCATCTTCTTCAACGGATGGAGATTTCTTCCCCACGATGACTCTTGAAGGTTTCAAGGCGGATGTCAAATCAAGCACGGTTGTCGATGCGAGCTCAAGAATCATTGGTTCAAGCCAATGCTATGATTCGAAGACTGTGCAGTCGCTTACTTGCCAGACCAAATTCCCCATCGAGTTCCGCAAAGAGTGGTCCGCAGATATCACCACCGGTCCCGTAATGAACCACACGACCTCTTTCGAACACGTCAAGACGTCCAGGACGTACAAGCTGAAAGTATCTCTGTCATTCAAGATCGCGAACAAATCTATCAAAGTCGTCAAGGAGTGTCCTGTGGTGATGCTACCACCCCCTCTGGATATCGGTGTCCAGGATCTGAAAATCGAGGAGCCTCCGCCACCGATTGAAGCTGGTCCTTCTGGCACGAGGGATGATGATGAGGACGTGGATGCGCCGCCGCCGACGTATGAGGAAGCTGGGTCGAGTAAGCTGCTGAAGAGCGGTTGAGATTTCCGACCACCTTGCCCTCAATGGGCCTGCACAAGGGCCTACGGTCTCCGCCATGCTGCCGGAAATACTCATTGCTAGCACAGACATTTGAAACCTCCACTGGCTTGCCGACAATGGGATCGCCAGAGCGCTCATTCGGGAAGTGTGGACGTATGTTGAAGTGTGCGATGAAAATTCCTCAGAAGATATGTAAAGTCTCTGACATATCATCAGAGCTTCCTGGTTCTGGTACACACTCGCCATCCATGATGCCGTAGACATAGGCTGTGCCTATCAGTCGATAGCCGCCTGGTATTTGCCGTAGAATGACAGGCCATCCGCACCCATACAGCACGACTACTTTATCGTCGAACGTCGTACACGGCGACGCAAGCCCTACATGGCCCTCTTGTGTAGCGAACAACTGACGATGAAGATATGCACCTTTCCAAATGAACTCGAACTCAGAGGCAGTCACTCAACTGGGCGCATGTCTAGCCGACGCCTCACGTTGTCTCCTGTGGCAAACGGTGGCCTCTCACCCTTATCCTGTAGATATTGGATATATGCATTCAGGCCCTGCAAAGCGCAACGACTTTCTAAAGGTTGATATTCAAAGTCAGTGGCGGCGCACATGGTGACTGCCAAAATCTTGTCATCCCTCGCTGTTCCGCAGGCCTTCGCAGACCGTTCCACCACGGATCTGAGCACATCGATGACTTCCAGCGTTTCGCTCGCATCGGGCAACTCTGCGCTAGTTCTTGTCTCAGGAACGAATGCTACCCTACCCAGTCGCATGCCCCGAACCGAAAGCGCGTTAGGACTCGGACTTTCAGGAGCGAATTCGACATTCTTGCGGTGACCATGTGCCCTAAAGGAGCGGAATGGGAAAGGATCATGTTTTCGGTCGTCACTCTGTTCCCACCGTGGAACCCAGGAAGGGATACCAGACGTGGACCTTTCGAAGTCCAAATAGCGATGGCGTATATGCATTAAGACGACCAAACTGCCCGTCTCTAAAATCACATGCATAGTTGCGTCTCGAAAAATATCGCTTGGACCCTTCGTGTAGTCTGGAGCCAAGTAGTATGGTAATGGGCGGCCTCCAACGTAAGCCCGGTAGAGCCCCACAAGAGCGAATATATGGTCTCTAGGATCGGAAGTGTGGAAGTCGCGCAGTTTCGTCAGCAGCCAAAGAAAGTCCCCCTTCATCTGGCGACCAGGACTGCCCTTGCCAAGTGAATCCTCTTTCGGCGGAGCTTCGATGAAACGAAGGGCAGATCCATTATCGACAAAGCCAGCTACATTCCAGATCTCAGATGCTTTCAGTATGCCATCTGACTTTAACAACTTCAGTGGCAAGTGCCACCATTTGTGCGTTGTCCACATCGCGCAAAGGAGCAGCATCGCCAAAGGAATCTGCTTCTGGCCGACATAAGCAAGTGCTGAATGGGGCGAGGGCAGCTTCCTGGACAACCCACACGCGGGTGAACCATTCCGACGAGAAAATGTCGAGCAGCGCAGGAATGAATGGTCGCACGTCGAAGCTCAAAGAGGTGGTAGAGTAACGATGTTATATCTGCTGGTCCAGCAGCGCTTCGTCCGATTCCCGAGAGTCTTCGCATTCACCCCTGGTCTCGTCCACGATGGCTTTGATTCCTGAGATTGCTAGCGAAGTGGACTCCTGCTCCTTGCCCAGCCAGATGTAGCCAGACGATGTTCTCGAGAAAATGCCCGCCATCATGGCGACTTGTTGAGAGCGCTCGACGGGATCTTGCTGGTTGATGCAGATGGCGTCGATCTACAACACGACGTCTTCGTCATCAGAGCGAAATCGACGCAGCACACGCTCTGCCGTTCGGCTGACATCGAGAAAGCGGTCATCGACGATGATGTATGCTCGGTCTTGTGCATTTCCCCATCGATAGGAGATGGTGTGGTATTCGAGTGTTGGTTCATCGAGTAGCGAAACATGGGAAAGCGTGCAGTTCACCGTCGTCGTTGGAGAGCTGGATGCGGCATGTACTTTGAGAATGCGGATCTGTTGACGCTCAGTGTTGAGGGACTCGTAGCGATACTTTCGTGAAGCCATGATGATGTGGGTGTGGACCATGGAGTCGAAGGAAAAGAAAAGAGAACGAAATCATCCAGTGGCTGAAATCCAGAAATCTAGCGCATGTGAAGTTCATCGCCTCAACTTGGCGCGAATGGTTGGACGACAGTCGGTCGGCTATGGGTTCCTTCACATGTTCAGCTTCGCCGCTTCGGGCATTGACGTGGCGGTGTGGTTACACAATGACCTGTTCAGGGGTGGTGCTGTAGCGAGAGCCCGGCTTGCAGGCTGAGAGGCGGCTTCTTGAGAAAGAAGTAGTAATCAAGTTCGAAGTTCTTGTTCACTGAGCGACCAGTTCGATCTGGTACCTCTTCTCAGTTTATTAGGAGCCCGAAGACCTCGACCAATGTTTATGGGAACCTGCTTCATTGTTAGATATCCAAGGCTTAGAGTCGTTCTAAGGCGGGGCATGGAGGATTGGTCGCTTTGCATCAACACTCGCCAGCAGCAGTAGTGTATATAGCGAGGCCACGAAATGAAACATACCATATCGAACACAGCTCCATCATGCGCTCACAGCATTACAATGTCGCTTGATCAGTTCGCTACCTCTTCTCCATACCGAGAGATCATCCGCAACTCCCACCAAAATGACCGACCATGCAAGCCCCCTCGCGCAAACAATGGGAGCCGCCCTCGACAACCTGATCACATTACACTCAGCAGACGACGCATCACTCACCCCAAGCCAACTCATCATCAAATTCCTCACCGCTTGCGTAAGCTTGGCGGCCGTCTTCACGGCCTTCTACTACGTTTTCATTGGCGCCTACAGCCTCGTGCTGCACTTACTCGGCACGAACTATGGGGCAGGGCGGCTCCCTGGAACGGCCGCATTGGTTGTGCTGTGCGTGGTTGCGCTGGCTTTGTTTTGGGCGGGTTTGTTCAGAGCGCGGGTGGGAGTTATGTGGACTGGGGTCGTTGAGGAGAGGGTTCGGCGGAGAAGGGATGAGGAGTATGGTGGTGATGGTGAGCAGCCGGGTCGTGCGAAGGCGTCGTAGGGGATGCTGCTCGGCAGTGAGCTTGGTGTGAAAGATGAATATCGACTTCTTATCGGGCGAGCAAGATCGTCGAGCTGGTCCTTGCCATCGATGTCTTTTCTGGTCTGTAGGAGTTTCCACACTAGAAAAATGGGGGAATGCAGGCAAGGAGACCTTGGAGTTCCAGAACGTGCAAAATCCCCCAACCACGTCGCACCTTTCAAACAGACATTCACCTCAACATCCGCTCCTCAACTGCCGACATTTTCTACACCTCACCTTTATATATGAAAGTTTGGGCCAGAAAGCTCGAACAATGGCTCGGAAGTTTCTAACCGAACGTCGATCAGCCCCAATTCTTCCGGAACAGGAAGCTGTCAGGTTAGTGTAGATCTTATTGGCGTGAAAGTCTATTTTGACCTTCCCAGTTCCAGAATTGGGAATTGGGCCGGTTTGCGAAGCTCGGAGGAGGTTCGTGGGGGAATGCATCCTGGAATGTCAGTGAGGTTAGTGAGGCCAGACAAGTGGAGGATGAGTTCGTGTTGATTAGTTTGGATAGGTTGGGTCTGAGAACTGGTCTGCGGTCGTGAAACCACGTGCGGCCGTTTGGACATGTGAAGAGGGCTCTGGCAAGCTTTCTGCTAGTCTAGAGCTTCTTATATTTCCTTGGTGGCGATCAGTGCGACACCACATGTTCAGGCTATATAGCGGGGAAAGCATCTTCCTGATAGAGCAATTCGGCCGGCGCAATGAGACGTTGTTCAGCAAGGTAGTGGAAGCTCTGCCGCTCTATTGAGGATGTTTCTGACTCTCGTGAGGGTATTGTGGCCTCTGGAATTGGAATGATGGGACATGCACTTACTGGATCAGGGAGTCCGCCGACAAGGTAAGTGCTATGATTGCTGGCGGTCTGCCAAGTCGTCCATTGTACCTGCTTTAGTACCAATTTCAATGATGAGTGATTAGCCTGGAGGGGTTCTCGGGTTGGTGTATGCCGATCGTAGGGCTCGATAGCCGTAGGGGAGTGTGGTGACTGAGGATATAAGCAGCTGGCGAGTCGACATTGGACAAAGGACGCACCAGATCGTCCCTCACCCATACGCCAACCTCCAAATCCTCAACTTTCACGCGCAATGGCCACATACAAGCTCGCTGTACTCTTGGCTACGGCCCTTACTGCTTCTGCGGCAGCCGTTGAGAAGCGTGCTGCTTGCAGTAGCTACAGTCGGTTCACTCCTCTGCAGCGATGCTTGCCATCCTAATACTCTTTAGCTCTCATCGACACTCGTGGCACCGGCGAAGCTCAGGGTCCATCAGCTGGATTCCGTACCATGAACTCCAATATCATGAGCCAGGTCTCGGGAGGCAAGGAGTACGATACTGTGTACCCAGCGGGCTCCAACCAGGACTCCAGCGCCGGAACACAAGATATCATCAACCACATCCAGCAGACTCTCGCCACTAACCCGAACGAATGCTTTATCCTTGAGGGATACTCGCAGGGTGCTGCGGCGACTGTGGACGCCCTTCCGAAGCTGACTGGCGCATCTTTCGACGCTGTTAAAGGCGTCTTCCTCATTGGCGACCCAGAACATAGGTCTGGCCTGACTTGCAATGTTGACAACTCCGGCGGTACCACGACCAGGAACGTCAACGGCCTCGAGGTCTCGTACACCGCCGGCGTGCCCAGTAATTGGGTCTCCAAGACGTTGGATGTGTGTATCTACGTGAGTTAGCTCGTGGATCGTGTGATACTGATAATAAGTTAATCGTTGCAAATCAGGGCGATGGTGTTTGCGACACGACTCATGGGTACGGAATCAACCTGCAGCATCTGCAGTACCCCGGCGATTCGAACACGCAGAATCTTGGAACAAAGTTCGTGGTCGGCAAGTTGCAGGGTACATCATAGATGCGATTGATATATGAGCCCAGGCGTTGAGAGAGCCCAGGTGTTGAGACTGCCCAGATAAGCACGCAAGTCTTGTCGATTGACTGAATCCGTAATCTTGAATTCAATGACTTTGGCTTGGTTGCGAGTCTTCGGCCAAAATTTGAAAGCAGATCAACGCCACTGGAGAGGAATCCCAGAAGAAGATCGAAGAGTCCTTTTCTGCCTATAATAGTGACATCTAACCCGTTCCTGCCTTCGAGCATTTCCTGACTGTAGGGCAATTTGGGAGGTAATCCGTGGATTGAGGGATATAGGCCGTCAATAGATAGACGTTCCGGCATTTCGGGTGTTCCGGTGCCTGCGGCTTTGCTGTATTAACATCTCTCAACGTGACTTGCTCCTTACAATTACATGTCGTTCAATGGCAGTCTCTGATGTGTGTATAGGATTGAGGAGGCGTTGTTGGGCGTGGGTGAAGACAAGCTCCTGAGCGCTGTGGCCGCGGATAGGCCCTTGCCGCCGAGCTGCCCGCGTTGAGAGGAAGCGATGACGAAGGCAGGCCACGACCACCACAGGAATGCCACTTGCACCACACCTCACCTCCTCCGCCTGCCACTTGTCGCATAGTCACATGCACTCGCTCATTCACTCACCCGCCATGCCCACGTGATTGACTGTAGCGCGCTTTCCCGGTGAACAGTCTGGATGCCTCCCGCCAGCTCGCTGCACCGGCCACGTATCGGTCATGAGCGCCAGCAATGTCCGCGCCAGCTCCACCCACTCCAACGCGTCCACCCTGAGGCCGAGGACCAAGCGATTGATATCGGGCCTGGATGAGGGCGACGAGACCAACTTCGATCCTATCAATGCCGCCACCACCCGCATAGCATCACCTCTCCCCTCGCCCTTCGATAGCCGATCCGCCTCGCCCATCCCTTCTGCCCACCCCCAGCGACCAAGTCCCAATGCGCGGAGAAACCAGGGGCCGAGCTCCTCTGGATCGCCCAGTAGAGCTGGATCATCAAGACAGAGAAAGAATACCGCCGACTCCCCCACATTCGCTGGAATATGGGGCAATTCATGGAACGCTTTGCAGGGCATCGCGTCCGATCTGTTGGGCAATGAACTGAGTAACCCCGATGGCACAGACAGACCACGCGTGAGACGGCCTCTCAGCAAGCTCCACAGCCACAGAAACACTTCATCGAGCGCACCGCCGAGTCAATGGGGTCCCTCAGCGCCTACATCACATCCGCGATCCCAAGGTATTGGCGGCGGCACCAAAGAGGAGCAGATAGCCGCACTTCGCGCGCAAAAGAAGAAGGATATGTTGACAAGGCAAGAGAGCAGCTATCCAGATGCTCTTGGCAAATTCAAACGGCGCCTTTCGGATGATCGGAACTCAGTCTCGGCACCGCCTGGTGAGAATGAAGATCGGGAGGCCCTTGTATACGTGCATCCTGTGAAGAAGGATGAGACCTTGGCCGGGATAACTATCAGATACAACATATCTGCCAATGCGCTGAGGAAAGCCAACCGAATGTGGCCGAATGACACCATTCAATCCCGTCAGACCTTGATCTTACCCGTGGATGCATGTGGAGTGAAAGGCAAACGAGTGGATGGTCCGCAAGGTGACCTGGATCTGCTGAGCTCTGAGAGCGAGGCACTGTCTTTTCTACAAGCAGAAGAGGTCGCCACTCCTACTGCAGCTACATCTTTACCGAACGGAACTGTCAATCATGCGAACAGGGATCGCACAAACTCTACCTCTACGAACACAACCTCATCTATTGCTGCCTCAAGTGTGGAATCTGAACCGCCCTGGAGGCATGATTCTTGGGTGCTTCTTCCTGGAGACACCAGACCTACTGTGATTGCAAGACTGCCGAGGAGAGCCTTGGGATATTTCCCTCCCGCGCGACGGAAAAGCAACAGTTTCTCTGACCTGGACACCCCTTCGTCTTCTTTAGACCTTGTTCGTTCCGGAACCAACGATATAAGCAACTCAACATCGCCGTTGCGACAAACACCACCTCGGCCGTCTCGAGGCCGTCGTCTCAGCAACGCCACAACTGGCTACTACCCAGCGTATCTGACAGGTCCTGGCGGTGTTGGATCGATGAGTAGGAACGTTCGCCATCCCGGCCCGGCGCAGGACGGGCTGAACAAGATGTTCGCCAAGCATCTGCCGGACGTGGCACCACCTCGCAATCAAAGTTCCCTCTACCAACCCGACCTACCTCTCTACAGCGATAATCCCACGCTGGCAGGATCTGGAATGGCGACACCAGCCTACCCTAACTCGAGCGGACCTAATCTCAACCTCAATCTTGAGAATGTTGGGGGAGCCATTGAGTCTTGGGTAAGACGGATTGCGACCAAGAGTGTATCGACCCCTCAAGACAGGTATCAGGCGGCTCGTGTCTCTGTGGGCACACCAGGTAGAGGTGCCGGCGGCATAGGGGATCTCATCGAGATGACTGATGAGTTTGAGATTGGTGGAGCTGACGACGATGAGGAAGAAGAAAGAGGACGGTCCGGATCGAATCCAAACGTCTCTGCTGATAGACCGACTAGTACGGCAACCAGCTATTTTGATGGCGCTGCTGTGAGAGGGAGAGGAATGCCCGGCAATGGCGCAAAGGCTGGGAAGAGTGGCAAGTCTGATTGAAGCCTTTCCGCCCGTACTTAGAGATACCTTCCGACACCTGTTGGATAGCGGAGTTAGACGAATCATCACGGAGTAATTTCTAGATCATGATACAGCAGAGTGCCGTTCACTATGGCTGCAACCTGGGGCTCAACTTTGCCGCAATTACCTCTCTCAGACGAAGCCATAAAGTTTGACAGGATTCAGATGCCCGAGGACATGGAAGACAGTGCAATTGACGTGTCTACTTGATTAATAACACGAGATACTATGTCCGCTCTTCAGAAAGCCTAACAAATGCTCCTCATGCAGACAGCGCGTGTTGTTTCGGGTCCTTTGATTGCTGTGACGGGTAATCGAGACAATCTCAGAGGCCGGGAATAAGCTGGATATAAAAACGCGTGGGGCAGTGGAGGAGGTCTGGGGGCGGCAACTTGTTCGACGCAGCTCCCACCTCCAACCGCACATGTTGTTAAACCCGGCATCGAACTATTTCGGCTACGGCATTGCGGCAAACCAGAGCTCTTCTATTACGCATACTATCCTTTCTTTTTGGACTCTCGCTCCCTTCCTCTCTCATCATGCGCAGGCAAGTGGTCTGACAAGGCCAGCATCTTCTCTCCTTCGCCTTGACGGGCGGTGATACTCTCCCCTCCATCGTTTCGTGGCTGTTGTCCTTGCTGTACTTGTTGATATACTCCTTCTCTTCCTCTCGCAGTAATGGCACAGCCAATGGGGCGAGCATTGCTGGACTGTGCTTCTTTGTTCCGCTCCTCGACATCCTCCTTCACGCAACGCTCCAGCCAAGCATGGCAGCGACGGCGAACCGCAGCTCCTGCACTCTCCCAGCGCAGAACCTACCTAGGCCAATCCCAACGACGACGAGCCACGACCTCTGCCGGCACCGCAACATCCTCCTTCAAACACCCCATCATCGACCACCACTACGATGCTATCGTCGTGGGCGCAGGCGGTGCAGGTCTCCGAGCAGCCGTCGGTCTCGCAGAATCCGGTCTCGAAACAGCCTGCATAACGAAACTCTTCCCAACCCGCTCGCACACCGTAGCCGCACAAGGTGGAATCAACGCCGCGCTGGGCAATATGACAGAAGACGACTGGCGGTGGCATATGTACGATACGGTAAAAGGCAGTGATTGGTTAGGCGATCAGGATGCTATACATTACATGTGTCGAGAGGCGCCGAAGGCGGTGTATGAGTTGGAGAATTACGGCATGGCGTTTTCGAGAACGGAGGATGGCAGAATTTATCAGAGGGCGTTGGGTGGGCAGAGCTTGAAGTATGGGAAGGGTGGGCAGGGGGTTAGGTGTTGCTCTGCGGCGGATCGGACGGGGCATGCGATGTTGCATACGTTGTACGGGCAGAGTGTGAAGGTATGTCACCATCCAAGACTGGAGTGAGGCAGGGGCGGCACACTGACGTTCTGACGACAGCACAACTGCAATTTCTTCATCGAGTACTTTTGCATAGACCTTTTGATGGTAGATGGCGCTTGTGTGGGTGTTCTGTGCATGTCCATGGAGGATGGCACGCTGCATAGAGTCTTTGCAAGGAATACAGTACTGGCGACAGGTGGATACGGCAGGACGTACTTTTCATGCACGTCTGCTCATACTTCTACTGGAGATGGAAACGTAAGTGATGAGCGAGCATGTGAAATATTGACGGGAGCTGATGGATATCACAGGCAATGGCAGCACGAGCAGGACTTCCCAACCAGGACTTCGAATTCATCCAGTTCCACCCAACAGGCATCTATGGCGCAGGTGTGCTCATCACAGAGGGATCTCGTGGAGAAGGTGGATATCTACTGAACAGCAACGGCGAACGATTCATGGAACGATACGCACCAACTGCCAAGGACCTCGCATCAAGAGACGTTGTGTCAAGGTCGATGAACATGGAGATTCGAGAAGGACGTGGAGTCGGCCCTGAGAAGGATCACGTCTACCTGCAACTCAGCCATCTTCCCAAGGACCTGATCTACGAGAGACTACCCGGAATCGCTGAGACTGCAAGTGTGTTCTCGGGAGTCGATGTCACGAAGGAGCCAATTCCTGTTCTTCCGACTGTGCATTACTGCATGGGCGGCGTGCCTACCAACTGGAAGGGTGAGGTTTTGAATGTCGACCCTGTCACTGGCCAGGAGAAGCCCGTGGAAGGTCTCTATGCCGCTGGCGAAGTCGCCTGCGTCAGTGTGCACGGCGCCAACCGTCTTGGAGCGAACAGTCTGCTCGACATCGTCGTTTTCGGTCGTGCCTGCGCTCTCGAAATCGCCGCCAACAACGAAAAGGGCATGGCTCATAAGAAGGTGCCCAAGAACATCGGCATGGACCACCTCGAAGAAATGGAGAAGATTCGCAACGCGGACGGCGACATCCTCAGCGCACAGATCCGCACCGACATGCAGAAAGTCATGCAAGCCGACATCTCCGTCTTCCGCAATGAAGAAGCCCTGCAGCAGGGCAATGAACGCATGCAGCAAGTCCAGTCAGACTTCCAGAACCGCCTAGCCGTGAAAGACAAGTCGATGATCTGGAACTCGGATCTCATCGAGACGCTTGAGATGCGAAACCTCCTCACGTGCGCCGCGCAGACGGCCAAGAGCGCGTTGTTGAGGAAGGAGAGTCGCGGAAGCCATGCGCGAGAAGACTATCCTGACAGGAACGATAAAGAGTGGATGAAGCATACGCTGAGCTGGCAGAAGGATGTGGGCGATGATGTGCAGATTGGGTATCGACGGGTGGTGATGGATACGTTGGATAAGAGCGAGATGGAGAGTATTCCGCCTGTGAAGAGGACTTATTAGATGTTGCTTGTTTTGCAGAGGAGGTAGATGACATATAACCAGACGATTTGTGCGAGATTCGATCATGATTTTTGCTGTGAAGGGAGACGGACGTGATGTTCGAGTAAGGTTGTGGTAAGTGCGTCCTAGCTTTGCAGGGGAATGGAAGGAGGCAAGGCGTCTGAATTTGATGAGCGGTTTTCGAAGAACTCTCGTCGACCTCACTTCTTCATCTTTGCGACGTCCTCATTCCCACGCTCTCGTCATCGCCATGTATCCTTTTGTAAAGATGGGTCCCATTCGTTGTCACCCTCATACACACCAGGGAGAAGCCATCGGAGTCAAGAATCCTCACGAACGACACGATTACACAAGCCCTTTGATTCCACTTGCATCGACTCTCCGAGCAAGACGAATATCAAAGAGAAAAGGGCACACGTCGAAAAGACAGATCAACTTAGGACAGCGATGGCAAGCACAGCTCCGGCAAAGGCACCGAATGAGACACACAAACTCTTGGGATCTTGGACAGTGAGCTTGAATACAAGCTTAACAGAGCTTGCCACCAACAAGCGAGCGAAGGCGCATGGAACCATGTAACCAAAGCAAGCCATCCACGACACTGTGTGCCTTGTGGCGTTCGACAACAGAGCAGGACCTTTCTTCGCCGAGGTAAGACATCGCGGCAGCTGTCGAACTAGGAAGCTCCCTGGACGGAAGAGGTGTTTCTGTTCTGTAATGGAAAGTGAGATGGATGGACTCCTCTCCTTGGCAGTTGAGGGAGCAGCAGGTACCGGTACGGGCGGGATATGCCATTGACATCTTTTCTGCTGTGGTTGACTGCGGGGCACCAGATGGTGAGAACTGCTGCTCGATCAGCGGTCTTGCATCGACCTGCGTCACGGGGGCTGAATCTGGGTATGCAGTTGATACCGTACCGGCGCGCCTCCACTGTCTTGCAAGACCTTTTGCGTTTCACGGGTGAGGTTCTACGGCATGCAAAAGCAAGTGGTTGGAAGAACCATCCTGCAAGCCACCAACGGTTCTGATGTCAACCAAACGGCGAAGATCCTCGGCCCGTCTCCACCACTGCCGATATCATGGCTGCACTGCAACCTTCACGATCTATGGCTTCTAGTGCAGACCACGACCCGAACGACGAGCCGGAGCAAGGCACAGAAAGAAAGAAGATCTACTCTCCACCGCCCAGGATTGGGAAGCGTCCTGAGATGTGTGCAAGCTCATCTGTCATATCCACCAATGAACGCTGCACTGGAGCTCTCGCTATCAGCTGTACCTTGCCGTCTACAGATTTGTATCTCTCTGGAAGCTTGTCGGTCTTGTGGCACACTTCCACTGACGGCATTCTGGCGACGATCACGTCACGCCGCGGCTGCTTAGCCAAAGCCAATATCTATAGTCAAGCACACGACCTGCTTGTTTTTGATAAGATCGCACACGGCTGCATGGCCAAGGCTGTGATGGTCGCTCGAGCGTGGAGTTGTTGGGCGCATGAGCGCTAGGGACTGTGGAGACGCCGCTGAGACGGACAATCGTATATATTATCTGCCCAGGACTGCTCACTCTGGACTCTGGGACGGTAGGTGTTGCTTGACTGCTTCGACCCGCCAATATGTATTTCTGTTCATTCGCCGCTGTTGCGGCCCTTGCTACACTGGCTGTCGCTGCTCCTACCAACCTCCAGCGTCATGTCCTTCACCAGCGCCGTGCGCCATCAGAGAACTGGATCAAGCGCGAGGCAGTGCATCCAGATGTCAAGCTGCCCATGAGGATTGGTCTCTTTGGCCAGAACTTAGACAAGGGTCATGAACTTCTCATTCAGGTCGCCGACCCAGACTCCAAGAACTTTGGCAACTTCTACAGCGCCGAAGAGGTCCATGACCTGTTCGCTCCTGCAGAGTCGAGTGCTCAGGCTGTGAAATCTTGGCTGGAGAAGGCAGGCGTTCACGGCGATCGTATCTCGCAATCTGTCAACAAGCAATGGTTAGTCAACACTTCCTTATGATAGGGAACCGTGGCTAATGGACAATGTATTACAGGGTTCAGCTGGACTTGAGCACTTGGGAGGCTGAGAAGCTTTTGCAGACCAAGTACCATTTCTTCGAGCATGCACCGACTGGAAAGACCACGATTGGCTGTGATGGGTATGTTCCAGTCACTATTGTTCGTAAAGAATCATACTGACGCATGTTTCAAGATACCACGTTCACGAGGATGTCTCTGAGCACATTGACTACATCACTCCTGGCACCAAGCTTCTTGCCACACGCAAGCCGAAGCCTGGCGATATCGAGAAGCGATCATTCGGCTGGGGCAAAGTTGGAACCACGCCACCACTCCTCAAGGCACTGCCAATCTCGATAAACAGTCTCCTCAGCAACCCACTGTTGGCCCTTTGCGACACCATCATCACCCCAGACTGTATCATGGCCATGTACAACATTACTAAGGCGACCAGCGCCCAACCTGGCAACGAGCTTGGAATCTTTGAAGACCTGGGTGACTACTACGCGCAGACTGATCTTGACGAGTTCTTCGCCTTGCTACAGCCTCGCATTCCACTTGGCACCCATCCGAAGCTGGAGGGCATCGACGGAGCCCAGGCCCCTACCAATGTTCTTAACGCCGGTGCTGAGTCGGATCTCGACTTCCAGATCAGCTATCCACTTATCTGGCCACAGAACTCGATCTTGTTCCAGACTGACGACCCAGTCTACGAGGCCAACTACACCTTCGAGGGTTTCTTGAACAACTTCCTCGACGCCATCGATGGATCATATTGTTCGTACTCGGCGTTCGGTATCACTGGTAACAGCCCAGGCCTTGACCCGCCCTACCCGGATCCAGCTCCAGGAGGCTACAAAGGCCAGCTGCAATGCGGTGTTTACAAGCCAACTAACGTCATCTCCGTCTCGTACGGTGGCCAGGAAGCGGATCTTGACGCCAACTACCAGAAGCGCCAGTGCAACGAATACATGAAGCTGGGCATGCAAGGTGTCTCCATTCTCATTTCCTCTGGTGATTCTGGTGTTGCTGGACCGGCTGGCGATGACAGCGAAAACGGATGTCTCCAAGGTGGCACAGTCTTCTCGCCTGACTTCCCGGCTTCCTGCCCATACGTTACCGCTGTTGGCGCCACTCTTTTGGTTGGAGACGCGAAGAAGGACGAGGAGACTGCAGTCACGAGGTTCCCGAGTGGAGGAGGATTCAGTAACATTTATTACCCTGCACCAGATTACCAGACGGCGGCGGTCAGTACTTACTTCGCCACCGCTGGCGATCAGTACCCCTACTATACCAACGGCCAATACGACGGCAAGGGCATCTACAACCACAACGGCAGAGGCTACCCAGACGTCAGCGCAGTCGGAGACAACGTCCTCATCTTCAACAAGGGTGCCCCAACTCTCATTGGCGGTACAAGTGCCTCCTCGCCAGCCTTCGCCGCTATCTTGACCAGAATCAACGACGAGAGGATTAAGGCTGGTAAGAAGACGATCGGGTTCGTCAACCCAACTCTCTACAAGAACCCGCAGGTTCTGCATGATATTACGGTTGGCACTAACCCTGGCTGCAACACGACCGGATTCACTGCTTCCAAAGGATGGGATCCTGTCACTGGTTTGGGTACGCCTAATTACCCGGCTATGTTGAAGCTTTTCATGTCGTTGCCATAAACGAGTATGTGATGATGGTGATGTGGGAGAAAGAGCACGCTCGATGTGCATGGGTGAATGTCATGATGAAGATGAGACGACATGAGAATCGATATGAGTTGGATGTACATAATTGGAATGACTTCGACTGTTTGTCGTTGGTATTGAATGATAATCTGATGATCTCCCCCAAAGAACTCACCTTTCTGATCACTGTGATGCTCTGTGTACTTGGATGATCCTTCCACAAGATCTTGAACGTCATTGACGAAATTAAGGTTCAGGTACGGCAATAGCTTGGTAGAAGTACCACAATCTCACAAAGTACATCTTCTTTAGAAACTAATATGATCACAATACGTCCTAATCTTCCCAATTGTTGGACATCATAAACACCCCCAAAATGGGGCGCCCTCCCCTCCCACCCTTCCTCCACCACGCCCTCACCTCCCTCCTAACAGCCCAACCCCGCCCCGGCCTAAAACCCATCCCAGGCACAAACCCCCTAACCCCCGAAGCAATCCTCTGCCCGGTCCTCCTCTACTATATCGCACTACTCCTCCTTCCCCCTCCCCCGCCCTCCTCAATCGCAAGTCCACAAGTCGTTCTTCTACGGAATATCCTCGCCGCATCAGCAGCCTTCCTCTTCCTTCGCCTGCCTCTAGCCTACCACGTCCCGCAGAGTATTGGACTCACGTATCAACTCGGACTGGTGGGTTTGTACGGCGGCTTGAGGGTCCTGGATGCGTTTTTCGTCAGTCTGTATCTTTGGGGTCATGTTCCCCGAAGAGTGCGGTATCAGCATCGGGTGAGGCCTGAGACGCCGACGAAGGGTGGGAGGGGGGATGGGGATGTTGCGAGGACGAAGCCGTGGAGTGATGGCGGGGATAATGGGATGTTGAGGAAGCCGAGTTTGCCGCCTTCTTCTCAATCCCAGATTGGAAAGGAGGATCGCCGCTCTAGTCTGCAGCGAGGTCCCTCCCAATCCGACCTCCTCGACAATATGACCTCGCAAACTTACACGGATCTCCTCTCCCGCGACGACTCTTACACCACCATGCTGACCAAGCTCCTCGATGGGCCGCATCCCATCCCCGTGACCGAAACCGCACACACGGAGGACGACTACCCGCACACATTCCTTGATCGGATGTCCTGGGCCTTGGAGCTGGAGTTATCGATGCGAGGGGTGGGGTTCACCTGGACGACGGCGGACGTACGCCACACGAAGAAGACGTGGTTGCCGAGTGTAAGGAACCGAGTGCATTCGATTTTCGTGCATGTCGGGCCAGTCATCTTCTGGGCTTGGGCGGTTATCAAGGCTGTATATGTGCGTAGACTGCAGGGGTTGGAGGAGAGAGGTGTAGAGAGTACCTTCGATGAGTTAGCGCTCGGAGAGCAGCTCGCTCTGACTGCGGCGTTGGGAGCGTTCCTCATGGCAGCGTTCTCGCTGGGGCATTCGATTTTCGCCATTATCTGCTCGCCACTAGCACCTTCTCCGTTGGCGTTCTTCCCGCCATTGTATACGACGAGAGTGTGGGATATAACGTCGGCGAGGGGATTCTGGTCGTACGGATGGCATCGATTATTTGCGAGGCTGTTTCTTGTTTGGGGCGTTTGGCCGGGAGAGTGGGTCGAGAGGAAGTTGTTGGGGAAGAGGGCGGATGAGAGGGCTGATGTTGGGAAGGTGCTTGGTGGGTTCTTGAGTTCGGCGTTGGTGCATTCGTTTGCTGTGAGGGGGACGTTGGGTGGGAATTGGGCTGATGCGGCTGGTGAGGCGAAATTCTTCGCGTGGAATGGTATTGCGGTTGTGTTGGAAGAGGTCGTGAAAAGGATGGCGAGGAGATGGCGGAGGCAGCGTGGTGCAAAGGAGCAGATGTGGTATGATGCGTACATCGGACGCATCTGGTGGACAGGGCTGTTACTCACGACAGGACGGAATTTTGCCAGGGGTTGGACGAAAGCTGGGCTGGTGAGGGAGATGGCGTTCATGTAAGTAGTCATTGGATTGTAGGGAATTTATGCAGAGCTAGCCGCGTCCTTGGTTTTCACGGTAACTTCGGTCGATCCCTTCTTCATGTCGTCGCCGTCATCATCGATTACCTGGCCCTCGATGCTGTCTTTGGCCGCAGAATGTCCGGCAACCACGACTTCTCCAGATTCGAGACCAGCCGCGAAGGCCAGGCGCTTGGGGAGGAGGTATGGAACGTCAATGTATCGTAGCACGCAGCACATGATAATGCACAGAACCCAGATGGCGATGCAGGATTGCCAGCCGTACTTGTCTGTCTGAGTGTCAGCACCATTCGCAGAAGTGAGATTAATTCAACTTACAGTAAGGAGCCTGACTCGCAGGCCAAACAAGAACTTGACTCCACGCTGAAATGGCATAGTAGAATGCAACAGATACTCCGACGATCAGACTGCGAGCTTCGGGGTCTTGGGGTATTCTATTCGTTGCTGTTAGTCACAACGTCGAAAGACTGCGTTTGCGTCAATACTCACAAATCTGACAGCCAGGCAAAGATCAAAGGCGCAGTACCCAGCGCGAGGTAGTTGATGAAGTAGCTGGCGTATGCTGCTGAGATCGGCACAGAAGATGGATGGCTCGTCCAGACGGACATAACGATGCAAGGGATGAGGCCAATAACACCTGACAAGAACATTAGCGTACGATTGATAAAGAGATGGTCACACTCACCTTGAGCCACAATCAGCGTCCAGCGAGTCTGAAGGAAGTCAGAAAGTAACGCCCAGATCCAGACTATACTACTATTAGCATATCAATCATCAGGCAGCTGCTCTTCCATGGACATACCAAACACCACGTTGATCGCTCCACCTCCAATGGGAATGACATTGACTTCCTCAGTCGACCATCGTCTCGACCCATCCGGCTTCTTCTGTGCCTTCAAGAACAAGCCGAAGTAGACATATCCGTAAGTCGCCAAAACGGTACCTGCGTACATGATGGCGACGAAATAGACGACCCAGGATGAGAACGTCCTCTTCGCAGACTCCCAGGTGATACGTTTCGGCTCTGCTCTCTTGTTCCTAATCAAGCGCCCAATAGCAAGTTCTTGGTCGTTTCGGCTGAACCAGAAAGCTCGTGGGTTGCGTTTGTTGGGGTAGTCTGGCAGCATGAAAATGCCAAAGATGCCCCAGATGACTGTGATGATTGCGTTGATGACAAAGAGCCATCGCCAGCCCGCAAGGCCCGAGTGCCCGTCCAAAGTCGACATGATGGCTGCTTGCATGGCGCCAGATAGCATATTCCCCAACGCTTGACAAGAATGATAGAAGCCCATGCGCTTTGCCAGCTCTGTGGGAGTATACCAATGCATAAATAACGCCATCATGCCCGGCCAGGCGCTACTTTCACAGGCGCCTAAGAAGACGCGGATGATGTAGACCTGCTTTGCGCTTGTCACCATTGCCATCAGCCCTGTCATGACGCCCCACGCAACTTCCAGTCCAGGGAGCCAGAAACTCGGTCGAACGTATGTCATGATGATCTGCGAGGGAACAAGCATAATGCAGTAGGCGACGTTGAAAGCCGTGGTGAAGTAGTTGAGCTGGTCGCCATCGAGGTGGAGATCCTCTTGCATGCCAGAGACGTAGGCATTGTTGATATTTTGCTGGTCGAGGTATTTGATAACTTGGGAGAGGCAGCCAAATGTTAGGAGGAATAGGTCTAGGCGGCGGACGAGTGCTCGTTCTTCTGCGGAACGCTCTGGTGGAGGAGCAAGGAGTGCGGATCGCCTTGTGCTTGAGAACGGGTTCTTCATTTTGGTGAAGGATGAAGACTCTTCGATGCAGAAAAAGAGTAAAGAGTATGATGAGGAGGGGAAATGCGGGCAACCAGGCTCTTTTGACAAATGCTGCTTGGATATCGCCCACTTACCTGATATCAACCGGCGGGAGACCACATGGGGTTGTGTTTGAGGTTCGGTTGTTATCGGCGCGAAGGTAGTGTCGTGCAGCTGGTTAGATGTAACCTGGGTAACTGATCGGCGCCTTGGCATGCGATCAGGATCGTGATAGGGACGATAGGCACTGAACGGGCAACTCAATGCGGTAAGCAAGAGTAGCGGCGGCCGGAGGGACAACTCCACCTGCTACCTTTTCGCCGCAATGAGCTCCGTCAAAGGCCGTTGTGACTGTTATTCGCCTGAACAACTGACGAGGACAAGGTGAAGAAGTCAGCTGCTACAGAACCCACTCACCTGGATCTATACCTAACAACCGGTCTCAAGGCCTTGGGTTCAATATGGCTCCACACGCCACATCAGAAGAAGCTCCCAAGACTCTGCCAGAGCGACCACAAGCAGCCCAAGCAAATACAAGCCGCGGCTTGAGGTCTCTTCCAACTTCAAACCCATGTCTGTCTTATTGGCATCGCACGACTCGGGCTTGGCCGTACCTCGACCATAATTCATCAGAACCTGTTCCTTCATCAACGAAGTACTGCATCATAGGATCAGGCCTGGCAGGCTCTTTGACCGCATGGTCACTCGTAGAATCTGGCATCCCACCGAAAGAAATTCTTATTCTGGAAGCGAGAGAAGCTGTCTCTGGGGCGTCAGGCCGCAATGCAGGACACGTTCGACCAGACGCATTTCGAGGCTTCGCGGCATACGAGAGGATCCATGGAACTGAACAGGCGAAGAAGATTGTAGAGAACGAAAAGGTCGTGTTCGAGAGGGTCGATGCTTTCGTGAAAGAGAACAACGTCCCGTGCGATTTCAACTCCACCACGACGTTTGACGTGTGCTTGACCGAGGAATTCGCGCAGTACGAAAAGGAGAGCATGGAGAAGTATCGTGCAGCAGGCGGTGATGTGGCGCATGTGAAGGTCTGGGAAGGCGAAGAGGCGAGAAAGAAGACGCAAGTAAAGGACGCCCTGCTTGCGTACGAGTGGCCGGCTGGGTCCAGCCATCCTGCAAAGTTGGCACAATGGATCCTCACGAAGCTTGTGGAGGATGGAGTCGGGCTGTGGACACACTGTCCAGCGACCGAGGTGGTAAAGAGCGATGCGGGTCCCGGTGCTGCAGTGACTTGGGATGTTAAGACTCCTCGAGGGACTGTGTCGGCAGAGAAAGTGGTCCACTGTACCAACGCCTATGCATCATATCTTCTGCCCGAACTAGCGTCTTTCGTGACACCCAACCGAGCTCAGGCGCATTCTTTCATCCCGACTCGCTCGCTGTCCGGGTCGAACGCGATGAAGAGCACCATGTCGCTGCGGTATAGCCTGCGGCACTTCTTCTCGTTCATCCAAAGACTTGGAGATGGCACGGTCGTCTTCGGTACGTCGAGGGAGAACCCGGAATGGAGCCAGGCGACGAAAGACTCGCTGGTTTCTTTCGACGATACCTCGTACAATGAAGAGGCTGCCAATTCTGCTGCCACAGCTTTCAGAAAACTCTTTCCTGAGGACAACGTGAAGACTCTCAGACATGGTGAAGGCGCTGACCATTACTGGACTGGCGTCATTGGTATGACTCCAGATAGTGTCCCCATGGTTGGGCCTATCGACGGAAAGGAGGGCCAATACATCTGCGCTGGGTTCAACGGCCACGGCATGGCAAGAATATGGGCCTGTTCGCCAGGGCTTGTCAAGGTTATGCTTGGCGAGGACTGGGCAAGCACTGGACTGCCTGAATGCTTCCAATACAGCCAGGCGAGGCTAGAGAGGGCTGCCAAGCAAGAGGTGAAGAGCGTGTGGTAGCGTCCTTGGGCATAACAGTATCCAGTGTCAAATAGATGAATGAGGTTCTCTCGTTCTCCTCACGGCCCGTCTGAGACATTCCTGATGTTTGTGCCTCTGGTACGGAAGTTGGCGGATGGTCGCTGTGCGTATGTATTACGGCGAACTCCTGCAGGTACTGTTCTACTTTAGCCTCATCGGATATGCCGTGCGGCCAACAATGCTGTATCGTTTGATGAAGCTGTTGCGAGGAAGTACATCGCCCTGAGCCAATCGCGGCGGAGATCGGCCGCATCAGTCGCGTTAATGTTCCAGGCGTAGTTACTAACGAATAATCTTTAAGCTATAGTACCTCAAATAACGTAAAACTTTCAAGTAGTACTAGCTTCAAGCTCTATATTTCTATACTTTGGCCTATAATAGAATATAGCAAGAATTCTTATTTCTTAATATACATTAGAATTTAGAATCGACCAATGTTGATGCTCCGCCATTCAGCTCCTGCTGCGCCATTCAGCTCCTGCTGCGCCATTCAGCTCCTGCTGCGCCATTCAGCTCCTGCTGCGCCATTCAACTCCTGCTGCGAAGACCCATTCAGCCCCTTTCGTAGCAGGAGCTGAATGGCGTAGACAAAAGAGTAGCATCGCACCGCTGTGCAACTTCCTCAATGTCTACCGGTTAACAATATTCTCATGTCCTAGGAACGCGAACATGCTGGAACACATCTTAACTCCACGTCAATCCGAATACCAATATGAGCCTCTCGAACAGGGTGAGATCAGATTGCTGACCATCCAGCCTTGTCCACAAGATCAGTCCGTTCCAGTTGTCTGCGGATTGAGCCATGTCTCTCTAGCTGGCCTGGACACACGCCCCTATGAGGCACTGTCATATGTCTGGGGAGATCCTAAGCCTCGCGTTCCGATAAATGTGGATAAGAAGATACTCTTGCTACCTGTGAACAGTGAGAAAGTCCTTCGCCGAGTCGCCTACCCAGACAAGCCGAGAACAATCTGGATCGACTCTGTCTGCATCAACCAATTCGACTTGAAAGAGCGTAATCAGCAAGTCGCTATAATGCGTTCAATCTACGAAGTGGCCACTATGGTCTTGGTGTATATCGGAGATTCGGACGAATACACCGACCGAGCGATTAATAACATGGAGCTTCTCAACCGCGAGATTGATGAAGACGTCGGGAATGATGTCGAAATTATGGTGCCCGACGTCTTCCAGCAGCATCCCACCTTCATGGGGCCTGTCAGAACGGAAATCGATCAAACAGCCCTTCTCTCCTTTTTTGATTCAGCGTGGTTCAGGTAAATGAGAGTGGCAGCGCCTTGAGATCAAACAGCAACTGAGACTTCGCAGACGTCTATGGACAATCCAAGAATATGTGCTTGCCAAACAAACACAGGGCTTGTGCGGAGTCTGGGTCTTTGATCTTGACAAAGCTCTCCGGGTCAATTGCTGGCTATTTCTTTGGCACGGCCCAGCAGCTCTAGCTCTCGCTACTCCGGAATCAACAGTATACGTATCAACAATCTATTCGATAAAGATGGGCTTTCAGCGTGGGATCCGTTTGCCAATATCAAATGCCCTTACGCTCTCTCGATTTCGTGAGGCCCATGATCCTCGCGACAAGATCTTTGGGATGCTTGGACTGTTGCCGCAAGACCAAATGCACGACTCCATACTGCCGAACTATGAGAAGCCCGTTGAGGAGTGCTTTCGAGATGCTGTGAGAAGAAGCCTTCTTACGGACGACCTTCATGTCCTTGATCAAGTATCTCTTCGCGGTATAGCAGACCTGGAGGACAGCAAGTTCCCGTCCTGGGTGCCCCGATTTGATCTTCAATTTACTACTGTTAAGGATCCCAACCCTTGGGGAACATCAAGAACAGGGTACTATGGAGAATCTTCGGTTTCAAGGGACCTAGCTGGGAAGTTCGACGATCCAAATGTTTTGACCCTCCGTGGTTTGCTTCTTTGTGAAGTTTCAAGCACGCCCCGACCTTTCCATTCGGATGACGAAAGATTCATTACCAATTTTCGTGCGTTCCTGGACTCATTCATAGCAGTCTCGGGTGAGGCCGTCCTGGCCCGGACGCTGACCTTTGGTACCAATATAAAAATGCAATCAATGTCAGCGAATGATACCGGCATGCTTTGGGATTGGTGGTCGTGTTTCCAGCAGGACATTGACATTCCAATGCCGGGCGCTACCATTTCGTTGGACACCAAGGAACCTCTCCAGAGGGCATCGCTATTTCAAGCCGCCTTGAGTCACGGTTGTCAGCATGGACAACCAGCGATGACAAGCGATAATGGCATCGCAAATGTGCCAAATCTCGGCCAACCTGGAGACAAGATAATTGCAGCACATGGCGGTAGATGGCCGTTTGTGATACGGCCGAAGGGAGACTTCTATGTACTCATTGGCGAGGCATACGTCGATGGGATAATGCCTTGGCAAGAGCGCTTTGAGGAGATCAACCGGCGAGTAATGGATGTAGGTCAAAATGAAGATTTCAAGTTATGCTAAGCGTGAAATCGGTGGGGGCCAGGGGTCAGAGACGCCCTTCAGTACCACGAGCGATTCTGTCTCCACTGAAATCCACATCTATTGCAGTCAATTCTCCGAAATTATTCCCCAATCTGAACAAAAGGCCTGCACTCTGACATACAGTAGTTAGAATGCATCAGGAACGATTGTACGCTAATGTACGGCTGCCAGGAAGGAACAGGAACAGGCCTAGCGTGCGAACACCAACCCTAGCCTCTCGAGTTTTAGAGCTCCCGTGGTGATGGAGCTGCATCATCGTCCTTCTCCCCCTCCTCACTTCCACCATCACCACCCCAACAACACCCGTCTGTCTTTCGCCTTGCACGGCATTGTTGTCGCATAACTTTCCTTCAGCCTTCCACTCACTTTTGGCGCAAATCGGCGCATCCTTGGGGGTCTTTTTTCAGCTGTTAACACTCGCTCGCGCAACACCCTCCAAACCAATTACCGTCCCTCGCAATGGCCGACCCAGAGACCGAAGTCGTTATCCCCGAGGACGAGACCGCTGCCGATGAAGAGATGGGCGAAGCCGAAGGCGACAATGGCGCAGCCGAGACGGCACCGGGCGGATTAGAAGACATCGAGCCTGAGATACCCGTGCGCACAACCTTCCTCGAGTACGTGCGGCGCAATTGAATAGGTGGAACCAATGGATGCTGATGACGTGGTATTGCTCAGCTACCTGCGATCGCCCATCATCGAGCTGAAAGCCGGCCAAGGCGACGATATCGCAAACCTCCATGCTCACCAAGGCCTCCTCACAGCATCGCCGTTCTTTGCGCGAGAATGCGAGAACTTCACGGAGAACACACGCAACCGCCGCATCGACCTGACTGGCGAGGATCTTGCTGCGACCGCATCCGTCATCGAGTACCTCTACAAGGGCGACTACTTCCCCACTCTCACCGGCAACACCAACATGGAGTACGATGCGACTGTCCCACAGAACGACAACGACGGTGTTGGCCTTCTGCGCCATGCCCGCGTCTACACTCTTGCTAAGAAGTTTGAGGTTCCTCAGTTGGCAGCTCTGGCGCACAGGAAGATTCACCTCACCCAATCCACTGCCAAGGGCGAGATCGCATACGCACGCTTCGTCTACAAGGAGACCAGTCCCGACGACGAGGATATCCGCAAGCCAGTCGCCAACTTCTGGGCCACCCGATCGCATGTCCTGCGTCACGAAGCCGAGCAAGAGTTCAAGAGGATGTGTCTCGAGTTCCCACAGTTCGGTTTCGACGTTCTCAGCTTGGTGCTCGATGCGCAGGAGAAGCGCAGTCAGAGACAAGATGGTCAGAGCAGTGGTGGTGCGGGCAGGAAGCGACAGAGGGTGAGTAATGAATACGTATATGAACTTATTGTGTTGAGTGCTGACTGTTGTTTTACAGACGATTTTGTAAGATGTTTTCAGCCCAATACATGTGGCATTGCTATCTGTATAATATTGGTGTGCCTGGCGCAGCGCATTCGCCAGACCAAGTCGCAAACGACAGATGTAGTGTGCGATATTGCTCGAAATACAATGTTGGCATTTTATGGCGAAAGAATCACGACCATCTCCCGCATCGTAGTCGATTGCTGGAGAGAAAGTACAATGGAGCTCGTAAAGGCAAGAAATCCCGGCTGTATGTTGGACGAGCCGACTTGATTCTATGACACCCTCGCAACATCCTCATCCTTACAATCCAACACAAGATACTCCCCAACCGCATTCGCCATAACCGTCCCGGGCAACTCCATCTTCGCCACCGCCTCCTGCGCCGTCACGCCACTCCCCCAAAAGACAGGAACCTCATCATCCTTCCACGCCACCTCCCCCAACGCCCTCCCATTCCTCGTCACAGGCCTCTCCCCCCACTCCGGCATATCGATATCTCTGATCCCCAAACGCCCCACAGCACCCCAGCCCCAGTCGATCGGCTCCCCGTGCGCGAGCGCAAATGGAGCTGTTACTTGTCTGACTTGCCCGGTTTCCGCGGCGGAGAAAGACCGCATGCTCACTACCATCTCGCAATCGTAGAACGTCCCCGATGGGAATAACGGTTTCCGCGTGCGATACATCGGAGGGTGCGGAATCCTCCCTTCTAGTAGCCCGGCCTGGCGAAGAGCAGCTTCAATACTCCCCTCACTCGCGATCACGAACGCGACGTGGTCATCCTTCCATTCCGAGACTACGTCTTCCATGCCCTGACCGTCAGTAAAAACCTCCCCATCCCTCCACACAGTAAACCCCCCAACATCCCGCCTGAGATCAACATGCTGCCTCAGCAGCACCTCGTCATCCTCCAGCCAGGCGACGCGGGATTTGACGGCGTCGAAGATTCCCGGTTTCGTGCTCTCTGCCAACAGGGGTAGGGCTACGGGGTTTCGCGCGCAGAGGAGGCGGAAGTCGGCGGTGTAGGGGGAAGGGAGGATGAGGATGTGGGCGTGGATGTGGCCTGGGGCGATTTGGGAGAGGTTTATGATTGGGGGGAGGGTGTTGGAGCGGGCGGCGAGGCGGGCGGAGGTTCCTGTTTTGATTGCTTGGGTGGTCATGGTTGTTTCGTCTTTGTGTGGGGAGTGGATGGTTCGGTCTTTCTCGCTATGTCTGCTTGAGATTTGCGTAGTTGTTGAGATTATGGTGCTCGCCCGCACATATGAGGGAACGTTTTTAAGGTCATGGACTGAAGTTCATAGACACGCTGCTGCTTGCATAAATCTATGTATCATAACGAGAGAACGATTCACTATGAGATTTGGAGGAGAAAACAAACTAGTGAGGGGTTGCTGAAGCTAGTTTTCTGCAGCTCCACTTCAGGCCATCAATGTCTTTTGATTCTATGGATACTCTTATTTGGTCTTGCCAAGATTGATACCTTTGATATTTGATCTTTGAACAGGAGACTCGAGACTCTGCAAGTTCGACTAGTGAGATGGAGAGTGATACTCGTGGGGCTCGGCCATCGTACAAGTAAGAGACTTTGAACGTTTGACTGTGACATTGGGCAGCAATATCTCGTGCTGCAAAAGATCGCGTCGACAACAACTCTTCTTGTGCCCGTCAAGCGTACGCTGTTGAATAACGATGAACGCCCTTTCAAATGCGTGTGCAATGTCCTCTTTTGAACCCCCCCTTCCTTTCCCCCCTGCCATGGTATAACCAAACAACGCCAGAGACGACTCTCCCTCTCAAACATGCTCCTAACTCGTAATGTTCTGACTGGGCTGGAGCTGCTTGACCATGTCGTACCACCCACCACCACCAAATTGCGCCTTGCTTGGGCCTTTATTCTCGAACCCCAGCTTCTCATAATACGGTATGAGATGTTCGTGTGCGATGAGCGCCGCGTTGTCCGCCACTGACTGGTTCTCTATCCGCTGCAGGTAAGCCTTCAACAGCGTCTTGCCGAGTCCCTTTCCTTGGTATTGGGGTAAGATGGCCAAGCTGTGGATGCACACCGTCCGGCCCTCCTCCTTGTGGCCCAACTTTGGGTCCGGGTTTTGCGGTGTAGGGTAGGCCATGTCTTCATCGGTCACAACCAGCGTCGTTGTCTTGGTGGCGACGATGTGACCGAGAAGCACGGCTTTGCGTTCAGGAGCACCGCTGTACACAGGGGCCGATGTCTCTCCTGTTGGGAGATTGGAATCCTTTAGCGAGGTGAAGATGCCCATGCTGAGTTCGCCACAGTTCCTCAGGCGGTATTCGAACTATGATGGATTAGGATCTGGGTGTAAGCAATCGGTATGTGCAGGGATGAGGTGACGTGAAACAACAGGTCGCACAGGTGGCATGACAAAAGCGGGCTGTGAACGCTTTGATGCCCAATGCAAGGGAGGACATCAACACAATAACACAACAGATGTCGTTTTGGGGTGAGTAGCCGCCAGTTGAATGCGGTCACGTGGAGGTGTTGTCGATCAAGTGCAGATGTCAAGAAGTCGCGGCAGAGCGCTAGGGAAGAAAGCAGACAACGCATACCGCAGGCAGTGTATCACCAACATGTCATTGCGACCGGGTGGCGCTGCAAAGGGACTCACCTTTTCTCGAGTACATCTTTCCTGCGGCGGGAAGGTGGCTTCCTCCAGGCGAGTGCAGCTCTCGACGTCTGACAACGACAGTGTCTGGCAGTAGGGATGGATGTCGTCGCGCAGTCGGTTGGGCTGTGAGGCATCGCTCGTGTGTCCGTCGTCGGAGGCGTCCATTGGCGGTTCGCGTTCGATGTTGGTTGCTTTGTTGGATTTGGAGAGACCTGCCATGCCTGAGAGGGTATTCTCATTAGCCAGGGCAGACAGATCACGAGGCATTGTCTCGAACAGGAATGCGGGTGTCGATGGGGGTGGTCTCAGTTTCAGGTACTGGTGGTGTGGATGGATGGCGAGTTTATGTGATGATGGTGTTGCGATATTGCTGTGGCACGCAGAATGCAGCATGCACGCCGGCGATCAGAGATGACGCTGCGGTGGAGTGGATTGGAGTTTCAGGCAGGCGCAGACGCAGATGTGATGCAGTAGCTCCTGCCTTAGACTGCATCCACACAGACGAAGCCACGAGGGACTGGAGACAAATGTGCCGAAGTCGCACGTGTCGCTCCTTCTGCACCACCAGAGCTCTTTCCGGATTGGGAGCTGTCGTCCGTAACTGCGGCAGCTGCGATGGAGATTCAGTCTTGATGATGTTGACACGATGGACATGGAGTGAGGTGCAGTTCTGGCCTCGTCTATTCTTAGCCCCTCGCGTTCCGATGAGATGACGACGATCTCGGCACGATGGCCGCCGAACGTGGGGCAGATGCCGAAGCGCGCAGGCCGAGCGAGAGCTGCAGACAGCCGGCGGGCGAGGATGATCCAGCAGCGGCGATGATTGTCTGGTAACCAGGCGAGCGGATGGGCCGCATGCGCAGTGAGTAGCAGCAGCAACAGCAATACAACGCCGCCAGCACCTTACCGCCTCTTCACCGAGCCGGCCGGTGCCACGTGAGAGACGACGGCCATCAGTGTATATTCGACGCCGACGCCACACCAGCTGACGGCCTGACTTGACTCGCGCCGGTGGGAGCTTGTCCGCACTTCGTCACCGGTGCTGCGTCTGCTGCTGCAATTCATTCATTCATTCACTTACCTACGCCCTCACCACCAGCCGCCACCTTCTCGCACGTTCCAGATCAGACAAATCAAGCCCGTCCAGCCCGCATTAGTCAGTCATGAGACAACGGTAGCATCAAATCAACCACCACCATCACCATCCGCCTCCCCACCGACACCCACCCAGCGTAGCAGCGCCCGGCCAAGCATTTCCGTCAACTCGCCAGTCTCCCGCCGGGTGTCACTCTCCATCTCCGCCATTCCGCCTCCCAGCCTGTCACCGAGCCGCTCCCTCATCTCCATCAGGCGACGTGCATAACCACCGTCGACAACGCAAGGAAAGCACAACCACTTCACCCCTCTCCCAAACGGCAACATGTGAGTACAACCTCCTACCAAATTCCCAATACGGCCCATCCGCCAGCACCGTCTCACCGTCAAACCATACCTGTGTTACCGGGTTCCACTCCAGTGCTGACCTTTTGTCACTTGTGCAGGCCGCGAGTCACCATATCTATCATCGCCCCCAACCATGAACTCGACCAAGAACTCCTCACCCTCGACCTTCCCCCCGGTCTTTCGATAGCCGACCTCAAAGCCTTCGTCACCGCCGAGACCAACTTCCCCCAAGCGACTCAGCAGTTCTACCTCAACAACCAAGTCATCTCCGGCGACAACAAGACCTTAGAAGAAGCTGGGATCAAGGATGGCGACATGCTAGCTATGCTCATGCGTCAGCCACAGCAACAACAGAACAACATGGGGTCACAGCGACGTCAGCCGCAACAGCAGCAGCAGCAGCAGCAGAGGGGACCCACGAGCCCGCAAGAGATCGAGACCACTCGTCTGAGCATACTGGGAAACCCAGGCGCCATGGCTCAAGTGCGGTCGAACAAGCCAGCACTGGCAGAGGCCATCAACGACAGCGAGCGCTTTCGTGAGGTGTGGTTGGAGATGTTGCGAGAAGATGCGGATCGTGAGAACGAGCGGATGGAGCAGATGAGGCTGCTGAACGAGGACCCGTTCAACATCGAGGCACAAGCAAAGATCGAGGAGATGATCCGGCAGCAGTCGGTGCAGGAGAATCTGCAGTTTGCATACGAGCACAGCCCAGAGGGTACGTTAATATACCGCTGCCAAGACTGACGTATGATGGACTAACAAATGTGATGTGTAGTATTCGGCAGAGTGACGATGCTCTACATCCCTGTCCAAGTCAACAAGCATCCTGTCAAGGCCTTCGTCGATTCCGGTGCCCAAACCACAATCATGTCACCCTCCTGCGCAGAGAGCTGTGGTATCATGCGGCTTATCGACAAGCGCTACTCTGGTATTGCCAAGGGCGTTGGTACTGCGCAGATTCTAGGTCGAGTGCATTCAGCACCTATCAAGATCGGCAACGCGACCATGTCGTGTTCATTCACTGTCATGGAGGGCAAGGACGTCGACCTACTTCTCGGACTGGACATGCTCAAGCGGTTCCAAGCCACGATCGACCTCAAGCAAAACAAGCTCATCTTCGGTGACGACAATGAGGTGAGCTTCTTGGGAGAGGCCGACATTCCAAAGTATATGGAGGAAGCCGAGCCCACCATCGCTGGACCAAACGGCACAGAGATTGGCGCTCAGTCGGGCACCGTCAAGCCAGCTGGAAGCTCCAGTGCTGCTGCATCGTCTTCTGGCACGAATGGCTCGTTCCAGGGTCAAGGTCAGACGCTTGGAGCAGGAAAGGCACCTGCAGGATCGAGCACACCCGCAGCCTCGGCAGGTGCGGCGCCAGCAGCATCACGGCATCCCAAAGAAGCCATCGATCAGTTGATAGGGCTGGGATTCAACCGGCAGCAAGCCATTGCAGCGCTGGATGCGTGCGATGGCAACGTCGAGTATGCGGCTGGTCTTCTGTTCCAAGGCTGAGTTCCTGTCTTTCGCAAATTGTGATTCAACGACAGGCATCAGATACCCGAGCTTCTTCTACATGCTTGCCTACCGTCAATTTCGACGGAACGAATGCCATAGCTGGACTATTATTGGGAGTAGACTTATGATAGTATCCATATCACAAGCTACCACACGCAGCAAGAGCTTGCTTGGTGGCACGAAACAACTCAACCACAAAATTCGTGCGGTGATTTTACTTGCACTGCTAGCTTAGTACAGTTACTGTGGCACGGTAATGTTTGTCTTCGTTCAACTATAATACCCCTGTCTTGTGCTACCCCATTCACTTGGCCATCTCGTCACGAGCCAGAGAGTGTTATGCGGAGGAATGTTCGAGCGGGTAGTGCAGCAAACTCAGATGTTACGAACGAGACGTGGAGTGAGTTGCGAGACGTTTTCCAGAAGCATCAACCTCTTCGCAAATATCTCTAAGTCTTTCGTTCCCTGCACTCACACCAACAAGGCTGCTTGTTGGTGCCTCAGGCCACCAAAATTCCTTTGCCCCGCAGCTTCCGCCGCCTTTCACTGCACCTCACCTCTCACGCGACCTTCCCCTCTCATCAACCCTGGTTCGTTTTCATCGCTTGTCCACTTCTACTCGACATATCACTTGCGGGCTGATTGAGGCTGCGTCGCCTGGATAACGATCCGTGATGCTACTGGACCAGGCCATCTCTCTCCGCATAAGGCACCCCTGAGCGCAGTCTTCACCGGCGCTCTCGACCAACGGGCAGTGTGAAAAGATGGACAACGTCCCGCAACCCAGACGGCCTTGGAAGAACAAGGCCGACTTTTTCAAACCTTTCCGGACGGCTGCTGCTGCGAACGCTTCTTCTTCTTCTTCAACCCCATCGTATGAAGCGACGCCATTGACCGCTGGAACTGGAGCTGAAGTGGGAGAGAACATATCGACTTTCTTCTATGATCCAGCCGTCTTTTCTCGGGATAGACACATCGACACGGAGCCGGATCTGAGGGATTTGAATAATGCACTGATTGCGCTGGTCGATGTGTTCCCGGATGTTCAGCCGGAGGTTCTGCGCGAGATGTTGCTAGGCGTTTCTGAGGAGAGCCGTTTGCAAGTGGTCACGGAGCATCTTGTGCAGAAGAAAGCGAAATGGGTTAGGGGACGGTACCGTACTCCAGCGAGTAGTAGGAAGCGCAGCGATGAGTCCAAGAAGACAAAGTCACGGCCGGCAGGCGTGCAACTGCGTCTGGAGAATGAAGACATGTTCCGGAGCGAGGCGTACAAGAAAGCCGTCAAGCAGGTCCTGTATCAGGAGTTTCGAAGTCTGAGCCATTCCACGATCAAGGGTGTTCTTGCCGAGCAGAATTTCTCGTACATGTTTGCGAGGCCGGTGTTGCAGCAAGTAGCGAGTCGATCATGGCGTTTCTCGATTTCAAACTTCTGGAACAAGCGCAGTCAAGCCGATGCGCATCCCTATATTATGTGGCAGACCCATGGGAGTGTGGATGGACAGGCTGCGACACCGGCTGTGAAGCGGACTGGGAGTGTGGAACTGGACCACGAGTTGTACGAACTCTTTGTTGAGCCAATCGTGAGAAGACAGAGGCAGGATAGAATCCTTGCGGACTACACGACAGCATGCGAGGTCAACGAGGCGGAGGCCGAAGATGCAGAGGCGCTGTTCGACTGCGAGTGCTGCTACAGTTCAGTGTCATTCGAGAAGATTGCGACTTGTGACGATGGGTGTCATTACTTGTGCTTGGACTGCATTCGACGCACAGTGAACGAAGCTCTGTACGGACAAGGATGGGCGAGAGCGGCGGACCTACACAAGGCTACTGTGCGCTGCTTTGCTCCCCTATCTCAGGACTGCCAAGGATCAATACCTAGCGATCTGGTTAGAAGATCTCTTACGCAAGGGGCGGATAATGATGATGCGTGGAGAGACTTCCAGGCCAGAGTCACGACGGAGACACTCCTCAAGTCTGGCCTTTCACTTCAGCGCTGTCCGCTATGCAGCTACGCCGAAGTTGATGAACCGCCGTCACCAAGAATTCGCCACCCCAAAGCCATCTTGAACCACGTCTCGACCAAAGCACCACCAGCATTCCAAATCATGTTCATCGCCCTCTTTACTCTCTTGGCAATATTCACACTACCGGTCCTCCTCATCCTCGCACTCATCTGGATACTCACTCCGCTGATCCCACCCCTCAAAGCCCACCTCCAACGCTCCCTCTCCCGGATCCACACCCACCGCCGCGGCATCCGCTTCCAATGCCAAAACCCAACCTGCACCCACCTCTCCTGCACACGCTGCCTCGCCCCTTGGACTGACCCACACATCTGTTTCTCCAACGAGAAACAATCCCTCCGCACCGCAATCGAAACCTCCACCACCCACGCCATCAAACGCACCTGCCCGCGCTGTCTCCTCTCCTTCGTCAAATCCTCCGGCTGCAACAAACTCGTCTGCAACTGCGGCTACACCATGTGCTACATCTGCCGACAAGAGATCACCAGCAAAGAAGGCTACGGTCATTTCTGCCAGCATTTCCGACCGAACGGGGGACGATGCGGGGAGTGTGAAAGGTGTGATTTGTATGGGGATGAGGATGAGGAGCTTGTGGTCAGACGGGCGGCGGAGGAGGCGGAGAGGAAGTGGAGGGAAGAGAGGGAGGGGACCGGTGATGAGGAGGGGAAGGAGGGGGAGGGTCAGAGGATGATTGAGGTGCTTGTTGGGGGGAGGAAGGTCAATTGGTGGGAGGAGTGGTTGGATTGGGGGGTTGATGCTGTTGTGGAGTGACTCAATGTTCAAGAGGTTTGTCGATGATTGAACGGAGATTTTGACGCGTGGTTGCAGTTTCTGAGTAGCTATGGCATCTTCTCTTCGTTGCGTTAATGCCTGGATGTCTATCATCCCTCTTGCCGCTCAATGCTCGCCCGCGTCTTCGCTGATTCGGTTCTCAGTTTTTGCGAACGATTTTCCATGCTCTTCACCGGCCTCAAAGTAAGACCACAGCCAATCCAAGACTTCGATGAGATGGCGCTGGGTTTCCGTTGTTGGAACAAGCGATCACATCAAGTCGGCACCTGACGACCGAGCGCGGGCTGTGGGTAGGTTGCCGTCGTGACAGGCCGACAGTCAACCTCGTAGCGCTTGGCTGCGAGCTGCTGGGTATCCTCCGCCGTCATCTCATGCCGCAAGCCTGCTGTCGTCATATACTCCGCGGTGACCTCGAATGCCGGCCGGTGGGCTTTCTCGATGTGTATCTTGAGCCCCCGAAGGCCGTTGAGCACCCGGAATCCGTTGCTCGAGCCCTTTTTCGTCGACCGACCGCAGTTACCGTGGCAGATCGGGCACTCGAGCTCGAGCGTGCGACCTGTCTCTTGGTCACGTACGATCAAGCCGTACAGCACGACGTCGGTATCGATACGCTTGAATTGGTCCAACTTGGTCGGAGTGGCGCCGGTGTAGGTCGTGGGGACTTTGCGAGAAGTTCCGCTGGGCGTCGAGGGGGTCTGTGGGAAAGGTCAGTTGGGGCTCGAGATGAGGCTCTGGTGGAAGACTTACTGGGCTCTGCTGATGGCCACCCTGGGACGAAGCTTGTCCGCTACTTGGGGTACTGTTGGTCGCGCCTGGGTTCGGGACACCGCCGTAAAAGTGCTGCTGCGCGGCGGGCTCGGGGTGCTCACGTATGGCTGCTGGTAGCTAGACGTACTCTGCGACGTGCTGGTGGGAGTCGGAGTGGGGGAGGCGTCGAAGGGCGTCTGTTCAAGATACCATTAGCTTGTGCTACACCACCGTATGTGGTCGAGTACGTTACCTGAGAGCGACTGGCATCTGCACCGCCGTTCTGGATCGCATTGATCTGCTGCATGACCGACTCCAGCTCCAGCAGACGTTCGCGGCGCTCGTCCTCGTTCTGCGCCATGTCCATCAGCTCTTCGGTGAATCTCTTCTCCTCGCGCAGGTCTCGCAGACGCTGTGCTTGGTTGTCCATGGCTGTGTGATGCGGGAGCAGTGTGTGGTGGTTGATGAAGAAGCAAGCAAGGAAGCGAAGCCGCAGTTTTGGAAAGCAAAACAAGAAGCCGACAGAATTTAATGGAACGTGTCCTCTAGGCGGCAGGGTCTGCCAGTGAAGCAAGCGGTTGCAAACGGCGAGAGAGTTGGTGTACGCGCTAACGAAATTGCCCAAAGAGGGAATTCTTCATGTGAAAGTTGGCGTGTGGTTGGAGCTTGTATATACCGCCTTTCGCCTCAGTACACGACGAACATGGACCTTGCTTTATGATGTTCTCTGGCCGATATAATTAAGCGATTTCTGTGTCAGACTGATTTGTGAGATTTGTGTTGGGCGGCATATACAGAGTCAATCTCGAAGGCACGATGTTCTTGAGAGCTAGGATGAGACATCAAGGAAAATCAACAACACCCGTTTCATGCTCGCTGTTAAGCTACAGGTGCCCGAAAGTGACAACGCCGATAAGCAAGACCTGGTCACGAAGTGAATGATGTCGCTGCCTGTGTGCTCGACTCTCGCACTAGCCCACTATCACAAGCGACCGTGGAGATGGATATCCTTTCCACGCCATCATATACCAGCATCACTCCGTGTCCACGTTTACGCTCCCTCCTCAAGACCAAGCCGCTTCGCGAAAATCACAGCCGCATAGGCACCACAAGCAACAGCCAAAGCAACATAATCGTACACTCCAACGTGGACCTTCTCCTCGCAACAGAAAAGGAACGACTTCTTGTTGACCGTGGCGATACGAAGGCCGGTGAGGATGAGAAGAATTTTCGAGACATCGTAAATCATGCGGCATCGGTCGTAGAGGTCCCGTCGTGCAAGATTGAAAATCCGATGTTCCGGATATGCCGACCAAAGTACTAGGTAGAAGCCCGTGCCGACGGTGGTCATGACCAGGAACTGTATAGCTTTTGCATTCTGCTTTTCCGTCATTTCCAGAGGCGATTGGCGTCCGCGGTCTCTGAAGTATTGGTATGTGTAGGGGACGAAGGAGAAGAGGACTAGGAGGGCAAGGACAATGTAGTGACTTAGTGTGAGGCCGGATCGAGGCTGGGGCTTTTCGTTGGTTGGGATAGTTGTCTCGGACTTTGCTTGAGAGGCCATGATGTCGTTGGTTGAAGCTATGGTGTTGTTGGTCGAGGTCATGGTGTCGTTGGTCGGGGTGATGGTGTCGTGGGTTGGTGCTTAGTTGGTTTCGGTAGGAAGAGAATGGTAGTTTGGTGTGAGGTGTGGTGAGGAGTGCATCCACTGCAGCTCATTCTTTCGAGTGTTGGGGCGTGTTGTTGGCGCCAGTCACCTGTCGTTGCTAGAACATTTGCTGTCGTCCTTGTGGCGCTCTCAGGAATCACTCTTTCGCATCAGGTGGGCCCGACCCAAGCCACTCCGAGCGCAGTCGGGTGAGGTCGAAGAGCTGGTCACGCTTGAGGTAAACACAAGTGCATTGCCCATGATCAAGCAACCTCCGTTTCCTACTCTCGAAGGCGAACCAAAGTAATCGGCGGAGCAGGCTCTCTAGTCTTCATCTTGATCTCAACAATCCCAGAAGCCTCCATGAAATTCTTAGTCTTCAAATATCCGTAATTGCGAGCATTCAGGTCCGGCGAAAGCTTGATGAGATGGGTACCAACATCTGTGAGATTTACGAAGTCGCTTTCGTAGATCTTGCTGCTGCGGATTGCTTTTCGGATGCCGTCTAGTGCTGCCTTGTCGAGTGGTCTCGGGCCAGGCTCTATTCGTGCAGAGGCCGGAGCAGGCAGGGGTAGTGCAGTTGGCTGATAATGAGGAGGTATCTTGGACCTTGTTGGCGAAACCTGTCGTATGGGGAGAGATCTGTCCGGTATGGCAGGCGTGAAATGCGAGGACGGCTTCTGGGGCGTTACAGACGGCAATGCCACAGGCTCACTCGGCTCATCTGTTTGCACAGACAGAGCATCCAGATAGATGGACTCGTTGCAAGCTGCAATCAAAGCTCTGTGCGAGTTGCTTCTGTTCCCGAAGCCGTAGACAGAAACTCCTTGTTCACGGATTCGTGCAGCAAGACGGGTGAAGTCGCTGTCGCTTGACACGATGCAAAAGCTGGAAAAGCGGCCGGTGTAGAGGAGATCCATGGCGTCAATGATCATCGCTCCGTCTGTAGCGTTCTTGCCAGTCGTGTATGCAAATTGCTGAATAGGCACGATTGAATGCTCGAGCAGACACTCCCTCCAGCCTCTCATCTGCGGATTTGTCCAGTCACCGTAGATTCTCTTCACACTTGCCGTTCCGTAGTTGGCCACTTCCGCCATCAGGCCAGCAATATTTCTGAACGAGATATTGTCTCCATCAATCAGGACCGCCACATTGTCGCCATCGCTTGCTGTCTTCATTTTGCGGCGTTGAAGAGGTTGTTGTTGTTTGCAGCATTTGTTGGTGCAGGCGGTCTGTTTGTTTGACGAAGAGGGAATAGAAAGAGCTCTGCCAAAGGGTTCGCATCGAGATTAGCGTAGTTTTGAGAGGGCCGAGGCTGCTTGAGATAAACATTCATTCACTGACTTGACGCTAGTTGGCTGCCTCATGAGCGATCGGCATGCTCGGAGCATCGCTGGCTCAGCACCTTCTGTTGCCTTCATGGAGATTTCGTCTTTTCAGTGATCTTCACTTCCCAGAAACGTCTCTCATATCGGTCTACTCAAGTCTCTTCCATCTCTATGTACGTCTTGCCCCGGCTGACATCTTAGGCAGGCTGCAAGAGTGTAAGCTGGCCCTATTAACACAAAGAATATTCATGATCCTCATACTAGTACTCTGTAATCTATAATAGTCAAACAGTCCAAAAAAGTCTACGGTGAGACGATTCGATGACCTGTAGGATACGTAAACTCTCTTCTCCACTGGACTGGCAGTGAGCATTCAAAGACGACAGACCTCTCGCCCTTGATTTGCAGTCAAGGCTCGCCGTTTTTTCTTCCACTTCCCCGGAGGATGGTCTCCAAAACGTCATGCCGATAATTCTGCCCTTGTCTAAATCTTACTACTCTCCACCTTTGGAGTTTCATTGAAGACAAAGTAACCCTAACATCTAGTCAGTAACGATTCAGAAGCTCCAGGGAATGACTGCCAATATACCTCTTGCTCTCCAGTCGCTATCAGCTTCCCCCTAGTGTCCCATATCGTAATCCCGATTGCTGCCCTCCTGCCCTTCGCCCACTTCGTTACGCACTCCATGAGTATCCCTTCGTGGACATCGAAACCCTCGGTCACGCAAAAGTGCAGGGTATGACTGAGCGTACTCAATACCTTTATTTTCGTTGGGTTGAGTTTTGGCGAACTGGACCTGTCACCGATTGGTCGAAACCCGAAGTCGATGTCTTGTACCGTCAGTGGCGTGTCCAGCGTGTAGAAGTCGGAGAAGAAGCGTGTGGCGACCAGTTGCGCTTTTGAGGTTGTGTTTGGGAAGAGTGTTCGGAATTTGATGCGGTATTTTCTTTGAGATATCTCTTCGTCGTCCGAGACACTGAGTCTGATGTTGCTGATCGCAGGATATGCCGTGTTCGCTGGCCAGCCCTTTGGCTTTTTTGCGATGACGCCGTACAGGCCTGCGTGGCCGTCATCCAGTCCTAGGTCGGTCGGCGTGGAGGCTGCTGCTAGCGTCTCGCTTGAAGGCTTGGGAACATGGTCGAAGATTTGAGGAGTCCGGTCCTCAGGCGCTGGTCCGGTAAAGTTGAATGTGTTCATGACTTTGACGACTCCTTTCTGCTTCGCTTGGACGACACGGCATGCAGATCTCGACGTTGTCGTAACTCGTTGCACTTCATATTGAATCGGCACGCTCTTCATGCCAGCGCCCAGGAATCGAGAATGCACTGAGTGTAGGGAGAAGTTTTGTGGCACAGTCTCGTAGGCTGCTAGCGCAGCCTGACCCATCACGACAGAGCCCATGAGATGAGGGACTCCATTGTGTCCCCAGGCTTCATAGCGCCCTGTGTAGGAATCTTTCCCATCCGTCGGTACGACTGAAAGCTGCTGCTCGAGCTGCAGAGGATGGTCAGAACTCATGTTGCGTGCGTGGTCTGTGGGCTCGAGCGGGGCTGCGATCTCAAGAGATTGAGCTCCTCAAGATGCCGGCTCACAGCGAACAACGAGAAATGCAGATTGTCTTGGCTTCAAAAGCTTTTGGAGACCCAGATCATCTAATCGTTCACCCAAAGAATTAGTAGGTTGCGGAAGTTCGGGATTTGTGTTGGTCCAGCTTCTGACCGAGGTCGAATCCTTGATCTGCTCTAGTCTTACGTGAGACGAAGCTTATTAGGTCATGGGTTCAACAACAAGTATCGTCGTACAATTGACCAATGATGCAATGGTCGGACGGACACGCCGAGCTGGCAAGTTTTCTGTCTCCAATCTCCAGTGATTGAGATACCAAATCAGTGACACCGGGGACGCCGATCCTTGCATCCTGTCCGCGACTGGTCATGACCTAAATGGGACAGCCTTGTAAGCTTCAAGTACAGGATAGCTTCGTATTTGCGAATGGAGGCAGACGAGCTTCGAAGAATGATTGACCAGATGCGTGGAAATCTTTGTCACAGCATTTCAGGCTTATGTTGGCTATCTTCATTCCCACTGATAGCTTTAGCAGAAGAGGTGTCAACAGCGCAGGACATTGGCATGTAAATCTCAGCCGTACGCGGGGATATTAGCCTGGTCGACACTCAAACACCGTACTACTCCCCTAGAAGAAGTGATGAAACCTCGGGTCATTCGCAGGCCTACTTTCATTCTACTTCTAGAGTCTTGTGTCCCGTACGACTCATTCATGAAAGTGGGGAAAAATTTGAAATTTACTTTTAATTTGCGGACATTGTCATTGATTTTGTTTACGAAATTTGAGACTATCTGCCTCATAACCTCCCCCTCTTGACCTACGGCAGCTCATCCAAGATCCCCATTCTCTATCGTCGACCCTAGACTTCCGTCATCAAAGTCTCCTCCTCGGTCACCTGGCCAGGCTCAGTCATCATGGCATAGATCTTCTGCAGGCTGCGATGGATGCCAAAGCAGATCAGAACCGCGAGGCCAACGACCACAATCAGTCCCGAGACGAGCAAGTCCGGGACCTGTGAGGCGAAGTCCTCGCTGTTTTGAGCGTAGACAAGGTACGCGCTGTATCTCGATGCGAGAAGAACGAGAGCGCAGATGTAGAAGAAGAATGCCGAGACCGCGCTGAGCAGGTGAAGGCAGCGAGCTGAGTTGGATCGTGGGATAGAAGGGCCCTGAACAAAGTCTGTCGATGCAGAGTATGTGGGCAGCGTTGAGTCGGGTGGGTAGAGTGTGTGGTAGCTTGGTGGCAGGATGCTGTGGTATGATGGCGGTGGAGTCATGTTGCGCGATGGTGAAAGTGGCATGTTGTCGTTCTTGTTAGGGTTGGTCTGGAGATGGAGAGACTTTCGAGCCTTGAGCGGTATTTATGTACTGATGTTGACAATGTGTTGTCGTCGGGATTACATTCACTCGCATGCGCAATGGGTTGTGTGTTACTGTTGAATAGCATTGCGGCTCGAGTGCCAATATGCGTTCATTTTGCCGCACAGAGATACCACATAGTCTTGCAATCTTTCTACTCACGGGTCCAAGAATGTAGAGAACAATGGATTCAATTTGAAAGCCTCGCGTAGTATTGGGACTCGCGGAACAAAGCATCCACCGAGGTCTCCTGGAAGTCGTCCGGTGAGTTGGACAAAGAACCCTTCACATTGTAGTCAGAAAAATTATCGCTTAAAGGCGACCAAGAGGGCGTTTACACTCGTACCGTCGCAGCGGAACAAGGCCACGCTGCAACAGAGCAAACTCTCCACTCTGGAAAAGAATAATATTGGGTGACTCTCTTGCTGACAATACTTGAGCAGAAAATCAGCGTTTCGTTTTCAGCTCATACTCGTTATTGCGAATATTATCCCTGTGCCTCAGCCTCCTCATGGTCCAGAATATAGAGGCAAACACTCACGTCGACATTGATACAAACGCTAAGAGATCAACTCTCCCTTATCTGGTTCTCGTAGACTGCATGCTTCTACGGAGATAAGAGCTAAAGATCTTCATGAGCAGTGGCCAAGATGAAGTACAATCCTGCAGCTGAGGTTCGACATCCACCACGATGTCAGAAAGTTCAAACTGCAAAGGGTCATTTGTCTCGTAGGCGTTGAAGGGGGACAAAGGAAGAGCACTATCGGAAGGAACAAAGGGTTACTTTTGGAAGTGCGTCGACTCCCGTCATATCCAATTATCTCAGAAGGCTTCCCCCTCATAACTTGTAAGACCATTCCTTCAGTCTTTGCTCTGATATCGATCCACAGGACATCGACGTATCGACGCCGCGGCAGGTAGTCTAGTTGGCCCGTTCTCCACCCCAAACTCCGAGCTTTCACCTCTTCAGCCTCCAAGACTTAGATATCGTGTACCCAGGAATACCAGTCTCTGGATCCTCCCTGGCGTAGTCGTGTTGTGAAGTATCTCATGCTCCTGACTCGGCAGAACCTCAGAATGCCGTGACCCACGAGAGCCTCCGCGCTGGATGCTCAATGCTCCTCTTCCTCTTCAGGCCTGTCCAAAGCCCTCTCCAACTTCCTCAAGACCTCCTACTCCCGCATCCACTGTCCAAACGCTTCCACCGCAGTCGCAATCAAGCAGGCGCCCACCACCACGTAGAATGCTGCTTCAATGCGATCGAGACCTCCCGAAGCCGTAACGTCGTGATTGAGGCCATCCAAACCAAAGCAGAGACAGATGACGCCACCTGCGAAGAATATTCCAATGCTCAGAGCCCAGTTGAGGACGGTGTCTTCGTCCCAGAGCCATGCCCAGCACTCTGTAGCTGCCGTCCCAAGCAGCAAGTCTCCCACCATGATGTAGAACGCAGCGTCGATGAGTTCGTAGCCCCCGTTCCTCAAGGTGCCAAATGCGCAGCAGAGACAGAAGACACCGGCGTGGAAGGCGGCCGCGATCCGGAAAAGCCACTTGAAGTTGACGGACGAGTCAATGGAGGAGATCATGTCGCTTGCCGTGTATAGTTGGGTGATGGCGATCGTGGTGCTTTTGCGTATTGCAGTTGATGTCGAGACTCATAAGGCGAGCAAAGAGATGAAGTAGGTGTGTCTGGAGCTGTAGACGGCGATGGCGATGGCGGTGAGAACTGAGATCACGCAGGAATCAAGGGTATCATCGCCGGTGCCCTTGAAGATGCCAGTGATCTTGATAAAGGTGGTGAAGAGAGTGGCAATGAACCAGATCTTGGCTCGCTGCGTGAGGCTTATGGATGCCGAGGTTGGAGGATCCATCGCGAAGCAGACGGAGTCCGCGATCGGCGTCGAGAGGGTTGCCTTGGAGAGATGTAGGCTGGCAGATCTTGCGGATGAGTTGTGTTTGGAGTGTTGATGCACAAGAAAAGAGAACGTGGAAGTGCAAGCTGGCAAACGCGCTTCGAGGGGCGCCTTCGGGGGTCCAAGCTTGGCAGTCACATGAAGATCTAATTCTTCACTCATTCCGCGAGTCACGCAATAAGTTTAGGCAGCAGTTGTCGATACATATCTAGGCCGGGATGAGAGAGATGGTCTTCGTTCACGTCTTTGCACGAGCAGTGGGAAATGTTTCTCGAAACTCTGTGCTCATACGGGGATGTGGCAATTTCAATAGTACGTGGAGCACCACATGTGCCAAAAAGAACCAAAGTGCCCGTTCTTTTTGACGCAATACTGCGATGTCCAAGTTCCCTTCTTCAAACAGCAAGGCATTCCATGGTCTCAAGCCTCGCGCTGCAACAGAGCCTCCGCAGCTGCAGATTGTTTCTGCTCACCCAGCGAACGCGACGAATCTTGCCCATTTCCTTCCTCATCCGAATGTCTTTGTCTCTTTGTGTGTTTCATTGCCGCGACAGAGAAATGGGAGTCATATAGCAGAGACCCTTGTTTCATCTGTCCTCCATCGAATCCCCTCACGGACCTGCAACCTGCTTCCCGGCTCCAAAGATTGCCACCACAGAGAATCCCAGGCCTCAATTTGTGACATGCCACCTGAAACATGTAATCCAGAGAACGGCAAAGAGACCGAACATCACGCCGAGAAAGAAGCCGGCGTAGAACCCGATGGCGGCACCAAAGCATAACATGCCCAGGAAGAGGCCTTGCGCACAGGTGTGAATGATACAACCAAGCCATCTCGCTTGACAGTACGGTAGAGTGTGACGAGTGGTGTCTTGGATGTGGCCGGCGCCAGACGCGCCGTGGCCGTCATTGTGGTGGGAATCGCGTGGCGGCTGGTCTGGAGCGGGTGTTTGGCGTAGAACTGCAGATACCGCCGCTCGAGAAGCTCGACATAGTAGACCCGCGGAGTCAATTCCAGCCGGTGAGACTCTGGATTGTGTCTCGTCGTAGCGATTGAGAGGCTGTATGACACGCGTCGGTGGTGGGTGTTGGGTAGCGACGGATTGCTCTTGAGAGGACCGGTGGCCTGGATGAGGGTAGATGCTGTAAGGTGGTGGGGGAAGGTCGAGATACGTGTTTGGAAGAGCGGGGGGGTTGGAGTTGCTTGCCATTGCGGTTCAGGGGCAGCAGTCAATTGATGAGGGCGGTGTCTTGGTTTGGTGTTGGTTGGATGAGGCCGAGCGGGTGGGTTGTTGCTGGTGTTGAGAGATGAGAGCTGGCTGTTGATGTGACTCGACGTGGTGAAGAGAAGAAGAGCAGTCTAGAAAGGGCGAGCTAAAAGCTTGGGCCACGACCATCACATGTCCAGCAACTTCACTCAGTCATCGAGGCCGCCGCCTTGCTGATTTGCGCTGAAGCTCAACTCATACTAAGGATATACATTGAAAGAATTTAAGGTATAAGACGATGAGCGACTTGTTGAAGAGGACAAAAGAGCACTTGATATCAACTTCTTTTTCAAAGGACCTGTAGATCTTGTACATATCATCTCGTGAACTTATCTATTGATCCCAACCTTGGAAGTTTTGTACGTTGCGAGAAGCGCCTAAATTTCACGCAACTCCCGTCCAAGCATCGATCTTCCAAAATCATATCTTCCTCCCTTGCTGTTCCTCACTAAATCTCCTGCGACAGAGACTCCGCATCCAGAACTACCCGGGCGAGAAAAAAAAAGGCAAAAGAACTAGAACCCTTTCGAAGAGTTCTAGAGAAAACCACTTTCGTGAATTTTACTTTTTAATGTGTGTGTCCGCCGGATTCGAACCCGTATACAAGTCAAACGCTTTGCGACTGTGCCATGGGTTTTCTAGAATTTTGTCAGCTGCGTGTCCCTCCCACACCAGTATTTGCTGATGTGGTGATTGAAGTGCATTCTAGATGGATTACATTAGTTAATTCTCTTTTTGGATTTTCTGTCCTTGACGACCTTCCTCAGTACCTGCGCCGGCTCCAGCGCAATCCCTAAACCAAGACACATGATGGTCATACCTAACAGCCCACCTTCGGCGGCACCCCCGACCACGCATGTATGGAAGCGTCATCCCCTCGTCCTGACCGAATTGCTAGCTTTTCCAGCCGTCTTCTGAAGAAAGGTGCAGATGGGTAAAGGTATTTGAACGAGCTGCAAAGCCTTAAATACTATCTACGCGTTTGAAGACTCTCGTCATGCCTTCTTTGGAAACTTGCGCTACTTGCCAGGTGTGTCATCTCCCATTTCCATTGCCTGGTGAAGACCTGTTGGGAAGCCTTCCCGTAAAACCCGCCTTTCTCCCTAGAAGGCATAATGGCTTCAAGTAGAGCGACATTACGTCTGCTATCCGCGTTTCAATCTTCATTCCCCTGACGTCTTCCTTCCCAAAACCCTCGCTCAAACCAACAAACACCACATCGAATCACGCCAGCAGACAAGTCCAAGGCCACATCCTACCCTGTTACCCAAAAACCACTCAAGCCCTCCCTCCCCCTTACGCGCCCTCCCCTTCCCCTCCCCTCCCTCACAACCCCCACAACCTGCCTTCCCAAAATCACCGCCGGCCTCACCATCCCTCCCACCCCCCACCAACAAAACAAGCATCCCCAGAACTCCACCACGAATAAGAGCGACGAGATTGACCAGCGCCGCGAACGTGAGCGCTTCGAAGATCTCGCGGAGGGTCATGCTGTTGGCGGCGAAGGGGGCGGCGAGGGCGGAGAGGTGGGTGCGGGGTTGAGGATTGTGGTGGGGGTTGATCGAGGGGAGGAGTGGGCGGGTGCTGTCGAGGTCGTTTGTAGAGGACATGGTTTCGGCGAAGGTTGGGGCTGGCGCTTGTTTGTTGTGGTTGCGTGGAGGCGCAGGTTGAGTTCGGTGTTGGTTGAACTGTAGTTTTCAAGCTGTAGGGAGAAGGAGTTCTTGTTGGCTGGGAAATGCTTTGGAAGAGATTAGTGTTTGTTTGTGGAAGCCAACTTCGAAGCTGGCGCGGCGGCTCCAGCTGCAGCTTGGCAATCACATGCTTGGAACTCCCGCCGTCCACCACACTACTACTCCCCGAAAGCTTTGAGCTTATATACGCCTCCAACGAGCACATTCAGTCTTCTAGGAAGCCGTCGCCACCGATCGGGATAGAGCAACATTGAAAATCAGAATTGAATAGTGCTGAAGATCTCCTGCTTTCATGGCCGCGTGGAGCAAAGCACGCAAGACGCTTTTCATGACGCTATAACGCAACAAGCCAGTGTTAAGCTTCTTCTGAACGAGCTACACGTCCTGCCCAATGCATAGTACTCGATACATCCCCATCCCTAAGTACCCAAGTTCATCACCTCATCCAAGTCCATTCATCATCCCATTGCCCAAGTTGACGCCCTTCATCCTCTTGGCCAAGTTCATGCTTTGAGCATCGCTGCCGCGCTTAACGGGTCTATCCTTGTAGTCCTCCAGAATCGTCATCATCGTAAGCCAACCTGTATGCAAGAAAGGGATGTCAGTTTTCGTCAGTCCAACAGAAAGCCGACGAGACCAGAGGAGGTAGTTACACAGGGTGTATATGCTACATCTGTGAGAGGATCGTCTCGAGAGTGGCCCAACCTGATGAATGCATGAGCGTGGCGCCCAGAGAAGCGTCATGTGTGATGGCGACTTTGCAGAGTAGCTTCAGCTCGTCCTGTTGATGAAGATGAACTTGTTAGCATGAGTACTAGAGCGGGTGACGGCGAAACTTACGTCGCTCAAGATCCCCAGGTGCTGCACGAAGCAGAGCAAGTGGAAGTCGGATACAGCAATGACACCCTGTGGAGTGTCGAGCGCGACACGGTTGGCGCCAGCTCTGAGCTGCTTCTGCAGATCTCTCGGTTCTTGTAGCTCTCCAAGGGCATCTCGGTTCTCGATGGCGAAGGCGTTGGTAATGAACTTGGGATTCGTCTGGTTCGGGAAGCCGTGTGTGAGGGTGACGAGGAGGTATTCGACGGGAAATGCAGGCTTGGCGTTTTCTTGTACGTTGGCGCCGTACTCGTTGATTCGACGGTAGAAGACTTCGGGGATGTAGCGCTTGCGACCAAGAGCTGCGTTCTCTTCCTCTTCATCCTGCACCAGCATGACTTCCGGCTGAGCAGATGGCTCAACGATCTCTGCGCGGACCATTTCGACTGCCGCGTTGGATGCTTGGTATGCAGAGATTGCGATGTTGCCCGTGTCGTCGCCAGATACAACACACGTCACAAAGTTGCTGCCGAACTTTCCAGTCTCGCTCCATTTCGAGGGCCGTGGGTACTTGGCTTGATACCGAGAAGCGAAGCAGATTTCGAGGGATGCGAGGAAGTAGGAATCGATGTGGCGCTTGCAGACGGCGTTGCCTTGCTCAGGATCGTCCGGCCTAAGGAGGTCTGTGACGATGACACCGACTCGCTGCATGCCTGCCTCTTCTGCCAGCTTGTCTATTGCCGCCTCGTTCTCCCAATCACTCAGCGTGACACCGTCTACCTCATCGACTTGAGGTGGTTCGTAGATGGCTTGAACGACCGCTTTGGTTCCCAGAGGTACCTCTTCATACTGCTCGTAATGACCGTAGAGGAAGCCTATCCGCTGCGCACCACCTTGCCGCCAGAAGTTGAGGAACTTGTCAACAATCTCGAACGTCTCAAACTCCACGTGATCCACCATTCGGTACTCTTGCGGTTGTAGGGAGATGGCAGACGGCTGGCACTTGGTGCAGATCTCGGCAGGGAATGGGCGATGCCCCGAGGGGCAGTTTGGGTTGACGCGGTAGTATGGCTCGCTCAAGGGAGGCATGTAAGAGCTGCCAGATTCGTACTTGTTCTTGCCCTGGTTGACCTTGCGGAGGTACGCGTGGTAGGACATGTGTTTGATCTTCTTCTCTTCCATATAGCTCTGGTCGTATGGCTCGAGTGGCGAACAATACTCGCACATGCCCTTGGGCCCATGTCTGCACAGCTTCTCATCCTTCTTCCGCACAATCTTGCCATCCTGACTGTCTAACCGGTCGTCGAGTGTTGACTGCTTGACCGTCTCCCATGGGTTCTTGACGAGTTCGGGTGCCTTGGGTATCGCGACGCTCGACTGATCTTCTGCTGGTGTGACCTCCTTGCCACTGAGCTTGTTGGCAGCCGCTGAGTGTCCATTGGAGTGTGGTGTGTCCTGCTTGTAGTCAAGGAAGACCATAGTCCCATGTCTGCACCCAATATCAGTATATTTACCCCCATCTTCATCGTCCAAACACTCACGTCAGGCCTATCCGACTGAACGGGACGTTCCTAAGTGCCTCGATGGGTCGGACTTCGGCGCCGTGGGGCTTCGGGGAGATGGTGACGGAGGCGGGGATGACATCCTTGGGGAGCTTCTCGAGAACGTCGGGCAGGATGGTGGCAATCTCCTGGTCCGCGTCGACGGTGAGGCGGAACTGGCCAATACGGCTCTGGAAGCGGAGTATCATGGCGACGAAGCACGTGCGTGGAGGTGGGTGGTTTGCTCTGTGATGGGTGGGCGGCGGGGAGCGGTGAGGTGGAGGGGCGGCGGTAGGGGGAGAGTCGGGGTGATGGTTTATCGGAGGAGGTGTCGGAGGGCCATGCAGGAGCGGTGTTGATGGAGAATGAGGTGTTGGTGTAGGCGGCAGAGGTGATTATGCAAGCTGGTGCTCAAACGCAGAGGCGAGCTTTGGTGAACTGTGAAGCTCGACGTCAGGCGCTAAAGTGAGATAAGCTCGGCGGGCCTTCCCGAGTCCCGCCGCCCAAACTTAGATCGCGCAGGGTCGCTCCATTCAGGTCAGATGTGGACATGTGGCAGCAGCAGTGACGAGAAGGACAGCACCACTCACTCCTTGGCCACGTTCCCTTCACCAACCACCGCTTTCAAACTATACAGCACTCCTGGACTGGACGTTTCATACGAGATTGACTGCGCTGGTCCCTTTCAGCCAGCGCCCCTTGAGCGCATTTCAACATGGATAACAACTCCACCTTCAACTCCTCCTCCAACTCGACCAACGGCACATCAGATGGCTTCCAATTCAACGCCGCGCCGAAGCCCTTCTGGACGAACCTCCTCCTCCCAATCATCTACCTCACAATCCTGATCGGATCCCTCTACACATTCTCACACGTCTACCGCCAGCGCAAGATCACAAAAGCCGCGAGGTTAGAGAACTGGTTCCCGCCGCACCGGCAACGAGATATTTACTTGAGTCTGCTACACATCGATCCGCAAGAGGCGAGTGAAGGAGGGGAGAAGAAGCTGAGCAAGGTGCCTGACTCGGTGTTGAAGGCGGCGCTGTTGAGGAGGGCTGTGGAAGATATTCAGAGGATTGTGGTGCTCAGGAGTTCGAAGCCTGCGTTGCAGACGCTGTTGCAAAGAGGCTCGGTAGGAGATGAGCTGTGGCAGAGGTTCTTGCGCGCGGAAAAGGAGATGGAAGAGGAGGTCAAGGACGTGGTGAATGAAGTGGGTTCGATATGAACAATTTGATGAGAGCTTGACTAACACAGCCCAGGCCAACGCCTTCGCACCCAACTGGGGCCAAACCATCTTCCAATCCGCCAACGAGATCAACCAAAACCGCCTCATCAAGGAGCGCATCGCCGAGCTGCAGTCACAGATCGAGTCTGAGAAGGCATGGTGGGATAAGAAGCGGGCGGGAATCTCGTCCGACTTCATGAAGGAGCTGGAAGACGAGTCAAATGCCAGCAAGGCTGTCGAGGCCGCGATCGCTGCAGCTAAGAAGAGCGGGAGCAGTGACGACGATGCCGTGCTGGTGGAGGGTGGTGGACCGGGGATTGCTCAAGGCGCAGCCAAGAAGAACAAGGCGAAGAAGTAGATGGAAGTGCTGGTGCTGTTACTTAGCGATGCATTTGCGAGGTGTCTTGGGAGTGCGTCAGGCGTTGGAGAGGAACATTCGAGATGGCCTCGCAGTTGCTACATGTATACCACGGATGCTGAAATGCACGCTGTCCCTGGAGACGTTTCGAAATTGTACCGCTGTGGCCACTTTCACATGACAGCGGGCGGAATGCTGACGATCTCAAAGAATTCTCACCGTGAAATTCTTGACGTGTCGCCACGAGTTCAAAGTGTAGTCCATCCTCTCAACGTCGGAGTTGTCTTTACTCCGCAGAGCGAGCAATGTAATGGTCAGCCGGTGCCTCTCGGATAGCAAGTCGGTTCTTCATCAAACGTGACCCGACATCACATGTCCTCCTCTGCCGTACGAAGCCAAGCCCATCTAAATCAATCTCGCCATCTGGACCGGGGACGGCGCGATCGCTCATATATTATGTGTTGAATGCTGACAGTGCACGCGTCACATGATGTTGTGTGGCCCGTGGAGAAAGGCGAAGAAAATTGCGGTGGTGACCGGTTGTCGTCGGCTTTCCGCGTCGCGTCACCTCCAAGGGCAAGCTTTGCCGTGCCCGCAGCAGGAGTTGCAGTGGGAGGAACAGCTGTCGTCCGTACCTGAACGTACGCAGAGAGGTCTGCTGACGACCTCTCGTCTTTACACGCCTTCTTTCGTTCGCCATACTCCATTATTTCTCATCGGATTCCATCGCCGTAGTGTGTGATTCCTTTGACGTACCATCACGGTGGTCCAGGCGGTGTTTCGGACAAAGGCGGGCCAAGTAACCAGCAGAACAAGACGGCCATGTGACCCGTCGTCTCTCCGCTTTTGAAGCAGTTTCCATTACCCTCATTTTGGACCATTTTAGCTAATGGGTCAGCTTTGCATCACGACCCGACCGTGGCACGTGGTGGACGCCCCCTGGCTCGGAGGGCGAGAGCAGCACAACCGTCCTGCATTTCTTGACTAACATCTGCTCCAAGTGGTTTGACGTGCGCTGGATGGAGGTTCTCTTGACTAACATCCCCCCTCGATTGGCTGCGTGGCGACTGGCGAAGGAGTAGCACGTTGGCCTTGGCGCGTCGTCCGGGCCATCACGAAATTTTCTGCTGCAATGGTACGTTGGCTAATAGTGGATCTGGGGTAAGAGAAAAAGCTGGGGAAATAGTGTGTGACAAGGGCAGCAAGTGGTTGCGGGTGCGTTCATCATCATATATGATTCATACATATGTCCGCTCCCTCGCCGCCACGCCCGCCCGCTCCTCTCATCACCGTCACATGCTGGGCAAAGACTAAGAACAGACAAAGAACTCGCCGCCGCTGCTCCTTTCTTATCTACCACCACTCGGAGCTCTTTCTTTGACCCATTTCGCTTTCTCACACTTCCCGCACACTCCACGCTACTGCCGCTACTCACCACTACGCCGACCATATCTCCACCTCACCTCACCTAGTATGCACATCAACGACTTGCCCCACGAGATCCTCTCCGACATTTTGCTGCTCGCCACCAAGGCCAACGAACAGGAAGGCGAGACCTACACCTACGGTCTCAGCCAGGCACCTCTCCCTCTCGAGCGTGCTAAACTCCAGAAGTATGTCCGCGGCCCTGTGACGGCCGAGTCCCTGCGATGGGACGCCACCTCATCCATCCGCCAAGCCTGCTCTCGATGGCATGAATGGGCCCTCTCCTATAACCTAGAGCAAGTCTTCGAGCGCAAGTGGCGAGGGGGCGAGCGATGGGCCAACTTGTCTCACACTCGTCGGAAGATGAGCCTCTACGAACTCATCGACTATCCTTCCGGCCAGGCTGTCTACCGCGACCCCTTTGGCACTCTCAAGGAGACCAACCGAGTGTTCGCGAGCAACCCACATCTTACCAAGCATGTGCGGCGGCTGTGGTTCAACGGCTACTACACGGCCGAGACGGACGAGATGATCCTGTCCATCGTGTCTGAGTGCTCGGAGCTGCAATCCCTTAGTGTGCCATGGACGGTTCTGCGACGAAGCACTGCTGAAGACTGGGTCGATCTGCTGAATGTCAACACTGGCCACGGCTCTGCATTGCAGTCCCTCGAGATGCAAGCTGTCTGCCTTCCCAAGGATCAAGCCGATGCCCTCGAGAAAGATAACTCGCCAAACGCTCTGGCCGATCCAAGAGTCGACTTCAGCGCCTTGAAGCGCCTGAAGGTCTTCGGCAACACCCTGCACAAGCCTGTCTGCGATGAAGACCTCCAACTCATGGCACGCACGGCTACCAACCTCGAAGCTCTCGACTTCACCAACCTCTCCACCATCTCTGTCGCCGGCATGCTGGCGCTGGTCAAAGCCTCTCACGACACATTGCAGGTTCTCGAGCACTCTCCGCGCTCTGACGACGGCTTCTACCATCCATACCCCGGCCACCTCGAGACCAACGAACACATCTGCGAGCTTCTCACCTCTCTTCCTAAGATGCGCGACCTCTCCATCTCTGTCCCCTACATGTGCGCCGACCTCTTCAGCAACACCGAAGTGCAATGGAACGGTGAATGTCAAGTCAGAGCCACCGATCTCTGCGGCTGCGACAGCAACACTCCATCTGGAATCCGCGCCGCCAAACTTCGCAAGGTCTTCGCCGCAGCCCGCGACCTCATCTCCGCTCGTCAGCGTGTCCACCACAAACTCTCCGTGGAGCTCTTCTTCGCTGGATGTATCTTCGAGCCAGAGAAGAACCTCGTCCACGGCGACTTCGTCCTTGCCGAGATTAGAAGCAATGGCCAGTGGCCTCAAGGACGACAGACTAGCACGAAGGGACCCTATGGAACGACGGGTGTGTATGGCAAGGAAGACGACCACAACAACTGGGATGCAGTTTGGGAGGATGAGTACTTGCGGGCGGTTGAGGCGGGATGGATCCAGTTGTGATGGATTTCTACGGCAGCAGACATGATCGCGACACAGAACGCTACGATTTGATGATATGACGAGGCGTGACTTTACGGCCTGATCATTTACGATGACGAAAAAGCGGACAAAAAGTTTTGTATTGAGCGTTCTTGGGCTTTGGGCGATCGAAGCAATGGAGTTTTGGCATGGCGATTCTTCTCTCGGATGTCGATTGTACAATTGGGAAGATATGGGTCAGCATGCATGAATGGTCTGAAACGAGCCATGGTGCCTTAAACGTACTTTCCGTTGAAGCATTAGTATGGGTGGTGTACATACTTGAATAATAGCAATGATGTATCTGCTGCTTGACTTCCATCTCTTACTCTGATATCCTCTATTTGTCCCCTTCTTCGAAGGACTCAGGATTGGTGTAATCCCATCTTCATCTACATCCTCTTTACATGCGAATGCGATACCGAGGGGCAACGACGCCACCACCTCGAAGGATTCACTTCACCTCAACAACCACCTCAGCCGCAGATGACCACCCACATCACCAAGATGCCCAAAAAGAAGAAACTCCCCATCCCCTCCTCAGAAGAACCCCCCCTTCCCCACCCAAGAACAAACCTCACCCCACCCCCCCTCTCCCCCTCCGCCATCATCACCCCCACCGGCACCCTCACGCCCTTCGACCTCGCCCTCGCGACCGACCTCCGCGACCTCTCCCTCGTCACCTTCGACATCCTCAACCACAAAACCCTCACGCCCAGCACCCTCTCCCACCTCGCGCCCGACTTCACCTCCACGACCGAACTCCCCGACCACCCGGCGCAGCACGCCCACGACCGCGACACGCACCTCGCGCACGTCCGCGACTGGATGGCCGACAACCCGGGGTTGTTTTGTAAGGTGCTGAATTGTAGTGTTAGGCTGGGGAATGAAAGAAGGCGGGCGACGGTCTGGTTGACGAATGTGTTGGGGGTTACCGGGGGGAAGGGGGAGGTTAGGCTGAGGAGGGAGAGTGTTAGTATTTTGGAGTGGGAGAAGAGGGGGTTGGGAGAGGAAGAAGGTGGGCATGGGACGGGGAGGAAGGGGTGGATTTGTTATCAGACGAGGAGTTTGAGGGGGAGTGGGTTTTTGACGGATGTTTTGTTTTGATGAGTGGGAGTGGGATGGGGTTTGATGGGGAGGGTGGTGATGGGGAGTGGCGATGGGTGTGGTGCTGTGAGGTCTGACTGGGCTGGTGATGATGCTGATGAATGATTCTGTCCCAATATCTGCGTCTTTCTCGACTGGGCTCATCTCACGGATGGCGACGATTGTCGGGTGTTACGCTACGACATGCTGCAACATCCGATATGCGACCGACGCCCTGGAATGTTGGAGAGTACGAGTCGCCATGGGTGGACGCTCCCAGTGCCCACGCACGCACGTCTTCAAACAGAACAGCAGAGCCCGTCAGTACTCGTGAGGCAACCCCGAACTTCACATGCGAATTCGCCCCCATGGTCCCACGTGAAGCGCAAACTGCCGTCACTTCACTCAATATATGAGCTGCAAGCTATCGGTGTCGCTGAACGTTTTTTACACAACAACAACTCCACCCACTCTTCTCGACTGCACATCTGGATCTGCCCTACCCGCCGCGATATCGGCCCCTCACGCCGTACAAGCACACCAAAGATCCGACCGGCGATGTGACCATGGACAACAACAGCAAGCAAAAGACTGTGGCAGCACGCCGCTCACCTGCCTCTCACCGATCATCTCCAGCCTCGACGGCTCGACCACGTCCCCTCACCAAGAAGCACTTTCCCTTCCTGAAACTGCCACCGGAGCTGAGGGAGCTGGTGTATGAACACCTCCTCGTTCACAAGCTCTTGAAGATTGGTCTCCTCTGCAAGCGAAACGGCAAACCTAAGGCATTCGCGACATCTAACGAAGCCCCCGATTATGGAAATGGTAGGGAAGGGCTCTTTGGGGAATTCGATCCTGCCGTTCTTCGTGTCAGTCGCCTGATCCACAACGAGGCTCTTCCGATCATCTACGGCAAAAATACATTCTTCTTCATCAACTGTATTGCTGTTGATCTCTTTCTGGACTCGATGGTGAACCTTCGGAGCAGCACTGTGAGCCCTGGTATTCAGCATCTTCACCATGTGGTCATCTCAGGTCCCCAACGAGCGAACTTCTTCACTACCATGCGCGACCTTCGTGTTTTGAAGAACTTGAAAACTCTGGCCGTGGAAGTTTTCGATACCGACCTTGTCATCGAACGGAGCGACGACGTTTATCATCCCTGGGACGATGAGAGCGGCCTCGTTGCTGCCGTGACACAATTCATCGATCTCTCCGCATCAGTCGAGGAGCGAAGGCGTCAGGTCGACAAGATCTCGTTCGCCTACAACAACCGTCGGTGTGACAAGGGTAACAAGCTTTCGATCCCAGGTGACGAGGTTCCGGCTAGATGCAAGGCTCTACTTGCAGAGTTTGTCAATGTTACTCTCCATGAGTAGCTGCAGAGTGGCGGCCTCTCTGTGGAGCAGAATGATCAGTTTCTAGAGCGATCCTACCGAGTGGATGAGAATCAATCAGCATCCCCAGTCACCCCGTTCAACAGTCCTACCCAGCAGCTCTACCTGAAACGGCTTGCCAAGATCTATGAGATCGCAGGATATTGTACACAAGCACATCAACCACCAAGCGGCCTCCCTCCTCCTCACGACCTCGGGAGCTTACGGCCACTCTCCATTTTCGAGAAACTCGAAAAGATTGTTAACCTGGCGAGAAGAATTGAGGTAACTCAGAGCTTTCCCTTGGCTTACATCTTAATTGACGAAACTTGCAGTATTTCGAGGACGGAAGGCAGACAATCACGGGCCGAGATGGAACATACAGGCTTTCGACCTAGCCACACGCAACACACAATCATGAACGAAACCCCTTTTCCTTTAACCTGTACTACTCTTCCCACTCCTCCCGTCAAATATTCCCCGCCTGCTCCTCCTCCACATCACCACTCAACACCATCCTCCCACTCGGCAGAAAGAAATACACAAGCCCCCTCCCACCCCTCGCCCTCGGAATATGATGCGTCCCAGCCGCCAGACTCGTCCATCCAGCTCCTTGCCACTTCTCACCTACGGGTAGGCCTTCCAACTCGAAACCTTCATCAACGGGAATCACGCAGTTGATCTCCCCGTAGGAGTGTTTATGGCGAGAATCTTTCGGGGCGATGATCTCGATGGAGTCGAAGTAGACGGCTGTGAGGGAGAAGCAGAGGGTTTCAGAGCAGGGGTTCATGATTTTGCGAGCGCGGAATCGTGGCCGGTCCAGTTCGTGCGTGGCGACCCAGCCTTCGGCGAAGCCTTGTTTTAGGAGCGTGGAGAAGTCGTCGAAGTATGGTGTTCCGGGTCCGTATTTGGTGTTGAGATGTTCTTCCAGGGGCTTTCCGGGTGACCTATGAGTATATCAGCATTGTGTGGACGGTAAGAACAGAGATAGTGCGTACAAGTTCTGGATCCCAGCGAGGAACTCGCATGTCCGAGCCACGAGCTTTTGGGCGGTTGGGTAGGAGTCGACGTTTATGGGGTCTTGTGGTGTTGTTTGCCCGATGTCGTTCTCGTTGTTGTTAAGCATCTTTGTGGTCTTCGCCATCATGTTTCTATTCCGTTGTTGAGCAACAAGCCAGGATGTGCCTACGACTACATACTACCTTCTATGTAGTTGCAACCTTCAATCACTGCCGACAACAAGCAAATACGCACGGAATTTCATCCACTGGGCCCTAACATCAGTATTTTAGAGCATTGCGGACGCTTCGTCCGAATGATTTGGTATGTTTAGGGTCAGGCCTCTAAGTATGCCATGTGTTGTTCTATAAGCGTGCCCATCAATAGGACACCTAGCCAAGAGCCTACGAAGAGTAATCAACGAACATTTCTAATCGGACGAAATACGGACGAACAGCCCCAGCCTTGGCCTACTGTTTCTGATCCTCACACAGCCTCGTCTGCGTACCGGCTCCAATCATGCCGGACACGACATGACTATGGCATTGCAAATCGATGCTGACACTACTTCGATGATGCAGTCCTCGAACAGGCATTGTAATCATGATCTCCTGCGGCCGGTCGGACCTGGGCGAAATCGGTCAGCCATAGCCGAGAGCGGCTGAGCTGTGTGAAGAGCTATCTCGAGCTTTGGCGACTTCACTTCTTGACTGATAGAGCTTGCAATTGCTATAAAGATCGACCTGTGAACACTACATCCAGAACTGAGAGGACAGCCCGTCTAATTCAGCAACAGCGACCCATATCCAGGGGAACCTCAATGACTGGACAAAAGAACCCGAGAATGGCTGCCCCGGCGTCAGCAGATAAACCATCCATCGACTCCATCATTCGCAATCGACATTCAACAAGATCTTTCAGACCCGACCCCGTCCCAAGAACACTCTTGCAGGAATGCCTCCTCCTCGCCCAGCGAGGCGCCGCCTCAAACTCCAACATCCAAAACTGGCGTCTGACGCTCGCCACAGGCCCAGCACGAGAACGCATTGTGAAAGCATTGGTCCACGCATCTCAGACCTCCATACCTCTGGCACATCCTCTGCCGGCGCAGTTCAGGCACCATCGTGACAATCTCGTTCAACAGCTTTACGGTGCACAGGGATACGACGTCATGGGTGAAGAGAAGAGAGATGCCAGGCAAGAAGCCCGAATGAAGAATTACTCGTTCTTCGGAGCCCCGGTCGTGGGAGTTATTAGTATGGACGAGGAATTGAAAGAAGTCGATGCACTGGCCGTGGGACTGTTCATCCAAAATTTCATCTTGCTGCTAAGTGCGAGAAGTTTGGGGAGTTGTTTACAGGTTAGCGTTACTAGTTATCCGGAAGTTTTGAGGAGGGAGTTCAACCTGCCGGATGGGAGGAAGATTTTGTGTGGGATTGCTATAGGGTGGCCTGGTGAGGAGAGGATTAATTCGGTTGTTAGTGAGAGGGAGGCGATTGAGAGGCAGGTGGAGTTTTTGGAGGAGTGAGGGAAGTTTGCAAGGAAGTCGTTGGGGTGTTCGAGCGTTGTATACTGTGGTTTAGTCATCTAAAGAGAAATACATGTCAGACTTTGAGATGAAATGGCAGGAGGTCGCCAAAGGCGCGAGGCGGTCAAATGACTGGGGCACACTTGTAAAATTATCCCCGTGAAGGTTGACCATTCTCTGATTCGTCAACCGGCAGGTGCGTACTTACCTTGAGATTCTCCTTCAGAGGTCTGCCTTCATCAAGACGCTGGATTTGATTTGGAGGTCTGCCTTCCTTCATACGCCCGCCTTCTTTTAGGTGTCTGCTTTTCCTCCAACTCCTTCCTGCCCCCACGACCGACTGTCGTCAATCTCGATGCCCTCTACTTGACTACGATCTTCTGACACACATTAGACATTCACCTTGATATCCCGGCGGTAACATCCTTACGACACAGCTGACCATGGACTACTCAAAGTATCGACCAGAAGATGCCAATCGCCTACGCCAGCATGACCAGCGCATCCAGCTCCTGCGTGAGCAACGGGAACTTGGCCAGCAGATGCTCAAAGAAATGACGGAACGCGACACCTACATGGCCTCGCTCGATGGAAAATCACATAATGTGAGATACTGACCGATCACCACTCTCGCCATGCTCATTATTGTTCGCAGGTGTCAGCGACCAAGGATAGCATCAGACCCGCTAATCGGACAGACAAAATGCACGCAACTCCCGCTTCTGGAGGTCCTCAAAAAGGCAGCTCAAGTCGCCCAAGTGAAGTTGATGGTGGAAATGTGACAGTCGCCTCAGATTCGCGAACAGGATCGCAGAAACGGCGCAGGGTCACGCGCTCCCGGAGTCCTTCTTCAAGTGGCACCGACTACCTTCCCCAGAGGCGAAAGCCGAGAGGACAGCCGGCCAGCAAAAAGTACCCATTGTTCAGTCTCGAGGAACAATAAAGCTCCATCTTGAAGACTGACGACGGAGTCGTCGAGCTCGGTTGTCACTTTTGTGGTGGGAACTTCTTCCGTTCCCAGACAGGTGCTTGGAAATACCTTTCCGGAGTCCAAGGATTGCAAAAGCACATTCATATGAGCCATCCGTACGAGCACGAACTCATCAGGTTCACAAAACAGCCAATGTTCGGATGGGTCGCGGAAAACTGCGTTCGTCAAGTTCTGTCCGAGGAAGAACAAGAAGATGTGAGGCTCGGGCGGTATGAGGTCCGGCAGATCAAGGTCTGTAAACCTTCCGACGATGCCAACAGTGCTGAGGTGGAAGAACAATGAGGTTGAAAGGTATTTCCACATCATTCAAGACAACATGGATATCGATTGCTGAACATAGATGGTGGCTTTTTAATGGCTGAGGATGCGTACATCGTTTCAGGGAACTACTCATGGAGTTCTTTCTGCAGCGACACCGTGGCTTGAATGGGCAGAAGTCATCTGTGGGGAAACGATACCGTGAGGCTTTTAAACAAGGTAGCACACGTTCACGATAGGACAAGGCGGCAAGAAGCGAGCAATTGTTTGAGTAGTCCGTGAGCAATACAAATGTTGAAACGCGGCAAAATTGATTTTTCGTTTTCCCAATACCCATGTTGTCACCTCATCAGGTGAGACTGCCAGGTAACAGATCATACCTGGCAGTCGTTGACAATCAATGCCTTCCTGAGTACCCTTCGGTGAGCGTGGGCAGACATGAAGTGAGGCTAGTCCGGCTGATCTGCTCTCTTGAGGCGAGCTTTCACATGGAAATTCGAACACTAGCGCGGGGCACGGTCCGGGCCAAAAACTACTTGGGTGCGGCCTGTTCACTTGTCTTTCAACATTCATTCAACCACCCACTTCACATACCCACCCAGATCGAAATCACGTCAAACCTCAACACCGAAAGCTGTCCAGAACAATCAATTACCACTGCCTGCCTCTACAACAACTTCATCGGCCACTTCGACAGCATCATCACACATCTTCTAAATTAGCCCCTTGAGCACATCGGCACGCATCGAACAACATGAGCAATCTCACGGGCCACCCCATAAACCTTCGCCAAACGAAGCAGTACACTGAGAGAATACCAGCTGCGGGACATGGTCAAGAGAGCGTTCAAGCCGCCCAGGAATTACGAAACATGAAGCGCCGAAACAGCACAGTGACAGATCGGCCGATCAAATTTCAATGTCGAGTAAGTGAGATGGAAGAATTGTTTCGCAATGCAGAAGCTAATCAATAATGTAGATGATGTTGCAACCTCAACCTCGCTGAACTGCTCCCGGTCCCCTAGGCGGGATGCCACAGTCGCAGCCGACAATTCCGAATGGCCAGTTCTACGGTGGTGCCAGAGCAAATGGTGGGCAGGCAGCCGTCGTTCGGCGACCATTCAGTCCAGCCACTCAATACGGAAACCGTGGGCCAGAAAACATCTTTGCTCAATATCCGAACTTGCAGCAAACTGTTCGTTCCCCACTCCTCCAGATTTTGTAATGTAGCTAATACGTGAAACAGATACCTAATGCCAACTTGCGTACGCAGATGCTTAAAAGTATCGGGATGAATAGACCCACCCAGGGGCTGCAGCAGCGACAGCAGCCGGTAAGTCTATACCTCCTGTTTACCTTTCTCTTCTGCCGACTAACACTTTATTTCCAGATGCCGAGAGGCCAGGTCAGTATATTCAGAGTGGCCTCGGGTGAAGCTGCAGCCCCCAGCCGTGGCATGCTAAACGGAAAGTCTGGCAATCCAGTAAGTAAACGATATGGATTCCTGAATGTTAGCTGCTCTAACAAATGTCACAGGAACCAAATGAGAACATCAAGACTGATAACCCTGTCATACCGGTCAGCTTGAACACTAGCAGAGACGAGGCGCCTGGAGCAGTGGAACAGAATGCGCCGAGGCAACAACAGGATGGCGAGCATGTCAGTTCGAGGAGCAGCTCTCCCGGACGCTCCCAAGCATCCGGAACCTCACAAGATGATACTGCACGAACCTTACAAGACAATACTGCACAATCCGCACAAGACAGTACTGCGCAAGCTGTACAAGACGATCCCGCACAAGCCGAAAAAGACGATCCCGCACAAGCCGAACAAGACGATCCCGCATAAGCCGTACCAGACGATCCCGCGGACTCTGATTACGATTGTGAATGCGACGGGGATGTGAAGGGACAGATCAAGGACCCTGTTGAAGAGATGTGGGAAGAGATGTTGGAAGAGGCGTGGGAAGAGTCCGGTGAAAAGCTGGAGTTCGACATCTACAAGAGGACTCGCCATCAGGAGAGACTCCGACTCCGCCCAGAACAGGTCCGTTGACGAAGACTCCTGCGAGAGCGATTTTGGAATCGTAGGGCGGTCAATCATACCGCAAGTCGCAAAGTGCAGGTCTCGGTCAGGGCGGCCCAGCAAAGGGAATGAATCACGGTGTACGACTAGCAACCAGCGAAAGCTCTCACAGGTGACCATATGAATGTAGCATAAAAAGTTTTGAGTTCAGATAATCTGCCTACTTATTTTGGAGTCACCAGTCCCGGCCTCATCACATTGAGATTTACTCGTTGACTAAGACTCAATTTGAAGAGCCTGTTTTCCTTGCGAGTGAATTGTCACATGTGAATTGCCTTACGTGGACTAGCGCTGAAGCAGCTAAAGATTCTACCCATGAATAGATTGTTCGTCTTCATCCTCGAATTTTCTTTCTCTTCCAACTTGCTAACTTGCACCTAAGAGGTTGAGGCCACCACCTGCCACGCCCGCACTCTCCACCTCTTCATCTTCCCAATTCGCTGTCCCTTCGTTACCATGGGTCAACAGCAGGAGCAGATACAAGATCTGCGCAAGCAGATGGGTCGCGTCATTGCAGCGTTCTGGATGTCGAAGGACGACGAGCAACGCGACCAGCTCCTAGAGCAGAAGAGAGAAATTCAGCAGCAGATCAAGGCGCTCGTTAGAGGCGGAGAGTCAACTCAAGTCGAGGTAAGATGGGCATCAGCTCCACGGCCTGCCTATATGCTCACGTAACGCAGACGTCTAGCCAGCAAAACAAAACCTCGGACGCACCTACCGCGGCGACCACTGCACCAAGCAACGCCAAGCCAGAGGAGGTTGAGAAGCAGGACAGCGAAGTGAGTCGTCGAACTAACTAACCGTATCGTCACAACAACTAACACTACTCACTACAGACGACGTCGCAGGAATCTGCTACCACCAAAACCGCCGCGGATGTAGCTAGCTCGCAGACCGGCCAGCCGAAGAAGCGCGTGAGTCGCTTGGAGAGAGAAGCTGCAAAATTGGTGGCCACGTCTGGAAATAGCGAAGAGATGGATAATGCACCACGGAAGCGCGTCCAAATGGGTTCATACGCGGTTAAGGACCCGGAGCCTAAGAAGAGGCGACGGAATCCTAAGCAGGGCAGCCCCTGAAGGCCGAGCTAGGAGAAGGAAAGATCATTATTTTGAAGGATTGGCGACAGATCGCGCGAATTGCGACAAGATACCAATGAGGAGCGTCGGCCGAAAGAATAGACGTGAGATCCTTGAGTCAGAGAAGACTTGACACCAAGAGATCGTGAAGTTCGAAGGGTTTGATCCAAGCGTTCTGTACATAGACCTCGTAGTTTATAGCAGGAAGAATGCAAGAGAGACGCGTACATGGTGCTCTGAAGACCTGGCCTTTGTCCTCCAAATTCATTATTCACTTCAGAACGTGATGGAATTACATCTCATTCACATGCAGTCATTCACTCCGTCCGAGCGTCACCGAAGGCGCGCTGCAGGCCGCGCTAATGCAGGCCCGCACCAAAGTTAACAAATACCTTCCTTCTTGCGAAAGTTCTCTCTTCCTCACAACATCACATCACACTCGAGGTCACTCAACATGGAGGGCAGAACCTCTTCACCACACGCACCAACACCTCCAACCATGTTGACCTAATGGAGGCTCTCCATCGCCAGCAAGGCTTGCTAGATGAAGAGCAAGAGCTTGTCCGCGAGCAGCGCAAGCTTGTTCGTCAGAAGCAGGAGCTTAACCAGCGCATTATCGAAGAGATGGGAAGAAGAGGAGAAGGAGCAGATTCCCGCGGTCAGACGCATGTGCCCTCATCAACCACCCTCACTCCCATCGACGGCCCGCCTGCGCAAGTTCAAATCCCACGACAAAGTGCAATCGGCAAGAAGAATGTCGAGCACAGTGCGACGGGCCTCGCAGCACCTCCCGCTCCCGCGATAGGCAGCAAGGTCACTTCATTAACTGCTTTCGGTCCTCCACCAACAACAAACTCAAACAACCCCAAGGGGCCAAGCCAACAAAACACCTACGCAAGATACGACGATCAGTATCCCACACTCGCTGCGATCGACGACGGCGTTTTCGAGCTCGCCTGCTACTTCTGCATGGGCAACCACTTCCGCAAAGGCAAAGGCAAAGGTCCATTGCAGCCAATTCAAGGCGTCCGCGGCATGCACACGCACATTAACTCATGTCACGAAGGAGAGCAAGCACACGACAATACGCCTCGAGGCTACGAGTGGGTGGCGAGGAACTGTGTTGACAAACGTCTGTCGAAGGCGGATCTCAAGGCGGCGGGAAACAGGGAGTATGTGACTCGCGAGGTTGTGGAGGTCTCGTACCGGACTGCTGCCTGAATGTCACTCCTCCTTGGTTGTGGTTGACAGATGTGGCAAGGCAACGCGTGCAGGAGGTACTTTTCGCAAGAGTTGTCTGTCGAAGCACAGAAGATGCTGCACTTTCGCTGGGCTGGTTGTTCTCGACCATCTGACCCAAAGAGTCAGCAGCAGCCAATATGGAAGACAGCTCCAAGTTAGGGGTCTCCATAGCTGTGTTTCAATAAGAGCCTGTCTCTATGCCGTCATCCAACCCGCAGTATTGCATTGTCGTGCAAATCTGCGCCGCTTCGTTGTCGCCTTCTCGCTAATCTCCAAATTTTGTCCGTAGCGAGTTCGGTCGAGCTGAGCAGGTCCCAGTTCCCATCATGAAGACAGCCACCGTGAGAAGTGAAGTGAAGTGAAGTGAAGTGCTAGAGGTGCATCGCAACTTCCATTTCCAGCTGTTCTGCAGGCGAGACAAACCTGGCGCTAGCGAGACTAGCGGCAAACACAAACACAAAGCCCTCTTTTCCTCCGACTTGCTTCCATCCACCCACACCGACATCAGACAGCGCCGGATTTGTCGCAACACTTGAATGCGCCATGTCGCTCCAAGACGGCGAGGCACGCAAGCGTCGGCTCCTGGAGCGCAAGCAGCTGTTGAGGGAGCAGCAAGCGATCAACAAGCAGATGCTCGCCATCTTCGACGAAGAAGATGAGCGGTCCGTCAGCGCCATCACAGCAGCACCGCCGCTCTCCACAAGCTGATGGTACACAGCAGCAGGTATGTTACTCCATGACGGATTTGTGGTGTATGAGCTGACCTTGCAGCAGGAGACCCCCTTGAGCCAGCAAGACGCCCTCGCGACTTTCGCCACGCACCCACCAAGTCGTCGCACATCCGAAGCCAACATGCAGACCCTTCGCCAGTAAATGGTCAACAGCACCAACGACGTCGCCTTCACCGGGCCCTTGACGCAGGCGGCGAAGAAGCGCAAGAAGCGGCCGTCGCAGAGTCGCCACGTGCTGTCTTCCGACAGTGAGGACGACAAACCACTGTTGCCCATGCGAAATAAGAGGGAAACACGGGTTCCACAGACCGACATCGACGACATAATGCCGACCATCACGGCACTTCCCCTCATGGAATCTCCTCTCATGGAACCTCCTTCGACTGCACCTCCTTCCACAGCTGCCCGCAAGGCCTACAAGGCCCCGGCTGACAAGTACCCGATCTATCACCGTACCCCGGACAATCAGTACGACATGATTGTTGTTGTCGGTGATCATGTGGTCGAGCTATCCTGCTGCTTTTGCGGCGGCAATCATTCCAGGCATTGCGGCGGATGGAAGGCTATGGTTGGTGTCCATGGCGTGCAAAAGCATATCCAACTCAGCCACAAGGACGATGAGTCCGAGGACAAGGACAAGCGAGCATTCGACTGGGTTACGAGAAACTGTGTTCGGAGGATTTTGCTCAAGTCGGACATGGAAGATGTGCGAAATGGAACGTACGTCGTCGAGGAGGTCCACGTTCGCACGCTCGGTCGGCAGAGATGAAAGTGACTGTTACTGTATGGCATGGAGAGAAATGACTATGCGTTACGCATTGCCATCTCGAAGCTGGGAACCTCGATGCGGACAGAAGCGATTGGTGGTGATCAGGGCGGCAACTCTTGCTGTTGGAATCTTCTTATAGACAATGATGAATGAGGGCGATTGAAATGAACTCCGTAAAGCAATGTTTCATGCTCCTGCTGGTGCAGACTACCTGATCTTGTACAAGCACGGCTTCAACACCTTGCCCTCATCATCAGTCGACACATCGTCCGGATCCTTTTCGTCCAAGAACTTGGCCTTCGGCTTCCTGAACCTCTCGACCGGCTTCCTCTCTCCATCCTTCTCAGCATTCTTTCCCTTCACCGGTTGCGCCGCTTTCACAAACTCCATCTTCACAAACATCTTGTTGCTCAAATCGATGCTCTTCTCACCATCCTTCAGCAGGAACCCTCTCCTCCTCAGCACATCGACAAAGCCGGATACATCGGTCTCTTGGTTCTGCGTCTCAACACCATCGACCTCGACTGCCAGCGCCTCTTGTTCGTTGACGTCGGCTGCATCCCGCTGCTTCGCCTCCTGCGCCTTCTTCAAAGCAGCCAACTTCCTCTTCCCACCCACACTATGCTCGACGACTTTCGGCTTGCCACCGCCAACCCGCCCAAAACGAGACTTGATCTCACTGACCCACAATTCGCCTTTCCAGTGCAGGATACGGTAGGCTTCTTCGATGAAGGAGATCCAGTTGGTGCCCATGAGTGCGAGGCAGAAGATTGCGACGTCGACGCTGCCATCCACGGCGGGGACGTTGGAGATGTCGGCTTTGGTGACAAGCGGGGAGGGTGAGTGGAGGTCGTAGGAGAGGACTTTGACTTGGAGGTTCTGGAGGGAGTTGGTCGACTTGAGGGTGTGTGCCAGACGAGCGTCGCCGCATCCGAGGTCGGCGATTGTGCAGGTACCGTGTGTTCGAGGAAGGGCGGGAATGGTAGCATCGTCTTTCGAATCGGCTGTATTCGATCGCTTCTTGTCCTTGAAGGCTTTCTTCTGCGAATGTAGCCGTACTTTCCCTCGCGACTGAATCGTGGAGATGAAGTTGTCGACGGGGTTCTCAGGCCAGACAGCGACCTGTTGGCGGAAGCCTGAATGATAATCTTCGAACATTTCGGGATTCTGGTCGAAGAGGTCCAGGGCTTTGGACGATGGCTCGGTATACAGGGTCTGATTGAGATGTCGAAAGCGGGCTGAGATGAGCTTCTGTCGCATCGCGGATTGCATGGGCGTGAGCTTTGTGCCGGATGGGAGGGCAGGTACCGGTGGAGGTGCTGCGACTTGGGTGTCTTTGACTTTCATTGCCCCGTCCTGTGCTGGTGGCTGCTGGCCCGACCGCTTCTTCTCCCTATTCTTCTCTTTTCGCTCTTTCTTTCTTTCCTTCATCTCCTTCTTCTGCTTGTCCTCGTCTGTAGCTCCCAGTTCCGCGTGATCTTGTGAATTCTTCTTTTCCACTTTTGCCTTTCCCTCATCTTTCCCAGCTCCTGCGCCTCTGCCCCCCTGTTCCACTTTCTGCTTCTTCTGCTTCTTCTGCCCCTGCTTCGACTTCACCGGCTCCTTGCCCTCAATATGTTGATCCCACAGCTTGCCCACATCTTCGTCCTGCGCCGCTCCTACATCTCCTCGCTTCCTCTTCTTTCCCTGCTTCTTCTCCCCATTTCGGTCTGTCTTCGCTGCAGATTTGACCACCTCCGTCTGAGGCTTCAGCGAGCTTGCATCGACGTTCCAGCCCTTCACTGCGAACATTGTGGGAGATATTTTTTGGACTTGGAGTTTGTCGCGAAATTTGAGGTGAATGTTAAAAGGTTTCCGAATGGCGGCAGGTCTGCCGAGATCTTGATGCCTCAGGCAGACTTCCCGAAATGCCTTCCCCTTTGGGCTGCTCGCTCAGCTTCTCTTTCGCGTCACAAACCCCAACACGAACACGAAAAGTTTGCCCTTCTGTAGCCGGCCTCATCAAAACCCCCAGTCGTCGAAGCCGCCCATCTCATCTTGCTTGGCCCAACGTGAACAGATAAGTACTGCTCCCCCTACTTTCTCAGAGATGACTTTACTTCCATCCTTGAGTACATCGCAATGGATTTTTCGTATTTCTCCTGGCTACCGTCAGCCTTACTATACTATGTCTTTGTACCCATCGCGTCGTCTCTCATGGTTCTCGTTCTCGGGATCGTTGGACTTCAGCTTGCTCGTGTCTACCTGGCTCCAATTCCTGCAAATCTACCATGGGCTGGTCTCAAAGGCGACCGGTTCCTGCCCAAACTCAGAGCTACATTGAGAGAGCTTTCTGTCAAGCGTGTGGTCATCGAGGAAGGCTACGAGAAGGTATGTTGCTGAAGCGCAGCCGTAATATTTGGTGCTTGACATAGAACCAGTACAGCAAACACGAGAAGCCTTTCGTGCTTCCGTCATTACATTGGCCAATTGTTGTCCTCCCTGCGTCCAAGACACGGTGGATAATCTCTCAGCCAGATAGTGTCCTCAGCACGATTGCTATTCACGACGATCTCACTGGGCCGCAGTACTTTGGCCATGGACCAGACGCAGCAGCTTGCCACGACTTCAGTATAATCACTCGAGACCTGACGAGAAACATTGGCAAGCTCACTTCCGTTCTGCTCAAAGAAATTCAAGATAGTTGTCGAAGACAACTTGACAGCGATGAATGGAGCGAAGTCGAGCCGGCCAGTGTGATGAAGAAAGTTGCCGGCGAATCAGTGAGTAGGGCTGTTGTCGGCAAGGAGTTAGCCCATCACGAGCTATACTTGGAGAGACTGCATGCTTGGGAGTATGGCTTCGGCTACTGTGGACTGATCTTTGGTCAGTTATGTCCAAGGTGGTTGAAGCCTCTCGCTGGGAGAGTGCTCATGCTGCCTGTGATGCTCTTGAAATGGAGGGTTGGACTTTTGGTCTATCCTAAATTAAAGCAGAGGATAAGCCGCCTGAGGGAGTCGGACGACACAGCTGCTGAAAATGATTTGATGCAATGGGTTATCGAAAGTGCTGAGCGAGACCCGGATCCTAGAGCAAGGAACTTGGACAACATTCTCGGTCGGACGATGATGTACAACATGTTTGCGCAGCACACGACACAGCACACCGCTGCTACGGTTCTCTTCGATCTGCTCTCATACCCTTCTGGCCACGAAGTCCTCCCAGCGCTCATTGAGGAAGCCAAAGCCATCCTACCCAAGCTAGGTGACGACCCATACGCCACACGGGACATGGTCAAGCTCGACTCAACAATCCGCGAAAGCATGCGGCTGAATCCCATGTTCGCGAAAGGAATTCCCAAGGAGGTTGTGAAGCCAGGAGGATTGACTACACCAGACGGGCTGTTCTTACCCCAAGGATGCCACGTTTCTACCGCGAGTGCCAGTTTCACTATGCGGGACGCCGAGTTTTACGAAGATGGGAACGAGTTCAAGCCGCTGCGGTTCTGTGAAGTGGCAGTCGAATTGGGAACGAAGCAGAAAGCTGCCTCACAGGTTGACGAGCAATTCTTGGCCTTTTCGCTTGGAAAGTATGTGCCCATCAGATTCTACCACTAGTGTCCGATTTGAAGGCTGACACGGTGTTCAGGCATGCATGCCCAGGCAGATTCTTTGCCGCTCACATGCTGAAGCTCATGCTTGGCCATGTCTTGGTCAACTACGAGTTTGAAATGCTCCAGGAAAGGCCGGAGTTCGTCACTTTTGGCGATCTGACTATGCCGCCGTCGACGAAGGTGAAAGTTCGGAGGAGGAGGTCCCAGATGTAGATACATGGGGCAGGAGTGAGTTGCCCTGCTAGACGGTGGTACACTTGTAAGTCGCCATATATTAGCAACCAGATCCATTCCCGAACGTGTGTACAGAACAACGGAACAAGCTCACATGAGCTGTCATACTTCGATCAGCATGTGTGGGTGCAGACTGCAACAAGTCAAGCGCTATATAGAGTGCACGAACCCATCGTCGTTCTTTGTTAGCAACGCTATGTTCGTGCTCGCTCTTTCCGTTGCGTCTGGTCTCGACAGCACGACGCAAAGTGTTTAACCTCTGATCTCGGTTTTCGTGGTCTCGGCCGGCCGGTGAGCGTGTTGACTGCCAGCTACCCCGAAATCCTGCGACCCCGAATTCGACGGTGAACTGGGGCTGATCAGGCTGCACCTCGAGCTTACCCCGAATGCGGAGACTTTGACTTTGAATGTGACGTTGGCGGCCCATCCTTGGCGTGGGGCTACCATTAAATACATCTCCTTGAATGCGGAGACCGCTTACTCCAACATACCCCTACTATCATCTCCCCAAGTCATGGTCGTGAACACGCCACGGCCGAGACCACACAATTGTGACCTGTGCAAGCGCAGCTTTGCTCGCTCGGAGCACCTCAAGAGGCACATCACTACTCGTTCCGTCTCTTCCCCAACACCGAAGATGACTACGCTAACTTCGCTGCTCAGATACCCACGAGAAGTCATTTCTCTGCCACTGTGGGAAAGCCTTCGCCAGGCGCGATCTCCTCAAACGCCACCAGAAAATCGGAAGGCATCTCACGAGCGGGCAGATCTCCCGAGAGAGATCACTCTCCAGGGACGGTTTAAACACCACCGTCACACCGAGCTCGCATACTCCGTCAGAGATATCGCCGTCTTCGCACATACCTCTACATGAAAATGACTCGGTTAACGCTTCAGCTCCACCGGAGTCAGAGTACGGCGAATGGCTCAGTTCAGATGCATTTCAGAATTTCGATTCTTTCATCAACACCATGGGATTGGATGCTCCTTTCTACTACGTGATGCCGGAAGCTCTTGGAAATCAACAAATCTTCAACGAGTCATATCAAGATATAGAACCCAGCATCATTCGAGCAAATTGGTCGTCGAAACTCCCCACCGGCGACCCCGAGAGTGTCCACGAGCTCAAACGGATCCCTTGCTTCTGGACGGTGACTCAAGGCCAGCACGATAATATAGAGGCTGAGCTGCAGCCATATCGGCCTGCACTTTCCGAGTTTGTGCTTCCTTCGGCATTGGCTTTGAGTCGCTACCTGGGAGGTTATATGGAAGACTTCCAGGACCATCAAGCCATCATCCACACTGCGACTTACCGTCTCCAGGAGGCATCTGGACATCCCGAGCTGATGCTGGCTGTCTGTGCGTGTAGAGCTCTCACCAGATACGAGAGGAGGTCAGCGATTCGCCTCTTCCGTGCCAGCAAAGTAGTGATCGACATACGAAATAGCCGAAATGGCATGACAGCGTTCAATAGAAGACAACAGGATACCCAAGTCCAGACTGATGATGCATCTGTTGCCGAGTGTGATTTACGGATCGCACAAGCAGCGATGCTTCTATCTACGTTCGCAATCATGGAGGGTAAACACGAATTGATCAACGATGCGACCTCGTTGAACTACATACTTATCGACTTCGTACGGAAATACGGTACGGCAACGTCTTCTGATTCTCATGAACACTCAGCTTCATGGCGGGACTGGGCACTTGAAGAGAGTAGACGGCGAACACAATGTGCGATTTTCAACATCTTGAACATGCACACCATGGCCCTCGATTCGGCTCCTGGTCTGTTGAGTAGTCTACTTGACTGCTTTCTACCGTGTTCAACACCAGAATGGACCGCCAGCACCGAGCACGATTGGTTGAATGCCCGAAAATTTGCACCAGAAGTGGTATCTTTCCAACAAGCCTATGCAGCCCTGTTTGACACTTCCGAGCCGCACTCGTGCACACACTCTCCCTTGGGCAACCTCACCCTGATCAGCGCCATTCTCCAGCGCATTTACCATGCCCGACAACTCCAAGTCAGCTCTATTGAGACGCTGAGAGACAGTGACCTGGAGGAGATCGAGATAGCTCTGGATCGATGGACTCATGCATGGAAGCAAGCGCCTGAATCGATCTTGGACCCGCGAAATCCAGATGCTTCCAATTCATTCACCTCGACCTCATATCTAGGCCTGGCTTACGTCCGACTGCATGCTACGTATGGCGCACGAAGAAGACTCTGCGATTGGCAGCCAAGAACCGCAGGCGCGAGCCTGTACCAAGCGCCTCTGCCTCAACGAGCCCCGAGGATGGAACCTGCTCTCCTGCATGCTGCTCAAGCTCTTGCAACGCCGGTCAAGTTCGGCATCGAATACATGGGACGCAAGCAGTTCCACTATTGGGATCTGCAGAACTTTATATGGCACCTTGAGGCCGCCGTCTTTCTTAGCAAATGGTTTCTGGGATTTGCGGAGACGTGTCAATATAATCCGCCGTCTGGTAAGTGATTCTGGCGTTCTCGAACTGAATTTCATTGACAATTTCTACAGACTTCGAGCTCAGACTTATATCATCTGTCACCAACCTCGTCGACAAAGGGGAAGAATCGATCGACCCGGGTCTATTACCTGATGTGGAGATGACCATCGGCCAGACGACTGCGAATATAGCCTTTTCTCTGAGCCGTCGTAGTGCAAAGTTATGGACATGTCTGTATCATAAGCAGAACAGTCCTTGGGGCCTTGTTGATATGATCGGCCAGAGTTTGGCGGAGTATGAAAAGTTGATGGCTGGTTCTTGATGGACTCAAATACAGAGGAGTACAACTTTGCAAATCAACGACTTCCGCATTTCATGATATCAGGCATTCTATCCAGTAGCGACAGGTATAATCTGACGATGCCTCCTAAAGATTCTCAATCGCTCCACTATCGGAAGCGTGGAACACCTGAAGCGGCAATCTCAATTCCACCTTTGATCCCGCACGATCGAACGATATAGCCAAATCAACGGCATAACGCCCTGAAAGTACAGGCGAATGAAAGGTGGATGTGAGCCCACGGCCTGTTTGCAAGCCGAATGGAATCGAAAAGTTCGTGGAATAGACGTCCTCACCCATCACGGCGCTGCCTGCGGAAGGGATGCTGGCGAAACCTGCAAAGGAGGTGCCTGACGTTACCTCGAGTGACCTCGAAATGGCCGTAATTGGCCCACCGATGAAGGCTTAATGATCGACGAAAGTCAAAATATCAGAGTCACTTCTACTTCAGTCCAGCCTCGGTTGTTTCAAAAGGTATATAGGTGGGATTCGCACTCTCCGCACCAAACCTCATCGCTACCCTTCACGAATCTCCCAGTGTCGGGAGCATTGGCAAAGGCAGTGAAATGGGCTTCCCAACCTTTGTGTGCCTGCTACTAGCGCTGCTGACATCATTTTTGCCTGCGACTGCAAGTTTTCCGGGTACACCTTTTCGGACGGAAGGCCGTTGGATTGTTGATACGTCCGGGCAGAATGTCACATATACCGGTGTGAACTGGCCTGGAGCCGCCGACACTGGACTTCCTGAGGGGCTGCAGTATTCTTCCGTACAAGAGATCGTCAGCAAAGTCAAAGATGCCGGCTTCAACATCATTCGTCTCACCTTTGCCGTCCAAGTAATAGACGAGATCTATGAACGGCACGGTGAAGATGTTCCGATCAGTACCGCATTCAGCCAAGCTCTTGGTGCTGAGAATGGATCGGCCATCTTGAACAAGGTCCTCTCTAATAATCCAGCCATGTCAGAGAGCACCACCCGGCTGGAAGTCTTCGATGCCGTGGCAGAAGAATGCAATCGCCAGGGGATCTATGTACATCTCGACAACCATATCTCAAAGGCAGAATGGTGCTGCTCCTTTGTCGATGGTAATACATGGTTCGGCGACGAATACTTCTCCGTAGCGAACTGGACTCGTGCCCTCACATACATGACGAGGCATGCAAGCAACTGGCCTAGTTTTGTCAGCATTGGTCTGCGAAATGAGCTCCGCTTTCCACTGAACAACGCTCCAGTCCTTGCCACATATAACTGGGCGGTATGGTACGACAACATGATCGCGGCAGCCGACGCAGTGTACAAGACCAACCCGGAGATTCTCATCTTTTTCAGCGGCCTAAACTCTGATCTCTCATTGAACCCGATCCCGACTGGCGATGATCTGGGATTCGGTCGCCGCTTCGATAAAAATCGCTACGCCGATAAAGCAGTCCTTGAGCTTCACAAATACGACAACAACGACATTTCTTGCGCGCTATTGAAGGCTTTCGAATATAGCAGTGGCTACGATGCTCTGGACGACAGCAACGTATTCGTCAAAAACCACATGCCCGTAGTGCATACCGAGTTTGGATACGCTCAGACGAACGGCAGCGATGATGGCGGTGCACAAACGGTCTATGCGAGGTGCATTCGAGAGTTTCTGATCGAGCAGAAGGCTGGCTGGATGGTGTGGGTGCTTGCTGGCTCCTACTACATCAGACAGGGTACGCAAGACAATGACGAGAGCTATGGTATGTACATGCTAATGTCGTATTTTCGTGATGCAGGTATCCCTGACTATGATGCTTCTCTAGGTATTCTGAGTCATGATTGGAGTGGTTATAGGAACGAGACTGTATTTGACCTTGGCGTTGGGGGGATGATCAGGGCGGCAAGGAGGTGGGGCTGATGATGAGAATATCATCGTAGTTCTGGCTTTTGACGGGATGAGATGATCTTCTGTCTCATGACAATGCCGCTGAGTGGTGGCTACACAAATCAGACTACCCCAATGATCTTCCCAGCCTCCAGTTGCTCGACAAAGCCCGCAGGTAATGATAGATCCAAGGACTGCAGAAGTTGCTTCGTCTATTAGCGATCGAGTCAACGTCTTTTCTCCAGCCCCTGGCAGTAGCAGCCTCCTCCAGCAAGCGTAGCAATAATTTGACGACGACGCCAGGCATTGCGACTCCAGTGAGTAGCACACCGCAAGGGACCCTTCCCGCGAGCGCTGTCGTTTACCGGGTGATTGAACTCGTGAGCATGGTCGACGGTATCTCGATTGAGTCTTGTCTGGTACGACTAACTTGGCCGACATTGGTCTGGACTCTTTGTCAGCTATTGAACTTGCCAGCGACATCAGATCTTCATTTGGGGTTCAAGTCACAACCGCAAACATCAGCTCCGCAATCACTATCGACGATCTGTGCCATCTGACCTTCTCAGACAATCATACACCCAGGTCAATCGAGCCAGGAGCCCAAGGTATGACCACATACTCGAGCACGGCAATCAGTATACCACTTCCAGTACACGTTCCATGTTCCGGTGTCACTGGAACTCACAAGTCGGATGAATCTGACCAGAGGAGACACGAGGCAAGCTCGCCTGACAAGACACTGACGATCCGAACGCTCGCTTCAAGCTGTTGCACGAAACTGAAAAGTGATCAACACCTCTCGATCGAAGTGGCCGCTCGATATTCAGAGTAAAGGTCACTTGCGATGGCGTACGTCACGGAGGCGCTTGATGCGAGAGGTTGTTCCTTGCCCAACGCCCTAGAGTCAGAACTGCTACGCACGCCGGCTATCGACTTCAAACACACCAAGCTCATGAATCGAATCTGGGATGTCTTGGAAGATGAAGGGTACGTCTACCAGTCCCGCTCAGGCTCAATACGTACGAGTCGAGCCTTGGAACTACAGCAATCTGCGGCTTCTTACTATGAGCAGCTTCAGCATAAATATGGCGCAGACGCCGACTTGCAGCTCCTTCATCTTACCGGACCACACATCGCTCAAGCGTTGGCTGGACAATGCAATCCGCTTCAGCTATTGTTTGGTACTCCAACGTGTCGAGAGATCCTAGACGAGTTTTACGAAAAGTCACCCTTGATATTGCCTGCGGCTAGAGCGTTTCTGGGGTTTGTGTACGAGTACATCGACCAGTCTTGCGAATCCCGCCCCTTAAGGATACTCGAAATCGGGCGGGACTGGTGGAACGACCAAGCCGCTCATGTCTCATCTGTCCGCTCTGAGCTCGAAGTTTGAACACACCTTCACGGATATCTCAGCATCGATGGTGTCGCAAGCCTCAAATGCGTTTCAAGCCTACGGGAACATGACATTCCAGACTCTTGACATCAACTCCACCGCTCCTGCTGAGTTATTCGGCCGGTTCGATTTGATCTTTGCCACCAACGCTGCCACGCCAGACCTGAGGAGATCTTGTGAGAACATTCATCGGATGCTAGATCACGACGGTCTCATGGTTCTCCTGGAGCTGACCTGCGGTGATTTGTACCTCGACTCGGTTTTTGGTCACTTAGAGGGTTGGTGGTGCATGAAAGACGGCCGAAGATATCCACTTCAAAGTGAGGAGGAATGGGCCAAGACTCTCGGAGACTGCGGCTTCCATGATGTACGATTTGCGGTCGAACCGGTTCTTGATAATGCCCGGCTCGTTTTTGGACATGCCAGGGCATCGGGCATACCGATTCAGCTTGAAGAATCAAGGCTGGCTTCCTCTTCACTGGTTCAAGGATGCCATGTCGGTTACGACCACTCCCTCTTTCTGTTCCCTGGTGGCCATGGATCTGCCGCCACATGGAGCTCGCTACCAAGCTTGGGGTATGGCATGACAGTGTTCGGCTTGAACAGCCCATTCTGGAAAGACGACGTGCCTTATACTGTCTCCTTTTACGAGCTTGCGAGACGATGCATCTCGGAGATCAAACGAGTGAAGCCTCATGGCCCATATATCCTGGGTGGATACTCTTTCGGAGGCGTGGTTGCTTACGAAGCTGCCCGCCAGATGATCGAAGCCAGTGATCAAGTGGACCATCTCATTCTCATAGACTCGGCTTGTCCACTCATCTATCCCCGCTTCTCACCGGCCTTGTTAGAGTTCTTTGACTCGGTGGACATCAACCACGACACAGTGGACAAGCGTGGGGACCAGCGTCCTGCAGAGCCCGCGGCCAGCAAGATGCAGCATCCACACATCCTCGGTAATGGAAATGCTCTCGCGGGTTACAAGCCCATCCCGATGCCTTCGAACAGGACGCCTCAGACAACGTTGTTTGCAGCACGCGATGGCATCGATGGTCGTAGGACACGTCCACTTCCAACGTCCACAGGACAGACACAAAAGTGATGGAGTGGGCGCTTGATGACCGGGTAGACGTGGACAATCATGCTTTCGCGTGGCCGCGCCAGGTCGGATGGGAGAAGCTGAATGCCATCACGACAAGCGGCAATCATTTCTCCATCGTGAAAGAGCCACATGTGAGTCCATATCTCTCTCTCGTTCCTCATGAGCGATCAAGGACGAAAGACTAACGGGTTTAGATCTCCAACGTGGCGGCGGTCTTGGGAGAGGGCAAGTGGATGGAAAGTATGTAAAGTACTTCGACGTCTTGTTGCAACGGTATGCTACGTCCGAGTTCAAGTTGGTGCAAATCGAGGATTTCCAAGACCTTGCGAGCGGCTCGACTCAGCGTCTCGACCTTTGTATACGTCGCCGATGAGAAAGGGGAAGTATAATTTTCTCCCGGGACAGCTTCAGCCTAGCGGCAACTTCTTGTTTTAGCACAGTTCGACGAAAACGTGTCGGCATGTCCGCCACGGAAGCATGCACACCGCGCGACGGAGGTAAGAGGTACTTACGGTCAGGAATCGTCGGTGACGACGCCAGTAGTGGTGAAAATTTAGCCTTTTCTGCGACTTCGTGAGACTCCAATGCGTCGAGGAGGCCAATGCTCCAGCAGACAAGGCTGCCCTCAGGGTGGCATCATTCAGAAAAGGAAGTGGGGCCGGCCGCCCGTCGTGCCTCAGGCATCAGCATCGCACATGACATAGCTTGTTGACGTTACACCGACAGCGTGATGGAATCGTCACGCCTACAAAATCCGATCATCTCCCGCACCGCACTGACATGTCCAGGCGCCTGACCAAACTCGTCAAATCCGCCAAAGACTCACTCGACGGCCGTCAACGACCGTTTGCCGCCCAACAACAACAACAACCCGCTATCCCGCATCACTCCCGCCCGGTCGACACAATGGCGTCTCCTCCGACAGATTACCCACGACCTGACTTCCAGCGGACCGCACTTCACTGGGAGAGTCTGAATGGTCCCTGGGATTTCCTCTTCGATGACGATGACAATGGCCTGCTCGCTGGGTGGCACCACAATGGCATCCCATCACATGCCCCCTCCGGCGACGGCAAGCCCAATGGCAAGAGAACAATTCAAGTCCCTTTTGTCTTCCAAGCTCCAGCATCAGGGATCAATGAGCGAGGTGTACATGAAGTTCTGTGGTATGAGCGTCGCATCGAAGACCTCCGCAACTCGGAAGAAAAGTCTGAAAACTATCGTCTGCTCCTCCGGTTCGGCGCCGTGGACTACCATGCCAAGGTCTGGCTCGACGGACAGTACATTGGCGAGCATCGTGGTGGTCATGTGCCGTTCGACTTAGATCTGACGGAAGCCATTCAGCTTTCCTCTTTCAGTCCGTACCGGCTGACAATCAGAGTACACGACTCGGCGTTCGACCTAGCACAGCCCCGAGGAAAGCAGTACTGGGGACCGCGGCCAGAGAGCATTTTCTACACGCCATCCAGTGGCATCTGGCAGAGTGTGTGGCTGGAGAGTGTGCCGCCAGCCAGGATCGTGGATGGCAGCTATGGGACCATTCTGCGATCGAACGAGATTGAGAAGGGCGTTTTGGACGCAAGAGTCTGCACTATTGGAAGAAGGGCCAACCAGCCATTGGAGATCGAAGTCGAAACAAGCCTAGGAGGAGTGGTGATCGGCACCGGCAAGATGGGCCTCAAACGAGAGGAGGACTTTGTGCGGATGTTCGACGTGAACACAAGACTCTCCCAGCAGCACATCCAAATGCTCCCACCTGAGTTTGCAAGCGCCGCACCACTGAACGATGATCGATGCTGGAAGAATGGGGTCGCTCTGTGGTCACCTGAGTGTCCATTTCTGTACGATGTAACACTTCGACTGCTGGGTCCGGGGAACAGATTGTTGGATGAAGTCAAGACCACTACTGGAATGCGCTCCCTCGATTGGATAACGGGTGATGGCACATTCAGACTGAACGGCAAGCCGTACTTCCAAGCGCTCTTCCTTGATCAAGGTTATTGGCCAGACACGTTGATGACGCCACCGACCCCAGCTGCGTTGAAGAAGGATATCGAGTTGTCCAAAGCCATGGGCATCAACGGCTGCCGCAAGCATCAAAAAGTTGAAGATCCCATCTTCATGTACTGGGCAGACCGGCTTGGCTTCTTAGTCTGGGGCGAGATGGCAAGTCCATTCCACTTCACCGTGGAGATGATGAAGAGGTTCGACCAAGAGTGGATGGAGATGGTGAAGCGGGACGTCAATCATCCTTCAATTGTCACTTGGACTCCCATCAATGAAAGCTGGGGCTACGGAGATCTTGGTGGAAACAAGCGACAAAGAGACCATGTGCGATCGCTGTACTGGACCACGAAGACCTACGACATGACGAGACCCATCAACGACAATTGCGGCTGGGAGCATGTCATTACCGACCTTAGCACCTTCCACGACTACGCCGACGAGAATGGCATGGCCGATCGCTGCAAGAATCTCAAGGAGATCATTGGACGAGGTCGGCCCATGTTCCTGGGTCCAATATACAACCACGCCAACGTGGAAGACGAAGGGTCACGACACCAACGCGGAGCCCCAGTCATGTGCACAGAGTTTGGCGGCGTGAATATTGCGGCGTCCAACGATGACTCTCGGAAGGGCAACTGGGGCTATACGACTGCGAGTGATGCGAAGGACTTGTTAAAAAGAGTCGAGGGGCTGATAATGGGGACTGTGCGAGAGGGACATGTGTGTGGGATTGTGTGGACCCAATTCTCGGATATCGAGCAGGAGCAGAATGGGCTCTACACGTATGACAGGAGAGAGAAGCTCCCAGCGGCGGAAGTGAAGAAAGTGATGGAGAAGGCGGCAGCGGCATACTTTGCGAAGAGGCAAGGCCGGTAAAAGCGGCTACATGTATTAACGTTCCAGCAATACGCCGGTTGATTGCGTATGCGAAGTGAGCTGGACCACAAGCACGTCTCTCTTGGAAGTGGCTCAAGCGGAGCCATGTGATCAAGCGTCCGTGCGCGAGTGGTGTACAGAGGCCCTTTCTCCCCCTCTTTCTTCTCTTTCATCATTCAACACCAAAAGCACACACACTTCTCGAGCGTTGCTGACCACGGATGAATTGAACAGCAGCACAAACACTGTACTATCAAATAACCGGTACCAAGCTTGTCCTTGCACCCAATCGAGCCGATCACCAAGACCGATCGATGATTGCTTAGCTTGTACTCTACATCTACCCCCCGACCCCGACACCTTGAGACCGACGTTTCACAAGATGCTCTGGCTTACAGCGAGAGCATCGTACTACATCGACGGTCCAGATCGCAAGGATGTCCCTCTGATCGTCTCTGCTGGTTTCAAGTCAGAACAAGACACAGGGCTCTGCGGGATGTGCAGCATGCCAACATGGCAAAGGTTTTGTGACTCCTCAGGAAGCGGACATGGTGTCCTTTGGGAGCCTGCTGGACACAGAAAGGTATGTGTGCTAAAGTACGTCCGGCAACACATCAATCAACAATGCTGACAGATTTTCAAGTGTCCTACACTTACATTCAGTAACTGAAGCTCTGCTCATTCTACCTCTACACCTTGTCAACATAGACCACGGCAGCATCCTTGTCAGCGATCGAGTCACTACGACCCAACTTTGTCTCCTGCACATCTCGGCGGACCTTCTCCTCCTCAGTCGGGTATGCGTGCTTCCACATAGTCCAAAGGGGCCTTTGGAAAAGATCATCCATGCTTTCAATTGAGCGACCTTTCATCTCGGGCAAGCAGAAGAAGATGAAAACCACACCAGCATATGTGAGAATGGCATAGAGGAGGAAGGTACCCCAGCCCTAAAAGCACCAGTTACCAATGAGCAGACAATGAAGTCGGTCGTTACATACCATTTCCGTCAACATGACAGGCGTCGCTTTGGTGATCCCATAATCGACAATCCAGTTCGCAAAGAAGCAAAATGACATGCAGAAGGACCTGATGCGGGTTGGGAAGATCTCAGCAGCAACGACGTAGCAAGCGACTGAGTGTCCAAACGACCAGCCAAAGTCGTACAGGTAGATCATGACGATGCCAACGATGCCGCCTGCTGGAGTACCTTCAACAGTATCTGTGCTGGAGTTACCCCCTGGTGCAAAGCGAATGTAGAGGGCAAGATATAACATTGCGGTTGCTTGGATGGAAGCCCCGACAAGGAGAGGCAGGCGGCGGCCGATGCGGTCGACGAGGTAGCCGACGTATAGTATCGTTGTAACCACTTTCACGATGCCGTAGACGCCCTGGTAGCCTGTCAGCAGAATAATCCTGAGCATTGGGCAAGGTGCCTTACCGTGGTTAGGAGTGTGTTGCTGCCGCCCTTGACGCCGATCAACTCGAAGATGCTCGGAGCGTAGTAGTTGAGGCTGTCGGTTCCAGTAAATTTGTGGAAGAGGAACAGCATCACAGCAAGGAAGAAGCGCTGAAAGTTACTCTTGTTGGTGAAGACGTCCCGGATTATGACCAAGTAGCTGTGTCCTGAACGTGCCTATCCTTGTGAGCCATCGCTTTCCAGTTGGGAAATCGTGGACCATTACCTCTTGTTCGAACTTCGTCTGCGCCTCGATCTCGGAATATTCAGTCTGCACATAGGGATGGTGTGCAGGTAGCTTCCGCAGCTTGGTCAGGTTCTTCAGCCCCTTCTCTGTCTTGCCCTGGTTGATGAGATATCTCGGCGTCTCTGGGACGAATGGAATCATCAGACACATCAACGCCCCAGGGATGAGCTGGATGCCCATTGACGTCCTCCACTGCTTGTTGTCATGCTCATGACCCTTCCACAAGCTGACCCCGTAGTTCGTCCAGAAGGCCAGGGCAAGGCTAGTGACTATCATGAGGTTGTAAGTGGCTGTCATCGAGCCGCGGACGGATTTGGGTGAGTTCTCGGCGAGGAATTGAGGGCTCAGCATGGAAGAGGCACCGACGCCCATACCGCCAAGGAAGCGGCCGGCGAGGAGCACGTCGTAGTTGGCGATCATTTGCATTGATGCGCCGACGAGGAAGACGATGCCCCAGAGGAAGACGGACCATTTGCGGCCTGACAAAATAACTTAGCGCGGCCTACAGCAGATGGCATGGTACATGACTTACCAAGATAATCCGACGTGGGTGCTGCGCAGAGAGCGCCCGCCGAGCCCTGGCCCTCTGGTCAGCCTTGCCTATTGCGAGTGTCGAAGTCCACTTACTCCAGCTGTCAGCATAGCAGCGATGGTACCCTGCGGTTGTCAGTGATGTGGTCGGAATCGCGTCTTCGACTCGGCATACACTTCTTTCATCGAGCTCGACTTGCGACAAGCCTGTCAGACCAAAAGCATTCTCGAATGACGGCAATGTGAGGATGCCGCCAATGTTGCCGGAGTCGAATCCGTAGAAGCATCCAGCCCATGCAACAGTGATGAGGAGGAAGAAAAGCCGGCCATTGAAGATCTGTTTGGGATCAGTCTTTGCGTCTTTGCTGACCCAGATGCTGGTGCAGCCCGCCATAGTGCAAAGCGATGGTGGAGTATGAGTGGGAAAGAAGAGACGCAAGCTAGCTTGAGCCTATCCGCAGCAGGAGGCGATGTTATACTAGCCTAGTAGAAACCAATACTGGCCCGACTTACCGTGTGGAGTGTGGGGTCTGGGGAAGTGGAGTCAGGCTGCGAGAATTACTGGCGTGACACTCGGGGAGACTTCATCCGAGCAAGGTCGGAGAACAATCTCCGTGCGGATATTGATCCGCTGCTGTTGGCAGAACGGCCCATTCTCGGCTTCTGAGAGCTCGACGGGGTCCCCAACGGGAACTGATGTAGGACTCGATTTCAACAGACCTGTCTCTGGTAATCAACTGTCCAGTCATCATGGGAAGCTGCGCAGAGTCAGTGCCAGATTTTGACAACAATGTTCTCACTGAGACTGCCAAGCCATTCCAGCATTCAGCATGCTTTGTTCCAGCGGGAACGCCTCAATGTCATGCATCAAATCTTCTGATCCTTGACAATGGCGATCTTCTCTGTGCTTGGTTCGGCGGCACGCAGGAAGGGAAGCCTGACACCAGCATTTACCTGGCCAGACGACCTGCTGGATCAAATGTGTGGTCTAAGGCTACAAGAGCGACTTCCGATACCTCGAGGAGCGAGCAGAACCCAGTGCTATTTCAGACGCCCGTCGTAGATCTCTGGCTCCTCTATACTTCGCAGAATCTCGGCGATCAAGATTCAGCTGTGGTCAAACGTCAAATATCGAGAGACCGTGGATCGACATGGGGGGCTCCAGATGTCCTCTTCTCAGAGCCAGGAACTTTCATTCGGCAGCCGGTCGTGGTTCTTGAAAGTGGAGCTTGGGTGATACCGACATTCAAATGTCGTAGCGAACCAGGCGTGCGGTGGGTTGGCAACGACGATATCTCGGCGATCCGGATCTCACAAGATCAAGGCCAGACGTGGGTCGAAAAAGAAGTCCTCAACAGCTTCGGCGCCGTTCATATGCAAATCCAGCAGCTTCAAGACAGGACTTATCTTGCTCTGTATCGCAGTCGATGGGCCGACAACATTCATATGTCAACGTCCCCAAACGGCATCGGTTGGTCTGAGCCCAAACCAACAGCACTACCAAATCCCAATGCTGGCGTCTGCTTTGCTGTTCTGCCATCTGGACGTGTCCTAGCGGTGTACAACCACTCTTCGAGGGCCAACGCTGTGGGCCGTCGTGAAGGCCTGTACGACGACATTGCTGCTCCCGACGACGTCCGCAAGAATCAAACCAGCAAGCACGCTGGTAAGGAGGCGTTCTGGGGATCACCAAGGGCTCCGCTGTGTCTCGCTTGGAGCGATGACAATGGCCATTCATGGAGGCATAGAGTGCTTGAAGAGGGCGATGGATACTGCATGACGAACAACAGTGAGCAGAAGCTGAATCGTGAACTGTCGTATCCGAGCATCAGGGTTGGGAGTGATGGGAAAGTGCATGTTGCTTTCACTTTCTGGAGGCAGGGCATCAAGTATGTCGAGTTTGATCCTGCTGTACTAGACCAAGTATAGTCTTGTTGAACCTGCTTGGGCAAGCCCTGCTCGGGTGTCATCTCGGCTTTGATTCAGCTTCGAGTCTATCTTCCCGCTTGTGCCGAACATATTGGACCGAGAACGAAGGGCATATGAGGTGAAAGGGCTAGAATTTTGGTTGAATCCATGAGCTAGTGCATGTAGTCTTCAATGTAATCTTTCAACGTTTGCCCAAGGCCAACATCAGGATGAAAGCCCAGATCGATGGCTTTCTCGGTGTCAAACACAGCTGGCCATGACCCAACGATACTGGCCACCTTCTCGTCATACTGTTCCTGTATCAGACCGAGAGCTTTCTGACCACCAACGTCTCGTAGCCCCTGTAGCATATCGTCAACGGTGACGGTCTGTCCTGGGAGGTTGACGATGCAACTGCCGATGAACCTCGCTTCTGGAATGTCTTTGGCGGCAACGAGATTCCTGATCACAGTGCGAGCTGGGCACACCCAGAGTTTGAGAGCCCTCGGTACCGGGAGGATGGAGGGTTTGCCATTGAGAGGCTCTCTGATGATCCCCGAGCAGAATGATGAAGCAGCTCCCGGCGGTTTGCCGGGTCGCACGATTATTGTGGGAAGCCGCAGAATTCTTGCATCAACGAGGCCTCGCCGTGAGAGGTCATTGAGTAGCAGTTCGACCATGGCCTTTTCCGTGCCATACGAGGACCTTGGAATTGGCATTGTATTCTCGGTCACCACTTCACCTTGTCCAGGAGGTCCGAAGACGGCGAGGCTGGATGGGAAGATGATACGGACTGGCTTTGGTCGGTGATGCCGGCGTAACACATCGATGATATACCTCATAGAATCGACGTTGACTTTCAATCCGAGATCCAGGTTGGCCTCTGCCGCGCCCGACATGATGCCATGCAGAAGATAGATATGGGTGAACTCCGCCGAGACGACCTTTTCGCAAGTGGCTAGGGAAATGAAATCGGCAGCAAAGCTCGTGATGCGGCATGTCGTGTCCTTGGCAACAGCCGGCAAGGCTGGCTGTGTTATGTCGGTCAAGGCGATGCTCTCTACAGCTGGGTCTTGGGTCAGGCTGGGCGCCAACGCCTGGCCAACGAAGCCTGCAGCGCCGGTGATGAGAATTTTTGCAGACGCAGTGTTGATGCTCCCCATTTTGGTCGGTATTTGTGACAGTGTCTTGTGTGATACGTGACCTGTAGCTCGTCGATGCGGTGGATTGCACGCCTTCCCAGATAGCTGATGATGTGTCTCCCCCGTGATCATTGATACATTGTGCTTACACCGGTGCTCAATTGGACCGCATCGGAGGGTTAGCTCCGCAGTCTTGTCTCCCCTCACTGCGCCCAGGACTGCGGACCATGGTGACCCGCCGGATGTTCACCGAGCCGTACCCTTCGAACGTATGCTCGCGTTCCAAGGCACAAGTCGTGCAGCTTTGGCTGATTGCACTTCGGTAGACGTGAATGCACGTGACGGGAGAAATCCTTCTACATTGCTTGGACTGATAGGGGACGGTACAATTCTTCCAGGGCCTGAATATCAGAATCCGTAAGTCGAACAGCCAGAGCTTTGGAAGCACTCTCTATCCGCTCGACACTATTCAGCCCAACAATAGGGCAGGCACCTTTGTGCAATAGCCAAGCAAGAGCAATATCAGACATGGCGCAGCTCTTCGCCTGAGCAAGCTTTTCAACCCGTTGGACAATCGATTGGTTCTGGTAGCCCTGGAACCATTTCTTCGCTTTCGCGTCTTGCTTACTGCGATCGCTCTGTTCAGCCCAACGTCTTGTGAGCAAGCCTCTGGCAATCGGCGACCATGGAATCAGTCCCACGCCTTCAGCGTCGCAGAACGGGATCATCTCTCGCTCTTCTTCGCGGTACAGCAAGTTGTACAGTCCCGACATGCTGGTGAATTGAGTCCACCCGTTCGTCTTGGCTGTATACTGTAGTCGAGCAAATTGCCAACAGTACATGCTGGATGCACCGAGATAGTGTACTTTACCCATCTGAACAAGATCGTGCAGCGCTCGCATGATTTCTTGAGGATCGGTGTCATGATCAAGTCTGTGTAGCTGCAGCACATCGATGTGTGAAGTCCCAAGGCGACGTAGCGAGCCCTCCACGGCCTCGAAGATGTGCTTTCGACTGAGGCCCATTTGGTTGACAAGCTTGCCGTCGTTGATCGCCGGCTGCGGTCGAGCATCTGGCTCATCTTCCAGCACGGGATAGTAGAGCTTGGTCAAGATGACAACTTTGCTGCGAGGTATCTTGTACGTTGCCAATGCCTTGCCGATGATGGTCTCCGATTGTCCATTCGAATAGGTGTTGGCAGTCTCCCACGTATTGATGCCCACATCGTAGGCCTTCTTCAACAGCGGCAAGGCGTCGGATTCCGACAGAACCCAAGGGCTTCCCTCCCACTTGGGGTTGCCAAAAGTCATACATCCAAGGATCAGTCTGGATACTTTGAGTCCGCTGGTGCCAAGTCTTTGATATTGCATCGGCGCAAGAGATGCTTCGTGGTGTGTGGCAGGCTTTGCCCATCTTGCAACAAGATCTTGAAGGGTGTCGTTGTCGCCCACATTGCCCGGGAAGACAACATAAGTAATGTCCGGGTATTTGCACGTTGATTCGGAGCATTGCCACAGAGGCACTCCGGGCGCTGCTTGACCCCTGATCTTTGCTCGCTTGAACATCAGTCCCTTCGTGGCCGCATCTGAGCTGGTGATCCCACCCTTGGCGATGATATAACGTGGTCGTGGGATAAGAAAGCGGAGAAACGCAACAAGAGCTTCTGCAACAACACTCCCAATCTTCAGACTGCTGAGTTCATCATTCCCGATAATCAATTTGCGGCTGGTCATTATCAAAACATCTTCTCCGTTCAAGATGTGGGTGCCAGCAAGATTGGCTGCTTCGAGCACCGTCTGCTGCGACGTCTGTGGCGAGTTCAACAGAGCACCCACATCGAGCTCGATCTTCCGCAGCTTATTGCCACGTCCGGCCACGAGTGACTCGAGCTGAGCGGTGGTCTTCGGAACATATGAGCCGGCAATGATCAGACCGCCAGGCGCAGAATGGGATACATCGAATCCGAGATCCCGTGCACAGAGTGGTGGAATCTGTTCAATCCCGAGTCGAGTCGATACGAAGGTGGCTCCAGTGCGATACAGGAATGTCTTGCCGAAAGATCGAGCTTCGAGGAGTCCGGGCACGAACGTCTCCATATCCGCCGTACCAGCTGAATTGACGATGACAACCGTGCCAGGCTTGAAACCTGACAGCCTTTCAGCAATCTTGCTTGGACCGCCCAGCCGGATATCTTCTAGAGAGATGGACTGTACTCGATCTCGTGTGATGCTACCCTTCGATTTTTCAACCACATAGTCACGCAGATTTGACTTTGTATATCCAAATGTTGCATCTTTTGCAAAAGGCGTCTGGGCCGCCGGCGTCAGCAGGCCGTCTGGACCAGCGACGTAATGCACATCGTTGATCGTCAAGCGGCCACCCTGCTCGAAGAATGGAGCCAGTATCCAAATGTCTGCTTTGCCAACTACTTCTTCTGCAGCCTCAGGCTCAAGCGGGAAGTGCCCACGCAAGGTCGAGTCTCCTCGCAGAACTATCTCGAATTCTTTCCCGGCTTTGGTGGCCGCGACTTTGACCGCTTCACATATTGTTCGGATGAGCTCACGGGCTTCAATCGGTGGCAGAGCGCGAGAGTTGGTGAGGACGAAGAACCCGATGCAGGCGGACTGAAATTCTTCGGCCAAAGTATCTTCGTCCCATACTGTTAAGACGTTGATGTCGTGGCATGTTTGTGTGCCTGTCGGATCGTCGTCGAGGACAACGAGGACGGGTTGTTGTGAAAGCTGCTCCTGAGTGACTCGTCTCGAGGCTGGTGCACGGGGCAGCGAAGCCAGAAGCTCGTCCTTCGCGACAACGCTGTCGTTGTCCTCCTTCTCCGCGCTCATGATGGCTGTGTTTTCATCAATTGGCGAATGATGCTCTCCCTTGCGTGGTCCATTGCCCAGCAGGAGTAGTTGGCGACATCGATGTCTGCCATGACACGTGATGAATAGCAATCCTAGAGTGATGGCGGTCAGTCGCCGATGGAGTCGGTGGCTCTGCCGATTGTGGCGGAAGTAGGCTTCCGACCATTACGGAGACGCTCATCCGACCATCGCGACTCTCCGATATTGCTGTAGCACACCAAGGAGACTGACGGCGACACTGAACCGCGAGTGGTAGCCATGCCGGCGAGATGAAGAACGAGTGTCGACGCTCATGAGGCCTTGCCCAGCGACCATAAACTATCAACTGGGACGCCCAGAATTGAAAGATTGTTAGAGAGGCAATAAAAACATGATATCCTATGAGGAGGTAGGTCAGCACAATAGGGCTGGCGATCTTTGGATTATCGTCCATGACCAAGTGTACGATCTGTCGGCGTTTGAACATCCTGGTGGAGCTGCCGGTGGGTTCCAGAGAACATCGAAATCAGACCACGACCAACAAGACCGCTGATCAGAATGCAGTCATATATCAGTATGCCGGCCGTGACGCGACCCTTGCGTTTGACCAAATACACTCGCCTGGCATCGTGAAGGCATTGTCAGCAGAGCAGAACATGGGGTCCATCAATCCGGATACACTACCTCGAAACGAAGAGCAATCAGTCGAACAGGCGAACACTATCCTTATCAAACCATCGAAACCAGATCTATACAGCTTGATATCTGTCCACGACTTTGAAGATGTGGCCAAGCATACCCTCACCGCCAAGGCGTATGCCTTCTACTCTTCAGCAGCGACCGATCTCGTCTCACATCAGGCTAATTTGATGTGCCATCGGAAACTTCTCCTTCGTCCAAGGGTGTTGCGGAACGTCAAGGAAGTCAACATGAGGCGGCGGATCCTTGGCTGTGAGTCAAGCGCACCATTCTTCCTCAGCCCTGCCGCCATGGCGAAACTGGCACATACGGAGGGTGAGTTGGCTGTTGCGAGAGCTTGTGGAGAAGAAGGGATTGCTCAAGTGGTGAGGCTCTCCGATAGCATTGTCCTCGACGATTGTCTGACCATCCCAGATATCGAGCAATGCGTCGTATCCTCTTGCAGAAATTGTCGCCGCTGGTCGACCCAATCAACCGTTCTTCTTGCAGCTGTACGTGAATTCAGACCGATCAAAGACCGAAGAGCTGCTGCGCCATGCAAGAGAACTTGGCGTCAAAGGCATCTTCATTACGGTGGATGCACCTGTTCCTGGGAAACGGGAGGCCGATGAGCGCATCGCAGCAGAGCATGTTGTAGCGGCCATCAGCGGCGCAGTTGCAACAAACGATCGAAAAGGCGGAGGACTTGGACGGGTCATGGCGAAATACATCGATCCAACATTTTCCTGGGATGATCTGACCTGGATCAAGGGGGTTTCTGGCTTACCACTGGTTTTAAAGGGTGTTCAGACTGCGGCCGATGCTCGCAAGGCTGCGCAGCACGGCGCAGATGGAATCTTTCTGAGCAACCACGGAGGCAGGTCCCTGGACACAACCCAGCCGGCCATACTGACATTACTGGAGATGCACAAGTGCTGCCCAGAGGTTTTTGGGCAGCTAGAGATCTACGTTGATGGTGGCTTCACACGCGGCACAGACATCTTGAAGGCCATTGCTCTTGGGGCGACGCCGGTAGGCATTGGGCGGCCATGGCTGTATGCCTTGACGTACGGTCAAGGAGGTTTGCAACATATGATGAATATTTTCCGAGACGAGTTGGAGACGTCCATGAAGCTGAGTGGTATTACTGATGTTGACGACGCACACCCAGGAATGGTGAATACGTCCTTGCTGGAACCATTGATACGGAGTTCAGAAACACATCCATGGATCAAATGGCAGCCACGGTCACGACTGTAGATATACTTGAATGAACCAAGCGCTACTTGCAGGCCAACAATGACTCTTCCCGCATAATGATTCCCATGTCGTGTTCCTGTGTACATGTGACCGCTTCGCCAGAGAACTGCCGATCCTCGGGTGGGAAGAGGGCGAAGTGGAGAACGACGGCCTTTGATCCCTGAGTCTCATCTTCTCCAACTCTCACAACCCACAACCACGGCTTCAACACATGTCTTTAGAATTGCATTTCCCAGCGTATTGTGCTTGCAAGCCATGGCATCAGCTTCAAAGCGCAAAAGAAGCGATGCTCTCGGTCTTGACGAAGAGCGGCCACAACCAAAGCGACTCTCAGCAGCTTGCACAGCATGCAGAAAACAAAAAATCAAATGCGATATGGCTGGCGAAGAGCCGCCGTGCTCACGGTGCCGCCGGAGAGGACTTCATTGTGTCCTACACACGGCTCAGCGACACCAAATGGCGGATCACAAACAGGTTGGGCTGCTTGGTAAAGATGTTATCGGCATTCACGCAACACTGGACCGGATATGCCAGCATCTTGGGATCGAAGCACCAGCTACCCTACTAAGCGATAAGGAGACTGCCAACGCAAACGGTCCAACAAGCTCTGGGAACGATGAGGCCGGGGCGGAAGAGATCTCCTGCGAGCTGTCCCCTCCAATGTCACCTTCTACAGCTCAAGCTCCCATCCACGCATACCTGACGAGCGCGCAGCAAGACGCTTCCCCAGATGGAACCGCTGCAAGTCCCCAAAAGGGTCGCAGAAGAGCGAGCGAGCGAGCGGCTGGATTTGCTCGGTAAAGGTTTGATCACGCAGGAAGTGGCAGAGATGCTCGTTCAACGATATCTATCTCACCTTGACCGATTTCTATACGGCATCGCAAGCCAACATCAGGACCTGAGACAGGTCATACAAACATCACCGATCCTGCTAGCAGCCATGTGTGCCGTTGCTGCCTTCCACGACGCTGATAATCCGGAGCGGTTCGACGTCTGCAATCGCGAGTACCGACGGCTGGTTTCTGAGTCGCTCTTTGAGAAACAGGATATCGAGTACATTCGAGCTTTGTGTATCGGTGCATTTTGGCTTCCAGATGCCTCACGTATACTACTTTCTGAAGCAATACGCAGAGCAGCAGATCATCAACTCCACCGGCACTTCCATGGCCTCAGCGAACCATATTTGGTGGCGGGTTCTACGCCAGGTTCGTCTCAGCAGTATCATTTAGCCAGGGACAGGATCCGGCTGTGGTATCTACTTTACGTTTGCGACCAACACCTATCAATCTTGCACAACCGAGACTGTATTATTCGACCGGAGAAGGATGCCATCGAAAGCAGAGAGCTCTTTGTCGTAGGCGAAAGCTCCATGCCTAGTGGAGACACCAGGCCCATGTCCCAAGTCTCCTTACTCGTTACTATGGGCCAGATTAAAGATGCGTTCGGCAGCGAGCAGAGTAGACCACTCTCAAGGTCTTCCGTCGTGCAGCTCTCGCACTTTGCTCGAGAGCTTGATCAGTGGTACTCGAGATGGTCGGCCTCATTCGGTCAGTCTGAATAGGAACCCAGGAGAGATGCAGTGTACTAACTGTGATTCGCAGAGCCAGATCAGTATATTGGATCGTTCCCTCTCGCAGGCCTTACGATGCACTTCCAGTTCAGCAAGTTGTATCTTGGTCACCACGTTTTCCGCGGCCTCAAGACGGACCCGATACCTCCCTACTTCCTCCAGGCTGCGACAACAGCCCGAGAAGCGGCCCTCACCATCTTCAGCATCATACTCGACAATCAGTCGTTTCGAGCACATATCGTCGGCATGCCGGCCTACTTCCACATCATGATCTCGTTCGCCGGCCACTTCTTACTAGAGCTTTGCCTCAAGTACCAGGAACAGCTGAACGTCATCGTCGAAGAAGACTTTCGCCTCGTCAGTGCAGCTTTAGCTGTCTTTGCGAGGACACCTGTGATGTCGCATCATCCCATCTCACGAGTGACGGCAGGACTGATGAGGAAACTCAACGAATGCACGGCAGCACTGGGAATGGAGAGTGTTCTGACAGAGAGCCCTTTCGGAAACGGAGAGTATGCCGCTGCCAGAGACATTACTGGAACAGTTACCCACGATCCCTCGATGAACTCCGCATTCGATTTGCATCTTGCGAACGGGCTGCCCGACGACTTGCTGTACGCTGAGTTTGGGGATCTAGCTTTCTCAAATCCTGAGTTCAATTTCACATGACAGGAACTACGACTTGACTCAAGCCATTTACACCACACCGGCATTGGCATCGTCATGGAAGACGGTGATGCCCCAGTCTGGCCGATTGAATCGTTTACCCGCTTTGCGAGCTAGAGAGTCGATCTGATGTATCTCCTCCTCTGTTGGCACGAAGTTGTCCTTGAGGTTCGACGCTATTCTTTTGGGATTGATGCTCTTCGGGATCACGCTCCATCCCTTGGCAATGCCCCAGCTCAACATCACATTGCCAGTTGAAACCCCTCGCTTCTTCGCAATATCCATGATGACCGCATCCTCGTGCAGTGTGCTTCCAGTACCGCCAAGTGGACCAAAGGCCGTCTGGTGAATGCCCTTGGACGAGCAAAAGGCGAACAACTTATCTTGGGGCAGCAGCGGCTGAATCTCCGTCTGATTGACTGCTGGAACAATCTTGGCCGTCTCGAGCAGCTTCATCAGACTGACCGTTGAAAAGTTGGCGACCCCAATAGCACGGACTTTGCCTATCTCCAAGAGCTTCTCCATCTCGCGCCACGTATCTCGGAAGTCCCAGCCTTGCACGTGTGCTTTGCGGTCTTCTTTGCCGTATTCGGCGCCGGTGTATGGACTCAAGGTGACTGGCCAGTGCATGAGATACAAATCAACGTATTCCAGCCCGAGGTCCTGCAAAGACTTGTTCAACGCCTGTTGGACTCGCTGGTGATCCGATGACCACAGCTTGGTGGTGACGAAGAAGTCAGATCGAGGGACAGGAGCATTCTTGAACACCTGCCCGATCTCAGCCTCGTTGTAGTAGAGAGGAGCGCAGTCAAAGTGACGGTAGCCAGCGGCGAACGCGGCCTCCACAGCTTTCGCAGCATCTCCCGGGGCTGCCTTCCAGGTGCCGAATCCTACGGCTGGGATGTTCGCTCCTGTGTTGAGTGTGAAGTGTGACCGTACCCCATCAGGATAGACGCCGTTCGAGCCGTTGGTCTGTTTTTTGGCTTTGACTGGATGAGCAATCACATCAGGCAATGACCTCTCGAGCTCGGCCAAGTGCTGCATGGTCGAGATAGTTGACTCCTGGAGACTTTTCGATGCTTCTTTGTACGGCTTGCGGGGATGGAATGAGGCAGAGTTCGAGAGTCCCGCAATTGGTCCCGCGAAGTACGATGTTCCATACTTGGTCGCGGCCAGGCCTTTCTTACAGGCCGCTTCCGCCAGTGCTACTTGGCCTTGATGCTTCTTGGCCTCGTCAATCTCGCCTTGCTGCCATAGCGAGTACAGCTTCGAGACGGACTTTGGGAAGACGTTGCCAATTCCAGTCACGCATCCAACACCGCCTCCAATCAAGCATGGGAGTAGCCAGTCTGATTGACCAGCAAAGACGCTGAATTGTGAGGGTGAGAACTTTGCTGTCAGGGATGTGACCTTGCCAGCGTTTGCACACGTGAGCTTGGTGCCCACGATGTTGGGATGTTCCGCGATCTGGGAGAGGACGTCGACGCCCAAGTCGACGCCCGACGTTACGCCTGGGAACTATCGCCGTCGTCAGCATCGGCTCGATGATGCATCCAGATGATCTGACTCACATTGTACGCAATGATGGCGATCTTGCTATGATCCGCGACTTCTCGGTAAAAGTCGATCAAAGCATCATTCGTGATCGCTTTTGGCCAGTAGCTGGGAGGCAGAAGCAACCCAAAATCAGCTCCGGCGGCAGCTGCATCGTCCGCAAGTCTCAGAGTCTCGTTCGTCGATTGGCCGCTGATGCCAGTAGCCAGTGGGAAGTCTGGTACGCCTAGATCTGTCGCCGCTTTTCGTGCTGTCCGCGTAATGTCGATTCGCTCTTCTCTGGAAAGGAGCGCAGCCTCCGCCGTTGAGCCTTGCAAAACAAGACCATTGACGCCGCCGCGAATCAGGTGCTTGAAGTACCTGTAAGATGCCTCAAGATCTACCTCTTGTCGAGGCGTATCTTTGTACAGGGAGACCACGGGGCACCAGATCCCTGCTGGAACAGCCGACGTCTCTGTTGTTGATGTGATACCGGGCATGTTGGCGTGAAGCGGTTTTGTGAACGTACACTATCTCAGGCTGATGGACGCTCCTGAACTGCACTTTGGAAGCAATGGTCCCAGCTGTTGTACGGTGGCATTGCAGTCTACTCCACAATCGGCATGCTGCTTCGGCTCTCACTGTCCCGGTCGTGATGCGGAGACGGCGGACAAGGATCCGCAGGGGCTCGGAAGTATGTCGCCGAGTTCTTTAGACCTTGCGTCCGTCATCTGTTCGTCGCGACATTGTCTGTCAACTGTGGCTCTTGCTTTCAGAAGTCCTCCAGTGAATTGATAGAGAGACTGCAGACTAAGAAACAAGCTCAAAAGAGGTGCTAGAAGCCTTCAACAATGTTATGTTTGACTGAGCCTTTGAGTATCATCCGACTGACGACAACTGAATGGCTGACGCATGGAGCAGGACAAGCTGAACAATCTTGTATGACAGTGATTTCTTATGCCATTGTGGTCCATCGTTCTACTCGTGCTCGTTATCGTTTGACTAGGATTCCGTCAAGTTGGTGGCTTCGATCCTAAACTTGGCACAGATTGACAGCTGTCGGTTAGAGCTATTGGCCTCGCTGCCTGATGTGTATTTGCTTTACAAGCCCATCGCAGAGCTGTCAAGTAGTCACTCGGTACAGCTGCAGTATCCTTCATCTTTTCGTCCCAGCAGATGGTCTTGGTCGTTCAACATGGAATCCATCACCATATGGGAGATAGTATGGATGTCAGCAGCTTCGATCCTGGCATGGCCCTGCATCTATCTTTACCACGGCGCAGGCAGGCATTATCGAAGAGCAGCTCGACTTATCGAAATTCAGCTCACCCACAACAAGACATGGCGAGCCGAAAGAGACAAACGAGAGGCAGCAAACCAGCGACATTTGTTCATGAAGCTGCCCGGAGAACTTCGAAACCGTATCTACGGTCTCAGCATGGTGTCAGATGTGGTGCTGGACCCCGTCTGGGGTTGTATCTACGATTTCAGTGGAGGGGGAGGGAGCGAGAACGAACACTTTCTCAAAGGACCGACAGAATATCCTCGATACCGCAGTCAGCTGTACCAGAAGCAGTACGGTTTTGAGCCGAACGGAATGACCGCTGCCCGAATGGCAAACATGAGTCAAGTCTGTAACGCTTGGAGGGAAGAGTCGCTGAAATATTACTATGGAAGCAATGTTTTCAAATTTCCAATGGGAAAGCATATTCACGAGCGCAAAGGCCGGACGGATGTCCGATCAACTGCGGAAAGGATATTCTATACAAGGTGGCTTTTCAAGTTTCCGAAGGAAGCGTTCTCGGTCTTGAGGCTTGTTTTGCAGGACTATCGTCCTTGTCCACATCCCCTCAACGAGATGTCCGACCAAAGACAGTCCTTGGGAAGAGTCAAACGCCGTTTCAAGGAGGGAACATGCATGATTTTTCTTGACTTCCGACGAAAACGAGTCTTCCCCGTACAAGGTGTCTCTAAGCACGATAGTGTGGACCTATGGCATTGCCAGATCTGCTGGAGGAGGTTCACAAGCGCTGTTCAAAGTCTTAATGACGCCGAGGAAGTGACTGAGGCTTTCGAGAGCTTTCAGACAAATCAGGACGCCAAGACTGCTATTAAGATTATTGACACACTGAGGTCGAACATTGAAGTTTGACAGGCAATAGCATTGTTCTCTAAAAACGGAAAGTCTAGAGGATCAGGGTCTCGAAAAGGCTGGGAAGGTTGAATAGAGCGAGACTGTCGACTTTGATGACGATTATGGAAGACTACGAATCAAAAGCTTGAGGGAGTTGGAGAGTGGGCAGCGTATTGGAGAGCATACAATATCCTGACTTGAGAGAAGCAACATCTTGCCGAAGTCGCGACGAAATCGTAACGATCAAGCTCTTTCGGATTGAGCAGACTCGTTGACTTGGTTCTCCCAAATTCAAGGCACCGTACAAGGGCTTTCGAGTTACGATGAAGCACCTTGTCATCGTCGGGGCCGATCAGCCGACCAAAGGCAGCCTGGTTCGGAATTGCGCGAAGATCGCTTCGAAGCCATCGGCGACGGACAAGACAGTGGCCGACATCCAGTTCGAGGTAGTTTGTACGAGGCATTGGAAAGCAGATTTGACATTTGTCAGCCAGAGAGCTATCTGGAGGTCTCGCAGAGAGCTTGCAAACTGAAGCTACAGTGACCACGGACTTTTGCTCTCCGAATCGCCGTGCTACTGCATGGTGGCACAATGGCAGAGACAGTTCTTCGCCTCTATAAGATATAAGATCGAGATGAGGTATGAAGACTTATAGACATTGCATTATCGGAACAGGACTGGCTGCAATCGTTCCACTATCTCCCACCACTGCCGAAGCGACTCACGAGAAGATTAACCGCTGGAAAATGGGTGATCTCAACGAGCCAGGCATCATTGAAAGGGCCATCGCACTGGCAGAGATCCATGCCACACTTGGGGCATATGCTGTTGCAGCAAGGGACTCCAGTAGCTTGGAAGAAAAGCTCGATACCCTCACACCGGACGCTGAGATCGACCTTCCGACCGGGCTTCGAATGCGATTTGCAGACTTCTTTACAGGCAACCCAGGAAACAGAGATCGATACTTCCGCCATCATGTCACTTCTGTTGCTGTAAGATTCACGGGAAAAGACACCGCCGAAGCTATATCACAGATTTTTGCAATTACGGGCCAAGCCACGCCGGATCACTGGGGAGAATGGAGAGATACATTGGTCAAGGTCGAGAGTGGCAGATGGCTGATCAAGGAGAAGATCATTGTTGTGGATAACTGGGACCCAAAAGGATGGTATGCAGGTGCTTTTGGGAGTCAAACCCATCGCGATCGCCCTCAATAGTTGGAAGTATTCTGCTGAGAGACAATGCCAAATCCTCGGGTAAATCCACCCCGTTGTTGCAAAGACTTAGTCGGGAAAGGAGTCTTGGAAGCCATCACCATATGCATACTATAGATGGAATTCGCTCGAGATTGACGATAGTCTTTCTGACTGGCCAAAGCTAGAACCAACATGCCATCAAGCAATCTTTGCTGCCGCTATCATGGGATGAAGCTGTTTGGCAAGGTATTGACTCACATCAAGCACGTTGTGACTCCAGTTCTCTGCGTGGGCAATATAGGGGTATGGCCTTGTGTCTGCCCCTTCAGACCAAGATATTCACTCACCGTGGCGAGGCAGCTGCACATCTCATCATAAGTCACATGCGTCGACACTGGACGTTGTTGCCAAATGCGGCAATTTTTCACATAAGCGGATTCGGGAGTCCAGCCGTCTGGGGATTGAACCATCAGAGTTCATACCGCGTTCGGCATAGCCATGAGTTTTGCAGACTAGAGCCCCACTCGGCTCATCGACATCATGACTTGAAAGAAACGTATGAGAGCATGCTGATTAGTGGGCAAGACGCCGGCAGGGCGCGGCTTGAAACGACTTGTCGCAGCGGGCAACTTGATACTTCCTTCGTCGGATCTCCCAACCGTAGCGGCGCAGCAACGACGATATGCTCTTTCTGATGTTTACACCTGAGCCGCCCTGACCGTCCTCGCCATCCATATGCCTTCGATCCCCCTCCAAGACCTCTCAACTCCAGCGGGAGCCGCAGCACCGGCGAAGATGACCGATCGGTCTGCGAATGACTCCATCCAACGAGTGATTTCAGCAAAAGACGATGACGGACTCGAAGCAATCGTTACAAACGATGAAGGAGTCGTGATAGATCCAGTGTTTGGCAAGATTCCCGAAGATGGGCCTAGATACCGTGATGTGAGAACAACTGTCCAAAAGCACACCATTCAAACTGCCGATGGCCTAACGCTGTGTGCTCTTAGATGGGTTGGCTCGGAGCCAGCATCCTGATGATGAAGACGCAGATAGGAATTGGTGGTCTCTCGGTCCCACAATCGTTCAACACTCTCGGCCTCATTCCTGGCATCATTGCTCTCACCGGCTTCGCCATCATCACGACGTGGTCCAACTGGATGATAGGAAAGTTCAAGAGGAATAACCCAGGAGTATATGGTATTGAGGACGTCGGAAAGCTCTTGTTCGGACGCCTTGGCCGCGAGCTGTTTCAAGGAGCCTACCTCCTCTGTATGCCACACCCCGCGAAACAGCTCATCTCGAGAGTGGACTGACTTGGAGCAGACTACATATTCGTCGGAGGTTCGGCGTTCATCTCCGTTGCCACTGGGTTGGATGCACTCTCTGATCATGGCGTATGCAATGCAGTCTTCATTGGCGTTGCGGCTGCCTGCGGCTTCTTCCTGGCTTCCATCGAAACCCTTTCGAAAATCAGCTGGATTGCATGGTGTGGAATATTCAGCATCCTAGTGTCAAGTATGCAACGTGCTCTCCTGTATCAAGCCTCGATCTGACTTCTACCTCGCAGTCTTCACCCTGACGGTCTCTGTGGGCGTGCAGAATCGACCAGCAGCAGCTCCTCAGTTCGGTCCTTGGTCGTCTGACTGGAAGCTGGTAGGAAACCCGAAGTTTGCTGAAGCCATGTCAGCGATTGCAGCCATCATATTTTCCTTCTCGGGGACTGCCGCCTTCTTCCCCATTGCTGCGGAGATGAAAGACGAAAGGAACTACTTCAAAGCCATGTACCTCTGCCAGGCCGTGGTATACGTCGTCTACTTGGTCATTGGGATTGTCGTATATTACTTCTGTGGCTCATATGTAACCTCGCCAGCTCTCGGCTCCGCTGGACCAGTTTTGAAGAAAATCTGTTACGGGATTGCTCTTCCAGGCTTGTTGGTCACAACTACGATCGTATGCCACGTAAGTCTGGGGTAGATGTACCTGAGGCCATGTTGTGTGCAAGCTAACACTCATAATGCAACAGCTGCCTGCAAAGAGCTTGTTTGTCCGGTCCCTGAGAGGTAGCCAACACCTGACAACAAGAACGCGGACTCATTGGATGGTCTGGTTCTCCTGCGTTTTCTCGGTCATTATTATAGGATACGTGATCGCAAGCGCCATACCCGCATTCAATGGCCTTGTATCTTTGATTGGAGCCGTTCTTGGCACGCCCATCTGTATCACAGCATATGGTGCAATGTGGTTCTACGACAACTGGCAGTTCCGTAGGCGAGCTGATCGAGGCACCTGGTGGATAGTGGGTGCTGGGTGGGCTGCTTTCGTCACCATTGTCGGATTCTACTGTATGGTAGCCGGCACATATGGGGCCGTCAAAGATGTCGAAGATCTCTATGCGTCGAGCAACTTCAAGGCTTGGGGCTGTTCAGGGAGCCTGGGAAATTGAATCAGAGGATCTGGCACTTAGAAGCCTGAAGCAAGAGTCGTCCCAGGATCCACAAAGCGTCGCGAAAGGCTGGTTGGAGGTAGCCTTGGGCCGATGAAGCCTGTGACGAAGTCATGCAATGAAACGAGAAATGGTCTTTAGGGAGTGTAGTCAGAGCAGCAAGCCTCGCTCTTAGATGAGATACCCGGTAGGCGGGCGGGTGGAAATCCATTGTTCGGTGTGACAGAACGAATACGAACTTTTCCAACCACCGCCTTCCCAAAAACCCCATTCTATGCCTTCCTACCGACCCTCACATCATGCTCTGACGTGCTCTCTGTGCAGATGACCGCCCCGCTTCACATCTTTCCAGGCGGTGGAAGTCGGCGGCAAGACGTTCGTGGACGAAAGGGTCAATGCATGTCGTATCAAGCATTCGCCCACACGGCTCACGGCAGCACAAGGATGATGTACTGAGCGAAGGAATATTGATCAGACTCATTCCTGCATGTCATTGCAGGCAGAGTCCCAAAGCAGCATGCTGCCTGGTCTTTAAAGTTGATCCTGAAGCCCGGCTCCACGTTCAGTCATGAGGAGTCCCTCCACACGAAGGAACAGGTCGTCTCGAATAGGAAAGCAGCACATCAGTGTGTATTCAGAATGGTATGCAGGCCAAGGATTGGACTCCGGCCCAAAGGGTTGCGACTTCGCTGTGCTGGAGTGTTGCAGGTAAGAAGACGTGATGAATAAGAGACGTCGATGACCTCGAGAAAAGGGCTTCAAAGAGTTTCAGTCGTCTCTGCGTCATCTTGATCCAACATGCGATCGACACAGATTTCGCCGCTCTTTGTGGGCTTTGCAGCTGCTTTGGCTCCAAGCAATAGCGTTCCTCCCCAGGCTGCAAGCAGTGTGTTGTCGAACGCAATCAACTACAACGTCCCAGGTGCTGCACCCCCCGATTCACTTCGCCATGGGGGAGGATGGCATTGGCAGCCCGGACATGGACATCCTGGACGGCCTGGCTGGGGAAATCACCCACACGGCCCCGGCAATTGCATTCAGATACAGAACACGTTCCCAAGAGGAACGAACGGACCCGGCAGTGAAAGCGCTAGCCGTGCTGCGGCAGTGAAGGTGAGTGAGTGCCAGCGCAGATATGCATACGTCAACTGAGTAAAGCGAACCGCAGCAAGCATATGTCGATGCTTGGGACGAATATGCCCAGTACGCGTTCGGGTCCGATGGATTCGCACCCGTCACAATGACAGGCACCGGCGGTTCTGGTGGATGGGGTCTGATCATCATCGACGGCATCGACACGGCCATTGTCATGGGCCTCAAGGACATTGTTGACAGGCAGCTCGAGTGGATCGCAGCTCAAGACTTCAACAAGACGGCCGACGCACAAATTGATGGATTCGACACCACAATTCGTCTTATCGGAGGGCTGCTTTCGGCGTACGATCTCATCCAATCCGGACTTGTCCCGTACGCCAACACGTACAACAAGACCCAAGTCAAGGCTTTGCTCAATGGCGCCAAAACGCTCGCCGACTTCATTGCACCGCTCTTTGACACAGACACTGGTCTGCCATACTTCTGGCTTAACACGACGACTCGGACCGGGTTTCCGGGAGCTGGCAATACCGCTGTCGACGGAACGATTATTCTGGAGTATCATAGATTGTCTGATTTGACGCATGATGAATCTTATCGACGGGTGGCCGACAAGGCGGAATCGTACCTGCTGAACCCACAGCCGCCTCCGGTCTACCCTGGTCTCGTTGGAAGCAACGTCGATATGAACACTGGGCTTTTCACGAATGAAAATGCCGGATGGCAGAGCGGAGTCGACAGTTTCTTCGAGTACCTCATCAAGTCTGTCGTCTACGATCCCACACAGCAGTACGCCAACGACTATAAGAATTTTTGGACTACTGCTGTAGAGTCGACATCGAAATACTTAGCCGTCCATCCGTATGGACACCCAGAATTGACGTTCATCACCACATTGAACAATACGGGTGCACCATTGTATGAGTCGGACGACTACACCTGCTTTGCTGGTGGTAACTTTCTCCTAGGAGGTGCCTACCTCAATCGTCAGGACTTCATTGACCTCGGACTTGCCGTTACGGATAGCTGCCACGCACTCTTCAACTCGACGACTTCTGGTCTCAATCCACTGAGCTATGGTTGGTACGGTCCTGACAACACAGCAGCCGAGTCACAGTACAACGGAAACGGCAGCACTGCGGTGGCTGCGCGGGAGTACTTCAACGAGCACGGATACTTCATTCGACTCGACGCGTGGGGCGCCTTGTACACGCTTTACCCCGAGCCAATCGAAAGCATGATGTACGCTTGGCGTATCACAGGAGATACGACGTGGCAGGAGTACAGCTGGGAGGTGTTCCAAAGCTTGCAGGCTGATGGCAACCGGCCTCCTGTGGCCATGTCCAGTTTGACCGATGTCACCCAGCCACGAGCTGGAGGGCAATTCAACGATATTCCTAGGCAAGTTGCAAGGCCCATTGATGGAGATGACTGCTGACGTGGCCTTGTTTAGCTACTACTTCGCAGAGACGCTCAAATACTTCTACCTTACGTTCTCCGACACCAGCCTCGTGAGCCTGGACGACTTTACGTGAGTGCTCAGCAGTAACTTCTCAATGCACCTCATGCTAACGACATTGAAGTTTCAACACTGAAGGTCATCCGCTTAGGGTGCAGCGTGGAACTTGCTCGACTAGCGGGCGTCATTGACGATGTTACGATCATGTCCTCCTCAAATAGAATTGCACAAGAAGATGGAAACCCCCGAGGCTTCAGGTCCCTATCATAGCTCTGCTCGTTTAGCCTCTGTTGCCTTCCATGACGCCTTTTAGTAGACATGCTATAGATGAGGCCATTACGACTGCTGTCCTTCTCTCAACGCCGACACTACGGAACTTCGATCCGTGATGGTGGAAAAACTTGGCTTCTCCGTCTTGGGTACAGCTCGGTATGCAGCTCGTCTTATTACCAGGACACTAGATGGGACGGATGTCAGAACAACCAACCCTTCGGCCAGTGCGGAGAACAACTCACAGAATTCCCAGAACAATCGCGATTAGCAACGGCACTCCAAGTCCAACACTGACACCGATAATGACTGGCTTGGCGATGCCCCTGACTCGGTCCTCAACCTGGCTGGCAATTCCTCCGGCAATTCCTCCGTCAGTAGTAGTAGATGTTGATGTTGGTGGGCGCACGTAAGAGACTGGACTTCCAGAGGTCGATGGCAGCCTTATGACGTCCTTGTTGAAGAGAGCACCTGAAGTGACGGTACTCTGGATGGCATCAGGCCAAATGATATCGTCTTCGTCAGTGCCTGATGGGGCGGCAGTGGTCCTTGTGATAGTTGTACTGGAAAGTATAGTACTCTGCAACGACGCTGGGCAGTTGACCAGTCCAGCAGACAAGCAATTGACCCCGGTGTATGTCGTCACTGTGGTTGTGGTAGCAGTGGACTTTAGCTCTTGACGTCTGCCCGGGCTCAAATTGGGTTCAGTCAGAATGGCTTCTTCGGTGGAGGTTGGTCTGGTACGGCCCTTGCTCGCACATGCTGAGGCAAGTTCTGTAGTAAAAATGGGCACCGACGTAGTAGCCACAGGGCCCCAGGTACGAGTGCCAAATGCGACTGTCGCTCCAGCAGCAGCGCCCAAGGCGAGTTGGTAAGATTGAGCTACTGCGAGCTGACAGTCCGAGTCGTCAGGCTGAGCCGTGACGTTGGTGACAAACTCGGCTATGTTTGCGAAGACGCCGACCTCAATACCACCACCCACAGAGAAGCTGTGGTTTGCGATGGTGGGCAATTTTGGCGTAGATAAACTCAGGCCAGCATGAGCACCGATCCGTAGTGTAGCTGCGAAGACAGCTCCGGCGCTTTCGACTTCGACGGGCAGGAATTCGGATTGGCCGCCGTTGCTACAATGGATCAATGTCTCTGCAGATCAGGGCGGGTCAGAGCACTGATGGAGACGTACTGAGTGATGCTCGAGGCATTGTCGCCGAAGAGTGCAATGTAAATCGCAAAGCCATCATCGAGCAACAGATGAAAGCCGCTGCTCACGTCGATGTCCGCACGGGCGGCCAATACGAGATAGACGGTGAACATGAGTCCAAGTTCAAGATCGTCAGTAATGTGAAGGCCAATAGGCATAATACCCGCCACATCGCGGCCTGAATTGAACAGGTTCAGTGTGTATGTAGCGTCCAGCGATAGCGTAGTGTCGATCAACATGTAAAGCTCCAGGCCATCGAAACTGAACCGAAGAGAAGTATCGGGCACAGCTGGTATACTGAGATTGTTGAAGTCGAAGTCGAAGGTCGGGAACTTGAAGTCCTCGTCACTGCCAAAGCTGCCAATGCCGTTGTCAACGGTTTCCTCCACAAAGTCCTTGGTCGCGTCTGTGAAGTTCTCCACCGTGTCCTTCAGGCTCTCACTGAGTTGCTTGAGCTCTTGGGAAATGTTCATTGTCTTCGAGACAGAAAGCTCGGCAGTGGCCACGCCTTTGAGGTAGCACGTTGTGCAAATAACTTCGATCCCTGTTTCCACTGTGATGTTGGCAGTCGAAGCCTTAGCCTCCGCATCTCTTCAAATCTCTCGTTAGATAAGTTCTGGCGAATCAAGGGGGTGATATTATCCCTACAGCTGCAGGAGAACGGCGCCATCCCAGCTTTTATCGAAGGACGTGCTATTCTTCCATGCGCGGTCCCTCGGCGTGATTCTATGCAACTCTCGACTAATGGCATGGTATACGTCTCCATTCCGCTGCCCCAGAGGATAGGTTGCGTCGATGTTCTGAGACGGAGAGCCTTCGCTCAATCGGCCAAAGTTTAAGAGAACAAGAAGAATACCCACGCGGCTCAGGGTCGTCATTTTGAAGGAGAATCAATATTGTGAGCTATGTGCTTCGATTGAACGTAAAAGTGGCGGCACTGGATAACTGTCGGACATGAGCTGCAACGCCTATATGTTAGATTGCTCTCCTGCGAGGGCTGGTATCTCGGCTGAGTCAAGAGGACAGAGCCTTCAGCCTTCTTTCGCAGGCACACATCCACGTGTACGACACTCAAGCCAGCCAACACAGGGTCTGGCACTTGAGCTCCGAGTGTGATCTAGACTTGCGTCCAATGGATCCCATGAGCGGTCGAATTTGGGAGGTTAGAGCCAAGACGCAGCCTTAGAGGAACACCAAGCCCATGCACCTTGTACCGAATCGGCGTGGAACTCCGCTGGCGAAGCAAAGCTTCATCAGCCTCTTATTACTGGAACGACTGGAAGCCAGACGTGAGTGCAGCAAACTTCCAGCATATAGGAGAACCACTAGTCTTTGAGCCATGATCTTCGTGCTCAAGATCTCTGTGAACGAGAGTCCGGTGCTGCTGAATTGAGATTGGGATTATCGCCCCAAGCACCTTGTTTTGAGTATCGTCTCCACCACCCTCACCCCTTCTTATCAGCCAAGCATCAATGCTGCATGTACGGCTCGCACGGTGAGCACCGCCCGCACCACCCAAACTCTTGCTCCAGCCTTTCCAGCGGGAACAGTCGTCGACGGAAGTGTTTGCTTGCAGCTGTTAGGGGTTGACAAAGTTTCTGTACCTCAAACTGCCACCTCCCACCGAGTGCACCTGTGTAGCCATCGTCGGAGAGGCATTGGCAAAGTGTTGCACGTCTGGCTGATGGTGAGGATCGTGATCAGCACTATAAGAAGCAGGCCCGCCCATGAGCAGCACGCCTCGGACACCAGTCTGCAGGCGTCAGAAAGATGGAACTGCTGGTATCTCGAGCGTTACATTCTACCCAGCAAAGTACATGGGACTCAAGTGTTTAGATAAACGCTGATCACAAGGCTTTCAGACAGGCTTACACCGCTTGGCCCCTGTTCCGGCTCCTGCGCTGCCACTTTTGTATGCCTTCATACTCCGTCTGGGCTCAAGGGTAGATCGGCAATCTCAGAAACTGCTACAGGCTAGCATAGCAACATGTTCTGCGACGACGTGCAGGTTCACTTCGGCCAAGCTGGAGATAGGCCAATCCTGCAAATCCTTGCCCCCGAGCTCTCTCGTCAAGATTGGGGAACTCGTCGCCTCTACTATCTCGGTATCTTTCCAGCACTATGAGAGATGATGTGCCTACTTTAAGGCAACACCGAAGAACTTTGACTCTTTTTTAATTCTGGAGTACCATCAGCATGGCTTCCTCCACATCGCTTGAAAATGGGCACGGCAAGGCTCAACTCGATGGCAAGGACGTGCCTGGAGCAACAGTCACCATCAAAGACAACGCAACTCCAAGTATTCGTTATGGAGAGCTGAGAGATATCGTCATTGATGATGCCGTTCAAAAGAGCATCGTACGCAAGCTGGACACCAGGCTGTTGCCAATTCTCAGCTTCATGTACCTCTTCAATGCCATTGACAGGAGCAACCTCGGCAACGCTAAGACGGACAGTCTTCTTGAAGACTTGAACGTGACGGAGACACAGTACAGCGTGAGTAAGTGCCAATAAGGAGGCTAGCCTGCGCTGACATGACAACAGCTTACCTTAGTCCTCTTCTACGTTACATTCTGCGGGTTTGATGTGCCCGCCAACATGCTTCTAAAACGCTCGACGGGCAAGATCATGCTACCCTCCATCATGGTAGCTTGGGGTTCGATGACCCTCTTGCAGTGTGCTGCCCACAACTGGGCTGGTCTGCTGACCTGCCGACTATTCATGGGCTTGTTCGAGGCTGGGTTCATGGCTGGTAGGTGATTTCGTTGCCTCCCCATAAACCCTGTTTCGCTGACTGTCTCTTGTAGGCGTGGTGTACTATCTCACGACCTTTTACCGCCGCAACGAACTCGCTCTTCGGATATCGCTCTTTTACGGCTCAGCCACGATAGCAGGGGCATTCAGCGGTCTCATCGCTTATGGGGTTTTCCAAATTCAGCACACTACCGTGCCAGGATGGAAGTTTCTGATGATCGTTGAAGGCGGCTGTACAGTCTTGCTCGCCACATTCGCATACTGGTACCTTCCAGCGGATGTCAAGAAATGTCACTGGTTCTCGGATGTCGAGCGTCTTGTCGCTGAAGATCGAATGCTCAGAGATAGCTCAACTGTCGTTAACGAAGATTTCAGCTTCAAGAAGTCTGTCATGCAGTTGCTGCACTGAACAACGATTTGCAATGCCTTGATCGGAGTTTCGTACGGCAGTGCTGCGGCCACCGTTGGTAACTGGATCCCCGTCTTGGTGAAGAGTCTGGTAAGGGAATGCTTTGCCATTTGACCTAGGAGGTAGCGGGCACTGACATATACCTCGCAGGGCTACTCGACAGTCAAGACGAATCTCTACACGGTCGCCCCTTACTGTGTTGGGACGGTAGTACTTCTCGTCCTTTCCTTCTCCTCCGACCACTTTCGGGAAAGGGGCATTCACCTCACAGTTGCCATGCTCATCACGCTGTGTGGATTCATTATTCTTGCTGCTGTCGATGTTAGCAATCATCAAACTGTAGGATACTTCGCCTGCTTCCTGCTCACCGCCGGGGCATTCGTTCCGTCTTGTATCTTCCACGCTTGGCACAACAACAACCACGTCTCGGAGAATGGACGAGCGACAGTGACTGGATTCATGGTTGGAGCTGCAAACTCGTGTGGAATCGTGAGTTCATTATCGTTCAAAGCGAACACGGCGCCGCGATACCTGACAGCCTTGATCAGCGGTGCAGCTCTCCAGGGGTTCGGCATCATGTTGGTGCTGAGCCTCGGCACTTGGTATAGATGGGATAACAGGAGGAGAGACAAGGCCGCTGGAAGGACGCTTCGACCAGAAGAAGTCGACACGGCGACGTTGACAGGGGAGTACGATGACGCAGGCTGGAGGTGGACAGCCTGAGTGAGATTCTGGAGCCACTCGATAGTGTCAGGATGCGAGAACTATTTGGGGGATGGAATTCCATAACCTCGTGGCATTTTCCAGTATCTAAGATTGGCTCTAGCTCACAGCCTGGTCCACCCTGTCGTCAAGGTGCCTTCTTCGAATTCTACCAGAGATAAGGTAGACTGCTGTTCTCAGCTCCAGCAACGGATCGTCACTGACATCAATACCATCAATTTAGCGAGGTATTGGATCGTAGATGATCTTCTTTTGCTCTTCACCCACGGGGTTGCCTTCGTCCATGGTCCAAAGCTTATCGATCACGATCTCACCCATCTCGGCGAACTCATTGGTCTCTGGCCACACCTTTGTGGAATCGTCCGTTGGATCCCCATCTTCCGCCAGCTGAGCCATCAAACGGTATTTGATGGGTTTGTTGTTTTTGATCCGCCATTACAGATCGTCGAATTGGTAGTTCTTGCTCTGCTTGGCGGCGTCGGCTTTGCTGTGCTTCATGACACCTTGCCAGGGAACAAGTCTCCAGCGGAAATACCTTTCCTCGCCCTTGTCGTTGGTGAACTTGAAAGCATGGATGCTATGCCACTGCTCGGTAGCGAACGAGTAGGAGTGAGCTGGGGATTGGTTCTCCATGAAGTACCTTGCATGTGGATAGTTGTTGAGGAAGTCTTCCATTTTGTTGTCCCGCATTGCTTTGAACTGGTCTAAGAAGCCTTCGCCAGTGCTCACAACGAAACCAAAAGCATTGTTGGTGATGATATCGTAGTGCTTGTGGCCGTCGTCAGACAGAACAAAACGGATTGCGAAGCCGCGGGATCCATTCTCGCCATTGTCCGGCAAGTTCTTGAAGCCCGTGTCCGTGCTGTATCGCATGACTAGGGGAGTCGACGGGTTGGTGAAGATGGGGGCTTTAGAGAGCTTGGAAGCGTCTTTGCTTGGTGTAAAGGGGCCCTTGACGAGCTGGCCTTTTGCGTGGACTGCATAGAGATGTGATCAGTCGAATGGCCATGAGGAAGACAATCGAAGAGGCGTACCAGGTCTGTAATTCTGGGGCGTATCGAATGTCTCACGGATGGTTTTGACGAGTTCGTCAGAGAGCTTCAATAGCTCTGGGTCTTCTGGAAGAGGCATTGCACAAGTCGTGGGCGAGAGTGGGATGTCAGTTCTCTGAGATGTCGGCTGTCTGAGAATAGAAGACTTGAGACCTCGTAATGCCCTCACTGTTCAAATGTTGCCGTGGTATCGACCTGGTAGATGACTTATATCTCAAACCTGACTGGTTCTCGACCACTGTCGTCACAAGACACATTCAACCGCCATTGGCTGCTTTGCAACGTCATCGATTTCCTGTTCCAGACCGTGGTAGTCCATTGACGCTGACCAGAGACAGCCAAATAGGAGCCTATGCCATATCGAGCGATGGCGAGCGAGGTGCCTTTTTGGTAGATCCAAGATACGAGGCATGCATGTATATCAACAACTCACATGTTAAGCATCGGTCAGCTACTTGTTGCTCGGTGGACGCCCCATGACCTTCGGCCGTTCGATTGAGAATCCTGTGTGGTCCATGACTATTTCGTTTTGTTGCTGGCTGCTCGAAAAGTGCTACTGTCGTTGTGGAGGACTCTTGACGACATGATGTTGAGGTGACGTATAAGCAAAAGTCATTTTCCAGGCCAGAGCGCCCCAAGACCCTGCACGTGGCAAACGATCCGTGCACTTTCACAGGTGAAAGTTAAGAAAGGCCGATATAGAGCCGCCCGTTTCCCAAGACTGCACAGCGCGTGGTATTTTGAGTGGAACAATCATCGCCATTACTCGCCCGGGATCTAAGCAGCCTAAAATACGGCTAGAGTCGTAGTGCCTTCTGCTAGGTCGGAGAAACGACAGTTGCCTGCGTTCCATTTTGACCAGATCGCAGGGGGCACATCAGTGAATATCGCGAATCGTGAGATGGAGAGTAAGAGGCTCTGGAGATATTGCGGGAATTGGTCCTAAACTTTTTTCCACTCCGTGACTGTGGTATACAACATGCATTCTCGTACAAGAAGAGGCAAATAAACTCCATCTCGCTCAAAACGATCGTAATCTGGCAAGGGATCAAAACAAGATCAAGAGCATCTTTTCAAACATGGAATGCTCGGCTGATAATGTTTGGCTTGTGGCCTTCGGCAAAGCTCGCCCGCCGCTCTTCGACGTTCTTTGCATCATTGGCTGCGATGATGTCCTCGCCAGTTTCAGGATAATCCATCTTCGACTCGAGATGAGGGAAGAATCGGTTGAACAACCAGTAGAAGACTCCGGCGGCGAAGAACGAGTAGATGTAGCCGATGGCGAACAGGTGCTGGCCACCGAGGGAGACGCTTGTTGTCTCGTTGGCTGATTGCTGGATGTAGTTGACGAACCCAGGCAGCGGTGGGATGCAGCCGATGAAGAAGGCAGCGACTGCACGCCAGTTGGAGCCAAACTTGGGTGAGTATCGGTAGATGCCGTGGAAGTTGTACATGTCAGGAACGGAGACGTTGCCTCGTCGGATGATGAAGTAGTCGGTAATGAGGATGGAGGTCATGGGACCGAGGAAGATGGTGTAGCCGCTGAGGAAAGCGAGGAACTTGGCAGCGGATGCGAGGATTTTCCACTGAAGGTACAGTCAGCAATGGAGGTCTGAGGGAACCACGGAAGAGGACTTTTCACTCACCGGAACAAAGGCCCAGCTACCAATGATGGCAGCCAAGATCTGTCCACGACGGATGTTGATGTACTTGGGACAGAAGGCCATGAGATCGTTGGCAGCACTGATCGAGTTGGCGCTGATGTTGATTCCCAAGGTCACGATGATGAGCCCAATCGCAGCAAATGCGGCAGAAGCGCGGGCAGCGTGCGAGCCGGATTCAAGCCACAGCTCGATGATCTTGATCGGGTTCCACATGACTTGACCGTACGCTGTCTGCGCGGCTGCAGCGGTAAAGATGCCCAAGAGCCCGACGATGGCTACAAACGAATGAGGATCAGCACAGTGGTCGATATGACGAAGGCAACAGAATGTTACTTACTGAAAATGACGGGGATGACAATAGCCTGCACATTCTGTGCGCTGGGCTTGTTGGCGTATCGACTGAAGTCAGCAATGTTCAATCCGAGAGTTGCGTAGTTGCCCAGGACTCCATTGAGATCTGCATGTCTGTTAGGTATCGCTCGTGCCAGCAGGAAAGTGGAGGATGCACATACTCTGGAAGAAAGCCCAGGCGAGGACTGAGCCGCCGATGTGCGGTCCGTCTGTGATGACGGTGCTGTGGCTAATCGTCCCTCCAGCCTTGCGAAGCGTGTCTCCGAAGACCGCCAGAAAGACGGCTGGCGCAATGACACTCTTGAAGGCGAAGAAGTATTGAACCTAGTCGAGATTAGTCAAACCGAGCAATGAATGTGGTTGGGCAAGTGTGTCGCACCTTGGTATAGGGGATGCACAGGAACGGCAGCTGGAGGAGGAAGTAAAGAAGCAAGGCAACCATTCCCTTGGTGGTAATGCCTTGATCAGCTCCAATGTGATTCGAGATGTTCGCAAAGCTTGGCCAGATGGCAGTAAGCAGTACTTCCATACACTGGCCACCGGTGGTCGTCTGCACTCTGGCAAGATTTAGCTTGATGTCAAACAACGCTGATGAAGTTTTGAGACTCACCCAAGCCAGACAATGGCGAGAACGCATCGGGACAGGACTACAAAGTAACTGAAAAAGTACCCGAAGGGCATCCTGGCGAGGACCGGGAAAGGGGTATGAAGTGTTGCGCCCATGCGTCCGTTGATGGTAATGACCAAGCCCATTATTGTGTTGCCCAGGACGCAGGCACCGATGGCCATTCTCCAATCCAGGCCGATTTGGATCATTGATGAAGCTGAATGATAGCATGTCAACCGACGACCTCGTACTGCGAACACCCATACTGTACACACTTACCAACTTCCCAGTTCGACACTGCCCAGGCATCTGCCATCCAGTATGCAACGTACGCACCCCAATTCCATGTTCGCTTCGAGGGAGGGATGGGATCGAAATCGGCATTCGACGCATTCTTCGTCGCCGCAAAACTGCTGGGCTCCTGTCGCACTGCGAGGCTGAATCCAGGGAGGCGGCTTCGGAGCTTGCCTACGTGGCCAGCAGCCACGGGCTGCTCGACGGCAGAGGCAACGGGCGAGGCATGCTTCTCGCTGTAGTCGAAGACCTTGTTATCGCCGGTGGATCCCATTGTATAAGAATGCCGCTGTGGGGTCGTGTGCTGGGCTCCTTGAACTTAGGCCCGGGACAGGCCTTTTTAATGTAGCTCACGCCAGTATCGTGCTAGGGACGTACAGATAAGCGAAAAGCAAGACAGGAAAATTTTCTGATGCAGTCGGCTACTGTTTCCCGTTCGATGAGCTGGGCTCTGTCGAGTGCAGTGATGGATGCGAAGGAAAGCGGCTTTGAACGCTGGAGATGTGCGTGTGAGAGATAAGAGGATGACGCCGAGGACGTGTGTCGTCGAGCTGATCTCCTGCAACGATATCAGTGGTGGGCGGGGCAGGCCGTGTTACTCGATCACATCGAGCAACGAGGTGCCCGCCAAGGACCCCAGATGCCCCAGGCCTCCTCCTATCACTGCCGTCATAGCTTGCTTTGACGCTACACCTTATCTCGTCATGTGCAGCCTACCTTATCGCACGTGGCTGGTAAGCAATCATCCGTGCGCGCCGCCGGCGGCCACGGCCTATATGCGTCTGGGCCCGGAAACACCGAAGGCTGGAGAGCTGATGCTGCATACATACCTTTCAGGTGTACTGTCTCCATTTAGTGCTATAGCCTTGTTCGGAATTTCGCAGAAATCATACCGCGATACCCGACCAAATCGAACAAAACCAGCGGTTCGAGCATCGGCTAGCAGGTCTTCTGCCTTGATCCCGAGCCAACGAGTCGTGAGACATCAATTCTTCAACAACAGGCAGCTCAAGCTCGGAATGCCTCAAGTCCTGACGATGCTTGCGGGTGCGTTTGGTGGCAGTATCGGGCTGCGACGTCCGAGACGGGTCGCTACATCGGCGTAAACTCAATGTGTTCCTGTGTGCGGAAATGAGTTGGCAGGCACAAGAGAGCCACAGCTGGTCGAGCACAACGCCCAAGAAGCGTACGCTGACCGAGTACGACCGGCAAAGAGAACATCCACAGATGTAATGGGAAACGTCCGTGGGAGAGTGGAAGCAACTCAAGTTCCGCCGGAGCCCGCTGTTGAAAACAGACTCAACGTCACAGAATCGCACGATGGCAAGAGAAGCGGATGCAGAGGACTGCAGTCCCCACATCCAGGCCTGTCTCAATTGCTTTGAGGCCACATGGGCACGAGCAAGGAGGATTTGGGCCGCTCTGCGGGCGATGAGGGTATATTGTTGGCTTCTCAGCTCTTGTCCACAGGCCTGCCTTGCCATCCCATCTTTGCTACTGCTGGCAAGTTGGAGGTTGGAGCAGTACTTCTCGTCCTCGAACAGCGTCGTACGTCTCGTCCTGTAGCCTGCCCGATTCTTGTGCTACCATCAGGGTCGCACCGTCTGTATGTCGCCGGCCATCAGGATTCTGGTTTGGTCTTGATCGCTGTGCCGCCGTCGATGCTTGTCAGCGCCGTTGTGGTGGCGGAGCGAAGCAAAATGCAGACGATGAACACCCCAGCCATCTTTGAACCCCTGACCGGGACCGGAGACAGTTCCGGCGCGGATCGTTTCCGCCGTTCTTCTTCCCAAACATCACCTTTCGGCAATCACACCCACTCTGAGCACAGCTGCAACATCGTCCGAAGATCGAAAGAGCTGATTGAAGTTCACAGCAGATCAGGAGCCAAGAGCTAACGTCCTGGGTCAGCAGCATTCGGACAGGCGACAAGCACTCTGGCCCCAGACCCCGATCAGTCTGGATTCGGCAGCGCCTCACTTCTCGGTCTACGCCATATACCTACTTCGACAGTCAGCAGGAGACACGCTTCTGAGCGACATGCGCGCACGACTATCTAGCCGTCGGAAGATGCTGTTGTCTGTTGCGCCGATGAGGCTGCTCTGCGGCGGCGGCGACGGTGATGGTGGGCTGGTCTTGCCCAAGCCGTCCTAACTCATCTGTATCGATGGAAAAGTGCTACTACTTGCCGAGATGTGTCATACATAATGTCAGCGCAAGTTGAGATATGTTGCCTCGGGTATTTTTTCCTAGCTGCCTAGCGTTGGAGACCTACCTCGCCGCAGTAGTACTCTCGGCACAACGGCACCTACACGACGTTAGCTTCTCACCAAACTACGCTCTGCGAGTACTATCGGAAGAGCAGCTATTGCGTGTAGAAACCGAGAGACTGGTTGCGGCCATTGACTGCTGACAGCCCGCCTGCAGACTGGCTATTTCTTTGACTACGAATTGCGCTCCAGCATCGGCGAGGCAGGCACTTACTTCTGTCATCCCCATACGAGATTTCTAGCTGTCAGCGTAGCTCGCACAATCGTTATCTATAAGAGCACATGGTTCGATGCGCTATATCGATATAATAGCCACGAAGACGGTCGATCTCGTTAACGTACAGTCGTTATCAGACAGCCCTAAGGGTGACAGCTTCTGGACTGTGGAAAACAGAGCATGGACGGATTCAAATGAAGTCCTGGTTTGAACAACACCACGCCAGACGTACCCTGCACTTATCTTATTGACATTCATACCTCTGGAGAAGCGGCGATACCCAACTACGATACCGCCGTAGCTCAATATGGAGGGTGCTAGCCAGCGACAAACACACATCCCGCCGAAGTTGGCGAAGATATCAACGTTGTCATCGTCAACCAACCGAAGAACAGCTCGAGCGGGCTCGATGCGCATCATTGGCGTTTCCATGATGAACGTGTCTACGATCTTGGATGTGGCCGAGGCGTCTACAGTGCCCCCGAGAACAATATGCGGATCAGGAATGCAGGCCATCAGCCAGCTTTGAGAGATACCTTGCAACTCTACAAATACACGTATATGGATGACGTTAGAACAGCACCGAGTCCACGGCTCAGGGTAAGGACGTCTTCTCCTCTCGGCAGATGTGCCATGCTGATCCTGTCGACTTATACTCTGGATGATTCACTGCGACACCCTGCTGCACATGGTCATGGGTATGAAGACTGCGTGGGTGATGAGCGGTGCTTCGGATGTCACAAAACATCCTGCGCCTTACGCCGCCGGCTACTTGGAGCATGATGAGCCTGCATATGGTAAAGCGACGTGCGACCTGCATGTGTCTCATGGCTTCAATCGATGACAACGTTATACACAAGACAGCCCAGAAAAATGAAGAGTGCTCCAAGACTAACGACAGACCATCTCACGGCCATGACTGCAGTGACGATGTCGTGCACGCATTCTAGCCATCAGGCAACTCTAGGAGCCACAGATGAGCGGCAGAAGGGACTTCTGCGAGGTCAAAGACCGTGCAAAGTCGCCACGGAGCGAGAATCTGGGAGCATCGGAGCAATGGCCTTTTACGACATGGGGAAAGCGCATTTTGACTTTCAAACACTGCAGTATGTCCATGCAACAAATAGATTATTGCAGAGTGCCTGGTGAGAGCATTTCAATGCGAAGAAGAGTCACAGCCCGACTTAATGGTCTTCTCTGAATCGAGGATGCGCTGCCTCGCCATGCTGCTCATGCGAGCATTCAGGCTCGAGGTGTGGGTAGAGGTTTGAGCTGCTCCAAGATCTCATGCACCACCGATTGCTGGAAGGCAACTCTTGTCTCCAGAACTCCTCTTGAGTGACGGAGGTTTCACCCTGAAGTTCGGCGGGACCGAACTCCTGCAGCCTGTGTCGACTTCACCTGCTTGCATGACCCTCACTGGCCGGATGGGGAGTTCGTGCATTGGTGCACTCCCCTAAGGATATCTCCGTTCGATGATGTGATGCAAGGTCCATCGCCTTCGAAAATATCACCTATCGGACTCGCCACCCCCGGAGCGTTCAACTCCGGGCTAAAAATGCACGCCGAAGCAGCAGTCGATGCTTCTAGGAGTATGGACCACTCATGTTGTCAATGCGAGCCACGCACCAGGAACAAGATAGAGTCTAGTGAACTGGCGCGGTCAATGCCAGAGCAAAATGTTCGAACGGCGGCACTCCACGGCAAGGATCCGGCCAAGAGCGATGCAACTCCTTTAGTGCTCGAATCCAGACGAGATCTATTGTGTATGCCGCTCGAGTCTCATGCCTGCCTCGCATGCAGCGCATGACGGTTTTGACATGGACTCGCTGTCAGATCTGCTCCGAGGACTTTTGAGGAGAGCACAACGTCCAGCCACTCGACGGATCAGGCTTCGAGACACCCCAGAGCCTAGCAGATCTAGTATCGTAACTCCATGCAACTGCCACATGCTGCCACCCGTCAAGCTCACGAGGCTGATCGCCCACCGAAAGAGCTCACATCAAGGGCTAAAGTTTGAGCATTGCGCTTTTATGGGCACACTATGCTAGCCTCGGCGACATTGCCCAATTCGGGTGGCGCGACGAGAAGGCTGCGGCGAACATGGCTCGCATCTTCAAGACGGTTGAGGCTTTGAATGAGAGACTAGCCATTCAAGACTTGCGGTATTTCATTCTTCGTACTTAATTCGTTGGTGCTGAGAAGCAACCCGATCGAGCTTTTACTCGCCACCCTTCTTATCATTCAGTGACCTGCAACTATGGTCTCTCTTCCGGGAACGCAACTGTTCGAAGCCACGTTTTTGCTTCGTCGCTGGAGCTACTCAATCGAATCTGCGTTCTTGCCATCGACATCGTGCAAATCAATCCTGCCGGCTTCTCACGCTGCCTTTGAGGATCTAATTTCCGACCCTCCATTCCATGTAGCTGCTACTGGACGTATTCTGCGTGAGAAGGTGGACAGGATAGCGATTCTGGACAACTATGAAGGTCTGCAGACAGAAGAAAAGCAACGAGCGTTGAAGATACTGGGCTTTGTAGCCCATGCATACATATGGGGAGATGGGAATACGGAAATCTTGCAGCAGCTGCCGCCTCAACTGGCTATCCCACTACATAGCCTGGCCGAGGAGCTGGGAATAGCGCCCTTGGCAACCTATGCCACCACAGTGTTGTGGAACTGCTCGCTCATCCAGCCGGAGAGAGGATGGTGCCCTGAGAATGTTGAGGTTGACTTGACTTTCACGGGTACAAGCGATGAAGAGCTGTTCTATGCAGTCAGGTGAGATGACTTGTTTTCATCACAAGGGAGATGCTTCACTGACAAATTCGCACAGTGCATGCGTCGAAGCTGCAGGAGCTGAGGCTGTTAATAGCCTCATCCTCATTGCCTCATCCATTTCCCATGCCCACGAAGCGGGAGTCCAACCAGACGAAAAACTCATCGTTGGACTGTTTGACTGCACTATCACTGCTCTGGCCCAAATGGTGCGGCTGCTCAAACAAGTCCTCAAAATGAAGTCTGAGTTGTTTTACTGGAAGATGAGGCCATACTTTGCAGGCTGGGGGCTTGTGAAGGGTGAAGAAACGGGGCTTCGTGCCGGAGTGCATTACGCTGGGATTGATCCACCGGGTGAGACGAGAAAGTATGTTGGAATCTCGGCGGCTCAGTCATCATTATTTCAGACCATAGACGTGCTGCTGGGCGTCCAACATGACGAGCATCAGCATTCGATGCTTCGGAACGTACGATCGCACATGCCTCGCGATCACAGGCACATGGTGGAAGAGCTCGAGGCGTCGTACAGTAGTACCATCAAGCTGTATGTCGAAGGCACTCCGGCTCTGCTGCCTGCGTACAACGGCGTCCTGGACCAGATCGTTAGGTTCCGCCGAGTCCATCTCTCCGCTGCGACCAAATACGCCGTGCGAGAAGCGGACCGACGGGGCAAGACGTCTTTTGGTCTTGCGAAGGGAACTCAGGCTGGAGGTGGCGCCATTGGAGCTGGTGGATCAGACCTCAAACCATTCTTGCAAGGGCTGGTGAACTGCACCAGAGCCACGAGGATCTCCACGTCGACGCTGATCGAACGATCTGTTGGTGAATGAGACAGGCCTGAATACCCAGAAAATCTCGGTCTGGCATTCTGCGGCATCCGTCAATGAAGCAGACGCATTTATGATACATGCTGTCCCACGATTCGGGCTGTCGCAGTTTCAACGCTATCAGCCATAGTTCTAGAGGATTCGGCCACCTCGTCCTCGTTGCTCCGACGACATCATCCCGCCCGAACGCCTGTGCAGCGTCGCAACCTTGCCCTTCTGCCCTTCTCGTATTCATGACGTACGGATCTGATTGTCCTGCTACGCACTCGGCAAGTGCTCTCATAAGCTGTTCCCTGATGAATTCAGGCCCAGTAATGACTGAAATCACATTCGACGTGGTTCGTAAGATTTCTTGCTGGGAACACTGCTACGAGGGATTCTATCTCATCGTCCGCCGCTCGGATCGTCGGCTGCCATTCCAAGATCGATTTACGACAGATCGATTTTGTTCAGACGGCATTAATAGGATCACTGGAAGCCCTAAAGTGGTAATCCTTCGACGTTCCATCCTTTCTACCCACACAGCATGGGAGGCATGACAAGAAGATCGCTGAGATAAAATGCTCTTGCTGCAGCGTCCCCAACTTTTCCCGGAACGAATTTCCATCCGTTCGCAATCATGGGCTTTGCTCGATCACAGGGTCTAACATGGCATGGCCTCTGGCATGTTATCTTGTTCATCACGAGCGCCACGGCACATTTCTACCCCCATGGACCATACGGAAAGCCGCGAGTTCTTGAGAGAGACGTTGTAGTGGTTGGTGGTGGCGCTGCTGGGACGCACGCTGCGGTTCGGCTGCAGCAAGAAGGAAAGTCAGTTGCACTTTTGGAAAGGGAAGACCGACTCGGCGGGCACGTCAATACCTATGTCGATCCATCGACCGGAAAGACCTTCGATTATGGAGTTATCATTTTCATCGATGTCCCCGTTGTGACGGATTATTTCAACTACCTGGGCGTTCAGTGGAAAGATTTCGGCAACGATCCACCGAGCGAGTACGCCGACATCTCGACAGGCCAGGTAGTTCCTCAGGCTCGGGTTCCAATATCACCGGCAACATTACAGAAGCGTTTGGGATCTGGATCGAACATTTGAAGGAGTACCCATGGCTGACTGACGAGGCTGGCTACAATTTGCCCAGCCCTGTGCCAGAAGAACTCTTCCTACCATTTGGAGACTACCTTGTGAAGTATGGCATGGGAGGCGTGGCCGAGCAGCTGTTCTACACAAACCTTGCCGGCAACATCCTCGCCCAGCCGACGTTTTACATGATGAAATGGCAGAACCTGCCCGGAAAAACGAGCACCATAATCACGCAAGCTGAAGGCGACAACCAAGCTATTTGTATGTTGTGCATCGTAAAGGCAGATAATTGATAGCTGACTTCATTTCCAGACAATGCTGCCTTGGCTAAACTCGGTAACGGAACGAATGTCCTCCTTCAAAGCCATGTCTACCAAATACGAAGAAGCGATGATCAAGTCGAAGTGAGTTTCTCAACGCCTCATGGACTCACCACAATCCGAGCGTTGCAACTTGTAATGGCAATTCCTCCCAAGGTGCAGACGCTCCAGTTCCTCGATCTCACTAGCAATGAGCGAAACCTTTTTGGCCAATTCAACAATAGCTACGTCTGGAACTCAGTCTTTTTGAACACCGGCGCTCCCACGGACATGGCGATCAACAATTTCGACCCCGACGCACCGCTGGGCATACCTGCGATGCCCGCCACTGCTGTGCTGTATCCATCCTCAAATGTGCCCAATGCGTACGAAGTGGAGTATGGCTCCGCGCACTATCTGCCAGATGCGTACGTAAAGGAGCAGATGTTTGCAAGTGTAGCCCAACTGCAGAAAGCGTATGGATTCTCCCCGCCAAATGGTACTGAAGTCGAACTGGCGGAGTTCCACGACCACTCACCTTATTTATTTACTGTCTCTGAGGATGCGATTAAAGCTGGCTTTTACGATCAGCTGAACGCTTTGCAGGGTCAGCAGAGGACTTGGTGGACAGGCTCTGCATTCGAAACGGAGGCATCTCCAGGCATCTGGAACTTCACCGAGACACAAATCCTTCCAGGGCTACTCGCCGCGTTGGGCGGAGAATAGTGACGGAATCATGCCATCGCTGTCAATGCCGAGTAGAGTATACAACTTTCATAGACATAGCCATGAAGATGATTTCCCAGAATACAACCAAACAAGCACTCCACATTTGCTGCGCTTGGACAGAGGGAACAACAAAGAAGTACCTCACGCCACACAAGTGCTATATTTCAGCGGGCTTTTTGAAGCTCCATAGATACATTGACATTCAGTGACCACATCGTTCTGCCATCCCACCGTTTCATCAGCTGCGAGGGCCTCCTTCATGCTTTCGTGTCAATGGGACTGGCAACCGAAGCCTTGTTCTGCACTTCTTCAAGGAAGTCATTGGACTCTGCCGCATACTTGCATCTTGCACGGATGGCGGGACCGTATCGGTAGAATAAGAATGGCAATGGAACGCAAGCTAATGACAGAAATGCCGGAATGGATGATGCCCAATGGATACCCAGAGCAGCGTACATCTTTGAGTCATCATGTTGTTAGCTGTGGCTCGGCGAAGGTTCCTGTGTGTACTCACCTGGCTTGTAAAGAGTGGGAACACTGCGCCTAATGTTGATCGCATGACCGTATTGGCAGCAAGTGCTGAAGCGGCGTATATGGTGTAGGAGTCGACAAGGTAGTTCATGATGCCGAGCCAAATGTAACATACGGACCTCGGCTTTATTAATTATATTGTTGACTCGTTCCCCCTCCCCCCTTCGCCCCCCCCCCCCCCCCCCCCCCCCCCCCCCCCCCCCCCCCCCGATAGGGGGGGTCCTCTTAACCTTTGAAACCTGTTCGATGGGGCGGCGAAGGGGAAACAATCACACTTTTTTTTACATTCTTTTTACAATTCTTTTTTTTTTTACACCTGCGTAGACTTGACTCTTCACCTGCTAGACCCTTCTTTTTTTCTTTCGCTTGACCAACCAATTAAGTTCTTTGGTTTTTGTTTTGGACCCTGAACATTTTAGGTGTGGGGGGGGGGGGGGGGAAGAGGGAGAGCCCGTAGCCAAAGGGTGCTCCTGCGATGATGGAGACCATGAAGTTGATGGATGGGTAGTTCGTCCAGGCAAACCAGAACAGTCTAGATTATCACATGGTTAGCCTGAGCCAATTGTCCGTTCTTTATAACTGACCCGATTGGAATGGCTACTGCGCCGACCATGCATACCGGCAGGCGAGTCTCGGGCGGCGCAAAACCGTCATGTCGGTCAGAGACTCGAGCATATCGACGATCCTCCCAGACAGCCGTCAAGACGGCGAGGATGGTCCCCACCGCCACCTGCAAAGCACTGTCAAGATCTGAGTCTTGGGTTGCAAGACGAAGGACTTACCCCAAGGAATGCAAGACCCCCAACGCCGGGCGACCAGCCTCGCCCTTCCTGATAGACAATTGGGAAGGCACCGAAGCAGAGATAAAGCGTCCCATAGATGACCGCGTGATATGTGCTGAGTAACAGCACGATTGGTTCGAGCAGGAGGAGTGTGAGAGGTCTCGACAGTGCGATCTTGAACGTTTCCTCGAACGTATTGCCTTGCTGCACATCAACCTCGCTTCGATAGACACGACCAGTTATCTTCGAAAGCTTCTTGGCTCGCTGCCGAAGCAGAGCTGGCGCATACGTCTCTGGGCAACAGACAGATCCAATGATCCACAAAGCTCCAGTGAAAATGGCCATTATGCCTTGTATCCAACGCCAACCGATCGACTCCCCAACGAATCCTCCTACTATGGGGCCGAAGATGGGCCCAAGAGCGGGAGCAGCAGAGAAGACAGCAATAGCGAAACCACGTTGCTTTGCTGGGAACATGTCGGCAATTACGCCTCCTGAGTTGGTCAAGGAGCTTGACCCAAAGGCCCCAGCGAGGAATCGGAGGATGAGGAGTGTGGCGACGTTCTTTGCCCCCGCGCCACCAGCGTTGAAAGCCGTCAAGCCTGCGTATGTCGTCGTGAAGAGGATTTGACGGCCGTAGATTTCGGACAAGGGTGCCCATCTTTCGGGTCATCATGCGTTAGTTGCCTTGTTGCATGCTTTGAAATTGACTCACAGCAACGGGCCCAGCGCGAAGCCCAGAACACATAGACTCACACCCAGTGTGAACCTGCCAATGTGTCAACAGCTTTGATTGATATCCAAGTCAATGCCTCTCACGTACACCTCTTCTCCCATGCCCAGCTCTTGCTGGATCTCCTTCGCTCCACCGGTGTAGGCCGAGCTCACGAATGAGACGGCCAACGAGGCACCCGCATTGATCAAGGTCAACGTCCAACGCTGGACAGCGGTGTAGCCCATGGGATCTCGAGGGTCATGGTCGATCCAAGTCACAAGGTACGGCTCGCTGTCTGTCCCTGACCCGTCATACTGCCACTGAAGGACGTCGTCGGTGACGCCTGCCTGGTCTAACACCTGCGCGAAGTGGGGAATTGAATGATTATCTTTTGCTTTGGCCGGAACGCTTGCTGCCATGTTGGTGTTGTGGATGATGACGATTCTGCTTGGCGCTTGGCAGAGAGAGAGAGGGGGGAATGCAGCAGTGGTATGCCAGAAAGGCCACGGTCTTTCCAATTAAGCTCAACTGGCTTTTACAGCCTGCAAGGACGGTTCGCCCGAAAACCCGACGTCGATCTTCATAATCACTACGAACAGCCCTGCGAGGAGACTCAAAAAGAGTCGGTGACTAATCGGGTTGAGAGGAGGCTGTATTCTTTGCCGGCCGAAGCCTTCGTTGCGATAGTGAAGTCCATCGCTGCTAAGTGATTTTCGTATCCTTGAGATCATGCCTTGAGAGATCCCTCTCATTGAGGAGCTGGCTTTTGACGCACTGGCGAGCTCTCATTCTATTCCATTGTCTCGATTCATGTTGGCTACATCTGATTTACCACCAAACCGCTCACGCTGACTCCACAGTTTTCGGTCATTCCACATGTAAAGCTTCGCCGTCTCCTTCATTCCCTCTTGGATGCTCTGCAGCCTTGTTCGTGCATCCAATTACCAGGCCAAACGAGTCGTAGCCTTCGTTGAAGGTGATTTGATCCGAGAAGTTCTCCAAAGGATACCACTGCCGCAGGTCTCGCCGTAGCAGAATGTCGAAGATGTGGAGAGAAAGCATTTGGCTGGACATGAGTAGGAAACTACCACGGTGGTCCAACAAAAGCGACAGCAAGGTTTGGAACGCTTCATTCGGCATCTTCTCGATCCTGTATGCAGTATTAGCCGAGACGTCTTCATGTATCGCTAGTCGGAGACAGATGTCGCTCACTGATGATTGTATATGCTGAATTCACCTGCGACTGGGACCAGACACAGAATGCCAATGGAGAACTTCTGTGCGAGAGTGTGCCAGCTCTTCCCATACCCAAGTCTTCGTTTGAGGGTTGCATATGACTTGTCGTACTGGCCGGAGAGATTGTGCAACGGTTGATTGGATGCGTCGTGAAGGTGCGGGTATGCTCCTACCATCAAATCTCTGAGCGTCGCGGAAGCAGCCTTTTTCTGTCCCTCTCGTGGCCGGAGTTGCTTCACCTTGCTATGGCCGTACTTGAACTGCCTGACCGTTTCTGCATTATGCTGCGACTGGTGGTTTTCAAAGAGGCGATTGCGGTGTTCAACTAGACGGACGAGGTGGTATCTTCGAAGTACCGATGTGATGAATGAAGTGCTATCAAGATCATCAAGTGCCTTGACTGTAGCCGCTACATCGTCCGAAGGCTGTGGTGCTGTCGAGCCTGGCATTCTCCGTGTAAAGTGGCATGCATCTCTGAGTTGGAGGAAGGCTTCGGGACTACCGGTTGCGTAGAAGAGGCGAAGTAGCAGTGACCAGCAGGATATCTGATGCGGCAGAACCATGGTCTTGATCTGCTCGCGGATGACGACTGGAGAGATTGTATAGCTGGGAAGCCGAGACAATTGACCACTGCTGAGACTGTCATTGAGGTGGTCGTCAGCAGCGAAACCCGATATCGCGTCGAGACTGGTGGAGAGGGGCATATGTTCCGTCATCACAGGGGTTGGAATCAGTATACGCCGAGTGTCTTGTGAATTGTCTATTGTGGATGCTCGTGTATTGCGAGCGTGAACCTCGTCAATCTGACTCATTGACAACCTGCCTGTATTTGTTGAACGAGGACGATCCTGGAAGCAGCTTGGAAGATCTCGCTCCCTGTATGGAGCAGTTCCCAGAGCAGCATCGCTGGAGCTCCATGCAGCCGTTTCGACTTCGTCTTGTCCTGTGCTTGGTCCGAGCCAGGACGAGAGAAGCTGCTCGCACAGCTGGACCAGCTCGCTTTGGAGCTGTACGAGATGGTGCGGGTACCGGTTGAACATGTTGCCCATCGCCTTTTCGATCTCATCTCGCAAAATGTGGAATCGCTGCGTCCGCATGAGCTTGGAGGTCAGGCTAGCCTTGCGCGAGATGCGTACCTCGTGAATGTCGGACAGCGCAGCGTTGGCCGACGCCATTTCTGTTTCAGTCTTCCCCCATCGATGGTGTAGCAGCTTCAGTCGCTGGATGCCTTTACGAGTTGAGGTTAAGAAGACGCCCCAGTGCGTTGACCGGGCTCTGCTGTCGAACGGCTGAGCAAGGAAGAGCCGAAATGCTTTCGCTGAGTCACAGTCATGTGACTGGTCTTCTTGAGGGCCATGCTACAGCCGCTGACAAACATTTCACGAGCTTTGAGCAAAGCATGCAAAGTCCGGCACCCGAAACTCCGAAGCCTGATGACCCTGCCTACTCAGTGCGAACATCGCACATGCGTTTCTCGAGAACCGCAACAGGTCAACGCACGAGCACTTAAACCAACGCTCCTGCATTGCAGCCACATCTGTGTTGTACTTCGACAGCCTTCCATCGCGCTTCCCAGCTCGTACCACTTCACTCGATTTTGCAAACGAACACATATCCAACGCTCGCAATGTCGTCCGGGCCACCTCCACCCCCAAATCGCTACATCACCACCAACAGCTTGTTGGGCAAATCGACGTTCTCTTCACTCCCGCCCAGTCTGGTTGAGGAGGCAGATCTGGGTGGAGCCGTCCAGCGCCTCGTCTACTCGAGTCTCTCATCACCTTCTCTGACCAAGTCCGCCGATCTTGAGGGCTACAAGTCGCTTTTGCCAAAACCAACAGAATACAACCTTGTCAGACCCGACGGAGGTCCCAACGTTTGGTACCTCGACGTGCCGCCGAGCAGCTCTTCGCCAATGCATCGAACTGTCAGTATCGACTTCGTGGTTGTGGTGCAAGGGCAGATTGAGCTGGAGCTGGACGAGGGAGAGAAAAGGGTTGTGAAGGCGGGAGACGTTGTCGTGCAGCGGAGTACCATGCACGCATGGCACAACAGGAGTGAGAGCGAGTGGGCTCGGATAGTTACTGTTATAATGCAGTGTCAAGAAGTCGAGCTTGAAAACGGGAGGAAGCTAGGCTTAGAGTTCGTAGGTTAATCGAGGTAGAAGGAGTTTAACAAGCGCGGGAGTATAAGAGCGCTAAGATATTATATAGTTATTCGCCTTTTCGTTCGTCTAGGTTTAAGAATCCGTAGTCGGCTAGTACCTAGAAGATCGATCGTAAAAGTAAAAATTAGGTAGCTATCTTATTAGATTAATTCCTTAACTATACTTCTCTCGCTATTCTAGACTTATCGAAGAGAAGATCTAGTTCCTCTAAATTATATCCGTAGATTTAAATACTTACGATAACGTCCGTAGAAAAATAAGAACTATAATCGTAAATAGGAACTCTTAAGGATAATTAACTTAGCTAGGTATACTAGATTACGTTAAGCTTAGAGTTAATATTTACGAGGTAGATATATTATTTAGTAATATAAGTACTAATACTTAGTTTTAATATATTAGTATACTTTATAGCGTCGTTAAAATAAATAAACTTTATAGATCTATAAGCTTATACTTCTACTATAGCTACTTTTATAGTTATATCTAGACCTAGCGTTACTTTCTATTAAGTATAGTATTAGGATCGGTTAATTAATCCTAGAATTTTACTTAGTATAAGTACTAAGCTTAAATTTTTAGTTAGAGTTTATTAAAAGGAGAGAGTTAATAAACTACTAAAATAATTTTAAAGTAGAGATTTAAGTATAATTATAAACTTAATAGTAAAATTAAATAGTAAGTTAAACGCTATTATAATAAGTATTAAGCTAAAACTACTCTATAGGGTTTATATAGATATTAAATATAGTAGAAATAACTAAATTAATAAATAATAGTAGGAACTAACCTAGTTATAATTATATTAGTTAGTTATAAGAAGTAGGAGGACTAAAGTAAAATAAGCTCTTTTTAGTTATATAACTTTTAGTATTAATACTTTAGGTATCTATTTTAGCTTATTTATCTAGACTATACTATTTAATACTCCTACTTAAACTAGTATATATATTTTTAAATAAAATCTAAGTAGTAGTATATAATATAAAAAATTTTTCTCTATCTAATTAAGTATTAGAACCTATTCTATTACTATAGTATAGTAGTAATAGCTATAGTATAACTCCTAAGCCTAGTATTTAGGTATTTAAATATATTATTAATATATTTAAGTACTTACTCCTTTTTACTCCTAGGCTATATAAAGTTACTTTATAAACTCCTAGAATTAGGACCTATTTTTTAGCTTTATAAAACTATTAGTAACTATCTTTTTTATTAGAATATATTCTACTATAATCTTTCTCTACTACTAGAGTCTTCTAATAAAGTTATAGGCTATATTAATATACTTTAATCTATTATAGATATAAGTATTTTTAATAAGTATTAATACTACCTAGTTATCTCTATTTAAAATTACTAGCTTTAGGCTATTAACTATACTTCTATCTACTTTAATAAGTAATTAAAATAAGTATTCTCCTACTAGCTCTATATAGTCTACTTCTTTTAAGAGTATAGAGAGAAACTAG